TCCATGGGCTAGAATATTTGCTGACGGGAGAAGCGCTACTTCTTGATTCGTTCCTGGGAGCAGTTGTGCCTTCTCCGTCTTATCAATTAACTCTTAGAAGATACCGTCGTCACCCCTCAAATAGTTTCAGTAGCTTCCTAAACCCAAAGCTCCTGGACTCCTGGGAACAGCTATCTTACTGTAAGCCAGCAGAAGTCCCAAGAACTTAGTTCTATTGGCTCTCTGTGACAACAAGGCATCAATGTAATTGTATCCACGCGAGGAATCCCTTCTTGTTTGGTGGCCAAGGGCTATTACAGATCAATTGCAACGATGTAACTAAGTCTACGTAAGCTAAACAATATTGCTTGCAAAAGGAGAAATTCAGTAAGTCATATTAGAATATAAAGTAAGCAATATGGATATAGAAGACCAGGCAAAATAATACGGGCCCTTGCATGCCCTTAATCTCGTGTCACACAAATTCCATATCCTCCCTTTCAAACATGTCAAAGAAGCTTGTTCGAATCCAATAGCCCAGTTGTGGCTCAATACTGCGCCAGACGCGGGATTCAGCACCCCGGTTATGATCCCAGTCACCCTCTTCGAGAACCCCACCTGATTCCTTTGCTTGATCTAGGCACAATTCGAATGCGGCGGGAGATGGAAAAATCGAAAACTCACATCCCTGTTGAGCAAGTGTGCGATGAAGTTCATCCGCCCGGACAAGTACTTTCTCAAGCCGGGCTAGCATAGCATCGTTCTCCTGCCCTGCCTCGCGCCTCCATAAGCTAATAGTGCGATCGGTCCAAAGTACAAGCATGATTTTTTTGCAGTGACGGAAATGAGTTTGCAAAAGAGTGATAATCGCGTCATATGCACCCCATGACACGTCGAGTTCTGAAGATGTTTCGCTGTTGCTGGCAGTTGGATAAAGGTGCGGAAGATTGCAGCTTATTATAGCAGAACTTGCACGAATTTGCTTTTCAGCGGATATAACATCCACACCGTTGATGTACCTAAATAACATAATGCCAGATCAGATGAAATGCCTAGATCGACCTTCCGTGGAACTTGAAAAACTCACTTCAGTCGTAATCTATTTAAAGACCAGGATAACCGGTCATTTTCGGATAGAGTAGGGTGTAAAGCACACGTAATTTGTCTCGCAATATGTGCCGGAACATCATTTCCACTGTCTGTGGATTGGTCTACTAGAGCCGTCCAGGACGAGTTGTTGTCGGAGTTCTGCCCTAAGCGTTGCACATTTAGCTGGATGACCCCGGAATCGTACGGATACAAGCATTTTTTTATGTCTCTCGGATGTCGGAAATCATGCATGACGTAGGAAAGAAGAAAAGTTGAGCAAGATCAGGCAGAAACCGTCCCCTCCTGCTGGTCTGTCGTGTCGCCTCGCACAAACTTTAAAAGTGCGGTCGTGCTGGCTTACCCGAGGCGGCAGTTTTACCGTCACCTAGATAACTTCAATTTCATATTCTACCACTTACACCAGAAACACACAGGATGAAGTTGACTTTGAACATAAAGGAGTTGACTCGTTGATCCGACGTTCGAATAAGCCAATTTTTTGCGGCTGAACTTAACAGTGCATATTGTAGAAAATCAGACTATTCAAACTTGAACATCTGGCCGAGAATATACGACGCTGGTATCTTACGGAAACATGCTTGTTTGATGTATCGAAAATTATACAGTACTTCGAAGTATTGTGGCTTGTCTGTATCGAAACGGTGGCTGTGCAAGTCGGTTTCAGGATCTGTAATTTTCTCTCAGAGAAATACGGGCAAGGTGTATCAATTCCGGGCCGAAGCAGCCATGATGAAGCTCGATAATTACCCAGATATATCAGCCTACAGGAAAACAATTAATCAAGATTTTGGGTGATTGCAGTTTTTTGGACCCTTAACGGATTACCTCACTTCATACTGAGTACGGACTGTTAGTGTTCAACCAGAGACGTCCAATCTTTATAAAAATATCCATTTGCTGGCAATGGTAGTCATTTCGGTCGACGCTAAGCTCCCAGGGTCGAGAGTCGACCAAGACTGACGTGTTACACTGGGGCCATTAGCCGTCCGCTTTATAATTAAGCTAATATTCAGGCACTTCAACTGATATGGCTTCGTTTGGTTTTGGCGCTCAGAAGAAGCACCTTGCATTTAGATTTCTTCCACTTAAACCAACTGGTTAACGATACCATGCAGGCTCCTCCCGCTCAGCTTCGGCTGGTAGATTATTCTCTGTAATGCTTGGAGAGGACCGAATTGCTAAAGTATGGCGAAGAATCGTCTTTGAATTTTGGTGGCACCTAGGGTTCCTTGCTGTACTATTGTCGTTCATCGGATAACTGAAGAGAAATGATATCGGTGACGAAAGTCCACTGGAGTGGGGAGGGAAAACCCTTCCGTTTGTAAGTATAAAACTTCGTTAGGAAACCAGATCGGAGGGGTCCATCCATGTCCGATTTGGCAAAAGGTCTCTGCAGCTGCGATGGCCTGCGGTGCAAGCCTTGTGTTGGCATCTGGTTCTTGCAACAAGGGCGGTAAAACGTCATACAACAAAAGCTACTGATCTTCAGCAATCAGTAAGGATGTTGTGAAGTTTCGATATAAAGCCCAGGATCCGAAAACTGGGAGACATATCAGTCAACATTTGGAGGCTTGTTGAGGTGGTTACCTCCTCAAAGCAAGCTTTTCTCAGCACGCCGTATTTCTCCTTGTCTGCAAGGTAAGGAGCCGTTTTGGTTACCAGCTGTTGCTCTTGGTCAGAAAAGAGGTATATCAGATCGAAATAATGGAAACTAAGATTAAATCCAAATTGTGCCATACTTTCACCATGCCTCACAACCTCTCATCTAGCGGAAACATCGACGTGTCGAGAAAATCGGGAAGGATATAGCACAGGTAAGAGCGCTTACAAAACGTCTCGAGATCGCTGCAGCTCTATGGTCTGCCCTTAACATCACAAGTGATGCACTTCAGTGCCAGTTATCTTTCCGAACTTGAACAACTGCTCACAATTCTTGTTCTCCATAGCTAACGCCGCGCTTGTCTTCTGATCAGATATTACTGCTGGTGAAGAGAATCATTCGGCCGAAATTTAATCACAACAGGGCCTCCGAATTGACGCACAACACAGAGGTTTTCACGCATGCGTAGCCGTTCGCTCAACAGTCGTGCTCCTATGTCACAGAATCAAGAGCATCCCCGTTCAACCCCTGCAAAATAAATGTCAGCAATGGGCTCAGTCAACTTTTCGTACTGGGATCTAACCCCCTTGCCCACGATGACGTTGGAATTCATGACCGGACCTGCTGGGGTTCTGATTGACCAAGTGCTGATGACACCCAGTTTAGATTAGTATCAACGGAAGACAATCGACGACAAAGCCCTGTTAATTTTGAAGCGTGATTTTTCGGTAGCTTTGTGAGCCTCCGGGGCGCTCCGCTGAGCAGCCTGAGAAGTGGTGATACTGATCAACTTGGCCTTGCAAAGGGGAAAACAATGACAATCTAATGTACGATCAGTTGATGCGGATCAAGGAGTGGATTAAGACCGAGCTTACAGTGTTTGTCTTTGTAATGATGGATAGCAGGGACATGATAAAATTATTATTCTGGGAGGAGTGGTTCGATATATATCCACTTTGGGGTGACATCACTTCAGAGAGAAATGTTAGAAAGGTGGGGGATTCCTGGGAGTCCGCCTTACCTCTTAAAGTAAATGGTTGGCTGAAACAAAACACTCTATAAGCCTCAAGAGTATTGCAATGCACTATGATAGTCTAGCTGGCTCCTGGGAGCGTATGGCGGGCCACCAATTCCATTCAGCAATGGCGAAAAAAAGACTTGACGTTATACGCTCAGGAAGGGCTTCAGATATGTGCGCTCATTTGGCTTCGTTGTCTGCTGAACATGAATTCCTTCAGTTTAACTTGTTACAGGGCAAGATTGTAGACCAAGTAGATTCGCCCACTGGCCATCACCGTAGCAGAGGTCCAAAGCCCGAATGGGCATTGTGGGGCAAATCAATTAAATGATCCTGGGAGCAAAGCCAGAAATGGGAGACCGACAGGTCTAGAGCGAACGGTCACATTGACGACGCCAATCTTTTTCTGATGGGACGATGTGGGTGATCTAGAGAAAAGTTACACGTGATGTAACTAGCGTGTTGCATTTTATTGATGTAGCTTACTCAGGCCGCTCATGCCTATGCTCAGGTCATGCTCAGTGAGCGAATCAGGGCACTCAGATGATGATCAGTGAGTGGATCCGGGTGCTCAGGTGATTATCAGGTGACACTCAGTGAGCAGGTCAGAGCGCTTATGTAATGCTCAGTGAGCGGATCAGGGCGCTCAGGGGCGTGCTCAAATCTACTCAGTGAGCAAAAAGCGGCAAGTCCTGAGCACTAATACGGAAAGAGAACGCCAAGAAGTGGCAAAGGAAATCAAGTACATAGGTATTTATATACAGATAAACTACCTACGTAGGCACTTAACAGCATATGAAGCGGTTGTCAGTCAACACGTAGTAATATTGGTACGCTCATACTAGAATACTAAACTGGGGAGCAAGGGCTACCTAGGTAGCTACGGGGGAAGGACGCTTATAAATACACAAGTACCTAGTATCTAAGCAATAGGCAAAAGGAATAGTGAGACAACTCCACTCCCACTCATACAAACAGTATGGTAAGCAGCAGCTAGGAGTTGTAAACAGTCAATGCTTTGATTGTCGGTGCTCGCCGGACGTCTTATATAAGCTGCCGCAGAATGCCCTATACTGACTGCCGTACGTAGCTTGCTCGGAGCCCTAGGACGTAGGCCTGCCACAGCCATGGTTATATCTTTATAATCTAAATTTCAATTCAATCCAATAGGGCTAGTAATTCCATACTAAATTTAATAATTTCTTTGATTATGTTTGGTTGTTTGATTTTATAAGTAAACAGTTTTAACTTATTGAATAACATCATATTAATTGACTTGGGATTTATCCTATCTTAGCGATCCTGAGGAGATTTCGCGGTGCCTTGACTCTGACCAGAGCCAAACATTGACGACATGGAGGACCAAAAGCCGGCGGGCTCTTTGTCTCGTTCCTTTCTTGAGACTGGTTCTTCTTCGCCTATTCGTGGGTGGGCTCTCCTGCTTTCTCTATCTTCGCCTCGGAGAGGCTGTTTCCTGGCGTTTGCGCCGTGGCTCCTTTTTCTGGTGTGATGAGCTCGATGGGCGTGATCTGGCTTCTGTGCAGCAGCGGAGTGCAAAACAGGTCCGCCTTTTGCCTTCATTTTCCTTTCTTCGCAGACAGTCTGTGAGACAGACGGATTGGAAGTCGAGGGCTTTTCTTGGACGTCCTCTTCCGGTTGATACACATCTCCATTGATGTAAGGTTCAAGATACCGTTCCACGAAATCCCGCGAAACGTCGAGCTTCACGGCATCGTGTATTGCGTTTTCCATCCTTTGGACATACTCGAGTCGTATCAGTCCATCTTCAGCATACTTGGTGCTCAGGTATGTGATCGCCTCAATTTCTTCCACCTCGGCTGCCGGACTTCTTACTGAGGGCGGCGGCCTTTTGGACAGGACTGGCAGCTTGGGCTGTAGATTTGCTGCATTTTCGCCAATGTCACAAGGCTTATCTTGAAGCCTGTCTCGAACAAACGCTGTCTTTTTCTCGGTTAAATTTGGATGTCGCTCCAGAAAAACATTCAGCACGACTCGTTCATAAACACCGAGTTTGATGCCTTCCTTGCGATCCAGAGTCCGACGGTCCTTATCGGTAATGGAGAACACAAGACCCTCGACCACATCAGCCTGGCCTGCTGGTCCACTTGAAACGCCTTCGGTGACTTTGACAATGTTCGCCACATGCCTCTGGTTGATCTGCCATTTATATCCTCGCAGTGTGGCCTTCCCGATGAAAGTGCTTCCGGGACAACGTTCTGCCATTTGTGTCAAACTCATGTTGCTGCCAAAGGTGAAATAGTATTGGCGATGAAATATTTTGGACGACATTTTAGGCTGAGGCATTCCACGACCCGGATGGCTCAAATAACTAGCAAGAAGTAAGGAATAGCGGAAGGAGTCAGTCGTAGACACAGTGGGACAAGCAATCCGTGTTGCGTAGAATGATTGTGTGAACAAGAGTATGGTGTTATTTTCCCACAATCAGATTTCGATCGGGCTGAGAAATTCATCACAGCGTAAGCCACGCGCCTAATGCCCACGGATGTAGCATTTCATATGACGTGTCAAGAAGGTGCATGGCGCAGTGAGGCGGAATCTGCACTCACTTTTATTACGGCGTGATTGGTCCAACTACCTACGGCAGTTGATAGAGGGAAGCCCACCATATTGAATTCTGCCTATTTTAGATTGGTTATTTTTGTAATAAATACCATCTCGTACAACCCGACGATAATTATATTGTCAGAGCCTGTGTAGGTCCGAGGTATCGCGTCAGGGCTACAGCCTGCATATACTCGTATCGACTGCTGTACAGTAAGCGTATCGGCATCTTACTCAACAGAGCATCGTCTCGCTGCTATCTCGCATCAACCACGTATTTCCGTTCCAGCACGTGCATCCCTCGAACTTGCCTGAATCAAGGCGGATAAGAGGCCATACTCGTCGTGCTGCAGTTTTCTCTTTGTCGGTGACTGAGCTACCGTAATGCGACTGTCTCTCGCTCTGCAGCTACTGCATTGGACTCTTTCTGTTTTGGGCTCTTCGGCGCCTATACTGTCCCGGTGACTTACCTTCCTACTCGTACAGACGAGAGGGAGGTTGAGCGCTCAGACTCAGCCACCCCCATGCGGGGGGCCCTATTGGGACCTTTCCCGGCTCGATTGGGGAGCGGCATGGGCAGGGGTGTTCAATGTCGAGGATTTGCCAAGCGTCACTATCTGATACGAGGAATCGACTCGGAAACGGCTGATGAGGCTGAGAGACTAAAGATGTGATGGACAACATATTATCAGACTTCTCACCTTGTGTGTAGCAGCAAGCGCCCACCTTGTAGTGTGTGACATATATGTATATATGAAGGAGCTAACGCAAGCGACATTGATACGAACCTCATGGCAAGGTACTCTTTCTACTTCGGCATCGAGATCGAGCTCATTTCCGAACCTCACGTAGTCCGACACCCACTGGGCCGAAGGTTTTACTACGAGAAACTCGCTGCGTCTCTCCGCTCCCATGGCCTTGATGCAAAGGCAGATTCCCTGGCAGGCAGATACCGCAAGCATTCTGAGCATTACGACAAATGGTTCCTGACAAAGGATGGATCGCTGGGCAACCCAGCCCACCCTGCCAGTGAGAACTGTTTCTCATCCCGGGGACAGCGCTCTCCGTCCTAACCACAAAATACTAATAAGCTGAGTCGAAAGTTCCCATAGAAGCCGTGTCCCCAGTGCTCAGCACCAGCGAACAGTGGGAAACCGAGATCGACCTATTCTGGACCTCCTGGAACCGGGTCTTCGAAATGCCTCGCCGCTCCGCCAAATGCGGCAGCCACATCCACGTCTCCCCTGGGCCCAACAAGCGCTTCACCATGACTGAATTGAAGAATATCGCCTGCGGCATCGTCTTTTACGCGAACAACCTGAGCGACATGCTCCCCCGCTCCCCGCCGCAACAACGCGTACTGCCAGAAAAACTGGCAAGCTTCACTCGTCGGCGTGTGGTATGAGAGCGGTTCCAACACCAACGTCCAACAGACTATGAAGCAGATTTGGAAGGTCGATGACGAGCAGGAGTTGAGGCGCTTTATGCAAGACGACCGGCGTGTGATGTGGAACTTCGAGCACATCGTCCCCGGCGCCCGCTGTACCGGCACTATCGAGTTTCGAAGTGGGCGCGGTCTCAGAGGCCCCAACCGGACAAAATGGTGGATTGCCTTTGTCGTATCATTCATCCAGCTCTGCATATCCAGTAAAGTAAGTGATGTTCTTCGCCGAGCCCAACCTCTTAATCACTAACCGTCCTCGTCAAACAGCTCTTCCCTTACAAAAGCGCAAGCGATCGTCCACAGACAGATTACTTCTGGCAAAAGATCAAAAGATACGCCCACACTATTCAAGTCGCAGACGACCTGCCGCCAGACTGGCGCGACCTGAACGAGTCCTACAGGTTTGTCCCATTTCCCCTTCATCGGCCCGGACTTTGACTCCCGAGAGAGACGATACTGACGATCCCTTGTAGTAGTGAACATTGGGAAGACACGGTGGACGGCGACGAGGACGAATCCGAGACATCGTCGATCGTGTCAAAGAGTGCTTCCGAGTACTCGGATTCGGACTACACATCGGGGGACGAGAGTTAATGGGTGAATGGCATGGAGCAGGAAAGATGCATGTGCGTCATCCTGTGACAACGCCGCAAATTTCGTTAGACCTAAGCTGCGTTGGATTTGCCGTGGAGAAGGCAGTGTAAAATCTAGGTTATATAGTGATCTTAAAATTGAAAATGAAGGTTTCGACATACGTAGAGACGTATGGACATCAGACCATTACGTACCGCTCCCTTCTATTGCTTGTTCCATCGACAGACATATCTACTTCTAAGATGCAAGCCGGCACATGGGAGGCCGGAGAGTCGCATCAACAAAGTCCGATACCTACGTACTTGATTTTCTCTACCACTTCTTGGCGTTCCATTTCCGTTTTAGTCCTTAGACCTTGCCGCTTTTTGCTCACTGAGCATACTCTGATCGTCGACTAAACGCTCTGATCCGCTCATTGATCATGATCTAAGCGCCCTTATTCACTCACTAAGTCTGAGCTGAGGGTAGGGGTGAGCGGCCTAAGTAAGCTATATCAATAAAATGTAACACCGTGTACCTCTCCCCTTTTAGATGACCCCTATCGCCCTATCAAAAAAAATCTGGCATTATCAATATGATCATAGATCCTAGTAATCTAGCTGCCATTAAATACGTCATAATAGAGCTTGCTAATTAGCCGCTCAATTAGCATTACCATTTTATGCGTAGTGCTCCTAGGAATACTTTGTCCACTTGGTCCCACGGTTTCCTAATCAGGGAACTAGGGATATTATATCAGTCTACTTAGAGATCCCGAAAATGTCCTGACACCGATGCTAAAAGAGAAAGGTCTTTAGAATGTAGAGAATAAGCACCGCCTCTTTGCCAATAAGCGCATATACCTAGAGTGCGCCAAAAACCGCAAAACCGCAAAACCGAACCGAACTAAACCGCAATTGTTCTTAGGGCCTCAATGGAGTTTAAAGTGGGGCAAAAGTCGTGTATAACCTTCTATTAATGATACTATTTTAAACTGCTTAATAAGACACGTTCATCACATGGCACTCGTGCAACGACGATAGAAGCCATTCTTGGTGCTATTTAGATTGATTCAGGAATGAATATCCATGCAGTCGAACGTGTGAAAGCCAATTTGGGTATCGGTGTGTAATATGTGTAATATTGGCTAGGGTGGCAGTCTACTTTGATGTTCGAGGCTTGTGGACTAGTAAGTGCAGGTGGCAGGGCTCAGGTCTGGTCGACCCAGGGTAGTGTGTCGGTCTTGCCTCACGCCGCTTAATCACCCACATCTCGGGTGAAGGACCCTCGAAGGAGGACCCTCACATATAGCGAGGGACCAGAAAAGGTGGTAATTTTTGTAAGGGGCTGGTTACCTTGTTGAGGCGTCAGCTGTCCTCGAAAGCTGCAGTTCCGAGCCTTGGATGTATTTGCCCCACCAACTTGCTCACTCCGTCGGTTATGATATTAGAAGCGGTGAGAGCAAGTGACCCACAAAACGCGGCCGCACCGCCCGCTTATCGCAGAGCGTATAAATCGAATTATTAATTGAATTAGAAGAGGTTGGGAGCTCACAATTTCTCCTGGTGTCTGATGTGGAGCATGGAAAAAGACCCTTTGAACGCTCATCAGGCTTGCTGTGCTTGCAAGAAAAACAAACGCAAGTGCGACAAACGCTTGCCGGCATGTGGTCTCTGTGCCCGGACTGGGCGTGCTTGTGAGTACGATGAGACTCCTAGGCCACCTCCCTCGGCGGATGAGTTCGCAGCTCTGCAAGTCAGAATTACAGAACTCGAGGCTCGTCTGAATATTGCTTGCGGTGGTTCTGCTTCTGTTGCTAGCCCTACCCCAACCTTTAGCAGCCCAAAAACATGGACTGACACTACACTCTCTTTGACCCAATTTCCGTTCGCCATGTTCCTCGATCTTGACTGCTATGAGTGGGCCAGGATGAAGCTACCGAGGCCAACAGCTACGGTTCCAATGGTATGTAACCTTTCATGCAAGGAACAAGTGAAAAATTGCCAACCTGACTGGTCAGGATGTTCTTACGATCCTTAACCAAGCGAACGGGATCTTAGAGATTTCTCAGACTTATTTCAATACGATCCATCGCTGGATGCCAATTATTTCAAAGAAACGAATAGATCTTGGCATCCCGTTTCAAGGCGGCGGACCGGATCTGGCGATGTTGTTTCTTGCCATGAAGCTGGTAACCACATACCCCGAGTCGACAGAAAGCTTATACGAGACTACCCGAGCTTTCCTTCGGACCCTTGAAGCGGATAACGTCATATCAATACGCTGTCTCCAGGCTATAATTCTGGTCGCCCTCTATGAATACAGTCACGCCCTCTACCCCGCCGCATGGATGACAGTTGGGGCCTGCTCTCGGTACGCGGATATCATTGGGCTCTCTCCTTCCGGACGGTGCTTGAGAATTATAGAGAGTAATGTTTGTTTACCTGTCTTGTTTGACGGGATGTAAATGTGGTTTGGGTGCTTATCGCTGACACGGCTATCACTTTCTCCTGCGAACAGACGACCTGGACTGAACTAGAAGAGCGACGGCGTACCTGGTGGGCTATCTTTATTCTTGACCGAGCAATTTCACTCGGTAGCAGGCGAAGGTTTTCCTGCCCAGAACCAACTGAAGTCGATGTCTTGCCAGGGAACGATGTTGGATGGGTACGTACTCTTTTTCGTCGTTCCATGAGAGCGTTTACTGACACGCCTTCAATTTAGAATTCAGGCGATGTTTCTGGGGCTTTGAATTGCGCTGTTTCAACACCCTTCTCTAACCTGCAGTCGCCCTTCGCCCGTCTATGTCAATCCGCTATATGCATCGATCGAGTGATGAAATTCCGGCATACGTGTCAGCAAGTTCCCAAAGAGCAAAGCACTACTATGGCCATCGTGCTCACGAAGGAATTATGTGCCTTCAGTGATATACTCGAGGGAAACTCATCACGTTCTACAAATATAGAAGGATATCTAGATCTTTTTGCCCCTCGCTGTTTGGTCTGGTCTGCCCTATTCTTGCTCCTCGACAACTACTGTTGTCCGGAAAAATTAGCCAATGAGCCTGGTTATCCACTCTCGGGCAGTGCTAAGACGCCTGAAGAGCAGATTTTACAAGTGGATGCAACAATTATCGTGCGAAGTATCAGTAATGAAGCGCACAATGCGATCTTGAAGGTCGTAGAGACATTGGATAATTATCCGCGCGCTCAAGATCAGCTGACCGGAATTTGCCCCTTTGCGCTTGATGCTCTGTACTGCACGATGGCGACATTTCATTGGGAGCTTCGGGAGTCAGGTGATGAGACGGCTAGGGTCAGCCTCGAGGACATTGCGCAGTGCTTGCAAAGGTTAGGTGAAGTATGGCCGTTAGCTTTGAGATATCTTGCACTGGAGGGAGTGTATTCTGGTGCTGTCGCGGAACGCTGCGGTAATCCAGAAGGCTTGCCGCCGCCTTCCTAGGAGATTCAAATGCAGATAGAGGTGAATATTTTTTGCTTGTTGCAATATACAAGTGTCGCTGTCCGCTTTCTTGGATAGGAACCTTCCAGCAGTACGCAAGGGAGAGCAATACCTTTGCCCCCATATACGTTACAGCTCCCATGTCCCACGTTAAATTGGCGTTGACAAGGCTAGGGTACGTGTGAGTGTAGGATGTAGAGGGATGAGCACTAGCAAGCACCTCCATCGCAAGGGATGTCATAGTAATGGCATGTTTGGCACAGTTACGCATGGAGTAGCTCTTCTTATATGGTAGGTCCTTGAGAATCAGAGGGCCATCACCTTCGCGCCCCAAGACAGACACGACCCTTGGTAAGCGTTGCGAGCCTGCTTCCAACAAAGGGAGCACGTTGACGATAAAGCGCATGCGAGAATAGTAATGAGGACTGAGCTGTTTCTCCAGCCCCTCCGCCGTTACTGTAACATTTATCTCAGTATTTGGCAGACGATCGTCAAGGCCTTCGAGGCCAAAATGCCCTTATCTATCACTCAAATTCACCTCCTTTCGAGATTCCAGTGCTAAGGAACAAAAGATCCACCTCCTTCTCTTTTACCTTGATCTCCTGGCACACCTCATCTACGGCCCGCAACCGAGACACGTCTTTGTTCAAGAATATCATGTCCGCATGCAGATTATGCCCATGTATATCCTGGGAGATTTTAGACGCTTGTTCTTTGTTCCGTCCGACCAGGTAAATGCGGAAAAGTCTGTGCTGCGCAAAGGCCCGAGCTGTTGAGTCACCAATACCGCTGGTTCCTCCAACTGCCATAATTAACTACCAAGGTTCAGGTTGCTATCAACAGCTTTCATGCCATTTTACATACCGAAGACTGCTACAAGGCAATGCCCATAGGTAGTTAGGTTCATGTTGTTTTTGTGTACAGTTTCCAACGTTACTGTATTGTTTGTTGTACTCATCGTCATTTGTTTAGTTGGTGGCGGAACCGTAGCTACGTCCAAATGACACAGAAGGGGATAAAGATAAGGCCGTCATGATTTTGAATTGCGTTATTGCCATCAATTAACGTCGAGTGACTGTATTTCGTTTTCTTGTATATTCCGTTGCGCTCCCCAGAGCCGTGGAAAGGGGTAAAGTAGGTGCGATGAGGATGCGGACGCACGCTCCGCGGCTCTGATTGCACAGCTATTCATGTTTAACGAATTCGCCTGATCATAGAGCTTTGATACTAGACATTATAAATAGAAATCTGCCATTGGGTGCTTTCTACTTCTAGAAAGAGAAAGGCAAATCACGTCAGTACATGCTTGTTGGGTGGGAAGCTTGCGCTTGAGGGAGCGTGGGAAGCTTACGCTTGAGGGAGCATTGCCAATGTAATCTTATTAAGTGATTTGTGGGCCTGGAAGTGATGATTTCATTTTGCGGCCGCATTCCCCGCAAGCATGGGCGGAATCCGCGGAGTTAAGAGTTCATTCGAAAGCTTCAAAAGGAGACAACGAAAATATGGCTCCCATAAGCATAATTTGAAAGCGGGTGGCGAAACCAGATCTTCATATAAGATCCTAAGCACAATCACCTAGTTCTTATTTTCTTACTCCCTCTAGCAGTTCCACCTATAATCGCTCATTATGCCTTTACCTCGGAAGAGTACCTTTTTCCCTCACAAACCCGTATTGACCGAGCAGAACCTCCCTGACCAACAGGGCAAGGTTGGTGACCATCCTCCACTTCGCCCACGTCCAAAGAATGGTTCCAATCACTGACGCGTTATAACGTCAGGTCTTCATCATTACTGGCGGCTCAGGCGGTCTCGGGAAGGAGCTCGCTGCGATACTGTACCAGCACAACGCCAAGGTGTATCTAGCGGCACGGAGCGAGAAAAGAACCGCAGAAGTAATCAAAGAGATCCAGAAAGCTCACACTACGTCGTCTGGTGAACTGCTGTTCCACCCCTTACAGCTGGATGATCTGACTAGCATCAAGTCATCTGCGGAGCAACTCCTCGCTCGCGAGTCCCGACTGGATGTCCTCTGGAACAACGCCGGGGTGATGGTGCCCCCTCAGGGATCCACGACTGTGCAAGGCTACGAATTACAACTGGGAGTTAACAATTTGGGCCATTTCCTTTTTACCCACTTCCTTCATCCCCTCCTGGCGAAGACAGCCGCATCGGCCACAAAGAACTCTGTTCGAGTTGTCTGGGTTGCCTCTAGTGCCGCGGACAATGCTCCCATACCTGCCATTGATCTTTCCAACATGGACTATCATCATGACGAAGGGATCTGGAGTAAGTATTCCCGAAGCAAAGCGGGAAACGTTCTGCATGCTGTTGAGTATGGGAGAAGAGCTGGAAACAAGGGCATCATCAGCATGGTCAGATAACTGCACTCTATTAGTATTGTTGGTTGTCACTGACTACTATGGACAGAGTTTAAATCCAGGCAATTTCGTGACCAACCTTCAACAGTCAATGCCTAAAATGCAACTGGCCATGTTTGTATGTATCTACCTTTCACGCTACATTGAACCCTTTTTTCTTTTCTGAATTAGTCTGACTCTTTCCAGAAACTCATTAGCCACCCCCCAATTAATGGGGCTTACACAGAACTCTTCGCCGGCCTTCATCCATCCATTACTGAAGAGAATAACGGCGGCTGGGGTAAGTATGAAGCCCGATATGCCCTGATATAGAAACTGATTCGCCTCTCCAGTCGCGCCATTCGGCAAATTGGAACCAGTGCGCAAGGATCTGTTAGATACAAGTCTTTGTCGGAAGTACTGGGAGTGGTGCGAAACACAGGTCACACCATACATGTAAGGGATTGAGAAGGCAGTAGCGGGGATTGACGGCGCTGCTTGTTCATCCCAGATTGTTGCAGACACACTTGGCAATACGTTGGGCTAAAGGTGTCAAATTATGAGAATTTATGGTGTCTTACAAATCCCATCACTGGATTGATATTGAACTAGAGCGCTGAATCAGCTTTGAACCGTTGCTGCTCTTAGTGTTGAGAGTGGTGAATATTTCCTAATGCGGGGGCTGGAAGAGGAGAAGTATGCTATGGATTTAGGGGGTTGTGAATACGCTTTAGCAGTACATAGACAAAAATAGAGAAGCGGACAGATTGCGGAAGCTACAGTATGCCCAAGATGGTATTGTGCTCTCTCGCATCTTTCGTGGCTCGACGTATGCTGCTACGTTCGAAGACCTCATCTATTCTCATTGGTTCACTCGCTCTTCTTATAGCTTATCGGGAAGAGTATGCTCTCAGAAGAATTCTGACCCAGGTTAAGAATTCTCATTGGAGTTGCTATCCATGGTTACAATGTGCTTTTCCCAAATCCAGATGAAGACGAATGTGACGTTTACCGGCGACCCTGTTGTGGCGTCATCGGAGAAGGTTTGTACTCAAGCAAATGATCGTATGATCAGAACTCTCCTGAACATCACAATTCAGTCACAAGTAAAAGAGGAATTCCCAAGCCTTTTGGTTCCAGAACCATTCTTGCGAGTTGGAAGAAACACATCCAGCTCGACTTGATTGGGTTTACCGCAATTAATGATGTACAAGCATCCGTGGCGTGCGCCTCTCCAACAATCGCAACGACTAATCGGAGTACCATTCCAAAAGAACACTCATGGTCGTAAGAATCACCATACCTATTTAAGCTCCGCCTCAAAAACTCTCCGTCTTCCCCTCGCCCTCCCTCGGCTCGATATTTGTGCTTTCCTCGACGGCAACGATGCGAGTCTCATGCGGAACATTCGAAAATAATTAACAGGAAAAGATCATGCGATTGATGAGCGTTCATGAGAGAATTGATCTCGCCCATCCGTTGGCTCTTTTGATTGCAAGACGGTGCGAGTATATTTTCTGATCAATTGATTTGCCGAAGACATCATCCGCCCTGATGAAATAGCGTGAACCTCACTCACGCCGGGGTTTTGTCGGAGATGGGTTCAAGTGTGGCGGAAAATAGATGAAAATTGTAGGTGATTAGCATCCTTAAATAGTCATCTACTATGTTATAACAACCGAAGCACTGACGGCCTGAAAGTACATTGTAAATTGGCCCTGGACACCAGTGCTGATTTTGAGGCTATGTGCAGAGTTGCGGGACCCAGTGGAGTCAATGGAATGAAAACGGTTGCGGAAAGCAGCAGAATTGAATATCGCGAGTAGCCTCGTGAGCATCACAAGGTTCACACCAACCAATGCCAATATTAGGAAGATAAAAGCACTGGAAAGAATTAAACGAGAACTATTTCTGTCAATGTATATTTTATTTGAGAAAGACTTTGACTCGTGTTAGGGCTGTTCAGATGGCCTAGTAGCTTTTCAATATGGCTTGATGAGATTGGTATAAACAATCTGAACGAGCAGCAACGGGGTGTATCACCTTATAACAGGAGTAGAAAATTGATATATGCATGTTGTTTCGCAAATGGGGTATTTCCATGATATTATGTGACAATCTTGCTATTTAGGAAATGTTAGGAATACATAAAATGTCATAATGCATGAAAATGGATACGGTCTGAATTCGTCGTGACATGATTCGATCGCGCTCGTTTAACGAGTTGGGATAAAATGCTTGGAGTCGGACTGTTGCTGGCTGAACGATTCGGGGAATGCTGCGATACCACCGATGATACCGATAGCCATGAAGCAGAGAGAGATCAAGGACCAGATGACACCCCAGCACTGGGAGGAGCCACCATACTTCTTGGCGAAGACGCTAGCATCGGAGGTGTTGACTTTGCGTAGGATGAGATCGTCACACTATGACAGACTGTTAGCGGGGTCTGTAAAGAGGGCTTGCTTGAGACTTACGATATCCCAGACACTGTACAAAGCGGACATGACACCGATGAAGAGCTAAGCAAAAATGGATTAGCATAATTAACAGATGACGAGGAAGTATATGTGACTTACCACAACCCAGCGCAAGGCTTCACCATGGGCAATGAACCAGCATGCCACCAACAAACCAACCGCAAGAAGGATAGTCAGGATAGTCAACCAGTCCCGTCGCGCCCACCAAAGTGTAAGCAAGAAGCAAACACCCAGAATAATACTGGCAACCTTGCTAGCCACAATATCAAAGCCGGCAAAAATCAAGAGCGCGCCGATGATGGATGAGCCGAGATACCCAGCGGGCAAGGTGATCGCACTGACACCACCCTGCATATGGGTGACACCACCTTCATGGGGATCGAGGGAGATGGATTTGACTTTTCCACCGGTGCAGCAGGCAGTGATCGCATGGCCGAACTCATGGAACGCAATCACCAACATCTGTCACATGTTAGTCGCAACACAGGAGAGTGGAGAGGAGAAAGGGTTGGGTACTTTGAAGGGCCATAGTGACCAGCGAACATATGGCAGATTCCATAGTAGTGCGATGACCACGACATAGACGGCCATCACCCCCAGAGTGATGGCTTGAGTATGGTTGACCGTCAAGCCACGACTGGCGAGTTGATGCGGGGCCGTTTCCACGCTTCGGGCTAGCGCTGCATATAGGGCTGGCATGGTGGATAATAAGTAGAAGGGAAATGTGAAAGAAATCAGCAAGGAAGAGTAGTTTACTCAAATCCTATTTATGAGAGTTTATGAGAGTTGACAAAAATGAGATCCGCGCGTTGTAGGGATGGACGCGCATGTTTGTGTGGCTGGTGTGGTGCTATTTTTAGCTTCTTGGCTTTGTTTCACTCCCTGAACCATAGGGCTGAATTGCCACAACTTGAGCAAATACAGTACGGAGACTGGAGGCGAAAAGACATGTATGATATTTTATATAGAAAGCTGATCTATATAAACGTAGATGAAGCCATCGGTATTAAAGCTTTAACGCTGTTGTTTGCGGCCCACGCCGTATTCGAGTAATATAGGAAATATATCGGACCGGTTATCTTCAACAGCGCGATATAACGGCGACGGGGCATATCGCTTTAGATCAGCACCACGCTGGAGCAGAAGCTTCACTATTGCCAGATTCCCGAACTACATCGCAGTAGAAGGGGGCGGGTGGTCAACCTCCACAGCATACCGCCACTTATCAGTAAGTTGCAGATAGAGGCATGGAGCGCGATTCTTGCGGTAGAAATTAGGTTGTGCACCCAAATCAAGCAAAAGGGTGACGGTTTCGGTAGAGTCGCTCTGGAGTGCCTCTACGAGAGCGTGCTGAATGTTCACAATACTCGGTATACTGTGCTCCTTTCTCTGTTGGTAAAGAGGGTGGTGTAGATATCCTGCCAGTAAGGATCCGTGGGACCCCAACGACCATCTCTTCTTCTTGGAACGAATACTTCTTCTTCGTCGTCAGCCTCATCCTCGTCTTGCGCTTGCTTTACAGGCTCTAAGCCGTATGTGGTTAGTGCCAAAAACATTATTCTCGACAATTCCAAGGTTGCTACTCATGGCACGTGATAGCAAATGCTTTTACTCCTTTCCATCTCTCATCCGGCCCAAATATGAGGCCTCGGACCTTCACTGCGACCTGCTAGTGCTACCACACCCCGCAAATGCGGGGATGGAAATTGGGATCAACCAAGATTGAGCCGTTTACCCGATACTATGGCAAGCTAATGGAGAGTAACAAGAATGCCAATTCTTCATTCCGATTCCAGGTACTTTACCAATAAATCTGCACCTAACATGAACTCTTGCCATCCTTGACCTTTCCAAACCCAAGGCCACAGTCAACATGGTGGGTGTTCTACCAGTCTTGGTCGCGGGACTCGCAGGATGTACATGCGCCCAGCCAAAGGGAACAAAACATCGCAGCACAGATTACCATGAAAATGCAGGTGTTCTTAACTTCGTTAATCCCCTTATCGGCACTTATGGAACAACCCCAAATGGTAATGGCGGTATGATCCCATCTGTCTGTCCTCCGTTCGGAATGACGCGGTGGACACCCCAGACTCGCGAGAATTTCATTTCTCAGGTTCCCTATGGCGACAGTGACCGCCTCATTCACGGATTCCAGGCTACTCACCAACCTGCTATCTGGATGGGTGAAGCTGGTCAAGTTGTCTTGACGCCAGGTATGGGTGATGTTCAACCATTGTTTGAGAATCGCGGGTTGGAGTTTCGGAAAAAGGATGAACGGAGTACGCCGTACGTCTATGAGGTTTTGGTAAACGCCACCCAACTTATGGATCGTGATTGGAATGCCACGGCCGAGGCTGTTGGTGACAGAGTGGTTCCCGGGGGTGCTGGAGCCGTTCCTGATGAGGTCAAGGAGGGTGCTAATGGACGGACGCGAAAACGTGAAGTGGAATCGACTCTTCGCGCTCAGTCTGATGAAGAGTATGAGCGATCTATTCAGGTAATTATTCCAATTATGATTTGTTGCCGGGGATGATTTCTGATGTCTTCTTTTAGATTGCCATGTCGGCAGATGCTCACGTTGGCCACCTGCGCTTCGATTTCCAAAGCGCCGATGGCGAAGCTCAGGACCCTTGGGTGTTCATTCAAGCTTCCCGTCGGAACTGGACTGGTGAAGTCCACATTGATGCGAAGAATAAAGAGATCTATGGCTACAACACCGAGCGCCAGGATTACCTTCTCGGGCCAGACAAAGCAGCTTCATTCAAGGGATACTTCGTGTCCCGATTCTCCGAGCCTTTTGTCGAGTATGGCGTCACGAACGGCGGTTCTTTGATGGAGAATGAGAGCCAGCGACATGGAAACTTCACTGGAGCATATGTGAAATTCAGCAGCAAGACATCGCGCGTAGAAGTGCGGACGGGCGTTTCATATGTCAGTATCGCCCAGGCTCGGAAGAATCTCGAAATTCAGACTCCGGATGGACACACATTCGAAGACACCGTCGACAAAGTGAAGTCTGCCTGGCTTGAGAAGCTGGGTCGAGTTTCCATCAAAGGCATCAACCATACCGATCCAGACCATGACCCTCGCACTATCTGGTATACCGGCCTGTTTCATGCACTCCAATATCCTAACGACTTCTCCGAACCTACATCAAAGAAGGATGGCGCCCCGCGAACCTTCTACTCCGGCTATACTGATAGCGTCCACACGGAGAACGACTCATACTACCAGTCCTGGTCAATCTGGGATACATACAGAGCCGAGCACTCACTTCTTACCCTCTTCGCCCCGGAACGTGTCAACAGCATGATGCGCTCGTTGCTCCGCATCTTTGATTGGACTGGCTGGTTGCCGATGTGGGCAAACCTCGTCGAGACGAACATCATGATCGCGACAAATGCAGATGTAGTCCTGGCCAATGCATTGGAGCGCGGATTCAGGGGATTTGATATTGCCAAAGCTTGGAAAGCCGTCAAGAAGGATGCATATACCCCGCCTGACCATGACACCGAGCTGCTCTACTATGACCGCGAGCCGGGCACTTCGTATGAGGCTCGCGCTGGTCTCACAGCATATATGAAGCAGGGCTGGGTATCGAACGATGGATGGTCCGAAGCGGGTAGCCGAACGTTGGATTACGCTTTCGATGACTATGCCTGTTCAATTGTCGCTACGCATGCCGGAGCGGACAATGCCACCGTGAGCGCACTGCGCGAGCGAAGTGGAAACTACGCTTATATCTGGAACAACGAGACTCAGTTCATGCAAGCTCGCAATGCGAACGGGAGTTGGGCGGATAGTACCTGGGGCTGGACGGAGGGTGATGATTGGGTATACACCTTCGACGTGATGCACGACGTGAAGGGTCTAGCTAGGCTGTTCGGTGGACGTGAAGCTCTGCGGGACAAGCTGAATGCCCATTTCAAGGGTGGTCATAATGATCATACCAATGAGCCGAGCCACCATGTGCCTTACCTTTATTCCGTTCTTGGATACCCCAACCAGGCAGCTGAGACTATCAGGGAGATTGCCTGGTCGAACTATAATACCACCAGTGGTGGACTGGGCGGCAATGAGGATCTGGGTCAGATGAGCGCTTGGTATGTTTTCTCGGCTTTAGGTTTCTATCCTGTCAATCCCGCCAGTGACGAGTATATTGTTGGTACACCACTTTTCGAACATGTGTCCATTCGCCTTCCCAGTGGAGCGAGCACTGGCGGACAGGTTGTGAAGGGCAAAGAGCAAATGCTGGAGATTGTCGCCCCGGGCGCATCTACTATGCCGTATATTCGGAGCCTGAAGGTCGACGGAAAGGCCGTTACCTCTCCAGTCTTGAAACATGGCCAGATCGTGCACGCCAAAAAGATTGAGTTTGAGATGAGTGCAATTCCAACTTCCTGGGGGAACCTGCCATTATGGTGAGATTATATCTCAGAGATGGCGTCAAATCGACAGAAGTCCCAACAGGGGTAGAAATAGCCAACGCCAAGGATCATGAATAGTGGACAGGATAGCTCGTGCGACCATTGTTCGCCACGAAGTTTTACCCCTTGGCATGCACAGCAAGCCCCATTCTCTTGTTAATTTGGTGTTTTTGTTACTCCGAGAAGTTGATTGGTGTCCCCACATGGATGTAGAATCACATCATTCCTTTGCTCTTTGGCAAATCATTGCACCATCATAGATAAGGCTTTGTCTACTTAATAGATCGGACTTTTGACTAGATCTGCATAAATCGCGAATTTCAATTCAAAGTTTCATGCCCTCGCTCCGTTGTGAAGTCCAGTTCAGATATGTAATGTTGAACTATCTCTTGTATCGCTCAGCAAATCACCCAAACAATCTCTTATGCAAGACTTCACAAGATGCGAAAGAGTACCTGCAAACTAGAATACACGAAGGAGCGAAATACACCCCGGCTCATCACGCCATCAAACTTCAAGATGGCCCATGACGCCTGAGCTCAGCCAAGTAATTAAGTGCCTCGAACGCGGGATCTTGTGAGAATGCAGCGATGTATATAAAGTCGGACATTCCGAGTATGTTGCACAAAAATTGCTCCTCCCTCTCATATCTTCCCACCTCCGGCCAATATGGAGAAAGGCACCTTCGAAGAATCTGCTACGCCAGCATCACCTCAATATGACAGCAGCGATAGTGACAGCTTGCAATATACCACCGAGGTAGGTGGGAATACTTCGAGGGCCACATACCAGGAGGCATCGGGTGCTCCAGTCGAGGTTAACTCCCCGTTGGGGTATTCAGTCGGACCGGTGACTGTGATCTTTCTCAATTTGAGTAAGATGATTGGGACGGGTGTTTTTTCGACACGTGTGTATATCTAACCCCCTCTCGGGGTGCCAAGTTAACCTGTGTCTATAGCATCAAACGTTCTCAAAGGCGCCGGCTCCGTTGGCCTGTCGTTGATATACTGGGTTATCGGATACTTGATGGCGTCGAGCTCACTCTCCGTTTATATGGAGTTCGCGTCTTGCTTTCCGAGTCGGTCGGGTTCTGAGGTCGTTTACCTTGAACAGTCGTATCCGAGACCGAAGTATTTCTTTCCTACTGTTTTTGCGATGCAGACTGTTTTGTTTTCGTTTAGTAGCAGTAATGCTGTTGGTATGTTTTTGCTAAGTGACACGATGGGGATAATGCTAACCTTTTGTTTAGTTTTGGCGCGATATCTTTTCAAACTTGCGGATGCTGAGCCTAGTGCTTGGCAATCAAAGGGTGTTGCTGCGGCTTCTTATACTGTCGCTGTACTAGGTTAGTATATGCTGGCTTGATACCGCTCATAATAAGGACATTGTTGCTAATCAGAGGTGTATATATGATGCAGTCCTTGCATTCAATACGAGATGGTCTCTCCGAATCGCAAATGCCATCGGCGTTGTGAAATTGGTCACACTGATATTGTACGAAGCAAGACAGCGCAAATCCCAATAGTAAAATGCTAACAAATAGCAGTATCGGAATCAGCGGATTGGTCGTCCTTGGAGGCCACACCTCGGTGAAAGAACCCAAAGCAAACTTCCGAAACGCATTTGATGGCAGTGGTACAGCTACGGTATATGGAACAACAAATGCGTTGGTCAAAGTCATGTTCTCATATGCGGGCTATGAAAATGCATTTAACGTAGTCAACGAAGTTCGGGTATGTGTTGACACATCGGTCATTATTATGGTCTCGTTGCTAACTTGCCAGTAGAATCCTACTAAGACCTTGCGATGGAGTGCACCGTTGTCACTCGGACTTACAGCGACATTGTACATTTTGGCCAACATCGCTTACTTCAGTGCTGCATCCAAGGAAGAGATCCTTGAGTCGAAGGTTGTTGCTGCTGGCTTGTTCTTCGAGAAGGTGTTTGGAAATAGTGGTGCGGCGACGGCATTGAACTTCCTTATTTGCCTTTCTGCATTTGGGAACCTACTTGCTGTTCTTATTGGACAGTCTCGTATGTTGAGGGAATGTGGGAGGTAAGTAAACTGCATCTCATGCCGACATTTTGGCTATCCTTTTCACATCTGTGATCACTAATCATCTTTTCCCCTGCAGGCAGGGCGTTCTACCGTGGACTTCATTTTGGACTTCAACCAGACCCTTCGGCACACCCCTTGGTCCATACTTGGTGAAATGGGGCTTTACAATGCTGATGATTCTGGCACCGCCAGCTGGTGATGCATTCAATTTCAGTAAGTTCCCCGGTGTTGAAGATATTCAGTGTCTGCCACCTTTGGTTACCGATGAATGCCGGCTAACCTTATTGACAGTTGTGGATATGGGAACATACCCGGGCTCCATATTTTCCTTGATCCTGGCCATCGGACTAGTGATCAGTCGGCAGCGTCGTAAACGCCTAAATCTCGGTGCGCCGGATTACCAGGCTTGGCACATTACGGTTGGGTTTTCAATCCTCTCTAATTTGTACATGGTCGCCATGCCATGGTACCCGCCTAGCACCGGGGCTACTGGCGGCGATGTGAGCTTCTGGTATGCGACATACTGCGCGGTTGCTCTTGGAATGTGAGTTTTTACACTGCCATACAGTGGAGAAGATATAAAATTACTAACGGGTCAAATTGTTATAGCATTGCGCTCTGTGGGGTTTACTATTATGTTTGGATCAAGCTTCTTCCTAGACTTCAAGGGTTTAAGTGGGAGCAGACAGTTCTCAAGTTGGATGGTGGTGCGACGGCTCATAGGTTGGTCAGAGTGAAGAAAGATAGCTGAAGTGATAGTGATATATAGAAGTATAGGTGTTTATGTCACGCAGTACAGAGTATATATCCCAGGTATAGAGTGTGCCATTTTAGCGTTCAACACGTCATTTCGGTTGGCTGAGGAAGGAACAGTTGCCGACGCAAGTGCGGAGTCTCCACACTTTCGCCGACGTTCTTTCCCTCGCACCATCAGCCTAGTCAATGTCGCTATACCCGATGAGCCGAGACATATAGTCTCACCATCGCCCTCATCCGGACTTCTAACATTTTATCTACCATTTATGTGCATGTGATACATGGAGATGGTCGCTCCCCGGATTCGCGGCTATGCGTTTACCAGGAATCGGTTGTCCCCGAACAGCCACACGCGACGACCCGTCGGGACCGTCGGCTGTGGAGTCAATTTCTCCATTAGCGTTGGCCGTGGCTGATTGAGGTCATGGAATGAGCTGATCTTCATCAAAAAATACGGCATGGGTTTCGTTTCATTGGCCCAGGACCAAAAACTTCCGCTAACTATGCGCTATGGTCAAACCAAGTGGAACGGAAAAGGTCCTCAGATGTCATCGAAGATTCTGCAGAACCCAGGGACACTATCGGCAAAGCTTTAAAAGATAAAATGCGCCACAGGGACATTCCTCGTTCTGTTCCAAGTCTCATTTCAACATGCGCTCTCCCAGTACGTGGCTTTGGGCCTCTCTTGTGGTCTCCGCGGCGCCGTCCCTCGCGGTCTATGCCCCATTGAGCCTAGGGAATGGCTTCAAGCTCACTGCCAATGGGAAAGCCAATCATCTCTCGATCACCCAAGATGGTCGCACCATTTGGGACACTGTGCCAGGACAGGGATTCCTCAGTGCCAGCGCTGGGGACGACGAGATCATCTCTGCCAACGGTAACTTCAAGATCAATGAAGTGGACCAGAACAAGTGCACCGGTCAGCAGATCAGCAAGATTGATCTGCGTCAATGGCACGACAGCGCCAATGACCATGCTGCTGTTGTTGAAGGTCATCTCACTGGTTGTGGCGATGCCACTGCTCCTTTCACCGTCGCCTTCTGGGTGCCATCTCATTTCCCCGATCGCATTGCCTTCCGCGCCAATGTCAACTCGAACGCTTCGGATTCCACGAAGCTGTTCCTGACTTACCGCTCTTCTCCTGCTGAGGACTTCTACGGTCTTGGTGGCCAGGCCTCTTTCGCATCATTGAAGAACCAGACAGTCCCCATCTTCTCCCGTGAACAGGGTGTCGGCCGTGGCGACCAGCCAACGACTGACCTTGAGTCTGAGGACAGCTTCTTTGCCGGTGGAGATCGCTTCACCACCTACTCCGCTGTTCCTCAGTACATCAGCTCCAATGCCCGGGTGTTCCACCTGACACAAGAAAGCTCTGCCTACACCACCTTCAACTTCACAGATGCCCGTGCCGTCACTGTTAGATACAGTGGCGTGGATGTTGATGGATACTTCATGCAAGCTGAGAACATGCTGAACGGTATTACCATGCTGACCGAGTACACCGGCCGCATGCCCGAACTGCCCCAGTGGGTGGACACTGGTGCTGTACTCGGTATCCAGGGTGGACAGGTAAAGGTCAACCGCATTGTTAATCAGGGACTCAACCAAACATGTCCCATTGCCGCTGTCTGGCTTCAGGATTGGTCTGGCACCCACTCGCAGAGTGTTTCCTACATGTCTCTCAACGTTTCCCGACTCTGGTGGAACTGGGAGTCTGATTCCAAGCTCTACCCAACTTGGAATGAGTTTGTACAGAACCTACGTGATGACCACAACGTCCGCACTCTCTCATACATCAACCCATTCTTGGCCAACGTCAGCACCAAGCCTGATGGGTACAACTCGAACCTCTACGAGGAGGCTACCAAGGGAGGATACATGATCCAGAACTCCACAATCAATGATACCTCCGTTATTTCCAGTGGTCCTGGCCTTGACGCCGGAATCCTTGATCTCACAAACCCCGCTGGCCGATCCTGGTTCAAGAACGTCCTCCTGTCTCAAGTCTGGAACGCCAACATCTCTGGTTTCATGACCGACTTCGGCGAATACACTCCTATCTACCCCGACACCCGCTTCGCCAACAAGAGCATCGATCCATTGATTTACCACAACACCTACCCTCGTGAGTGGGCCGCCCTTCACCACTGGATCGGTAAGAGTGTTCCCAGCTTCAAGGATGCTATCCTCTTCCACCGTTCATGCGCCATGGCCGCCAACCGCTATATGAACCTCTACTGGGCTGGTGACCAGGACACCAACTGGGGTGTCAACGATGGAATTAAGTCTTCCGTCACTGTCATGGGTCACATGGGTCTGTCCGGTTACGCCCACGGCCACACCGAGATTGGTGGCTACACCACTACTTGGGACAGCAACGGCGTTGTCAACCGCTCCGCCGAGCTGCTCGGTCGCTGGGGAGAACTCTCTGCCATTTCCAGCACAGTCTTCCGTACCCACGAGGGTAACGTCCCTCAGGTCAACGCCCAGTTCTACTCCAACTCCTCGACCTACTCCTGGTTCAGCTACAACGCGCGCATGTTCACCAGTCTTGCCGCCTACCGTCGCCGCATCTTGGACACCGAGAGCAAGAAACTGGGCTGGCCCTTGCTCCGCATGCCCGTTGTCTACCACCCCGACGACGTGAAGGCCAAGGCAATCAGCTACCAGAGCTTCTACCTCGGTGCCGATCTGTACGTTGCGCCTGTCCTGGACCCCGGTCACACCAGCGTCAGCGTCTACTTCCCTGGCAAGAACCAGACCTTCACCCACGTCTGGTCTGGCAAGAAATACCACGGTGGCCAGACCGCACGGGTATCCGCACCCTACGGAAAGCCTGCTGTCTTCCTTGTCAACAACACCAAGAACCCCGACTTGGATGAGTTCCTGCAGTTTGTCCGAAAGGAGAACAGCACTGTGATTCGTCCTTAATAACCACGATGTGCTCACGAACATCATTCATACCCTCGATGTATAAAACTCCGAAGCCAGGCTCTGAGACATGTCGAAGAACCGGTGTATGTATTTAGAAATGTCATTTGTAAATCTTTTCCCTTCAAAGGCAAAACCCGAACGGAGAATCGTATCCTCACTCACAATCAAGCCCGATCGCCTTGAATCCGGGAGGCTATAGATCGGCATGCTCCGCACCTTCTTCTGGAATGTTACATTTCCCCTCATTTCATAAACAAATATTCAAGATTCGGACCATGTCGCACCGGCTCGCTTGCAATTTCACCGTCTGGCAGTCGGTTGTCGGCTATGTATTTACTTAAAACGGCAATGAACCGAAGGAGTGAAGTTATGTTGTACATATCTAAGGATTGCCGACAAATTTATCACCATGAGGTTACTCAACGGTATACTTTGTTTGTTGCCAACCGCAATAAAGGCATGGGATACTGATGAACGTGAGTGCTCTAACAAACTTTATTCAATATAAAATTATGAAATAACGCGGACATTCAGTCGTCCCATTTGCATACGAACCCTTACCACTTGGAAGTATAACACCAAACGGATGGCTCAGAACAGAGCTCGAAGCCTCCGCAGCAGGACTAGGAGGGTAAACAAATGCCCAAAATAAAGTCCTCTAGCCTCGAAAAGGCAACCCACTAACGAATAACAGCCATCTATACGACTTTTACCGCTACGTCGCAAACTCCTCCTGGATAGGCGGCGACCAAGAATACAGCAAACTTAACGAAGCCCTCCCATACTGGCTAAATGCCATAGTCCCACTATCCTACACACTCCAAGACGACTGTCTAAAAGCCGATATCAAAACAGTTGTCAGCAAAATCCTCGACCTCATCCAACCAGATGGCTGGATTGGACCTGAGACTCTCGAAGCGGGGAACCGTCTCATCTGGGCTCGAACGCTTGTCTTTCTAGGATTGACGAACCTCGTCGATGCCGATCCGGAGACCTATGAGGAACCTATTATCAACGCCCTGTTTCGGTTCAATGAGTTGATGAATTCAATGTTGAAGAATAATGGTACGGGGATGATCTATCACGATGGTGATAGGGCTAGTGCGGATGATTTCACTTGGTTCCGGTCTAGGTCGCAGGATATGGTTGTTTCATTGCAGTGGATGCTTGATTATTATCCGGGCAATAATACTGAGGTTCTGAGGGAGAATATTCGGCTGATTCATGAGTATTCGTTTAAGTGGGAGGGGTGGTATACAGAGGGGAGTTATATTCGGGAGGATCTTAATTCTGTGTCTCAGGAGGTTGCTGATCGGGAGTGGCCGTTTTTGCATGGTGTTACTGTTGCTGAAGGTATGTTTTGATGCGTGTTGAGAGAAAGTTGAAGCTAATGTGTGATGTTGCAGCTTTGAAGTATGCTGCGGTGTTCAGGCGCTCTACTCACAATGATAGTCTGATCACTACTGCCAAAAATGGGGTATGCTCACAAGGTTCTCAAATTTCAACTCTCCCTGGAGTTATCGCTAATATCTGCAGGTTGACTGGACATTCAAATATCACGGCTCAGCTTCTGGCTCAATCCTAGCTGACGAGGTGAGTGAACCTGCCAAAACTCAAAGTTAAGTGGATAAAGCTGACACAAGACAGCGTCTCGCTGGGCTGAATCCATTCTACGGATCAGAGCTCTGCACCGACGTTGAGACAATCTACTCACTTGCATACAACTACTTCGCAATTGGTGACCCAGATTACGCGGACCGTACGGAACTGGCAACTTTCAATGCTTTACCAGCAGCGATGTGGCCCGACTGGACATCGCATCAATATATGACTGAGCCAAACCAGCCATTTTCCAAGAATCTTTCAGCGTCGCCTTTCTGGAATGTCAATACTGTTGGCCAGACGTTTGGTGTTGAGCCGAATTATCCATGTTGTACTGTCAACCATCCTCAGGTATGATGCCCAACCCATCCTAATAATTAGACAATGATTGCTGAAATACCTTCACAGGGGCTGCCCAAATTCACAATGTACAGTTTCCTCAAGAACGGCAACAACGGACTAGTCCACGCCCTCCTCAGCCCAGGCAAAGTGAACACCAAAATAAACGACAAGGAAGTAACAGTAGATTGCCAAACCGACTACCCATTCAACTCGAGCCTATCATACACAATCAACAGCGAGACGGCCTTCGAGTTCTACCTCCGCGTTCCACAATGGTCAACAGGAATCAAGATAAACCAGCAACCCTCCCCAATCGACTCCAGGACAGGCCTAACAAAAGTCCGAATTCAATCTGGAAAGACAACCCTCAACTACGATATCGGCATGGATATCCAATCCAGATCCAGAGACAATGATACAATCGCCGTTTACCGCGGTCCAATCCTATACAATCTATACATCGACCCGATAACCACAAGCGGTCCACCCCTCTATTATGATACACAGCAAGAATGGCCAGAAGGGACATATCCACCCCAGATGCAAGATCATTCGATGACAAATGGGACTAAGTGGAACGTGGCTATTGACCCGTCGACGCTGACTTTCCATTCTGGGTCTGGGTCTTTGCCTTCGCCTACTTTTGATGATGGGAAGTTGCCTATGTATGTCACTGTACAGGCTTGTCTGATTGATTGGCCTTTGTTCAAGGGGTCTGTTCCTGCTTCGCCGCCTGCTAAAGAGGATAGAGTTTGTCTTGGAGACAGCTTTGTTGCAACACTGCGGCCGTATGGGAGTTCCAAGTTGCATATGTCTGATCTTCCGACTATTGATCTTGGGGGCTAGGGGAATCTTTTGGAATAAGGGTGATTCCGTTATTTGTCACTTGTGAATAATTGCGGTTGTTGAGGAATATTATGACAATACACTCGATCTTATGTTTGACGAGACTCGTATATGCCTAAAGTTTCTCTGGGGGACCTGGATCTAGGGCGCTTCAAGCTTCAGGAAGGATATGATCCACTCCATTGTGTATATCAATAGACTGGATTTGTAGGAATATGTGAATTGAAACTATAAGCCGACAGGAGTTTTAAGCAACAGGAAGATAGCAACAATACCCGAAATCCAAACCATCTCTTGAGCTTGTACCAAGATCTAGATGGTATTCCTAATAGGATCCTTCTCAGCCCCCTCAATATTCTTCAGGAACTCCTTAGCAGCATTCAAATCAGCTCCAAAGATAGTTTCCGCAACCTGTCTCTGAGGTGTCTCTCCCATCCATTGGAACAGAGAAAAGTCCTGGAATTTATCGGCGCGGAAGATCTCCAAAAGTTCAAGCGGTTCATCGTCACTCAGGTTCTCAACGAAGTGTCCCATGTTTCTCGGCACAATGCCTACATCACCAGCCATGTAGTTGAATGTCCGGGCATTTCCTTCGGCAGCGAAAATCGTCACACGGGCACGGCCCTTCTTAAAGAATGTCCACTCATCAGCGTTGGGATGCCAGTGCATTTCGCGCAGAGCTCCTGGTGCAACTTCCAAGTGGGCTGCTGCCACTGTCTTTGAAATGGGGAAGTTCGTCGAGTCTGTAATGCGAACGCGGCCACCGGTACCCTCAACAGGAGTTTGAGCAAGCATGTGATGGGTGAATTTAATCTTAGACTTCTTGAATCCGCGTGGCTTTTCGTCCTCGATGCTGCCGGGCTTTGAGCCTTGGAATATGTACTTCTCAGATGTTGGGATATTGTCGAACTGTTGGGGCTTGACGCGGAAGTTCTCGGCGAGAACGGCTTTGGGGGTATGGGCTGGACGATGGATTAGTATATAGTGTAACGTTGATCGGTAGCTTGCTCACCCATCCAGTCCGTCAAAAGGAATGTAGACTCCTCTGAGAAGTGGCCATTATCGAAGATCAAGAGGAACTCCGTGCCGTTGGGTCCTAGGCCCTGCAGAGAGTGAGGATGTCCAGCAGGGAAATACCAGAGATCGCCCTCCTCGAGGTCATCCAAGAAACTACCTCCTTCTGTGTCGAGCGCAGTCACTCGTACTTTCCCAGCAAGAACGTAAGCCCACTCAGCCTCGGTGTGCCAGTGCAGTTCGCGAATGACCCCCTCATCTAGGCGCATATTCACCCCAGCCAGTTCACGGCTTGTGGGGAGCTCACGGATGGTGGTTTGTCGAGTCCATCCGCCCTCCTATATTTCGATTAGTTCAACTGATCATTCAGCATGAATATCATCATACCTCAATGCGGATGTGGGAATCGGCAAAACTCCATCGCATATTGGGCATACTTCCGTGGTCGGTGCTCGGCGGGCGCACCAGATCGGGGTTCTGACGTTCACGATCTTTGTTGCGCGGTCCCATCACGCTGGTGCCATCTCCATTCCGGAAGGGGAGTGGCTGTATCTCATCACCTACAGAATCTACTTTGTGATCATACGGATCGCGATGGCCTGGTGAGAACGGTGGATGGTCGGCGATCGGCTGTTGGCCGAATAGCTCTGGATGACCCGGGCGGATCTGGAGAAGTTGCTGCAGTCCATAATCTGGGGCTGGGATAGCTGAGATGCCCAGTATGAACAAGGATAGATATGTGATTCCAAGTATCAACTGCATGATGGGGATGCTTGGCAAAGGTTAAGTACAAAGCAGGGATGAGGTGAGTGTTTTAAGTATAAGGGTTTCTCTCCGCACTTCCGACGAACTCCGACATCTCCAATCTCCAATTTCCAAAGCTTAACCCTTTCCTTCTTTTCTTCCTCTCTTCCTCTCTTCGCATTCCATGTACTTCTTGCTTCGTCTCCACTTGGTGGAGCTATGACGCATCATTTTCCCGTGCGGAGACATATTTCTACATCTGGAGCTCCTTACATTCATAAGGGTCGCGTCTCCCCCTGTTCAATCCATCATGCCTCAAGAAAGCGACCCCCTACTAGGCGGCACCAGGCCTACGGGCCCAAGCCGCCTGTCCAAGCACTTGCGCCGCGAAATCGATCCGGCGCATGGCGACCTCCTACTACTTTTCTGCTACGTCATCACCGGCCTCCTGGACAGCTCCGCAGTGTTTATATGGGGCTCGTTCGTGAGCATGCAAACAGGCAACACCGTATACTTTGGCCTCGGACTCGTCGGCACAGATGACGATCGCTGGATCAAGTCCGGCGTGTCCATAGCTAGTTTCTGCCTTGGCTCGCTATGCTTCGCCGCCTTCCATCGTCTCTTCCCAGCCAGGCAGCGATGGGTTCTCTGTGCATCATTCCTTATGCAGACGTTGTGTGTCACCCTTGCTGCTATTCTTGTTACGATTTATCGACCTTCGCGCGAAGCGCCCTTGAGCTGGCTTGTTCTCGTTCCGCTTGCCTTGGTCGCTTTCCAGAGTAGTGGGCAGGCGGTTACTAGTCGGGTCTTGCAGTTCAGTGGCTTGACTAGTGTTGTTCTTACTAGTATCTACTGTGATTTGTTTTCGCACCCGGACCTTTTGTCTCCCAAGGTGATCCGCCATGCGGAGGAGATGCGACGTCTGGGCGCTGTGTTATGCCTCTTGTTTGGTGTGATTTTGGGTGGTCTCTGGGCACATAGCTCGGTGGGGCTTATGGGGGCGTTGTGGACTGCTGCTATCTTGAAAGGATTCATTATTATTGCATGGTTAGCGTGGAAGGGCAAGGATGAGGAGACCTAGTGCCAGGCGTGGCTGTGCTCAGTCGAGAAAATCGATACTATATTTGGCGAACATATTGACCCCCAAGAAATACGAATGTCTTTATCTACCGAATACATGTTACAAGAACTATGCTAGACTTAAAACTTCCCTAGCGGAGAATCCAAAAGCCACTACAAGAAATTGAAGCCATAGGCATGTGATGTTGGATGAGACGGGCATCGATAGAACCAGCAGCCCGGAAAACATATCGCTTCGATGTGAAGAGATTATGCGGGGTGAGATTCTTCAAGATATGTGCTCAGGCCCCTTCGGTATAGGTCAATTTGGAGTACTTCAGTTGGGGTCTTGGAGAAGGGCCCTTTACGCAAGGGGGCTCGGACTCGCCCGAAGCCGAAGATATTGGGGGTGCAGTTTGGGCTGTCATCGGCAATTATCTTTCAGTGGCGCACGGATCGTTATCCCTCCTGTCCCAGGAAATATACAGGTTTAGCCTATATGATTATCCCTGGATTTACACAGGTTGTTGGTAATATTGATGTGAAGATAGGTGGCTATGGAAATGATGGCATAGTTTTAGCTAGTAGACATAAACGACAATTTGATGGTAGTATTAAAAGTGATACGAACATAAATAACACCACCACCAAGGAAACAAAGGCATTGGTTCGATTTAGCAAAGAGAAATCACAACGCGGGCACCACATCCTGTCAACATAGGAGGATATCTCTGTTAGTTTTTTAGCAATGACATCCGGGGAACAATTTTGGCTCTACGCGATAACTCGCGCTTGATCTCCTTCTTCTAATTCCACTTCGGGACTTCTTCTATTCCGGCCGAAATCTAATTCAAACTTCTGTGGTTTCTTAAATAAGCTTCGCTTGCCTAGCGTAATCTTGGAATATGTGAGTTTGTCGTCATCCTTTTACGGATTCTCCAGCTTGACATCAACTTTCATAGAAGGGCTCCCGTTTCTGCTGCTCCTTGAGAGAGCTTGTTTTACCCCTAGTGCTCTTAGAAACATATGACAGATTCTTCCTCATTAGCATAGCTGCCAATCTCAACCTCATCTCGACGACCAATGTCCTGCTCTTCCTCCTCGTTTTCACGGAGTTCAGAAGTTTCCAGCTCGTCTGCATCGCCCAGAGACTAGAAGCGGCGATTGATATCTTAGATCACAAGTCTATAGACCATATATATTGAGTCAAGTGCCTTGCGCTTCTCCGGAAAATTCTTATTCTCCTGCGTCTCAGAGCGGTCCAGCGGTGACTCGCGGTATATATTGTCATACTTCCCAACTCGCTTTCGCTTTTTGTTAGTGAGATTCTGAAGTTAATTTACTCACTAGCCGTCAGCCTCCCGTTCCAAGTGTAGCATACGGTGCTTCTAAGTCTATCCTCCCGTGTTACGGTGTCCGAATCAACTCCGAAGGTAAGTGGCTTAACACCTTTGTATTAGACCCCGGCTAGGTACAGACCGACATAGGGAACGGCGCTGCGAAAGGGTGGGGTATAGAATCAGCACCGGACACTATTAAGAAGTCTACGAGCGGTATGATTGATGTGATTACCAATAGAACCAAGGAGCAGTACGGTGGGGTCGTCCTCTATAACGGCGAAGTTCAAGATTGGTAGATTGCTCGGGTCAATTTTCTTCATCGGTGATTGGCATATAAGAAAGTTAGAGGTAGTGAATACATATTCTTTTGTGCATCCTTAGAAATCGACTTGGCTGTAAAACACTTGAAAACGGAAAAGAAAAGCCGGTTTGGAATTTGCAAGTCGATTATTTCATACAGAAAAGCTCTGAAGAGATACTTATACGTAAATGCCGGAATGCCTATGTTTAGTGTTATCCAAAAAATAAGTTATCTACAAGGATATGTTTCTATATAAATTCGTAGCTAGCGGTGAAATCGGTCTTGATGTAGGCATCAATTCAAATGTATGTATATTTGCAATAAACTTACACAGTTCCTCGATACATAATCAATACCAGATGCAATAGTTCTTTCAAACTATCATATCTGGAGTGAATCTAAGTTGGCGGCAAACTTATGTCTAGAAGCAACGCAGTCAAGGAAAATGAAGACTGAAAAGATGATAAATAATAAGCTCAAACCTGGGAACTTTCGGAAATATGGGCGCTTTTTCTGTTGAGATTTCACGTAGATCGACGATACCCACATTCCCCAGATTTGGAGTGGGGGACACATCCACCGTATACTAGTGACAATATCCGCCAGTAGCCGGAAGCTTTCAACTCATGACGCATCACCTTGGCACAAGGCAGGGGTCTTATGCTGGAAGCGAATCGTATTTGCACAAATCAGCCATCGTATAATATCCTCGGTCAATGACATCGAAGGCTTCCCCCATCAGGTTTTGAGGCGCAATCAAGCCTTTGCGCCAAAGTTCCATGCCCCTTTGAGGTTCCCTAGTACAAGCCATGCCGTTCTTCCGACGCACTTAGTATCCGATGAACTCAAATTATTTCATCCGTTATAAAACAGACAGATCCGGTTATTTCACATGGTAGCAGATCCTTCTAAGGAATTCGAATGTCCGAGTTGGTTAGACGCCGCCCCATCTCGGATACAAATCCGCTACTTCCCCAACGTGACATCGCGTTAGAGAGGATTTGTTGGACGTGCGCAACGTTGACAACACTCTCGGAGTTACGATCGCTCCGTTCGTACCTGCTATCGCACGGTCACTTATAGCCCTAGGCATCCTACCTCGATAGCGGTCTCGATTTAGACATCCCAAACAGCGGACCCCACGAACATTGCCACTGCACGCCGAAATGGCGCAACAGAACCATGATACACCGCCACGTCTAAACGGAGACAGACAGAATACCTCGCTGGATACCGAAGAGAAGCAAGAATCGGGTCAAAGACCATCTCACGATGAGAATCCATTCGGAGATGAGCTGGAGGGAGAGACAAAGTATCGAACTATGAAGTGGTGGCAGTGTAGCATGAGTATGTCGACTGCAGTTTTTGATCTGATGGACGAACAATATCTGATACCTTCGCTTCACAGTTATGATTGCGGAAACTATATCTCTTGGAATTTTATCGCTTCCCTCGGCAGTCGCAGTCTTGGGAATTGTCTGGTAAGTCATATTCTTCACAGCTGAACAGAGGCTAAAAGGTATCTAGTGCGGTGATCCTTATTGTCGGCCTCGGTATCACAGCGACCTATACCGGCTATGTGATAGGCCAGTTCAAATTGCGATATCCCCAAGTGCACAGCATGGCAGATGCAGGAGAAGTACTGTTTGGTAGAATTGGACTGCCGCGCTTCGGCAGAGAGTTTCTGGGAACGGGCCAGCTTCTCTTTCTTGTGTTCATTATGGGTAGTCATATTTTGACTTTCACCACCATGATGAACACCTTGACAGACAACGGCGCTTGTTCTATTATCTTCGGGATTGTTGGTCTGATCATCTCTGTTATATGTACACTGCCCCGGACTCTGCGCAAGGTTTCGTGGTTGGCATGCGCTTGTATGTGGCATCCCTATTCGTCATTATCCTGATACTGACTATTACCGGGCAGCGTTCGTGAGTATCATTGCTGCATTGCTGGTCACCATGATTGCCATTTCCATCCAGCGTCCGGGACACGGAAAGATAGACGCGACTACAACAGTCAGTTTGGACAATGCATTCTTGTCCGTAACAAATATTGTCTTTGCTTATGGTAAGTATCACCATTTGCGCAGCTAACAGGCTCTTACTGATTTTTGTAGCTGGCCATGTTGCCTTCTTCGGCTTCATATCTGAGATGCGCGTACCCACAGACTATACCAAGACCCTATATCTGCTTCAAGCGACTGATACAAGCATGTATGTGGTTGCTGCCGTGGTCATTTATGTATACGGTGGAAGAGATGTGAAGTCTCCAGCATTGAGCTCGACGAGTCCTGTGACGGCAAAAGTTGCATACGGAGTTGCGATTCCTACAGTAGGTACCCGCGAATTCAATCCATACAATACCTGACACAGTAACCAGATTGTCATCGCTGGTGTGATCAACGGACACGTCGCAGCAAAATACATATATGTACGGATCTTCCGAGGCACCAATCAGATGCAGAAAAAGACCTTGCTATCGATTGGATCCTGGGTGGGGATTACTGTCATACTTTGGGCGATTGCTTGGATCATTTCTGAAGCGATCCCAGTGTTCAACACACTACTAAGCTTAATCGTAAGTCTTTGACCTCCGCTCATGTTACAGATGCTAATCTTATCTCACTCCGCAGACTTCTCTTTTCGCCAGCTGGTTTACCTGTATGCGGATGTCCTGATTGTACTATGAACATTGGCAGAGCTAACATATTTCTCAGACGGACTAAGCGGCATCTTCTGGCTGTTCCTCAATTGGGGTCGATACGGTTCCAACTGGAAGAAAATGGTCCTTACTGGTATCAACTTGATTATCGTTGGGATTGGCGCTTGTTTGGTGAGTTCCGCTTCCCTTTTGGCAATTCTTTTGCCCATGGCTTACTCTCAATATAGTGCGGAATGGGTCTCTGGGTCTCTGGGAAGGCGATCCATGATAGTAACAATAGCTCGAGCTTCACGTGCTCTCATGAGTAACGGCCAGCTTAGAACAGATATCTCGTGTATATGGAAATCAAATATACGTTGCTCCTTTTTGAGATGTGATTTTGATTAGTGCGGAGGTATGGTCCCACTGCGTTTGGAAGGTACATAATTCCACCAAGTATTGCCTCGTCCTCAACCAGCTTTCGAGTCGATCTCGACGTTTCCCAGACGTAAAGCCACTGGTTCGTCTTAGATTTCTTTCGTGTGGATCTGAGTATGACGTTAGCATCTCGTTGTGTTTAGCTGCGAAAACTTCATGATGCAGTCGTTGGGAAGACCTCCTTCAAGTGAAGGCAGGTCTATGACGCCAACCAAGGGTTCAGTGTGGCTTGCAATCATTTTCTGCGAAGACTGAATGGCTGGTGTTGATATCGACGCGGTTGAGGCATATGCTGGATCCAACAGAAAATGACCGCATGATGTATGTCAGCAGTACACGAAAGCCTCGAAGTGACTACACCATTTCGTGCCTTGGTTTCGCCCTACTTTAGCCTCTCTTTTCACGTCTTTTTGTCTATTTTCCAGTACCTCGGGTTGTAGTTCTTTAGAAATGGGGGGTTAATCATGTAGATTATATAAAGGACTTCCTTACATTCTATGACCGTACATAACGATGTCCTCGACTCAATCGCACATGAGTCAGCTCATTTGATGCCATGACGTTCGACGCGATCAGAAGACTACGGTAAACAACAAAATATTAGTATGGGTGTCTAACAGATCACATAACTGGTCATACTCAATTTGGATATTGCTCAGCAACATCTCAACAGCGTGCTCCCACTGTGCCAGGCCACCCAATACCATACCATACTCTCACGAACACGATTCGTGCCGGGCCGAGTATATTGTTTCAATACCTGACAAAAAGCGCAGATCGGAATGCCCTGCCGTGACTCGGCTAGGTTAAAGACACTGGTTAACGAAGACCGTTACGCCTCAAGCACTGGTTTGGAGTTGAATGAGGGTTATCCAGGCGACAAAAATCGACACCCGGATGAGAAAGATCCAACAACTGTGGGATGGAATGATCCTGACGATCGAGCGAAAGATTCGTTCACCATCCACAAGGATGCATGGATCCCACATGACTCTCAATTATTAACACAGCAATAGGAGAAATCTGCCACCTTCCCCAGCTGGAGGAAATGGTTCATCACCATAATGCTCGGGCCAATCTGCGTGACCTTTGCTTCATCAATATTCAGCATAGCAACCATTAACAGCGAAAGACTTCCGTATCTCAGAGGAAGTAATGATCCTAGCAACCAGCCTATTCATGCTAGGCTTCGCCTTTGGCCCAATAATCTTCGGTCCACTTTCCAAATTATACGGGCGGAAGCGACCGATGTTCCTGGGCATGTTTGTCTTTGCAATCTTCCATCCTCGTCGCAGTAGCCCGGAACCTCCAGGCAATCTTCATATGTCGCTTTCTGGGTGGGGTACTTGCCAGTGCGCCTCTTGCCATTGTGTGTCTTCCTCTTTTGGCATCCCGTTGAGAATGCTGTTACTAACTAGCGTGGTCTGGGGTAGGTGTCGGGTATTGTGACCGACATATTTGAGCCAGTAGAGTGCGGCACTGCCATTTCCATCTTCGCCGCTAGCTCCTTTTGTCGGGCCTGTTGCTGGTCCAATCACTGGTAGTTTCATCACACTGTTCTTGGCGTGGCGCTGGACGGTGTATATCACTGCGACCTGGGCGTTTGCGTTCTCGACCATTGGCTTCCTAACCATTCCGGAGACATTTAAGGTGACTTTGCTCTCGCAGCACGCCAAGTGCCAGCGCACAAAGACCAAGAACTGGGCCTTCCATGCCAAGGCGGAGGAGAGCGTTATTAGTACGCGAGATATTGAGTTCCGCTATCTATTTCGGCCTTTTCAGATGCTCTTCCAGGAGCCAATTCTTCTTCTGGTCACGCTGTATGTTGGGATCATCTATGGATTTCTGTATATCTGCTTCGTAGCCTATCCAATCTCGTTCCAGTATGATCGCGGCTGGCAGGAAGGAGTTGCGGCATTGGCTTTCGTGGCTATCATTTGTGGTGTTGCTGTGGCGTGTCTGATCATCGTGTTATTTTCCTTGACACGGCATCGAAGTACCTTGTCTGCACTGGACGAGTCGATACCGAGGAACGGTTAATCCTAATGATTATTGGTGGTGTCCTGGCGCCCACGGAATGTTTCGGTTTGCTTGTACTTCAAATCCGCACATCACTTGGATTCCACATGTCATCTCCGGAGGCTCCTTGGGGCCGGGGTGTTGCTGATCGTCTTGCAGGTATGTATTTTCCTGATCCTGACATGTCGTCTGAAACAAGGCCAATTGAATATCGAGAGTAGTGAAACCCTAACTGTGATCGACAGGGACTCAACTATATTATTGATGTGTCCCCTACGTACGCCAATTCGGCGATTGCAGCCAATTCCTTTTTTTGGTCATGGCTAGGGGCTGGGCTTCCCATATTTGCCCTGCGTATGGTATGAGTATTCCGCGGGCAAGTCATGAACAAAGCTGACTGCATAATATTAGTTGAAAATTCTGGGCGCGCCTTGGGCCATGACTTTGTTGGGATGTCTCACCGCTGTGTACTTCCCTGTCCCCATGGCGTTTTCATCTATGGACGAAAGATCCGATCATGGAGTAAATTCAGCGTGAAGGGGGAATAATCAAGAGTAATCAGGGATTAGATGGGTTCCATCACTGATATCCATCAAATTGGAAGATCTAGAAGGAAACCCTGTCAATAGGCTATACTCTCATCCGGCTTAGTGGTTCCAGTCCGGCACTTCCACGTGAAGACTGCATTTCCGAATGCCGGCACTTCCGACATAGGGTGATTCGAGATCACCAAGTGGAACTGCAAGCCTTGTTTTTTGATCTTGATATTTACAGTAAAAGAAGTGATTATCAACCAGAGGACGTGAAATGGTTGGCTATCACGGGGTTCGATTTGCTGACTCAAGGCTTGGCATGCAGACCACACTCGAATATCAATTTGTTGGCTTAACTTATATTCCTATGTAACTGTGACGAACTTATGGAGAAGTGAGTTACATCAAAGATGATAAACGACAAATATGCATGACACGCGGTTCATGTTATCGTGGCCCGAGGCACAACTGGACTCGCTGGGCTCCATCGGCCGGGTCCGATGTGGAGCAGACCTGTACGCGAGAGAGGTTTCGCTCTGCACTTGCTTGACCAATCCGCTGAGTTGATGCATCTACATGCCGTACCCCGGAATCTAAAAGGGGATTACCGGGGGAGAACTAAGCTTCCTGGGGTAGCAGGGCAGCACGAAACCCCCAACACAGCGTGCCGCAAGCGAGAAATCCGGGGAAACCAAGACTTTTAGCTAATATTATCTGCCGTGGTGACTCTCGAGCACTACATTCTCCACATTTCCCACGGCTTGCCCAGTCCTCGCCAATGGGAGTTGTGATTCTCGGACCCGGGTGCTCTTTGGCCCACACACAACTGGGGCTCTCCAGACTCACGATCGTCCGGCAGACGGCGATGGCCGTTCAAACCTCACTGCGTGTATATATGAACTTGCCTCCAGCCTCATACTGTTTTTGGCGGGGCAATTGGTGTGGCATGATCTCCAAGCTCTAGATCTATCTTCATACATACTTTACTCTTAAGGATATACCATGGCGCCGTATCTTGGCCTTCGAGGGAATGCCCTCCTCCGCGCTGCGGTCATGCTGGTCGTGTGCCCTACCTTTACTTGCTATGGATACAACATGAGTGTGGCCGGTGGCCTATTAACGCTCGATGCTTTCAATTTTCAATTCCCAAGAATGGACACAATTCACACCGAGGGAACTCTTCAACAACAAAATTCCCAGATTCAAGGTCGGTGCATGGTAATACCATATGGATGTTCTTCGCTAATCTATACGCTCTAACAGGCACTGTTATTGCCCTCTACACCGTCGGAGGTATCTTCGGTGCCCTATCATGCGTCTATCTCGGTGATCTCTGGGGCCGACGCAAGGTCATCTTCATCACCAACTTTGTCACTATCATCGGGGCCATTCTCATGGCAACATCCTTCCAATTTGCCCAATTCATCGTCGCGAGGCTGGTTCTCGGTTTAGGCATTGGTGGTTATGTGGCGACAGTACCGGTCTGGCAATCCGAGATCTCACCTTCACACAAGCGAGGATCCAACGTTGTAACAGATGGAATCTTTGTCGGACTCGGTGTGACCCTTGCCTTGTGGATTGACTTGGGTTTCTTCTTCGTTAAGGATAACTCCGTCTCTTGGCGGTTCCCTCTCGCTTTCCAGATCGTCATGTCGGTCACTGCAATGATCTTCATAACCATGCTTCCCGAATCGCCTCGCTGGTTGATCAAAACCGGCAAGGTTGAAGAAGGACGCAAGGTTCTCGCCGCTCTGCTCGATGCTGATGAACACTCCGATACTATCAACAACAACATCCGTGATATCGAGGCTTCCCTCGCATACTGCGGATCCGGATCATGGACCGATATGTTCAAGAACGGCGAACAGCGCCTCTTCCACCGTGCCTACCTAGCCGCCACCGGTCAGATGTTCCAGCAAATGTGTGGTGTCAACCTGATCACCTATTACGCAACTACCATCTTCGAACAATACCTCGGAATGGACGCCGTGAGGGCCCGTGTCCTCGCCGCTGCAATGGGTCTGATGCAGCCCTTCGGCGGCTACCTTGCCTACTACACAATCGACCGTCTCGGCCGCCGGCCATTAATGCTCTGGAGTGCGGGAGCCATGGCAATCTGCATGGCCGGTCTAGCAGGTACAACCTCCGACGTCGCAGCCGACAACACAGGCGCCCTGGCCATGGCGGTTGTCTTCCTATACTGCTTCCAGTTTATCTTCACAGTCGGCTACTCCGGTCTGACGTTCCTCTACGCCGCGGAAATGGCACCTCTCCAGGTCCGTGCCGCTGTCAGCGCCGTTTCCACGGCCACCGTTTGGGCATTCAACTTCCTGCTGGCTCAGGTGACTCCCGTCGGTTTCTCCACTATCGGAAGCAGATACTACATCGTCTTCGCTGTTGTCAATGCAGCCATCGTGCCTAGCGTTTACTTCTTCTTCCCCGAGACCAAGGGTCGCACCCTGGAGGAAATTGATGAGATCTTCGCGCAGTCCAAGAATATTTTCGACCCGCCGCGTGTGGCTCGTGCTATGCAGAAACGGACTGTGCATGTCGGCGAGTCGAATTCTGATGCTGAGAATACTGGCTCCAATGATGATGTCCTCAAGGAGGAAGTCAAGGCGTGAGAGAACTCAACTGACCTTGAACTGTCCGGTCCTACACAAGATGGATGGGTATACATTGGATCAGAATGTCGTGATGAATTTAGCTATACCGGGACTTGTAAATATGACCAAATTCCCGACCGTGTCATAGGACCGGTTATTTTTCTTGAGTTGCCAAATTGACATCTATTTACTTTGGCTTCAGCCTTTCTATTGTAATGTCTTGATATCTTCCCTTTTTGTAGAGTATGTAAATTAAATGGCATGTCGGTCCGAAGGTGCGACCGGCGTCTACTTGGCATTGTTTCAGCCTATGCTGCAGAGTTTCATCTGGCCCAAGTAGTCTAAGACCCGTGCCTTATTTGGGGCAACAATCGTCGATCCTGGACAGGGGCTTTAATTGTGGACACTGTAGTACATGTACGTGAAGTTTATAACTTAGCAGTGAAGCAGATATAGCAAAACCTGAACCCTCCCCGCGCCTCGACACGGAGCAACGTCCAAGTATAGTAATGCACAGAGTATTATTGCACAGGGTCATGTCTATATCAAACACCTGACATGTCTCCGGTTTCATGATGTCCGTTTCATATCCGGCAACTCCCATAGTAGTGGTACTATAAGACATACGAGATTAGTCCAACACCGTGTACAAGAATCGAACTATCACATTATAATTTCAAACTCGAACGATTAAACGAAATGAAGTCATTTGCATGGTTAATCTCCCTGCCCATGGTGGCAGAGGCTGGTGAAGTCCTATGGAGCGGACTATTCGACGCCTCTGCAACCGTTGCCGACTTCGACAAATGTAAGTTGGCACCGCATTACTGTACTATTAGCATGATCACATATGCTGACCGATGAAAGGGTCCTGGTCAAACCAAGTCGGCGCTTGGCAGTGGTATATCCACGGCACCGCATCCACAGACAAGTACCTAGGACTCTCACCAGATCACAAGAACCCAGCCGATACCAGTGAAGCACAAGGTATCCGAATCACAATCGACGGCACATCCTTCTGGAATGGCCAGACAATGGAACGATCCGAGCTCATCCCTCAGACGAAAGCCGATCTGGGAAGTGGACATTTGTTCTACCATTTCTCCTTGAAGACGAATGAGACGAATGCACCGAATCCGAAGTTCGAGCACCAAATTGCTTTCTTCGAGGTTTGTAACTACCCAGTCCTAGTAGGACCTGAGACACGAGACATGGACTAACACGTATCCCCAGAGCCACTTCACCGAGCTGAAATACGGCCTCATGAGCGGCGATTCCGCCAGCTCAGACAATACCCTGCGCTGGTGTGTGGGGGTACTTCACACTGGACGACGCAGCTCGAAGCAGGGAACTGGTATAACTTCGCCTATGACATCGACTTCGATGCGCAGACGGTCGGGCTCTGGGCGTCGAATGGGTCTAGCCCCCTGACGCAGGTCGTTTCGGGTGTTAGTACCTCGGCCTCGACTAACTCGGCGGATTGGCATATCGGCGAGTTGCGGCTTGACAATGGGGGTTCGGACTCGGCTGCGGAGGACTGGTTCTGGTCCGGTATCTTCGTGGAGAAAGCTCCGATTACGGCGGAGGTTGCGGGACCGAAGTAAACATGCAAACACAGACAAACAGATGTGCAAACAAGAACATGGAAGCAAACACGAACAAACATATAGGAATGGACAAACAAAACAAAATGCCAAAACAGGTTGAAAGTATGAAGTCATACAATAGGTTAACTTGGAAATGAAGTGAAGAAAAGTGGAACGTGGAGGTAAAGTGGATGTATCCCATTAAATCATAAGCTAAATCAAAGTCGTTTTATCGTACATTCGTTTACCGGCAGCAGTAACCACCGTCAATGAGCAAATCATTGCCAGTCATGTAGGTGCTGGCATCGCTGACCAGATAGACATAAGCACCCTTCAGCTCCTTAGCGTCACCATTGCGGCCCATGGGGATCATAGACATCCAAAGGTCCTGAATATCCTTAGCAACAAAGTCGGACAGACCAGTGTCGATGTAACCAGGAGAAATGCTGTTCACACGAGCAAAGTCGCGCCATTCGTTGGCGAGCGACCGGGCCATGTGAATACAGCCAGCCTTGGCGACGTTGTAGGAGGTCTGTTCCTGGGGGAAGTTGGCGATGTGGCCGGACATCGAGGAAGTAATGACGAAGCTGCCGGTGCCACGCTGCTTGAAGTGTGCGCCGACCGCCTTGGCGCAGTGGAAGGTGCCGTTCAGATCGGTCTGAATGACTTCTTCCCAGTTCTGGATTGAGCCGTCGAGGACGCCGGCGTCAGCGGTCTTGCCGGCGTTGGCGATGAAGGCGTCGATCTTGCCGAAGTCCTTGATCACTTGCTTGACAAAGTTGTCCACGCTGTCCCAGGAGCCGACGTCGCACTTGTAGGCCTTGACCTTGACTCCGTACTCTTCGGCGAGCTCCCTGGCGTTCTTCTCACCACCCTCGGGACGGGAGGAGTATGTGATGGCGAGGTCAGCGCCCATCTCGGCGCAGCCGCGGGCGGCTTCGATACCCATGCCGCGGGCTCCGGAGGCGCCAGTGACGACGACCACCTTGCCCTTGAGGCTCAAAAGGTCGAGAAGGCGGTTGGCCTTGGGGATGGGGATAGGCATAATAGCGGTTTGGGGTTGGAAAGGTTTGATAGAGAAGAGGTATAGAGAACAGAGGATTGAGAGATTGAAGCTACAGATCTAACTTTCCCTGGTTCATAGCTGGGTTAAATACGTCGATGCGTCCAATGACTTCATGGTCTGGCTATCTCTTAGCGCTGACATCAGACGCTATTCTGGGCAGGGGTCTGCGCCTGGCTCAATCAGGTTGTCTCTAACTTGGTCCCGAGCATCCAGTAAGAATCCAATGGCTTCAAGTTTCGACGGTGGAGACGGATGAGGGTGGGACTGTGACATCATGACTTGCGACTGCTGTCAAGCCTTCCATTCAATTCTTCAATTCCCTTTAAGTTCACCGAAACTGATATCATATGAGCTTCAAGCTTCAATTCATTGCAATTCTGGAATGTTCCCGGTAATATACTTGGGAAAGCTGTTGCTCGGTCAGGAACACCAGAAGGGGGACAGTCGGGCTTTACCCCACTTCCAGGTAAGTAAGTGCCAAGGCCGAGTATACTTCGACCAACACACGACTGCTCATGCATCTCGCCTACGGGGATTTTCCCAATTGAGACATGTCAGACCATGGTAGTCTATCGGGATCTAGTGGAAGCCCGCGGGGAGATCTGGAGAGAGGGTTGAATGACGAAAACGACAATGGAATGGAAGTCGTTGACTCAGCGATGTATAATGAACAAAATGGGTTACTCAGCCGCTTTGAGGGCTTCCAGAAATACAATTTGCAGTGACTTCTCTATTATTTTCTCGTCATGGAAAGTGAAACGAGGGGAATTCCCTCAACTCAGCCCGGGCTAGACGGCCTAGGCCCACCCGTACAGCGATCATCTACAGCAAGTACCTTGCATCATAACAATTTTGACGACTCCTTTCTATCAAGGTGGGAGCTTTGACTTCTTTAGGGTGCACGTACCTCTGCTAACATCCTACTAGAGTCCGATCCTTTTTCCATAAAGATTCTCACATCGGTTATGTGGGCCGTCACCCTCTACGCGGAAGCCAGGATATCGAGATCCATACCTGGAGTGGTCCAGACGATCCAGATAACCCGTAAGGCTAGAAGAACCAAGCCAAACAGAAATAACTAACAATCCCAGATTCAATTGGAGCAAGACCTACAAATGGGTTCTCACCTTGACAGTCTGTTTCATGTCAGTCCCACCACCCATCCGACTGAAACAAAGCTAACAATTGCACAGTTCCATCTTGACCGGTCTTCCTGCAGGATCGTACGGTGCTGGAAACAATTACATGGCCGAACGCTTCCACGTTCAGAATGAGCCCTTTCCCAATCTAGCATGGGCGACAACGTCTTGGAATATGGGTGCTGCATTCTGGCCTCTGATCTTCGTACCATTGACTGAGTCGTCGGGTCGTATGCCGGGTTATTTTGTTGCATACTTCATTCTCGTTGTGTCTCTTTTCCCCTCGGCTTTCGCGCAGAACTTTGCTACACTGGTCGTTACTAGATTCTTTGGTGGCGGCGCTTCTTCAGTGTCGATTAATATTGTCGGTGGAAGTATCAGTGATGTTTGGTATGGTAATAAAGCTCGAAGCTTGCCTATGTCGCTTTTTGGATTCACGAGTGTGGTTGGTATTGCTTTAGGGCCGTTCATTGGTTCTGCTATTCAAGAGATACATAAGAACGACCCGTGGAGATGGTAAGACCTTATACCCTCAGATACTCTATCTGAACTCTACTGATCATAAACAGGATCTTTTATATTCAGATCATCTATAACGCAGCGTTGATCCCAGTCTTCTGGTTGATTCTCCGAGAGACTCGCGCAGACGTGATCTTGAAGAAACGTGCCAAAAAGCTGCGCAAAGAGACGGGTCGGGCTATTTACGCCAAAGCTGATCTAGACAGTACAAGTGTCTGGAAGCTCCTCCAAATATCATTCGAGCGTCCGACACGAATGCTCATCACCGAGCCTGTCGTGACTTTCTTCACGTTGTGGGTTAGTTTCGCATGGGGAATTCTCTTCCTCTTCTTCTCCAGTGTCGCGCAAACCTTTAGTGCAAATTATGGCTGGAGCACATTCCAAACCGGTCTCGTTCAGCTGGCTATCTCGGGAGGCGCTGTGATTGGCACAGTATTCAACCCGATTCAAGACTGGATTTATCTCAATTCTGCAGGTAGGAATCGTGAACGTCCTGGGAGGCCGATTCCTGAAGCGCGGTTGTATACCTCTATTCCTGGCAGTCTTTTATTTGCCGCTGGGCTGTTCTGGTATGGTTGGGCTAGCACTGGGAATGGGTCTATCCATTGGATTGTGCCGACGCTTGGAATTGGTTGTACTGGTGTCGGGATCTACTCTATTTACATGGCTGTGATCAATTATCTGACTGATGCTTATGAGAAGTACGCGGCTTCGGCTTTGTCGGCTGCTTCGCTGGGTCGTAATAGCTTCGGTGCATTCCTGCCTCTCGCATCGTTCCAGCTGTTTGATACATTGGGCTATGGTTGGGCTGGCTCTTTGCTCGGGTTTGTTGGTATTGCTCTCTCAGTCGTCCCTGTGGTACTAGTGATCAAGGGTCCGGCTATTCGTCGAAGCAGCCCGTTCATGCGCGAGGCTATGTTCGAACCGGACGACGACGAGTGGGAGAGGGATAAGCAGTCGGAGAAGACAGATGTGCGATGAGTTACTGTTTATCATGTTTGTCTCTCTTTTGCAAATGCTAGAACAGTGATCATTCAGTCAATCTACTGACGAGCATGTAGAGTACATATTATTGGAGGTGATTGGTGGTGTATTTTCTACCCATGGCGTTTCGGAAAAGCAGCAGCATAATTATAGATAAGATATGATATTCAAAGTAACCTGCATATACACCTTTCCCCTCTCCTTCACGATTATTGGAGGCTCGGATCGATCCTTCGCTCTAGATGTCACTTCTCAAATTGGCGTCCTGGATGGGTCTCGCAGTACTTCCTTCTATTCCATCTGGAGTTTAGAAATAGTGTCAGACGCAGGCTGGGCATAATACCGCTAAGTCGTCCCTCCAAAGGGCGAGAGTGGGAAGAGCACACAAACTCATATGTAGAATGAAAAGAGTGCAGCGCATTATTATCAGTTAATTTGAATGGAATTGTTTAACGATAATTGTTGAGATGGGGGGCGCAGGTCAACCGGAGATATATATAATTTTACAAGAGCTGAAAAGTGGAACAAGTACCTGAGTTATATATTCTACGCAATGAGGTATTGTCATGGAGACACAGACGCCCTATTGGATTGAACGACCCTAGAGTCCATGAAAAACTCGTCGGTCCGGTGGGAGGGCAGTGTGAAGGGACAGGCTGGAATGCTCGGACAGTATATGAATCAACCTAATACCGTGCCAACCAGATCTCAAAGCTAGTCTTTATCATCATTCATCTTGTTTTATTATGTCTACCAGGTCATATTGGGGCAATCTGACTGTTTTGCAGTCGGCTTGTACTACATGTACATGTCGCATCGAGGATTTGACTAGGTGCAGGGCCCAACAATAACAAGCAAATCCTTGTGCTTGATCCCTGAAACACCAAGAAGCATTAAAGAGCAACTGGCATAAAGGTAGCATGAGTGCTATGGATGTATAAGATTCGAGGATTCGAATGTGCATGTCAACGTGAGGCCAGTAATGCCAATGCATGTCGAAGAAGGAATCCAAAAATGTACCAAAGATCCTCAATTTCTAAGCTAAAGCAAGCAAATAAGACCATGTTATCAGTCCTCCAATAAAATATAATTCATTTGTGATTTGGTTAAATTTGGGCACTGCACTGCCGCCCCTAACTCGAAACATGAAGAGATCAAGTGGATATCGGCGACCAACCATTTTTAGATTGACGCCCGAAGAGGATTGAGTCCTCTGGTCTCGTACCTGCAGCAAGCATAGGCAGACATATCTCAAATGGTGATGATGCATGTCTATGGCTCTTCCCGTCACAACGCAACGCGCAACGCAATTGTCACCTTTCAACCACGTAACGCAACAAACTACAATCAATTAGCAATCTTGGAAGTCTGCAATACAAATGTCATCATAATCGATGCCTCGGAGCAATTTCCCCGCTTAATAAGCCCCCAAACAGGCCAAACAACTTGGAGAAGTCCACGAATGCTCGTGGCGGAGGTGGCCATGCTCCGCTGAATCAGCCACGCGTCGCAATCCCCAGGCAAAAGTCGAGACATCAGACGTCGACCTTCAAAGGCCGCCCTAAATGACATTCTTTCGAATCAAACAACGATGATTCGTCCTGCCCCGGCGATCCCTGCTTGAATCGATTAACCTCGTGGGGCAAAAACACCCAACTCCCGACTTTTTCTAGGGGTTGACGCGGCGCCAAGCTGCTTCTATCCCCGATACGCCCAGAATCACTGCCAGTCAAGTCTAAGGCATTGGACATGCAGAAAGCCGGTGCTTTCACGATGCTGTTAATCTGCCGAATGGACACGCGTCAGGAGACGAGGATGGCAAGGAGAGAAGGGTATAAATCCAGACTCTCGCTGTGCTGGATATGAAGAACTATCAACACAACACATCTTGGATAATCGCCTCTCAATCATGGTCCAGCTTTGCAAATTCCTCACCGTGGCTGCTGCATGCTTGGCAGCTCCCGCCATCGCTCACCCAGGCGAGAAGCATGATCCTCACCACGTGAAGCGTGAGGTCCACGCTCGCGATGCCATGGCTGCCCATGCCAAGCGCTCTCTCGGTGCTTGCGAGAGCACCCTGCACGCCCGCGAATTGAACAAGCGGAGCATTGCCCGTCGCTCGCGCACCGTCCAGAACCTGCGCAAGAAGCGCGGCATCACTGCCAGTAAGCATACCTTTGATTCCCTTTGCTTCAGGATGCATGCTTACCCGTTGCAGCTCCTCAGAAGTGGCGCCGTAACCTTGCTGCTCTGGAGAAGTGGGAGGCTATTGACCATAACCGCACTGGCATTTTGGATTATAGCCCCGCGACTCCTGAGTCTATGGTCTTTGCTGCTAATACTAGCTGCATTCTGTCTCCTACCGTCACTGACGGCCCGTACTATGTCTGGGGCGAGGTTGTGCGCCAGAATGTCAAGGAGGACTTGTACTCCGATGGTGTCGATGTTTTCCTTGAGGTGCAATACATTGATATCAACACCTGCAGACCGGTGCAGGGTGCGCTGGTTGACATCTGGCAAGCCAATGCCACCGGTGTATACAGGTACGCATCATTCCCATCCCTGCCTTACAAGAAACCCGTCTAACGAATATATCAGTGGAATCTCGGAGTCAGGCAACTACGCCGCAGATGGCTGGGACTCGACCTACCTACGCGGCATCCAACAAACAGACCGCGACGGCGTAGCCACCTTCGAAAGCATCTTCCCAGGCCACTATGAAGGCCGAGCAACCCACACCCACCTCCTCACCCACCTGAACGCAACCCTTCTCCCAAACAAGACTCTCGAAGTCGGCACCGGCAGCGTCGCCCACATCGGCCAGCTCTTCTGGAACGAGGTCCTCCGCTCCGCCGTCGAGGATACTTACCCCTACAACACCAACACGCAAAGCATCACCACCAACGCTGAGGACATGTGGAGTATTGAACAGGCAGATAGTGCTTATGATCCCTTCCCGGAGTATATCTACCTCGGTGATGATCTGAATGATGGGTTGTTTGCTTGGATTCAGATTGGTATTAACGCTACTGATGATTATACGGATAATTCGTACTACTCCATCGCTGCATACCACGATGCTGATGGTGGCCATCAGAATTCTGATAGTTCGTTCGGTGGAGGCAGTGGTGGTGGTGGTGGTGGTGCTCCCAGTGGTTCTATGTCCATGTCCATGGGTGGCTCGCCTACTGCTTCACCTAGCGCTTCTGCTTGAGCTTGAGACAAAATAGGAAGTCTCCTCGATTGTTCTAGGGTTCCCGGGTGAGTTGGGGTTGCTCCCGCGGGGATTTGACCCGTTCCGGATGACCCGGTTTCATCAGTGGTGTACTGTACATACGAGAAATAGTGTGAAGATATTCTCTATTGGCTCTAGTTTATTTTAACTTCCAGTCTGAACTCTCCTGCTTCATAGCATACATGATCTGCATTGAAGTGCAATAACCCGTTCCAACATAAGTGAGTGGCGGCTACATCGATATAGTCAGAGGAATAGACGCGCACGGTTCGATGGGATCAGATCTATGGTTCCCAGCGACACTAGGCCCAAAGGGGAAGGTAGGCGAATGAGATGATATAATTAGCGGATGGTTCTCCGAGGTTAAGACTGTTAGGCAGTTTGGCGCGAATTAAAATTTGGCAGAATTAAGTTTGCAAATGTATTTGGAGCTATACCCGTGCAGAAACCCAAAAAAAAAGAGAGAGTAAGCGACAAGTTTCGACTCCACCAAACCAGATCCGCCGACAAAGCCCGGAGCTTACAGCCTAGCCAATCACCGATCGGCGTCGCTTAGACTTTTCCATGGTTCGGGTGGCTGCGCCTATCCCGTGCGCTTGAAGCTCGAAAGGAGAGGAGAATACATGTACTGTAAGACACTGAAGGCGAAACAGGAGATGTCAGTGTTTCCTGTGTATGACGCTCATCTTATCCATATGTACTAGACCGAAACATAGGCATATGCAGACTCCTGGACTAGGGGACTAGACCAGACCGGCTACAATACGATACGGCGCAAAAAGTGGCGATCCCATCGAATAGACTCGACCGTATAGATCCCCCCACTTCTCACGGTCTACCACAGGGGATTTAGAGCCGTCTGATCTTCACCAATGCACCTCTCCCTTCTCTCCTTCAACCTGCGGATGGGATTCCCCATACCCTCTGCTTGACTATGGATGTCGCAACTCTCGATGCAAGCCGCAGCAGGGCTATTCTGATTGTGACTTCTGTCTTCCTGGGTATTTCGCTTATTAGTGTGGCACTCCGCGTCTTTGTTCGCACGCGCATTGTTCGTGCTTTTGGGTGGGATGATAGTATTATGGTGTTGGCCATGGTGAGTACATCTCCTCCATTACCTCGATTGGGACCATGCTAATTGCATACTATTCGCATAGGGCCTCAACCTCATCTTCGCCATCTGTGGTATCATAGGAAGTAAATATGGAATCGGTAGGCAATTGGCCTATTTCGTGCTTCATCCGGACTACTTGCACCGCGCATTACTGGTATGACTATACCCTCCTCGGATCCCAATGGAATACCGACTCACATTACATCAGTGCTGGTGGCTCGGCCAAATCTTCTACGTCTTGACCTGCGTCGTCGCAAAGATCTCCATCATCATCGCCCTCCTCCGCATCACCGTCGATCGCATCCACGCCTACATTCTCTACGCCGCCATGGTCCTCGCCACTGTCGTTGGCCTTGTTTTCTTCTTCTTCACTATATTCCAATGCTCGCCTGTCAACTTCTTCTGGAATCAGATGCAGCCCGGCGCTGAGGGCTCGTGCGTTAATAAAGATACCCTTATTGGCATTGCGTACTTGTACAGTGTCGGCGCGGCGGTCACTGATTTGACGATTGGTTTATTGCCCGTGGCGTTGATCTGGAACCTGCGCATGAATCGCCGCACGAAGGGCGCTATTGCTGGGATTTTGGGTATTGGTTGCATGTTCGTTTCGGCTATTCCGATTACCAGGGTGTTTTCGCTAATTTGTTCTAGTGCGAGTGCTGCGGTTATTGTTCGCATTCCGTTTGTTCATCATTACAAGGACCAGGAATTCCTGTGTATGTCCCATTATATCCGGATGATTGACATTGACTAACGAGATCAGACAACACTTACCAAATCTCCATCTGGTCCAACGTCGAAGCAGGCCTCGGCATTACTGCGGGTTGCCTCACAACCCTCAGACCCCTCGTCCGCTTTCTTCGCGACGGCTCCTCGAGCCATAGCCGAACGCCTCGGTCCTTTCCCCTTTCCGGTAATGTCGCCGGTTTTCATCGCTCGTCGCGTTCACACTCGAAACTCGCCTCCCAGCATGATGCCAATCAGCTCTGGACAGGGAGCGAACATGATGACCATGGCGTGACTACGACGATCATGGGTTCGAGGCGGGCTAAAGCGCACAGCAGTAGTGAGGAAGATCTCAATCCTTCCCCGTGGAAGGTGGAGAGATCTGTGAGAGTGTCTGTGCGCGATTCATGATATTTTATTTAATTCTATATGTATAATTACGACAAAATACGATGTTAATACCTCAACGCTACTGAGATCCGTTCAGGGGAACCACTTTTATGGGAACGATCATCGAGTGGGGATTAAGCGAATGCACGGCAATCAGGTTTGCCTGTACATCTGGGACTTATTGTAGTGGCCTGTATGGCCACTTGATAAACATAGTCGCAAAATGATCTTCAAATCCAATAATAGGTAGGCAACCAAATACTATGAACTAACGAAGTCTCATTATTGACTAGCTCAGCCTTGCACGTACAAGTCGATCATAGCCTCGCCTGAAATTGCCGACCAACCGCGCGACAATGTCCTGTTTTCGAGACAATAGTCTCGTTCTTTGATACATAACCATTGTAATATTGAATACAGATTTAAAAGAGCCGCACATCTTTCCAACGCCCCAGACCTACGCTATTCCGCAAATGGAAATAGTAAATATTAAATTGTAAACTGTATTTGGCTCAGCAAAGTCATATGAAACGAGCTAATCAACCCATTAATGCAGCGCCAGTCTCGCCGTCGTTTCATTTCATTTCACTTCATTTCATTCTTTTCCAATTTCACTGTTTGGGTTCCTCCGTCTCCGCTCGTACAAGGCCCTCCTGCGACGAGGACGACCCAACTGCATAAGCGTCAACCTTCGTCTGCGCAAACTTGCGCGCGGGGACCTTGGTGGCGAAGAGAATGTCCAGCTCGGCGTAGGTCCGGTCTTTTGGTTCGGGTAGTCTGAAGAACGCCCACACGAATGTAGCCAGCGCTGTCGCGCCCCAGAAGAACCCTGTTTTGCCGGATGCGTTCCACGCGGTCGGGTTCATAAAGTACGGTTCGAGGACTTGGGAGACGACGTTGACGATTTGGTACGCTGTCCGAGCTAGGCAGACAGTCAGCGGACGCAGGCGCACGGAGGACGTCTCTGAGATGATGGCGTAGGCGATTGGGCCGACGGTTAGGGAGTAGGTGAAGAGCCAGAGGAAGCAGAAGGCCGCTTGGGCCCACATTGCGCCGTTGGTGTGCGATGCGGCGTTGATGATGCCGATTAGGAAGAGGATTGTGCAGAGGATTCCTTGGCCCCAGACGTATAGGGTTCGTCGCCCGAACCAGGAGATTAGCCACCAGGACAGGAAGGTTCCCACGAAGGCGACGCCTGTGCAGCCGACGCCCAGTTGGAAGGAGCGGCTGGTGTCCATGCCGGCTTGGGTGAAGAAGTATGTGGGCGAGTAGGCGAACGTGCTACCGGAGAGGATTTGTCCTGCGAAGGTAAGGCAGCAGATCTCTGTGCGGCGCAGGTCAACGCCCTTGAAACAGTCTGCGTAGGTGGTTCCGGCTTCGATTTCGGCTTCGATTTTGATCGTGTGCACCATCATCGCTAGTTGGCCGTTGATCTGATCTTCGGTCTTGCTACCGCCCAGTCGGCGGATACTCCGCTTTGCGTCTTCCAATCGGTCTTGTCGAACGAGCCACCATGGACTCTCGGGTGCGATCCAGCAGATGGCCATCAGTGGAACGGGCCAGATCCATTGCAGGGCGAAGGGGATTCGGTAGGACCATTGGTCTTTTCGGCCGACGAGTCCGTATAGCACGCCTGAGGCGATGAGCTGGCCGATGGCCCAGCACATGTTCACATAGATGGTAAGGTATCCGCGCAAGTTGGTTGGGCAGACTTCTGATGCGTACGCGGGTCCAATGGTTGCGAATACACCCCAGGAGAGCCCACAGAAGACTTGTCCGACTAGGAGGACTGCTGCGGAGTTGGCGAAGACGGTGATGAAGATGAATGCCGTGAGGAAGAACAGGGCAACCACCATTACGATTCGGTAGCCGTACCGGGATGCGCACCATCCATTGAGAATACCGCCTGTGCATGTCAGTCTCGTCGCTGACTGAAGAGTAAGAGGACTAACCAAAGATAGCGCCAACAGTACTGGCCATGCTCAGACCTGTCTGCCAAGGCGCAGAAACCTGCCATTCAATATCACTTCCATAGTATTGTCCATACTTCTTCTGAAACTCGGGGTACGCGAAGAAGTTACCCATGAGGATGGTATCGTATCCCTCCATGACGATGGACATGGAGATGAGAACCGACCACATGACAGCCTTGCGATTCTCCCGCAGGGCCTGCATCAATGTCTGGTTGTGTTCATCGTCACTCGCCTGTTTGGCCTCGATGATGGCGCCGGCGCCCAATGTATCCTCGACATGGTGGGCGGCTGTCTTCTCCAACGCAATCTCGGTGTCAGTAATGGTCGCCATGGCAGAGACAGAGGACCAAATGCGTGGACTATTCTCCCGTAGCTGTAGCTAGACCCCCGGACCGGGGATCATCGTCTATATATGTCGCTGCGCGTTGCGACTGGCGCAAGATCCCCGTGCAGTAGTTCGCTCCGGGGGGATTGTGGAGAAAAGGTTGTCCAAGTTCTGTGAGATTAAAGTCAGCCCATTTCGGGGCTTTCAGGCTAATATGGCCATCAAGGTTGAGGAGAGGGAAGCAGATTCGTCGTCCAACATGTTCGCCGTTACGTCTAGACCTAGACTGGAATGTAGGCTTTGGGGTTGTATTATTTTCGCACCTATCATGGAACAAGAGCCAAGCCAGAGGGATTCATGGAAGAATTCAACCGCTCATTCAGTTAGTGTCTGGGGAAGCGAGGTTGGGGAATGCGAGGGGGCGTTGTGATTGGGCCCTAATTGGATGGCGGCGACGGCCCCGGACGGAAAATGAAGCTATTCCCTTCTTGAAACGGGACACCTGCCGAGAGTCAGTCCAGTGGCACAATAAGATGTAAGGGCCAATCTCACCTTTTTCAAGATCACTCAATTGGTGGTGTCAGGTGTCTACTTTCTGTGCGGTATTTCGGTCCGGGCTATTGACCTTGTCTGATCGAGTTGTGACTGTACTTGCTCAGCACGAGCTTATTTCTATTTAGCCGGTGGGATGGTCAGTCAATATTATTGACTTTCCAGACAATGTGAGTCTGGTTTGAGAGGGATTCATATCGCACTCTGCAATCCCTTGACTCCAAGAATGATCAAATGAAGCCAATGCACCTGTCCAAGTTTAGTTTCTCATTCCAAATTATAGACATTGGCATCCAATTGCCGACCCTTCTCCAATAAATCACCTACTTCAAGGGTGTGAACTATGATGTTCAAATCGACTGAGTGATGGAGAAGCGCGACAATTGAGGCAATGAAGCAACCTGCTCCCCAACCATTGAATTAATCGAGGAATAGATGCCTCAGGACTTCAGCAGATTCCCGTCAAGGTCCGTTGACATTCTAGTACTTTGTGCGCTCTGAATGTAGACACTTGTTATCGCGTGCGTGCTTCAAGAGGCCCCTCAATCATGTGGCTCTTGGTGTTCTATTCCCATAACCCAAATATGGCTGTTGTATGACTTGTAGAAGTCTATCTGCGCCATGCTCATTATGCGAAGAGAGAGACGGGACCGAGCTGAGTGAACTGAAGAATTCAGCAGGAACAAAGTGAAGAAATCGGTTGTAGCGGCTTGGACTAGAGCTTCCAGCGATGTGTGAGCCACATAAATGTCGCAGCCGTAACTCTCATGATCGCGTTTCACGCCTGCAGCTAGTAGATCATTCGCAGCTAGTACGGCTCCCATAATGCGGGTCGGTGCTTGATCGCATCGAGTAGCGTCGAGGAAGGGGTGATCCGATTGGTGGTAGCGGCTGTCTTGAAGAGAAGGTAGATGTTAGCGTGGTTTGATCAACGGCGAGAGGAGAATTAGGAGATGGAGGTCTGACGTGATGGAAGTACTTTACCTAGTTATGGTTAAAGTGACTTCATCCTTCTAACTTCTGAAGTATACTGTTTCCAAGAAAGGGAGTGGGTGAGATGTTCAAAGTAGAAAAAAAGCACGAAGCGCCGTCCGCGACGCATAGATTGGGGTATAAGAAGAGATAAAAAAACCAGCTAAAAGAAGAAAGAAGGAAATCAATAAATACAAGTGACAATCACCCCAACTCAGCTGCCATCAATCCTCATAAAAGTCATATATTCTTCCGCATTCATAACCATCTCAGGAATAACAAGCCTAGGAATCCAATACGGCTTGAAATCAACAATGCTAACATCCCGACCCGACGAATGGACAACCCACTGCGTCTGACCATTCGAGCCGAGGAAGAGTCCCTTGAGCGGTGCACCCTGCATCGAGTGCCGGTAGACCTGCACGGGCTCAGAGTCCCGACCCCAGACGAGTCGGCCTGTGGCTGGGTGGTGGTTGATGCCGACGGGCTGCCAGGCTAGATCACCGGAGCCGTAGGGGATATGTGCTTCGATTTGAGTTATTTCCTCGTTGCCGTTGCAGCGGAGTTGGGTTTTTATGTTTTCTTTTTGGCTTGTTATAGTGACCTGTGTGGCTGTTAGTTCTGATTCTGTGGTTGTGGTTGGTTGAGATGAGGGAATGATGGAAATTACCAGGCCGTTGAGGTAGCCTTCATCGCCAAATTGACGTGTGGTATCGGCGCCAGTGGAAAACCCTTCGATGCTGCAGCTGTGGGATGATGTGCCATTATAGCATCCATCGATGTTGATCGTCCATGGACCGGCGATCTTCGTTTTTGGGTTGTAATCTGGGAGCTCGGAGCAGTATTTGACAGGTTCAACCGTCAACCTTTGCTCCAGCGGCTGTGCGCCAGCAACGAGGAAGAGAGAGAAAAGAGCCGCTGCAAGCATGGTGTTGTGCTGTGAATGGGGAGGATGGAAGAAAATTTTAATGAGGAGAATGTCACTATTCTGTTATACAGGTCTCGCGTCTAATTTGAACTAAATTTTTGGCCCCAAATTCCCTCAAAAAAGCCAACTACAGATCCATTTCAGGCTGCAATGATCCAAACAAGCCCTGGAGACCCTGATCGGCCGAGGGTACTAGTCTCCACTAAGGGGCGGAACTGGACGGACATTGGTCAAATATGATCGAACTTTGAGCTGTTCTTCCTTTAACTGAGACATTTTACAGGCTATGCTTCCCCACGTTGGACCCTTTCGGCCCGTTTACTTGTCGAAGTTTGCACACTCGATTACTCTTCCTGGTAAGACGTCATGATGCACCTTCGGACCCCCGAGGCTCGCCGTTATTGGGGGACATGAGCCATTGAAGGGCCATTGAAGGGACCAGGGTCCAGGGGGCTGACTTGGACCCTGAACGGACCCTGACCGGGCAAAGACCCTGGGAAAAATTGCCTCTATAGTCTCGGACTCCACTTCTACATTCAGCCCCCGTTGGCGACGAAATAGCCAATCACGTACATTTGTATCGTAAAAATAGCTGTTTACCAGGCTAAGTCGAGGCTCAGTCGTTAGTCTAAGTTAGTCTGTTTCATTCCTTAGAAGTCCCTCTGCCTCCTCTTCCTGTCCATGTGACTGTGACTTCAGGGTCTCAGCCATAGCCAAGCCTTCACTTCGGCCTTTGTCTGCATTCACCATCCACACTAGTGGAATTGGCATAAGAATCAAAATGGCGATGACAAAAAAGCCGCTGCGGACTTGCCCGGTCGCATCCACCAATACACCCACAATCGCCGGTCCAATAAAGGAGCTCCCCTTGTCAGTCGCGGCGTACAGGGCATAGAATGCAGCCTCGTTCCCCGGGGGAATGAGAAGTCCAAAGAAAGATCGACAGTACGAGGCCAGGCCACCCCCGACAACTCCGTGAACAATCGCCAGGGGGAAAATCTCCCACGGCTGTTGTAATCCAATCACGCCCCATTTCTCTATAAAGGGGATGTAAGCCAACAAGCCATACAAAGGAATCAGTTCAAATAGTGCGATGCACAGGATGATCGTGTGATTCGACTGTAATCCGAAGTATCGCGAGACGTGGGGCCACAGAAATGCGCCCGCCATCCCCGACAGCGTGGCGGTGATGGACAAGAGTCCGACTAATGGCGTGCTTAAATGCAGTTCGGTGCGTGCAAATAGGATCGCTGTCCCAGAGACGGTGGCCAACGCGTCGGAGATCAAAAACCAGGCAACCAGGAAAAGAAGCACCTCGCGCAGCTTGACAGCAACTTTGACGGTTTGCCAGAGGGACTTCCACGCGAATCTGACCAGTCCCATCCATGCCCGCCATTTGCCTCCGGAGGTGGAGACGTCCAGGGGTGGCCCCGGGCGAGCCCGCAGCAAATGGCGAGACACGAAGGTAAATGCAGCCCACCAGATGCCGACTAGCAGCAATACGAAGCGCATTGGAAGCGTTCCCGATGCCTTGGCGAGCGAGGTCTTGGATAGTGTGATGAGCATCACTATACTGATTATTTGCACGAATACCGCTGCACAATATCCGAGACCGACTCCCTTGGACGAGATTTTGGTGGACAGCTGCAGCTCTGGCGAGGATGACGATGGAGCCTTGTGCTCGCCATCTTCCATCGAGCCTTGCGCTTGCGCGCCCGAAGGATTTAGTCCATCCAAGCTATCATTGTCGCCCCATGCATTCCAATCCGAATCTTCGCGGTCGAAGCTTGAAAGTTCCGCCCCTTCGTTGGCTTTGCGGTCCTGGAGTGACGGGTCGTTCGCAACAAGCACCGGAAGGAAAGAATTGAGCACGACAAATGAGGAACCGAGACAGGTCACGCCAACGACGACCAGGATTGCACCGAGAATATATACGGGCGGCGCGATGAACACAAATAACATGCTAGCTATCGATCCCGTGAATCCGAAAAACATCAGCAATGTCTTGCGGTTATTTTCTATTCGAAATTTATCATTAACTCTCACGTCCACTGTTTGTATTTATGTTGGCTGTTCAGCCTCTCAATCATACCATAATCCGCCAGAGCGCTGAACGATATCAACGTCAACGCCTGGATGAACACTGCCAAAGAGAAAGTATACATGGCAAAGCTGGCCGTATTGATCTCTAGGCCCAAGACAGGCACCACACACTGGCCACTTGCATCCTGCGTGCTATTTCCGGATGATGCTCCAACACAGGATTCGCGACTCGTCTGTAGGACACCGCGTTCCCGGGCCAGTTGTTCGAGGGTGAGGGGAAGGAATGATCCTAATGCCGATCAGTAATTTGTTTATACATTGGACGAAGATTCCACGAACCTACGCCACACACCGCGAACACCTCAGCCGCTATCCCGTACGAATACCACCCAAGGATCTCCCGGTGGCTCGTGGGGGTTGTGTCCTCGCCGGCATATCGCGGGGGTCGCTGTTGTACTCCCCCGGGTGTCGGAGACTGAAATGCGGCAAATACAGAGGACAGCATGGGGAGACGTGTTTTCCAAGGAGTTTCCCCCAATGGCAAAAAGGTACAAACGGAACAGACGGATGCGGGCGGAATCTCGGTGTATAGCCCTTGATGACGTCAGGGATCGGCAGGAACTCGGACCTGCAGTATATCAGAACAGTATACAAGCAGTGAGGTCTTCTTTATTCTTTGGGCTTAACAAGTGCCTCACTATTATGCATTTACTGTTATTAAGTACCAGAATTGCACAGTATGGGATCTCTGGGCATTCCACTGGTTGGACTTACCGATACGTCAATCTGCGGTAACCGAGCCTTACAACATAACATGAGTGCCAGAACCCCCGGAAGTCCATCCAAGTCACTCTCTTGATATGCCATTCTCCGTCTTCCTAATCGGCCCAGGCTTCATCGGTGGAGAGCTCCTCGACCACCTCCTCGAGGAGAACTATGCAGTCACCGCTCTCGTCCGTCGCCATAGCGCGGTCGCAGAATTCACCAAGCTAGGCGTCAAAGCCGTCATTGGAACTTTGGACGATGGGCGATTGATCAGGGGCCAGGTTGCTGCTAGTGATATTGTCTTCCACGCCGCAACTTCAGATCACTTATTATCCGTCCAGTCGGTTCTTGATGGTATTAGAACACGGGCTGAGCAAGGGCTCATGACATATTACATCCACACCAGTGGCGCTTCACTTTTGGCTGATAAAGCTGCGGGAAGATATACGGATAATGTCATTTATGACGATGAACGACCTTCTCAGATCGATACGTTGAGATTGGATGCGCCGCATCGGCAGATTGATCTGGAAATTGTTGGCGCGCGTCAGGCTCTGGCGAAGTTTGCTAAGATTGCCATTATGATTCCTCCTGTTATCTATGGTGTTAGCACTCTGGAAAAGCGTCTGTCGATTCAATTGCCCACGCACATTCGATACTCCCTGAAACACGGGTACGCAGGTCAGGTCGGGAGCGGACTTTCAGTCTGGGGATATATCCATGTGAAGGATCTGGCGAGAGGCTATATGACGTTGTTGCACTGGATGGAGCGTTCCTCTACCGATGATGTTCTGGAGAATCCATACTTCTTCTGTGAGAATGGCGAAGAGCTCTCCTGGGGAGACTGCGCAGCCGAGATTGGTCGACTCTTAGCGATAGAAGGACGGATTGATGGCCCTGAGCCTCAAACAGTCCCATTCGAAAACTACAACGATTTCTTTGGGGAGTCCACCGTTGCAATCGCGGGATCGAACGCCAGAAATCGCGCGAATCGACTTCGGAAACTGGGCTGGCGGCCTTTGGAGAAGAACACATTCGTTTCGTTGGCTGAGGATGAGATTCCGTTAATTTTGGAGGAAACTAGGGAGTTTTATGGCTATCGGTCAGATTTGCCTCATGATTGAATCGAGAAAGAGATTTTCTAGCATGGAGTAGTGACCATACAGCTCGCACAGATATGTTTCTCAAATGGAGCCGCTAGCAACGGTGTTTTTGAGTTGGCCCACTGCCCAAAATTTGATCCTACCAGGGAGAGAACGAACTGCAATTGTCGATGCTAGTATATGATGATGCTGGCCCGGGCGCGCGATGGTGAGGCATTACTTTGTGGGGTGCGGCATGGAAGTATTCATAGCAAGTTCTCTTGAATCGTTTTGGGCGCGGATTTGTTGATAAAATTATTAAAGCGAGACAAAGAGAAAGAAGAGCTTCGAAAATAACATTGGCCCCAGTGCGCTCTAACTAGCAGTTCTAATTCCGATAGAGTGGTAAATGAGCCTCACCTTAATAACGCTCCCGTGTCAAGTTATATTTAGGAGCTCACAGATCCTTGGGACCACCAAGGCTTCGAGATCGACGGCTGAAACCACAAAGCATTCACCAGGGGAGATAAACCTCCCACATACGTACATCCGACATTATGTACGGAGTACCTGTGCTGTTCTCTTTAAACGGAACATGGAACATCAATAAAATAACTCCTATGTAGAGTTTGGCTGAAAACTGGTTGTATCCCGTGGGTATAATCGACGGAGCTCATTTGCCATGGAGTGCAGTTATCAGCCTTGAACGCGTTCAGGTCCACAGTGGACGGGATCCGATAATGTCATTTTGTGATTGGGTTGGGTACGGATTCCGTCTTTCGCAGAGCTCTCCAGACAAAACTTGATATATGGGGTGACAGAAAAGCGGGGACTCTGCCACGCTATAAGCCAATCAGACATCGTGACAGTGGGTGGCAAACCGGTCCGAAATGGTCTGTTGTTGTATATTAGTCGGCTATGATGTAACTGACCTTGGAGCTCTCGGTCTATGATATAAGATCGGAATCGCACATTCTTCTCTTCTCCGCTAATCTATCCCCAATCCATGGACTCTATTTACTCTCAATCATGGCTACATTTATAAAAAGAGAAATCATGGGTACGACCCTAGAAACTACAAATCGATACTCGGACTTAGAAGCTCGAGGAGTTGGCGTCTCTGGTGTTATCTGGTATATACCAACCATCGCACAACGGCATTGAGTAGTTGCTGACGGTTAAAAGCTCGGCCAAAGACTGCATTACTAACCAAACGGTCGCCATTAAAAAGATAGCCAGGCCGTTTGCATCTACTGCTGTAGCCAGGCGCACGTATCGTGAGGTTCACTTGATCAGTAACCTGCGGCATGATAACGTATGTCGAATCTGACAGCTGCACAGCGTCTCAACGGTGGAAACTAATGCGAAGTAGTTGATCAACATGCGCGATATTTTCATCTCCCCATCTGAGGATCTGTAAGGCTCAAATTGCTTTGTTCTGCGTTGAAAATCATATTGATGATGCATTGCAGTTACCTTGTGATGGACTGTGTCATGACAGATCTCCACCAGCTTATTCAATCGGCTAAAAAGCCATTGGAGGGCCAGTTCATACAGTTCTTCACATATCAAATGCTGGTATGTCTCAACAAATCAACTCGTAAAGATATCATCGCTGACGGACCCAGCGAGGATTGAAATACATTCATTCCGCCGGTGTGATTCATCGCGATCTCAAACCCAGCAACCTTCTAATCAACGACAATTGTGACTTGAAGATTTGCGACTTTGGATTGGCTAGAGAACAAGACTACCAGATGACTGGTTATGTCACCACACGATACTATCGAGCACCAGAGATTATGTTGACCTGGCAGAAATACACTCACGCTGTGGATGTTTGGAGCGTTGGCTGTATCTTGGCAGAGATGCTTCTCGGACGAGTTCTCCTCCCTGGAAACGATCATGTGCATCAATTTACTCTGATTACTGAGATGTTGGGTAAACCTCCTAAAGAGGTTATGGAGAGAGTTTACAGCAAGACTGTATGTATACCACCAAAGCTGAGATGGACAGACACTGACAGGAACTTCAGACGCTCCAGTTTGTTCAGTCTCTACCAGAAACAGAGCGCCGACCGCTTAAGTCTATCCTTGGAGATGCAGATCCTCAAGGTATGTCTTTCGTTTTATCAACTCCTCAGCTTCTACAGATACTGATCTTAGTAGCCGTTGATTTGTTGGAGAAGATGCTCGACATCGACCCGGAAAAAAGAATCACAACGACAGAAGCCCTCGCCCACCCATATGTGTCGACCTACTATGATCCTGAAGATGAACCTGTGTTCGACAGGCAACTTGATTGGTCCCTTCTCGATTCGGAGCTATCCTCGGAGGAGTGGAAAACTAAGATGTAAGTCCACTCACTGCATGTGTGGTAAGTTTATACTGATGATTTGAAGGTACTTTGAGGTTTTAGATTATCACCGCGGTGCTTGTGATGGGCAAGATGAGGTTCAAATGGCCCAGGAGCAAAAGACCGACGACTGGTTGCGCAGGGAGGTGGTGGCTGAAACTTATTAGCGATTTTTGTGGAAGCCCGCTCCCAAATGCCGTGCAGTAAAGGATTCTATAGATGTTCGATGAAACGGTGAACTCTCGGACGTATTAGTTTGATTCACATGTGTATATAATATTTGCTCTAGCGACTACTAGAGGGACAGTTGTCTCAGATGAAGCCACGAATATAAGCGACGACCTTTTTTAATCACTTAATCTCTTGCCTTGATAGGCTTATAGACCGGTGTGAAAAGTTTGGGTGAGACCGGCACGGGTGTTTAGTATATCACAAAATATATTCCTTGGACTCGTGTTTGAACGAGGCGAGGTACAGTTTACTGACGAGTAGGACTCGAACAGAGTAACATATAAACCTTGGCAATGGCCCAAGGCAGCTGAATAGCACTTGAGAATGACCAAATCACTGCAATAATGGGCACATCCCGATTCAGGGCCGGTCCAGGGCTACTTCCCAATTGGGCCAGGATTCAGATGAACTTCAGCTTTTCTGGATTTCTATTCTTCTCTTTGTTCGCATTCAAAAGAAATACATTCACATGTTGACAAATGACATCCATGGGTATTTTGCATTACTTCGAGTTCATCGTCGGCCGATTGTTATACGCCTGTCGCGGCCATGATGTGCACCAAATCAAACGTTCGCCGGCTTTCAAAGAATTTCCCGAACCGAACATGATCCTTGAATCCCCCGAATGCGGTCCATCAGGATCGAAACTGCCTCTTCACTGTTCTTGCCTGGCTGACGACAGCAGAGGATATCCTCCTGAACTGCGATGGACTCCCCCAAATTGTCGTGAGCAGGTCCAGGAGTATGTCCTGATATGTGAGGATCTCGACCCACCGATCCCATTATTCGTCTTTCATCACGGGCTCCTATGGGCGATTCCAGCTTCAACCCTCTCTGTCAGCTGTGAAGACGTCAAACCAGATAAACGCGCCAAAATCTCCCGCCAGACAACCGCTGGTTGGCGATTTGTTCCAAACATGTTGGGAACACCCTACGCCGGTGCAGGCGCACCTTTGGGCCATGGCTCGCACCGCTATGTCTTCACGATCGTCGCTCTCAATGCGTCACTGAAGTTCAAGTCTCCCGAAGGAACTACCAAAAATAACATCAAGCGGGCTATGGAGGGCAAGGTAATTGGCTGGGGACAATGGACCGGAGTCTTTGCAAAGCCGTGGCCCAGTTAACGCTTTGCTAGAAATATCACCTATATACCACTGCCATCGAGATCGAACGGACAAAGGTGGCGGAGTTTGAAAAATGGAACCAAGGTACACGGGCGGTGATCTTTTGTTTCTATTCATTTTCTATTCATCCATTCTTGTGTAAATTTGATATGGAATCCAGGCAGGGTCAGATTACAATGCATGGCTTTATGCGGTCTAGTTCAATATATTCCGCATCGTTCTAACGTCAGCTTCTGGTTCATTTATAGTATCCTAAGTAGCCGTCTGAGACCCTCGGCCCAGTTCGAGATGTTCGTCAACGTGTCTCACGCCAGAGAGGGGATTCATGTTTCGGGGTTCTTTGGAATGCTGCATCGCATATCTGATGAACCAATGGGTAATTGTACACGATTCAAGATCGATCACGAGATCCTTTTTAACAACACTAGATACTAAGATTTAAAACCGTCCGACCTCAGCCTATCATGCTATGACCCGGGACATGGAGAAGGCTTGCAGCCTACATCCTGGTTCAAAAAAGGTTGCTACGTATCCGTTACCTGTAGGATCATGTGTTAATCCTCGCAATTTACCAGAGCTCTGATCATTTCCCGGATAGATTGGATTATTTATCCGCGATATTAGCAGCTACTGTCTTGTTACAGCATGCAAGGACACGATGCACAATGAGAACGTGCAAAGTTATTATATCGAGCCGGAAGTTGTTCTCCAACGGTATCCGTTCTACAGATATCAGTTTTGGGTATCTACTCAGAGTGGTTGGAATGAACCAGGTCCAGATATGGCAGCTCTTCAAGCATTATGCTCACTCCATCGGAGGTTTCTGTGCGAGTCCCATGGTGAGGATACCTTGCTCTGTGCAGTCTGGATTGTTACTGACTCTCCTATCATGTCGCGGGTTGACTGAAAACCAAGTCATTGATTCACCTATTCAGAGTTCACTTACGACCTGATTAAGCATTTTCACCTCCGGAATTATCTGGCCCGCTCCCATGGATAAATTTCATGAAGTGGACGGACTGCAGCTCCATCAGATTCTTTAAATTTGATAACCGGGTTCCCATGACAGGTTTTGGCAATTGCATGACGCGACGAATCTGGTATTGTTTCACGTCGCTTCGCTTCCTGTGTTAACAGTTAGCTACATAGCGCTAATCTGTTTATTGACAGAGCACACCCGCAACTTAAGCATATTTCTACTTGAAAGAGGCATCTGCGTAATGTGAGAAGTGCTGGAAAACGCCCTGACCGTGTGAATTCAACCGTTCAACTATTTACGCAGCCCTCAGCCCAGCTAGTGATCACTCAATCAACTGAATAATCAACCGCAGTCGCCGATCTGTCTCATCAGCCAAAGCCAACTGCCCATCAGAAGGGGAGGCAGAAAGCAAGACTTTACAAATTCTACGAACAACAAATGACAAGTTAGACAGACACGCGCGCGACTGGCTGAGGTCTACCACTTCTCCCCGACCCGAACGAACCTCTCCGTCCGCACTGACACTGGCAGACGTTGCCGTCATCTCCAATATCGGCAGCACCGTGTCAATCGCCATGATTATAAGTATGAAGACGTTAGCCCGGGATTTGGACACGCTGCAAAAGGGACATTCGAGAATCTTCTCTGCCTGTTGCTGCACCTTTCCCAGGTGAAACAGCATCCTCCGGGTACTCTTTGATTCAAGGGCTCGAACAACTTCGCTCGATGCTAGTTCGTGGCAATCACAGCGAAGAGAAGAGGTACATTCAGAGAGTGACTCTGAATCGCTCTCTTCTGAAGAAAGACATTGATCTATGCTGCCAGCGTCCATGGGGCTCGTGAAGATGTTGCTGGGGGGCATCCCAGGAACTCTCCACGGGTCCTGCGTTGGATGGAACGCCTCTTCTTCGTTCCAAATGAACGTCCCGGCGGTGCATAATACACCTGGAAAGTATGACGTGGTCTGGGTATTTGGTGCAGCTACTTTGGCAAAGTTCAATCCTCTATCCACAATGTGAATCGTGAGAGATGCGTCTGCCATTGGGCCGATTGCAGGAAGACCCTGGTTCTGTGTAGGAAAGTGAGTACGCGGAATGCACAAAGGTTTGAATCCTGTGTGGAACGTGGGTGTTTTGGAAATGCACCTATTCTCCAAGGCCAAGTTGTGGAATAACCCTGAATAGTCGATAGGTCCTGCTCCCCGTGCGATGGCGCATTCTTGCTCCAGAATCCAGTCTCCAATAGGGTCACCAGTCTCTATGGAAGCCAGTTATGGTCAGTCTATTTATATTTCAGGTCTCAGTCTGTGCTCACCAAAGAATCCAACTGCCGTGCAACCAATCGCCTGCACGTCACCAACCTCGGATGTAACCTCCTCGGCGCTCGAGTCGCTCCTGTTTGATGGAACCGGGTCTCTGCATACCCTTGCATTCGGTTGTTGCCTCGTCCTTGATTCCCGTCCATGTTTCCCCTGCCGCACCACGCGATTAACAGGACCCGACTGAAGACCTCTCAACTGCTCGCATGAGACCGGCCGGGAACGTTTGGTCTTGTTCTTGGCGGGTCGTCCTAATGGCAGAGACATGGAGTATATGCACTCGAGCCCGTGCTTCTCACATCGCGTACACGTGGGACGTTGGTGCCCGCAGCCTATCTTGGCTGCTTGGCAGGCATTGCAAGTCTCGCGCATCTTCCGACTGGGCTCCTCATCGGTGGCTTGGGAAGGGTCCAAATCAGGGGTCGCCGATCTCATCGTAAGGTATGCAAAGGATACAAGAATATCCTTCGAACAAGATTCGTTGTTCAGGGCTTGTGATTGAAATCATTGAGTCATGATTGCTATGATCTGCCAATTGTCTGGGTTTCTTAGGGATATTTGTATCCTGGGTCCACTGATGTAGTCTGCACATCACCGGATAGAGCTTGTAGTTGTCCAACAACGCCTTCAACCGCATTTTCTGGCATTATCGAGTCCACTCTCTACCCACACCTCAAGGTGAGATTCCTCCACGCCGACTGCCAAGGCCAGTTTAAGTTACATGCAAAGAACCTAATTGACAAATTGTTCTGTCCTACCCATTTTCGGGGCCGACACACAAGTACCGTGAAGGTACCTTGCAAACTCGTAATTGCGACCCCCTTAGTGACTTTCCAAGCCAATCTATGAAGGACATTTCTGGAGATTGAAGTTGAAGGGACTGAAAATAGGCTGCTTCTTGTGCCGCAATGTCTTGTCCGGTTTTCTAAATCTTCAAACTTCCAGCCCTGGAGCGTAGTAAGCCACATTATGTCAGGATTTGGTAGAGCCGTGAAGTATCTCACATTGATCAGATTTCCAAGGTAGACGGCAGAGCAGCTTCCTATTTCAGTCTTCAAAGCAAATTTGATAGGAAAACTTGGAGCCCTCAAGAAAGCCAGTGAGAAACAGGGAGTTATCAGGTCGCGGAACCATCATCCAACGGTATGTTTATTCGTTCGTTTGTTTTAGTAAGGCTTTTCCAAACAGTCCAACCGTCGGACTAAAAGCTTCTATTACATGGTGGAGTCTAATCATATATATTCACGCCAAACATGGTGTTATAACATGCATAGTACGTTCGGGAAGCCCCAAGAACGAGCAAATTCTCTCATTATTAAATCCTTACTCCCCTGGTCAAAGCTGACTGGTATTGGCAAAGTGTATACGTATAATTCACCTTAAGGGACACTGAGAATAGGCGTTAATGGGAGCATTGAAGCGTTGTATTTCCAAGGTGCAATCGTACCAACTTGCCGTCATGGTTAATAAAGGGTCTATACTGTAGATGATGAACTAAGTATCTGTTATTCCAGAAAAGAATACACCGCTTTGTTGCGGCCCGTAATTACTTTTAATGCTCCTAGCGTTTCCAATTGACAGCTTCGGCGTCTAGAACCCAGTTTATCACCAATAGTTGGTATTATTATGTCCTTTTAACGGTTGTTCCTTTATCTCGCGTAGTAGGTAGCTAAGATATAGATACACGAAGGATTCGCCAACGAGTTTTCCCATCGACGCCTTTCTCCGTGGTTGTGCCGGTACTCTGTATGTCCAGTGGATGAGCGGACTATTCATGGGGCCTACCGGCTAACATACGTTCTTTATATATAATCTACGCGCATACTTAGGGGTCAATAAAATAAAAGCGATCCGTACTGCTATGCTACTAATGGGTAAAAAGGGATGATTTGTGTATTGGGTAGTCCGTCATCCAAAATGAGGACCTTCTTCCCCATAACTTCAATTCTGTCGAAAAAAAGACAATATATCGATCGGACAGCTTGTAAAAAAAATACTCCACAACCACTACGAGCATAACGAGACCTAGCAACGCAATTCCCGAAACATGTTGAAAAAAAGGAAACCTAGGAGATACATAATGCCATAACAATTTGTGTAATGCATAGGTGATTTGGAATATCTCATCCAATTCTTGTGCAACTGCAGCTTCAACCATGTCCATGTATCCCCAGATAATCAAGGCTGGAACCCTACAACAGCTGTCCAAAACTTCAGAAATCATAGCTTAGATAGGCCATACCTATCTCGACCAATACCCAATGTGTGGTCTAGACAACCCTCTCCATCATGCCACGAAGCTAATAGAGCTTGTAAGACAGTTCACAAAACGAAAGGAAGTTGTTGTTGCACTCGGCATCGCCGACGTAGGGTCTCCGCTTGTCGGTTTATGCCATCCAACGAAATAATTCATGGCGAGCGGGGGATCCAGCTTGGCAGCTTGGATAAACATTGGAATATCAAACCCTGCACGGGCTTCCGGGGTCGGTGGGAACATATGTGCAAAGCAATCTGGGAAGCGATAGGCTGGGGGCTGCTCGAACAGAAAGTAGACGTAACGGTGATGTGTGTTTGGCGGGGCACGAGGGGCAATGTAGGGAGCTTCAATGTCCGGGAAATCGTCGTGGTCCTTGTCAGGAACCAGATGAGACGAATGATGATGTTTTGTGGACTTTTTGGAGAGATCTGATTGATACCAGTGTAAAATGACTGTTCCTATACACGTGCCGGGCATTACAACGTCGAGGTCAACGAACATGACCAGGTATGTTTTGTTGTGATGGAGGTCCTTGCCGCTGATTTCGGGAACCACTGTAGTCTCTAACCCATTATCAGCGTATTGGTGGCAATTGTTCGATTATTATCATACCTCGAATGTCCAATGTCATACCAGGCTCCATCCACTTGCACCTAGGGTACCGAAGATGTAATATCTTGGTATTAACAGATACATGGGAACTGACTTGTGCAGTCACCGTAAGAAGCATGTACAGAATTACTATCAGACACGACATCCTTCCTTTCAAGTAAGGAAAAAAGGTTGAAAAGTGTGATAGACAAAGGTGATTTAGGACGAATAATTTCATAAATGCTATCCATTCTTCTCAGACTCCAAATATATAGGTCCCATTGCCTCTAGTCTGGTTGCCCATGTACAATTTGTCGTTGTGTATCAATTTCAGCATGCTTCTTACGCCAGCTCCAACCTCGGAAATAAACCAAACAAAGAAGAGGGGTGATAAGCAACACAGTGCCTGAAACAAGACAGTAAGTCCATTGCACACCAATTTCCCGGATCAAGGGGTTGACAGCTGCCGCAGCACCAGCGCCAAGAGAACATCGAACAAGGTTATTCGCAGCCATTACAGTGGCCGGCCTGTCGTAGTACAGATCCACGATGAGAGTGTTCAGTACACTGTACGCTGCCGTTATACAAAAGCAAATTGCAAAGATAAGCAACAGGGAAACTTGAAGAGCTGGTTCCACAGGTAGCAACACCCCGTAGGCCACAATGGAGACCGACGCAAGTATCTAGAATGGGATGTCAGATCCTGCCCATAGTATATTTGAGACAGTCACATATGACAAGGCAGCTTACCGTCATTGGTAAGCCAATCTGCAACCTCGCCTTTTCAATTGGAAAGCCGAGGATATCCTGTTTCTGGTCCTTGTGTACCGTTGGACTAGCTCGACTGCGGATTCGCCGGTAATTCCAGTCAACTAATACTCCGTTGGCAGTTGCACTGAACAAAGAGCCCAGACCTGCGGGGATGAAGCAAAGTCCAATGTGGAAAGCATCGAGATTGTAGATTTTCTCGAATTGCACGGGGATGCTAGACGTAACGGCATAGTAGCTTGCGAAAACAACACCGTTCGACAGAATTATTAGTCCAGTGGGTCTGTGAAAAAGCAGGCGCAAAGCTGACCGGGGACTGTGCGTCTGGCCACGACGCCTCGGTAACGTAAAGGGAGGGGCGGCTGGGGTAGATTTTGGTGTGTAGTTATAGATTGAACTATTCCAGCCGACTGCGGTGATTGACCCATTGCCCACAATCGCCCGGCATGTCTCTGGAAAGAACAACAATAGCGGTACGAAGAACGCTCCAGATGCGATAGCGAGAAACCAGAAGATTGCCTGCCATCCTAGATACTTGTTCAAGACACCCCCAAGGATTGGTCCTATCGATGGTGCGAGAATATTTCCCAGAGACGTGAATCCCATGTATAGGCCTCTTTCGGCAGATGTTATGATATCGGCTGCCACCGCAGATGCAAGGGCAACTGTCCCACTACTACCGCAGCTTTGAACTCCCCGAAGGAGCAGCAAGGCCTGGAAGTTGTGTTGTAGGGCGAGGGAAATGTTGGCGAGAATGTAGATCACGAAACATAGGATGTACACCGGTCGACGACCTCCTCGATCTGCTAGTGAGCCGGTGAACATTGGAGCAATGCCCTGGCATAACTTGGACATGATTTTCAGTAGCAGTCTCAAGCAATCGTGGAGTCGGGATAAATAGTCATACCATGTACGAAGTGATTGTCAGGTTGATTTGAGATGGACTGACATGCAAGTCCTTCACAAGTGAGTTCAAAGATGGGTAGTAAATGTTTGCTGATAGAGGAGAAAAACTAGATGCCAGGGCTGCAGTTAAGATAATCAGGCGCTTCTGCATTGGTGTGAACACGGAATAGGGCTCGTCAGTAGGTCCGGTCTGTAACAAGGGCGTCGTGTCGTTGGCCTCTTCCCCGTGAAGAGGTGCTAGATGAGTATTTGAGTTCGTCATAGCTGTTTGAATAGAGCATCTAACTTGTGTGTGAAGGAAGAAGTTGTTGCCGAAAAGGATGGGGACTAGAGATAATAAATACACCGTTCGTGTGTACTACTTTTACCGAGTCTAAGCAAACATACGAACATACTTATGCAGACCTTGCAGCATAATACACAGCCTTCTAAAGATTGAATCCTCCGCGGCATATATTTGTGATAGATTTTGATCGACTAAAAAGCGACTATCGTCATTGATCCCTCAAGTGGTCGAATATCAGAATCAGTCCCAGCAGAATTTGACCAGTTCAAAATTTCGCTTTTGGATTCAACAAAGGTTCGAAATGACCAGTATAGATATGGGTTGGCCGGAATAGCTTACCCCGATTGACTACACCTCACCAATTAGGAACCCATCTGTATTCGCTATCAGTGGAAGTGACGTACCCGTGTACTCTCTCCAATGCGCCATAATTCCCATGATACGATGGACAAGCATTGCAGCTGGGATGATATCAGGTTCAAAGCCACTAGCAGATTCATCCATCAGATAGTCCCAAGCCACTAAATCCAAAGTAGTCTATACTCACATCCCAGTGAACACGAAATTCCCATAAAAGTCGGCATTGGGATACAACCCCCGAGATAGAAAATACTCATCCTTCTCGGCTGCCTTCTCAATAGCTTCAGCAATCTTCAAAAGTGGCTGGTCCACGTGGGTTAGATCTTTCAGGATACTCCGAATAGGACCCACGCGCGGATCCATGCCCTTGTAGGTCCTATGACCATAGCCGAATAACTTCTTTTTGCCTGCTTTGACTTCTTCAATGAAAGCCGGGACATTTTTTGGTTCTCCGGTTTCATGAAGGGTACGCTGAGCAGACTCCGTAGCGCCGAAATGTAATGGTCCATGGGCGGCGGCTACCGCTGAGATCAGACACGAGATGGGGTCGGTCAGGGATGATGCTGTGACAAGTGTTGAGAAGACTGATAAGGCCATTCCGTGCTCGGCGTTGAGATTGCCGAAGCGACGGAAGCAGGATACCTTGCCCGGGTCTACCAGGTTCGTAGTTTGATTGACGATGCGTGCCATTTTGAATATATTCTCGTAGTAGGATAGGTCCATAGAGGGCGATTCAGGTGTTAAGCCTAGTCGGTGGCAGCGTACGATGGCAAATATCACACCGTATGCCGCGACAGTTTTGAGGATGACCTGGTCGGCTCTTTCGATGTCTGTTTGGTACATAGATGCCTCGCTGAAGGCTGGAATGCCATCTGTTATACATGCCAAGTACGCAGACAGTCCAGCCATGATTAGTGGAAGTGGGCTTGTTTCCTTTCTATGTTCAAGCACATATCATTAGGAGTGTAATGCGACAACGAGACAAAGCACTGCAATGAAAGTCAGATCATACGGGAAGCCGAGTATGGTCTTGTAGACAATATTAGGAACATCCTGCATGTGTCGCGCCAGTTTCTGCTGCAGCTCTGTACGCTGTGCTGTAGTTGGAAAAGTCTCCCAAACTAGCAAATGGAACATTTCTTCGAAGTCGGCTTCCCATAGCTGCTCTAGGGTATAGCCGCGATACAGAAGCAGGCCCTGTTCATGGTCACTGTGGAGATATCAGCCAATAATCTACCGCGTGGTTATTGTTGCTCACGAGAAACTGATCGTCGATTCTGTGACGGCGGTATTCTGCAACCCCGGGTCATAAATACGCAACCCATGAGCAACTTGATCTGCCCGATCGCTCCCAACTGAGGAAGCCTGGATCCTTCGCACATCGGTGGCACGTATTGCGTTGCGGTGGATTGGGATCTCATAGTTCACGTTGGTGCGTGAGTCGCGGATGAATAAAGCCCCGGTAGACATAATTGAATGCGAGATGTTAGGTCAAGCTAACGAAACTGGCAACCTTTTTGAGGGTGATGATATCGTCGGTGCCACCGTATTCCCACCATTGATATCTAAAATACACCGAGGCTTCGGATACTACTTCAGCTGTTACTCTATACGGTGGGGCTGTGACAAGGTTGTACAGCAGAAAATATGATTGCATAAATACAAGTCAAATTCGACTATTTCGTTGTATCGTAATTTCTCATTATAAGCCATAGAACACCCCCATTTCCTTTCGTACCCATCCTTACTCGGGCATGTTCTTGAAGGGGTGAGCCAGGGACTCCTGGCAGAAGGGAAGCTTGCTGACGGTCCAGATCTCGGTGTCCTACACAAAAGATATTAGCTCGAATCCAGTAACTTGTGTCACACATGTGACAATCCATGTATTGCACATACCGGCTTCAGGGTCTTCTTGATCTCAGTGTCCAGGGTTCCAGCCTTGATGGCAATGATCTCGGGGGCGGCATCGGGGTCGTGAGCAATGGGGGAGCCACACTCGGAGCAGAAGATGCGGTGGACGGCGTGACCGGAAGAGCCCTTACCGGCCCAGCTCTTGGTAGGTCCGTTGATGGTCAGCTTGTCCTTGGGGACGACGGTGACCAGAGCTAATATAGAGTCAGCAATTGAATTCGATGGGCGGAAGTGGGCGGATGTACAGTAGGTCGAACCGCTCTGACGCTGACAGTCATCACAGTGGTCATAGGCGGTGATGAGGGGCGCGTCCACGTCGACGGTGTACGTGACGGCTTTGCAAAGGCAGTGTCCGGAAAGAGGCATTTTGATTCTCGCAAGGTTCTCAGCTTGGGGACCTTTGGAGAGGGGAGGAAGAACTATTTAACAGTCGATCTCCCTTGGGAAATGCTGAGCTTCACTGCAGGTCGCAACTACTTCCGTCACCCGCATTTTTACGCTGGCGGGACCAGGTACCCAGTACCCTTGCGTCATATCAGATTTGGCTTTGGGAGATTTTCCCGTTTCCACAAATCCTCGTAAATTCCAAATCTTGTCAGCTTCACTAATTGGCTAATTAATTGCATCAGAATGACAAATTATCGCCCCGCCATAGCTTATGGAGTACTGCCCCTCCATCACTTGGCTAACCGCGCCACTAAAGTCGAGTGAGATTGTCCGACGTTTTTGCGCACGAAGAATCCCGTTCCAAATGGGCACCTCAAATCATTTTCTTCGCGAAGATATAATCCTTGCTTGTCTTGCGATTCACCGGGCGGTCGCTCGGAGACACTCCATTCGTTCCGGATGTCAACCCCCAGTGGGGCATAAATGTGGGTTTTGAGGCCCAAGGGGGTATTTTCGAAGCTGGCGCGATACCGGATCTTCCCATGGAGCAGACCGGGGATGTAAACGATCCGGTCGGTCAGCTCATACCAGGTGCGAAGGGCTTCATCGTGCGGTGCATCTGCTGGCGGCTGACACCGTTCGTAGTGGATCACCAGTGGGTTTTGTTCGATCATAGCTCCATGATCGTGAAGCTTCTCGATGATGGTCTCCTGGGAGACCGAGGGAGGCAAGGGTGTGAGGCTAGAGAACTGAATTTGTTGCATTGTGATCAATCAGGTACTGAACACTCGGTCAGGGATATGATGTGCCGGGATTTTCCTGCGCCAGAGTCCCAACTTAGGGGCGATCGCGGCTTGGCAATTCGGAGTCCGTTGCTAACCCAACGCAATGGGTCAGGGCACTTTTGGCCCCCGGTATGCAGTAGTGAATGATAGAATGGGTGTTTGTGATTGGACTATGCATGCTGCGAGTTGTACTGCAGCTTGCTGTAGCATACGTGTATGTCTTGACTTCTATAGTAAGCAAGGTTTGAGATTGATCAATCGGATCCCAACAAAGCTGTCATCTCAACGAAAGGAAGGCGCGAAGCATGAAAGCCACGTAGCTCTTACAGGTAAGAGAGCCAACACAGGCCAGACGTCATTAACAGTTCCTCGCCTTAGGCAGCAATTTCGGGTCAGCATCCTCAGTAGATAGCTATCAAGCCTTTGTTGGAGGCTTTCACTGGAAACAAGACATAGGAAAGCCACGGCTGGTACCCTGGCGGAATGGATTGAATTTATTCGGTCGCATTATGAATATATTTCTCTAGGGTTGAGGCGTGCGAACTTATACATGCTCACATTTCAAGTGAAACAGTATGTCGATGCCTCTTGACATTGATCTCCCAACATCTCTATGTTTGACTTGCAGGGCACAGCAACATATTAAGAAGCGTAAGCTTACGGCACAATTAATATTTGCCTATTACTTACCTCACTAGATAGGAAGCACATAAGCAAGGCTGACACCCAAATACCACCGGCGGCAAGCTAGAGAACACCATTTGCTGCCGTCGTCAATGTATTTTTGACTAGCAAATGGAGAGACTACGCTACAGTACGTCTCGAAACTGGTGTCACCACCTATACTCTCCAATTGTTTCTCGAACCCCAATGCCAGGACATAATAGTACATATCGGGAGATTTTCGGAGTATTCCTGTCAGCTGGGCATGTATTATTGAAAACCACCACCTCCCGTGTGTACGTGGTAATCTTAACAATCAACCACAGGCGGTCACCCTACAATGGTGCCAAACCTATCCCCTCCCTCCAAAGCATGAGTTTATCTCTGGCAATGATATATAGTGGAGAACTACCTGTGTCGCAGATGGCACGGGCTGCTGGCTGTAACAGGCGTACCATCCTAAGAATCTCTTCTAATATACGGACGTTTGATAGCGCTAAGGCACCGCCTAATAAAGGTAGCCGACCACGAAGCATCACTCTAGTGATTCTAGAGGCCCTATGCAATTACCTACTCGAAAACCCCACGATGTATTTAAACGAGATGGCGGCTTCGCTTGGGATAAGTTCGACGTCTAAGCAACGAAATCTAGTGCTAGCCGCGCTCTTGCGTCTAAAGCCTAGTCAAAAAAGTCTGCTCGGGTCAAGGCTAGAGAGCGTAACCTAGACCTACGTGATAAATATGTTCACTTTATCTCAGATTTCTATTCGTAGAACCTTCTCTATATAGATGAAACTAGATGTGATAAGAGCGTAGGCTTTAGGCGAACCGGTTAGTTGTTAGGACCCTGCGAGGTCCTAGGTAGCAGAATAAGTTTGGGAAATAGAGTCTATCGGCAAATGCATGTGCAGGTGTAACAAGAGACTAATTGCTGATCCTTAATGCGAAGGCCAGCGAGAGCAATAAATACATAGTGCGCTTAGTTAATCTGAGAAGCGACATGCACGGTCATTATGGCCCACGCATGTGCTCAGTTACTTGCGCACTGAGCGGCCCAGGGCTTGCTGTATAGCATCAGACGGGGCACCTGGCAGGTCGGGGTCCTGACATTAGTTCCACTAGGCACGGCACCTATTTACGTGTCTAACTTTTATCGTGATTAAAGGTATTAGATACTACCTATATATGCTTAAGATAAAAAAAAAGTTTCTCTCGAGTGTTCCGAGGCTCGACTAAAACGTCTGTCTTTAAGGATTAAGTAACTTCTCTAGCATTATAAAAAATAGCTTAAGCGGAAGACTATGTTAGTCATAGACAATGCATCCTTCTCTCACTCCGCAAGAGGAGAGCTGATATGTTTGGAGGCTAGCGTGAAGCTAGTATATGTGCCTCCATATTCTATAGACCGTTTTTCGCTAAGCTAAAGGCCTTCATTCACCGGCATTGGCAGTTCTACGAAGATAATCCGGATCAAGGAGTCGATAACTTCCTGAATGGTGTGTCGACGTAGTATGAGCAAGGCGAAAGCGCACAGGGACACTTCCGATACGCAGGACTGACCATCGAGGAAATACAGCGCAGCTGCATGTAGTTATAGCAGAGCACAAAATCATATTCTCCACTTTCTCACACCGATTCTTTCTTGAGTGTCATTTTCGCAACACGCCGTACCTGTTCTTGGCCGGATCTATACCATGATAATAACTCCGTTGAGACAGCTTCCCTACTGCGGGTAGGGAGATTCGATTTTATTTGTTTTTATATCTAGTTATCATTAGGAAAGTACCAAAGGAGGTAAACTTATGTCATAAGTAAGCGAAAAGAACCAATGAAAGGGCTAGCAGAATTTGTCCTGTGAGCTTAAAGCGACGGTAGTTACGGATCAAGCTTTTTCCGCCTACTAACAACCAGGTCCAACTAAGCACTCCATATGGTTTCACTGGGATACAAGACTTGAAGGCTACGGCTTGCAGGACTAAATATACTATGCAACTATGCAATGGATTGGGACAGTCTCTTCTTTAACACCGCAGCGTTCATTGCCGGGGTCTTTGTCCTTGACTATGGTGCTGATAAATTCATCGATCACACTGTGATCGTAGGCCAGCGACTGGGCATCTCACCGACTCTTATTGCCCTTTTGACTGCTGGAGCTGAATATGAGGAGGTATATTGGTCCAAGTCCAACTCTCTGTCTGGTCGGTGCTGACAAGGTCTCCCTAGCTCGCTGTCGTTGTCGCTGCAATCCTACAACGTCGCACCCCTTTAGCCCTGGGCAACGTCATGGGATCTACAATTTCTAACATCCTCGGTGCCTTTTCGCTAGGGCTTTTATGTCATCCGGGCAGGGGCCCCTTTGATAATAGTGCGAAGATATATTCTGCGCTCCTGTTCTTTGTCACCACTCTATTCGTCATCTTGGCATATTTTCAACAGCTGAACAGAGTTACCGGTGGGATTCTCATCGCTCTATTTGCACTCTACATTGTCTCTATTGGATATGCCATTTACAGAGGTATCAGTGAACCGCCTCAGCTGTCGGATAGTGAAAGTGACGATGAATCAACCAATGTTGGTGATGAACAAACACTAGGGCAGGGTGCCAGGTCATCAGCTTCAGAGGCTTCTCCTCTGTTACAAGATACGAGTACGCCCCAGGAAATGATGAATGCATCCGTGAACAAGGACAAAAGGCTCCCGCGACCGCTTTATCGTCATGTCCTCCAACTTATTTTTGGACTGCTAGCGCTCTCCTTGTCGGGATATATCCTTGCCCGCAGCGCAGGTACCATCTGTGATTCTCTACATCTGTCAGGAACTGTCTTTGGCTTAACCGTGATCTCTTTTGCCACGACTCTGCCAGAGAAGTTGATTGCTATTTTCAGTGGCTTTCGTGGACAGGGAGGCATCATTGTTGCAACAACAGCAGGGAGTAATATCTTCCTCCTAACGCTATGTGTCGGTATTGTCGCGGTGACGGGAAGGCCCCTCGATCGGTCAGATACTTTTGTTCTATTTGATCTTGTGACAGTTTGGGTGTCCTCTTTGTCCCTCCTAGCGATCGTCTTTTTGGGATCCCACCGAGTTGCTGGCCTAGTACTTCTTGCTGCCTACGTGATTTTTCTAGTCATGGAGTTCACCGTGTACAGGCACTGAGCAGCAGTCCTCTTTGAAGCAACTATCGCAAACCCAATTTAGCACGAACACCTAAGTGTACAGTACTTCCGGAAATCGGTGCCCACTCTTTGATTGTTCCTCTAACCCTACTGCCAGCCAGAATATTAGTATTCCTGAGAATGCTACAATACTGGAAGACGCGCGTGGCGCGCGCATTGGCCTTGAAACGATGAAAAGAAGAGGGTGATAGGAATGTAAAGTGTAAATGAACTGTCAAATTTGTGAGCATAAGTCATGTCATGTATGTTAAACAAGATAGACCAATGAGGAAAGCCATCGGCATGAACTAATAGCCTCGCCGTGGAACCTCCGCGGTGCCTTGCTTGTCGATTACTTACGTTGGTCCGCTCCTCTCGAAACGCGGCCCTGTATGCTGCCGTATCCAGCTTCCTGAAAGCTCCACAGATCTCTCATTCTTCTTGTCTCTGCCGTGGAAACCTATTTCGTGCTCTCCCGGGCATGATTCGGTGTTTCGATTGCAGCCCTAGGACCCCCACCCTGTCCCAGCGCCCACTGATTCCGGTGATTTATTTGAAACTTCTTTCAACCCATTCGCTAATTTATTCCAAAAATCAAATCCCTCCGCACTAGAGGGTCACGCTTCTTAGTACGGACTAGTACGGCGCACACAAAGGGCTCCACAATCTCATAAAATCTCTTGAAAGTTCCACTTGGGAAAGACCTCGACCTCTCGATCGAGGCGGATTATGTCATATAATGATATATAAAGATACGAACATGCTTAGGATATGTTTAAGAACCTGCTCACCGTTATCTTGGTAAAAAAAATACATTGGAGAAGTTGAGCTTTTTGTGGCAGTCGATATATCAAGTTGGGTGTGTGAGAAGGAACGTGCAAGGCGTACCCGCCAACCGAATGAAGTGAGGCAAATCGGCTAGAACTTTTAAGATGAGATAACGCTCTGGCGGCCACTTTCTCTGCAGAATTGCAGGTAATCTTGGGAAAAGAAGTTGGGTAGATGTATCAAATGTCCCCGCTGGATCCGGACAAAAATGGCATAGAGGAAGCCAGCAACGCCCACTGAAAACACACTGATAAAGACCGGCCATCTAAATTGATCAGGTCGCGAGAAAATGATCGTAAAAATGTAAGAGCAAACCTCAAAAAAGTTTTGCCATGCAGCTTCAGTTGAGGAGAAGGACCCTCGAGTTGAAGCTTCGACACCCTGTCGTGTAGTACTTGTCAGCCACCGGGAGCGTGGTCTTAAAGGTTTCAACGAGTTGGCTTAAGTTAAGCAATGAGCTAGTATCAACTAACCTCTTGTATAATAATCTGCACGCAAAGATCAAACCCTCGCAACCCCAGGCGACTGAGAATTGCACCGCCCACAAGGCCCGATGCTGAGATAAAAGGATTACTCGAGGATCTCCGAAAGATGACTGTTCCGCCTATTAAGCAAGCAACCTGCCAATTTGCCAACCAGATACCGGCACGAATAAGTCCGACTTTTCCCATAAGCCAGGGCGCAACCCATGTGGCGAGCACCTCGAATATCACGGACAAGGTTCTCGCAACGGAAATTTGAGTCGAATCGTAGCCTTCTGCCAAGAGCCAGGTGACCATTTGTCCTGCGAAGGACAAAACAGTCAGATAAAGCAAAGCCCCGGCGAAAGACGGAAGGAACATGCGATGATGAAGGTAAGAGCGGAAATCTCCTAAGAACTTTCGAGCCATATTGCAACAACCCCTCCAAATATTTGATGGTTCACCTTCCACACCCAAAATTTCATCTGTAGTGAAGCGCCTTGGCTCCTGTAATTTCGGTACCTTGTAATAAACCTAAGTAAAGCGTAAGTATAATGCCTTGCTCGCCCTATCGGGGCCATCGGTAACTTGAAAATCGTACCCGGGCGATTGAGAAATATTCAACAGCCACCGAACCGGCACTCATTCCGAAGTTGACACGAATGGCGGTCTTCGGTGATGAGCTGTCAATGAACGCAATGAAGAGAGGTCCGATTAACTTGCAGATAAGGTCAATCCGTCGCATCTGCACGTTCATGGCTGAATTGAAACAGATTTAACGTGAAGTCATATTGAAGGGCATAAGATACACACTTTTGAGGCTTTCATGGTCTTCCCCGGCAACAACCACAACCTATCGAGAATCAATCAGCAGTGCATCATTATTGAAGGCTATACGTGTCCCTACCCAATCCTTTTCCACGGAGACCAGGTTCATGACGGAACATAGCTTCTCGATGCACGCTAGAAGCGCCAAAGTTGCCAGCAAACATTGATTGACCACTTGCGACATTCCTAGTCGGATAGTCAGCAAGTAGAATATCACACATGATGCAGCCACAGCGCAGCGCTGCAGGACTAAAATAGTAAGAGAATTGAGTAAGCATATGTACTTTTCGAGAACATCAGAACGGGTAAAAATGCACCGATTGAGACACGAACAACCTGTAAACGGTTTCCAACATCGATATAATGACCCACGGCGGGTGCAAAGAGAATTGCTGCTAGGCCACGCGAGAGCGCATATACAGACATGGGCAATAGGGTGCTTGGGTAGATTGTGGCCAAGTAGAGAACGGCTCCGAACTCAAACACGCGGGAATTCCATGTTGACAAGAAATGTGAAATGTAGAGAAGGTAGGCTATGCTTGCCGGGACTTGAGTCTGAGAATCACTTCCTCGCTCTCGCCGAGGGTGCTCTGGAATCTCACCTTCCTCTCGAGCGATGAGAGGAGTATGCACATTAACACCCGTTTGCTCACATGTCAGTTTCGCCATAGCTTGAGCGGCGCGGTCTCGGGGGATGAGTTGACCACTTTTTGTGACAGTGCAATGTAATGTACTTCAGATAATTTTGACGACAAGTATTTTAACAGCGGCTATGAAAGAAACCGGCAAACAGGAAATTAGCAGGAGGGGGGAGAGATGGAAGAAAGGGAGAGAGAGGAGAAGAAGGAAGAAATCTCCCACTACAAGCAGTCCCAAAAGGGAAGGAAGCCAACAGCTATCCGAAATGGCAGAGTTCAGACCCCCGGATTATATCTCCTTTTTTTTGGCTCTTTCGTTTACTTTGTTCTAATTTACGTTTGGAATTTAGACCTGCTAAAGCCCGGATCTCCACATGGTGGAGCCTCACCCAAGATATGAAACTTTCCGGCGACCGAAACGCCGGTAACGACCTTGGTAGTCTTCCTGGTATTACGTGAAGAAAACGTGGTAGAATTTATTGGTTAAGACTCATGAGATAGTTCAAATCCACTCATGTGTATTGTTAACAATATTTCTGCTTATGGAAGGTTACGACCTCGAGCCAACTATGAAAGCTCAGCTTTCTTCGCTCTGTCTGCCTTGGTCATTGCACAAGTTCCAAGCCACACTAGTCTCATCACAAACTTGCTTTCTTCGTGTATACGGGTTATCTCAGCTTGCGTCAAATTGCGAGCAGGTATGGACCGCACTGTGTTAGCAGCCGACATAAGAAGCTCCAAATCAAGCTGTGCTTGTGGATCGAGGGGATGAATGACTATGTTTAGGAAGAGTGACATGGCGGCGGTAGCAAAGTAGGATGTGAAGAATCTGTATGGCCACACTTAGTTTCATGTTCTCAAAAGCCGGAAATAAAGGGCGGAATAAAATAGAATGAAGCAAACGATGCTTACCGAAACGCTTGTTCTGCAATTGTTCTGACGAGAACTCTCAGACACGAGAGCGTTGACCTGCTCGCCACCAGAGATAGATCGAAGCTCGAATGAACTACTGCATGAAGATCCTCGATCCCATCAGCAGCTTCAGGGGTGCATTTTCTTACTGTCGTGTGGATGACAGTCACGAGGTGGTGATACTCCAGTTGTAGAGACATGCGTCGAATGATATGCGGGATGCCCTCTTCGGGTGAATTTGGTGAAGTGTTTTCAGAGACAAAAAGTGCTGGGCGGAAACTGTTAGGGATGGACAATCGCCAGCATTCGATCTCATCGTCTAGCTTTCTGATATGGAGGAGGAGTTGGTTATCGTTATATTTCAAGGCTTGGGCAGAGAAAAGTTGCCGACAGACTTTCTCCTTCAGGAGGCTAAGGCGGGTATCTCCGGGAAGATGGGGGTGAGATGCAGGTCGATTTTATCGTTAACTTCAAAGGATTCATCCAGCGCTGGCAAGTAGGTATAATAGTGCAAGAAGTCATCAGATGCGGTGAGGTCACAATAACCCTCAGTGAGAAGGGGGGATTTCCAGTGCGAAACGAAATGTCTTTGTCGAGCATGTAGCACAGCCAGAACAGCGTTCGAGTTTGGTGTTTCTCGCGTTCTAAGCGAGACATTTCACGCCCAAGGACGTTTGACGGCTTGTAGATGTGCCCCCTCAAGGAGCAGACTATGCGACACGCAATCGAATGAAAGAAGGCAGCACCTTGCCAGTGGCCACAGAACATGCGTTGTAGTTGCTATTTCAAAATTTGAGCCTAAATCCTAAAAGGAGCGAGGACGAGCGACAGTGGAATCTGGGCTTACCAATAAGAGTATTGTCTGAAGAGTCTCCAAGCTGATATCCCCAATAAGGTACATTAGAAGGAAATTCGCCTTGGCCGCACACAAGTCCGCATCTATAGGGCGGGCGCTCTGATGAGGCCTTTTTAAACGAGTCGCGATAGAAAGAGTGCCAAAAACACACGCCCTGGCCGCAGTTTGTGTGGACGAAAACATATTTCTATCCGCCGGCTTGTACGCGGTTTCCATAGTTGTCTCAAATAGAACTCGGTTCAGAACTGGGAAGGTAAGTCTAAACGAGGACCGAAAGAAGTCACTCAGTATTTCTCGCGTTGCATCCTGGTCAGGCAAATCGCATATCTCTTGAGAGAAGGATGGCGGAAGGGCCGAAAGGGGAGAGAAGTCCATTATCGGGATACAAATGTCGGTCCATGTGACATCCTGATCAGTTCTTGTTGAAACCCACCGGCAGCCTGCTTCGGAGAAAATGGGTATACCATTAAAAAACCAGTTAGGTCCCAATTGGCTTGCGGACACATCGGCCGCAGTGTGATAGTCTGCGGTGGCAGAGTTACAAGTGTTGGTAGCTGCTTGTGCGAAGACCAAGGAGGACGATGGGGAGCTTTCGGAAAGAACACTTCGCTCCCTACCACTCGATACGGTTGAAATGTTGGAGGGGTTAACTTTTGAAGAAGCAGGTATCTTTGGATCTTCGGGATTGGCCAAATCCCGACACGTCGACTCCTGCCTCGGATTGGCTTGGACCAGGGCACTTTCAAGCTGCTTGATGCGTTGGAATAGGGCCTGTACGTTGCTTGATGCCTCACTGCAAGAAGAGGACCCGACAGGTAAGGAGTTAGAGGGAATTTACATAATTCCAAACACGGGGCCTAAAGGGGACGTCACACACCTGGTCCGCTGCTTCTTCCGTGGCCTCTCCCGGTCGAAGGTACACTCAAGGCTACGACGAACGCACCGCTCGCAGGGACCTTCGGGGTTAGGGACAGAGCACACCGTCTAAATGGGGAGGGGAGTAAGGGTCAGTAAAGCCAGGAGACAACAGAGGCCAATAGTTCGGGCATATCGAATACGGTGACTTGCCTTCTTCTCATAGCAGATATCGCACGCTCTTTTTTGAACAAACGCTTTTTTTGGAGGCATGGCCGCGAAGGGTAATCAATAGAGGATTCCGGAGGGAGTCCGGAGGGGTTAATTTCGGAGGTTGCGGAGGTTTCGGGGGATTTCGGAGGCTGCAATTATTGTAGCCACTCCGGAACCTCTGGAACCTCCGGTACCTCCGGATGATCACTTGGATGATCACAACATTACCGTTATCGATCCGACTAGGGCCAATGCATCGGGTCTATAAAAGATGTCTTCCCTGCCACCTTCTATGGTTCCTGTTGCTCACTCCAACCACGGAAGTCTGAGCGCTTATCTTCTCAATGGCGAACATCGTTGCTAGATGCCACAAGCTTCTGGAGGGTGAAATTCTCCGTCGCTCCTCACAGATTGTTTCGGTCGTTGGTGATCAAGCGTACATTTTTGGTGGGGAACTGCGACCGCGTGAGCCTCGAGACAATGATGTCCACGCTGTTTCATTGGGCAGCAGTAAGTTGCGACGCGTTGTGAACAAGAGAATTCCCAAATTTGACAACGACACTGAAACCCGTTACCATAATCTAGGGAATGTCATGATTACTACCGTGGCTGCAACATCCCAATCTCCCTCCCCACGTGTTGGGACTGCAGCTTGTACACTGAACGGGAAAGTCTATCTATTCTCTGGCCGAGGTGGTGTCGCGATGGCACCTATTGAGGAGCAAGGCGCGGTCTGGGAATTTGACCCTACCGCAGCAAGTTGGTCACTCATTTTGCCATCGGATGCGAAACCAAAGGCGTTCCCGGTCGCTCGCAGCTATCACTGTATGGCCAGTGACGGGGAAAATACACTTTACCTGCATGCGGGTTGCCCTGAAAAGGGAAGGTTATCGGATCTATGGGCTTTTAACCTCTCCCAGAGAGACTGGACAGAACTTGCCCCAGCATTTGATCCTCCACGTGGTGGTACTTCGATCGCCTTCACAGATGGCAAGCTGTATCGAATGAATGGATTCGATGGGAATACTGAACAAGGGGGAAATTTGGACATATACTCCCCGGAAACAAACTCTTGGGCTTCGCACGTTTATTCACCCGATAGCAAAGCAGGCCCGACACCGCGAAGCGTGAGTTGTTTGCTGCCGATTCGTCTGGAAGACCGGTCATTCTTAATCACCTTATTCGGTGAATGTGACCCTAGTTCATTGGGTCACCAAGGAGCGGGAAAGATGTTGAGTGACATGTGGGTATTTGACATTACAAACAAGAAATGGGAGAAAGTTGTTGTTGCTCAAGGAGATGAACTTCCTCTTGCACGGGGCTGGTTTGATGCTGATGTCGTCGGTACAAATGCTGTTGTGGTTCACGGTGGGCTAGGGGAATCGAATGAGCGGTTGGGGGACGTGTGGACTATCGAACTCTCTTGATATTCACTGCTCTTGACGGGGAATTTCGAAACCAAGCCTCGGAGAAGGGTAGCATGACATGCCGAACAGAGATCCCAGAAGCTCTCATCCCAACCGCAATTAACGAAACATCCTTCCAATGACCTCCTAGACTATTCTTAACGTAGTATAGTAGATCTTGGCATTAGGGTTCGAGACAAAATCGAAGAGTATAGGTGGTGACACCAGTTTTGAGATGTACTGTAGCGATGCGACCGGAAGGATAGCATGCTGCTACCGTGGGCATGGTAGGAGGCATCAAACATCTCGGGTGCTGATGCACACGGCATTAAAGAACTAATATTTGTGAAATCATGATCGATATAAAATATATAAGATGCTCGCTCTGCATGATGTATTTTAGGGCATTCAGGCCGACGTACCAGCAGCACTATCTCGCCTAGCCTATTGATATTTTCCAGCTTGTTGATAGATAGCGTGCAAAAAGTAATGTCCGGAAATAATCTGTATGGCAGACAAAGGATCTCCAAGGTAAATGACATTTATTAGGTTGTCTTATGTATTTTTGACGCGACATAAATATGTATAGGATACTCGTGACATCAGCCATAATTATACCTAGAGTGCATATGTTCAATTCGCATCTGTCCAATATGTTCAAATAGTGAGATCAGTCACTAGTAACTAACCCGCCGAACGTGGTCAATCTTGTCTGCTACACTCTGTAACCAAAACCGATCAGCACAGCTCTTGCCACTAAGCTCTCAGTCCAAACTTACCTGCATCTGTGCCGCCTGGCCACCCCGGGGGTTTTGGCCTCCATAGATAGCAGCTTCGGCATGCTGCGCATTTCGTGCATCATCCTTTGTGACATAAACGGGCACATCAGCGCGAGCAGTAAGCCCCAATGCCTCATTGCTGTCGGCGATTGACCGGACCTGGGCAGTAATGAGGCCGATTCTGAGCGGTTGATTAAATGCTCGTCCCTATGGGAACTTCGTTAGTGTTTTGCAAACATGTGAATTCTCTCGGGTTTCTTGACCTCCGTTGCTTGGATTTCATCTGCGTCTGCGACCGAAATTGAGCTTGATGGTTTCCGAGAAACCTCATTGACCTTGTTTTCAAAGTTCATTTGCCGCATGTATAGACTTTGGGCGGTAGCTTTTTACGATGAGTATTGAGCTTCTTGCAGAAGGAGCAACTTTGAATTACCAGCTGGTCCACCTCGAGCAGGTCCATTTCCAGTTAGCGTACTCTCAGCTTGCGAGATTGCTGAAACATCGTCTTGTGTGATACGCTGCCCGCTCTCCGCAGCGAGCTGGATTTCGGCGACGGTGGGAATATCGAAACTCATAATATAGAAGAACGTGTACCTTGGCTTGAATGCCTTAGTGTTGACATTATTCCGTTGGCATATATAGTTCGACCCCAGATGCGGTGATGTCACGGTGAGGGCATTGCCTCGCTGCGTAAGTGGTGGTGGCGTTGACTATATCATTAATGATTAGAACATTCGGTACACTTCAATTGATGATGGATCGTGGGGCATGAGCTAGACCTATAAATTTATCATGTTGCCATTTGGGCAACGACCTTCCCTCCCATCTCGGCTAGCTCCAGGCAGCCCTGTCTGAGTTTTATCTGTAGGATCCCGTGGTAAGACAAGCCCACTTTGCGTTACTACCGAGAACTTGATATCACTATTTTACCTTTAAGTGCTCCCAAAGTTCAGGTTTGAGATGCAGACATGTCTACAATGAATAGAGTTTGAGGGATACACCAAAACATTTCCCGCTGCCAGTGCCACTTAACTTCTCAAAAGTCAAATCATCTTCCAATTAGATCAGTTGACCACTCATGCCATGATGGCGAAGAACAAATTCGACAATCCAATCCAGAGGGTGTATCACGTTACGCAGACTGGGTGGTAGAGCCACGGACCCTGTTAGTGCAGGAACATCTTATTCCGTCAACTATTTTCACAAGTGATCCCTGAGTCACGAAAGTCAGGTCACGGCGATGTACGCGCCTTCGAACCCTAGACCCTGTCGGGTTCAGTTGGATCTCTCGTGATCTGAGGTTCAACGGACACAAGACACACCGAGTACCAACTCTATCCACTTTAGGGATCGTATTACCATTGTTGAGTTCAAGAATTCGTGTTGACGTTGATGTCTTTCAACTCTCGGTCAGTTCTGGGACTCTATTGGGGGTTTATTTGGTAACCAAGGCAGTTACAAAGTATTAGCTATATTTGAGGATATATATCAATCCCAATATCGAAGACTTTACCAAGGCACCAGAAGAAAAGTGTGACTGGGTGTTCCGCCGTATATCTTATTCAATGACATTGTCACTTTTCATATCTGTGAGTCTCAATAGGGTTGAATTTACTCAGAATGCATGTGAGTTCTATTTGTACATACCTAATATTGCACCAACTTCATTGTAAATATGCGCATTGTTATTTATCCATACCTTAAGACTGAGCATGTTTATATCTCTTGGCAGTAACAAAGCGGTGGAGAAAGCTGGACTAACAATTCAGTCAACAAAGTCGACCAATCAAAGCCGTTTGTCATCCCGGTCCAATCCCGGTACCGGGATAACAATGCTACAGTTCCTTCTTTCTCCAATTCCAATTCCAGTCCAAAGCATCAACGACGCGAATGAGACGAGAATTCTGACACCGGTTCCGCTCTATTTAGTATATCGGTATCCCAACGCTAGAATGCCGAGGGCCCGAGCCCCCAGCATAACGTGAGGCCCACTCCATGTTCTTCGTTTGGAATAAAGCTGAAATGGAGAGAGTTAGACACCTTCCCAAGAAGGGAAAGAAAGCATGCGACGAGTGCCGCCAGCAAAAGGTCTCAGCGATCCCGGGCTTGTGGGGACAATGCACTAACCTTTGCAGGCCAAATGTGATGTCTATTTGGACCTGGACCAGCCTTGTTACCGGTGCCGCAAACTCAAGATTGCGTGCATCGTATCTGATGGCTTCACGAGGGAGCACAAGCGTCAGTAAGAACCTCCGGATGAGTAACACAGAAAAAGAATTATGTTCTTACATATACTTCTCAGACGCCTCGAGGGCCTGGAACGGGAGAGAGAGCAGTTGCGGCAACAACTGGAAGATGCTCAACAGGCGAATCCTCACTTTACACCCATCGCCTTGCTGACGGCCGCGGCAGAGATGGGAGTACCGATTGAACCCAAACAAAATGATTCCTTCGTGGGTTGGCAGGATCCACCGGCGCCCTATCCGCAACAGCATAATGCACCGGCGATTTCGTTATCGAGTCCGATATTGGAAGGGCTTGATGCCACAGTGTCTCGGACTTTGAAAGGCATCACAGTTACTGGAAAGGAAATTGATGACCTTTATCAACTGTGAATGAGCCTAGAATGCTCTCGTGGTTAGCCAGAACTAACATTTGACAGGTTCTTCCGACATTTTGCCCCGGTTTTGCCCATCCTTGACCCCCAAACCAGGCCGAATGCCTATTACGCACAGTCGTCATTCCTTTTCTGGGCCGTTATCGGTGTCAGCAGTAGGTCCTATCCCCAGAATCCAACACTACAGACAGCGCTGGCCCAGGATGTCACCGAAATGGCATTCATGTCAGTCCTATCGACATGTGCGCCGTGGCATACAATTCAGGGCATGCTGCTCCTGTTGACATGGCCGTTTCCCAAGGAGAATCGCCCAGATGTTACCTTCCCTTTGAGTGGGATGCTGTTGCATGTAGCGATGCAGAATGGCTTTCATATCCCAATGTCCAGCCATGAATTTTCTAGGATAAGTATTCCGGCACCCTCGGAATTGGATATGGTCCGACGCTCAGAGCTCTGGGCACATTGTGTTCTTGTGTACCAACGGTGGGTTTTAAAATGAGTACTACCTGAGAATAGAATCACACTGATGAATCGAATAGGTCTTGTGTGATTAAAGGTCAATCTCCGCGGAACTTGGTCAACTTGGCCCAGGATCCTACCCAACATCAAGTACTGTTCGATAAGATTGCCCCAGGTCTTGCTTTGAAACTTCGATGTCAGGAGCTTGTGACGAAATGCAGCGAGGCAGTATTGGAAAATGGAGTCCGTGCTATGACCCTTGACCAAGAGCGGTCTTTGGACATCTTGCTTCGAAGATACGAGAGCCAAGTAGATGAACTTGAATTGCAGACGGTGGCTGGTTTGTTCTCTCGTTCTCTCGTCAAATTTTATAGTCACCTCTCCTCGCTGACTGATTCTTGCTCTTCTACAGACGATGAAACGTTTCACCTGCTTCTGTGCCGGATGGCAATCCAGAGTTTCCATTTCTACAAGAGCCAAACGACCGTCTCCAGTGGATGTCTTCCTCGCCTTATTGTTACCGCCTGCAGTCTGATAGACTACGTGCAGGCCCTGCGGGACCGAATGGGGTTCCTTTCCATGGCACCAGTTCAAATCGGCTTTGGTGTGCTCCTTGCTTCAATCTCGCTGCTTCGAATACTCAAAAGCAACATCGCCTGCAGTGTACTCGAGACCAGTCGTGCACGAACCTCCTTTTTTGCAACTATCAATCTGGCTAAACAAATGTCAACGGACAGGACAGATACAGCGGCGAAGACTATCACCGTTGTGAATCAGCTATGGAATAGTAGCAAGGCATTCCGCAAAGCCGACGGTTCAGAATACACCGCGCTTCGCATCCGCAGCCGTTTGATCCTTAGCCAGATTCTAGATGCTGTCTGGTGGTGGCGAGACGAATTCGATCCCGGGGCTCGGGCCAAAGTGCGAGGCACTGACTCATTTGATGGTTGTTCTTCCCGAAATTACGCGTGGCCTGCGGATACAGGCCGCCCTGCCACGGGATCTGATCCTAATCGTGAGCCTTTTGGAAGTACAATCCAGAACTTGAGTGCCCCACAGGAGCAGTTCCAGATGGATGAAGACTTCTTTTCAAACTTCGAGTGGGCACTCAGTGACGATGCACTTTTATCTCTGGATAGTTGTTCGACTAATTGGTCCATGACCAACCATCTGCCGTGAAGACTAGTTTACTCAAGAGCTTCTGGATTTGAGACGGCATCGGATTCCAGAAGCGATAACCCTCCTAGTCGACAAGACCAGATGCCACAGGGCGATAAGACATATTTATACCCCAAGCTGTTATAGTTGCCGACCCGGGGTCATATCTTGGCTGGTTGAATCTGCATGCGTCAGCGCGTCTTAGCCACATTTGAACATGTCCACCTCCCGAGTTGAGATGTCAAAACAAAGATCTTACCGGGAAATCCGAGTCATGTTCCCTAGTCCGTCGAGACACTTGCAGATATGATGGACGCGCGGCATGCAGCCTATCGGCAGATGTTAGGAACTGAAGATCGTGGAGATGGCCTAATTGGCGTGATACTATCCTCGTTTGGGTTGATACCTCGGCCACGTGGTAGGAAACGTCTTCCAGGTGGGCATCTATATGAAGACATTGTCGTTTAGATGTCTGCAGATGTATGTGTGAACGAGAGTCATGGGTGAGCCTTTGACAGCTTTCTCGCTTGGACTGATATCTCTATCTTTACCCCTCCAATGAATCCAATGAATTAGCCTGATAGATGTACCCGGGCCTAATCATCGATTGTACTTATATTTTCCAATTGTTTTTCGTAAGAGGAATTCACCTTTGTTCTATGTTCATAACATGAAGGTCCTCCATTTTGGTGTTCGTCAATGGCCACCTCCGCCGTCCGACACCCCTGCCACTCCGCTGCGACTCCGCGGGGCCTCCGGTCTGAGACAAAGCCACGCGACGCTAACATTTGCCACTAAATTGTGGTCTTCTTAGTCTGGTGGTTTTGAGCGCAGGCTTGGATCTCCGCTAGAAAAGTTTCCCCGCATTACAGTCTGATCGCATGCCTTGCCCTACCTCGGGTTCCGCATTTTCCCAAAGTGAGAATGAATGTATCACTCATACATTCACATGTATTTGAGAATCGGGGATACTGTATATCGATCGTGTAGGCCAATTCCCCCAGGATTCGCCTAATCTCGAGAGATAAGAGGCTACAACCGGGTGTTTCTATTACAGGGGTAGTTCCGTGTTCGGAATGGCTTGGCATCAGCCCAATATCCTACTGCTAACATCGATTTCGACTAGTGCCGGAGACGCACTAAATTGGCTTGCAGCGGGGGTCGCTGGTTGGTTCGCCGCCACTTTAGCTGCAATGTTAGCCCCAGAGCTAAGACAATTAAGGCAGGTCTCCGCCAACTCCCAAGGACGTGCGGGCGCCGGCTTATCACTAATAAGCTATTCAGTGGAGTTGCTTCTTTAGTGTCTTGAACGTTATCAGTCTCGGCTTGGGGCTTCCATTTCGGGGAATTATGGCCCCATGCCCCATGTCCAATGGTGAAATGCACTCTATACAGCTAACTATTTGGTTGTTTCTTCGGTCCAACCCCCTGGCATCCGATCGAGGCCACGATAGATGAGGACCCTGAGAAGTAACCCTAGAAACGCCACCAGCTATCTATACAATATCTATCCATATCAGTGGCGGGGGAAGGGGTGGTCTGAGAGCTATCGATGTCCACTGGCGGTTATTCCTTGTCGGGTCGTGGCTTGCGCTGTGGCACCTGGCACCTTAACTTTTTGCCTTATGCGCCTCTTAGATCGAGTCCTGTTCGTCGATTATCACCCCCTGCTCACTTTGACTTCTCCACCTTGCATTCTCCCTCGAATCATCTTTCTCCATTCCTACGCGGTTTCATTTACATCTAAGGCCGCCACACGAGGTTACATCCATTTCCGGATAAACTTGAGATATCGCCTTCGGTCGATAAGGCGGAGCTCCGTCGGTCTCGTGTGTGCTGTTCGCATAAATTATATGCGAAACCCCCTCTTATTCTCACATCTTGATTCTCGCATGCCTATCTTCTCCCTGTGAAGCTCACTTCTGCGCTCCACATTCATCATGGAGAAGGACGAGTCTATCGCCATTACCACCGGCGCCATGATCGACGAGACCGCGCCGGATGAGGCCCTCAAGCAGTTGCGCAACTTGAAGAATCACCACCACTGGGATCCTAACATGCCTGAGGATGTCGTCGACGAGCTTGACGAGGCTTTGAACACCACCGACGAGAAGACTCGGATCAGCGTTGCCCAGGAGCTCATCGACAATTCGCCTTATCCCGAGGTTCGCGCTGCTGTCCCAAACATCGATGAGGGTGGTGCTGTCAACACCATTCGCGCTTGGGTGATTGGACTGGTCTTTGCGACTATTGGTTCTTCCCTGAACATGCTTTTCTCCATGCGTCAGCCATACATTGTTATCCCCTCTTACATCGCCCAGGTCGCCGCCTATCCTGTTGGAAGGGCCTGGGAGAAGATCATGCCCAACAAGACCTTCCGCGTCTTTGGTAAAGAATTTGGCCTCAACCCAGGCCCTTTTACCAAGAAGGAACATGCAATTGTGGTTATCATGGCTAACGCCACCTTTGGTGGTGGCGCCGCCTACGCGACGGATGTCCTCTTGGCTCAGCGCGCCTTCTATGGTCAGCGCTTCGGCTGGGGCTTTGAGATCTTGATGTGTATCTCCACTCAAATGCTTGGCTTTGGCATGGCTGGCTTCTTCACCAAGTTCCTGGTCCAGCCCGCCGCCATGATCTGGCCCTCCACTCTCATCAACACCGCCCTTTTCTCTGCGCTGCATGATCGCTCCCTTCCCGATCCGAGCAAGGTCGCTGGCTGGAAGATTGGTCGGTACCGTATGTTCTTGTACGCCATGATCGGTTCCTTTGTTTGGTACTGGTTCCCTGGCTTCATCGCTCCCTTCCTGAGTGTATTCGCTTGGATTACCTGGATCAAGCCAAATAACGTTATCATTAACCAGCTCTTCGGTGGAGCGACTGGCCTTTCTCTCATCCCCATGACCTTCGACTGGACTCAGGTTTCCGGCTTCAACTTTAGTCCTCTGATTGCCCCCTGGTATGCCATGGCGAATACCCTGATCGGTATGGTTCTCTTTTTCTGGATTGTCACGCCAGCCATCCACTACTCTGGTCTCTTTTACTTCAAGTACCTGCCGATCAGCGATTCCAGCAGCTACGACAACACTGCCAACACCTACAATGTCAGCAAGATTCTCACTCCCCAATTTACCTTTGACGCCGTCAAATACAAGGAATATTCTCCTCTCTTCCTGTCAACCACCTTCATGCTCTCATATGGTCTTTCATTCGCTAGTATCGTCGCCGTGGTGGTCCACACCGGCCTGTTCCACGGTGTTGATATCTGGGCTCGTTTCCGCAGAGTCGGCAGAGAAGAGGAAGATGTTCATGGTCGGCTCATGTCTAACTACAAGACCGTTCCTGTCTGGTGGTATCTTGCTTTGTTCCTTGTTATGATGGCTATTGGTCTGGGTGTTGTACTTGGCTATCCCACTCATCTAAGCTGGTGGGCCTTCTTTATCGCCCTGATTATCTCGGCTGTTTGGTTCATTCCTCTCGGAATCATCAAGGCCTCTACCAACATTGATCTCGGTCTCAATGTTATTACTGAGTTCATCATCGGATACATGCAGCCTGGAAGGCCCATGGCTATGATGCTGTTCAAGACCTATGGTTATATTACCATGTACCAGGGAATGTACTTCACCCAGGACTTGAAGATTGGTATGTCTCTCCTCTCTCCCGGCGCAAATGCCGACTTACTAACTTTCACCCAGGTCACTACATGAAGATCCCTCCCCGTGTCACTTTCAGCGCGCAGATGGTCGCCGGTGTGTGGTCCTCTCTCGTGCAGATCGCCACCATGAACTGGGCCCTCGGCACCATCAAGAATGTCTGCGACCAGCACCAGGTCAACCACTACACCTGCCCCAACGGTCGTGTGTTCTTCAACGCATCCGTCATTTGGGGTGTCATCGGCCCAGCCCGCATGTTCTCAACCGGCGAACTTTACTCACCACTCATGTTCTTCTTCCTCGCCGGCCTCATCCTCCCAATCGTCATCTACTTCGTCGCCCGCACCTTCCCCCGCACCCCGGCCAAGTACCTCAACGCCCCTATCATCTTCGGCGGTGCTGGTTTGATCCCTCCCGCTACCCCCCTCAACTACCTGTCCTGGGGTATCGTTGGTTTCGTCTTCAACAAGTATATCCGTGACCGCTGGCGCGGGTGGTGGATGCAGTACAACTACGTCCTCTCCGCCGGTCTGGATGTCGGTCTGGCGCTCTGCACCATTCTGATCTTCTTGACTCTCAACCTTACCGGCACTTCCTTCCCTGAATGGTGGGGAACACGCATTGCGTCTGAAACCTTGGATATGGCGGATGCCGCTATCCAGATTCCTCTCGCTGAGGGCGAGAGGTTTGGACCTGCCTCTTGGTAGAGGGTGCAACGTGGAGGGAACTCTTTGTTTCTTCTGAAGGGGGCCTCAGTTGAAGATGTCGATTAGGTGCCGGTGCTAATATTCGCATACCCATTTAATCAACGCCAGCAACGAACAGTAACGCCCTAATGATAATTTGTTCTGTTGAATCATTTTCTTGTAATGTCGTCAGTCGATTCCAGTAGTGTGGAATCTAATATCAAGCTGTATATCCATGTGCAATTATGGGTGACAGAGAGTCAAGGAAATAAGTATAAGCACTCAAGCAAACCATCGATGAATAATATCTCTATAATTCGGTAGCCCTGTATACTGTACGCTGCTTATGCGAGATCATGGGTGTCTACCAGGATGATCCATATCACTGTTGGACAGCTGACAATTTGTACGACTGTAGTATGCGTCTGTTACACGACTCTTTTCTCTCAATTCCCTCTTCCCCGATCCCTTCAACGACCGTTTCTCTCATGCCCAAGCAGCGGTTTTCCTTGAACACCTACCACAACGCCCTCACCATGTCACTGTTTTACACTGATTTATTGCTCGAGAACAAAAAAATAATACATTTTAATTTCAATGCAAATATACAAAAAAATATATACAAACTCGTCAGATTCGCAATATTTACAAGTCCCACAAAGACCAGCTCCACATTGAAATCGATAAGACAAATAAAAAGGAAATTCATCAGCGGCAGTGCATATAACCGTCTACTCGAAGGATAAACGCCATACCACAAACCGATTCATCGAATCGTGACATAGAATGATACCAGCATGTCCAGATTCATACCCATATTCGTTCGGATCATCCAAGATCCAATTCCACCCTAGGTCCAATCCTTTTTTTAATGCATGCTAACTCTCCCAAGAGAAGGTAAGAGTTTAAACAGCGATTCTGCGGCGGCGCATACCAACTTGAAGACCAAGAGGCTTGCGCAGGAAACCTTCGCGGGTTTCCATGGGTCCGTCCTGCTGCATCTCGAATTCGAAGAGGCGGAAGACAGTCGCGACTATGACGAGGAGTTCCATCTCAGCGACATTGCGACCGACACATGCGCGGGGTCCGTGGCTAAAGGGGATGAAGGCGGCCTTTTGGCGGGGGGTGAGGCGCTCGGGGCTCCAGCGCTCGGGGACGAACTGCTCGGCGTCAGGTCCCCAGATCTCCTTTGAGCGGTGGATGGTGTAGCTGGGCACTGAGAGGACGTCGCCGGCCTTGAAGGTGTGTCCAGCGATGACGATAGGGGGGCGCCACGGGGAATTTCACGGGGAAGACCCATGGCGGAGGTGCTGTGGATACGCATGGTTTCCCAGATGACCCATTGGAGACTGAGATTCGTCAGTTTTGGTTTCAAGGTGTGGGAGGGTGTGGTGGGGACTTACTAGGGAAGATCCTTGACCATAGCGTGGGTGGGAACCTCCATGTCTTTGGGGATACCCTCGTCGAGGACCTTGTGCAGCTTGGGGATAACACCGGGGGTACTCATACACCAGTACAGGATTGCACAGGCGGTGTTGGAGGTAGTATCGGAGCCAGCAATCAGTTGGGTGAGAGCCTCGGCGGTCAACTCAGGGCCACCAAGGTTGTTACCATTTCCGTCCTTGCCTTCCATCAGGCGGGCGAGCAGATCGACACGGGTGTTGTTGGCAATGACTTCGGGCTTGGTACGTTCGTTGACACGGGCGATGGCGATACCGGCAAGGTTCTCAACAGCCTGCAAACCCTCGCTGAAGAACTTGTCGGGGATGTACTTGGCGAAGGGGATGAGGGAAGGCATGCAACCCAGGGTAGCAGAGACTTCACCACGGCGGTTCAGAACCTCGACAGCGGCGACATACTTGGGAGGGTCTTTGGGGTGCATGCGCATCTCGGCAATATCCTGACCCTTCTCGAGCATGCCAAAAGGAGCACCGAAAGCCAGGTCACCGATGATATCAAAGGCCAGGAAGTTGAACCAGTTCAGGGCGTCAAGGCTAGCATAGCCAGTCTTGGGGTTTCCCTGAAGGTCAGAGAGCTTTTGCCACTGCTTGACAAACTCCTCAATGTTGCCATGGATGTATTGCTCAAATTGGCCAATGGACTTGGCACTGAAGGTGTGGGAGACAGTCTTGCGCTTGCGGGTATGCTCGGCACGGTCACGGGTGTTGAACAAACCACGGCGGATAGAAACGAAGGCATCGTAGAAGTCACTGGATATTGTTAGCCGGGGGTATTGGTAAAAGGGTGAGGATGACATACGCCTTCAAGAAGCCGTTACCGTGTCCATAGATGCTCTGGATTGCCTGGTCATCGGCAATGGAAACCTGCGTGGGCGAAATACGCACGAGCTTGCCGTGCTTCTTGTGGAGGTCGTCGACTCGCTGGAACTTGTGGCCTTGACGGGCCTGCAGCAGCAACCAAAAGTTGGTGAAGGCAGCAAAGCTAGGAGCAGGGATGTCCCGCAAGTGCGACCGCTGGAGGTACGGCACCAAGTAATAGGCGCCAAGCAGGGCTAGGAGGATGAACGGGACGTTCTCGAGAGTGACAAGCATGATGCGGAGAGTATAAGGTATAGGAGGTGTCAAAAGGTATGGAAAAGGCTCCGACAGTACGGGCCAAGAGTACAATGTCGATCACAATCAGGGATAAAAGGAGGTATGTATATAATGAACACTCAAGTTGACTTCAGGATTCGAAAACCATGAACACCAAAGGCTCTTAGGGCATGATATTTATGCAGAAGGGGACGTCTGGGGTCAATGAATCATCCCCGAGGCAAAGACAAACAACGGTAAGCAGTTTCGGTAGTGTGGAGTAGGAACGTTGGCGGCGGAGATCCGTGGAGAGTGCCGTCTTGAGCCCCCGAGCACCGGCTTCGGTTATTCGCCTGGCGAACCGAGCAATCAGCGTTCGCTAATTTGCGTTGGGGCCCCATTCTCGGTGTGTATCGTCGCGTCTTGATTTGACGCCGAGTTGTGGGGGAATTCGTCCACGTGAGGGAGTGCAGAGGAATAAATCACGTGGATTGCTTGATGTTGGCCTTAACTCTCAGGCTCTCGGAGAATTGTGCACTCACTGATGAACATATTGGTCATAATTAACGTTAATGTACATAAACATATCTCGACTCTATTTCTGAGCTATCTCTCTCTATAATCCATGTGTCGCCAGGAAATCATGGATCTGCTGGTAGGCCCCAGTGGCGTTGTGGTGCAGGTTGATGCCGTGGCCGGTGTTTGGTTGGATATAGGCAGAGAAAGCACTGGCCGAGAGGAAGACCGCCTTTGCAGCCGCAGGAATAGACTCTGCAGCACCACCAGTGGCAAAGCAGTCACCTCCACAGAAGGGGATGTCCTTGTCGCCGTTGATGATGTACACGGGGCCAGCGAACTTGTTCAGAGGCGCCATGCTGGCGACGGTCAAAAGTTCGCCAATGGTGGACGGTTGCTTAGTCGCTTCGGCGAAGGCAAGAAGATCCATGTCGAAGTGTCCAGGGGCGAAGTAGAGGTACATGTTGTTGCCAATGTCGCCGCTGGTGAAGTATCCAGCGCTGTAGTCTGATTCCTGGCGTTTGTTGAATCGAGCTTGCTGGAAGTTGGCACCGGAAATGAACATTCCCATGAAGGAGGCATTCATTGAGAATCCAGTCAGAATGATTCCATCAGACAGATCGGGGTACTTGGCTGTCAAGCCGTATGTCTGGGCCGATCCGAAGGAATGGCCAACATGGACGATCTTAGAGGGCTGCTTGATGCATGAATCAGATATGGAACCCTCGCGCACCATCCGGGTAAGCTGGGCCAGGGCCTCGAGTTCCAAGAACGACTGGATCTCGTTCTTCGCATCTCCGTGGGAGGATTTGCCGAGGCCAAGTCGATCATAGGCTAGAGTGTGATAGCCCCGGGACAAAGCATGGTCGACGTAGGAGTAGTTGTGGTTCTCATAGGGCAGGTCCCAATAGCTAAATCAATAGTGTTAGAGTAGGCAATAGTGGAAATGATCGGCACAACTCACCTCTTGTCAAAGCCCATTCCATGGGTCAGGATTTGAAGTACATGAACGCTGTCACCGACATTGTCGGGCATACAGTACTGGGCGGAGATGTCATAGAGCCCAGAGACAGTGGCATAGCCAGACAAGGCATCCGCTGTCACATTGGCAGCCTGCGTACTTGCGTGGAGGGCGAAAGCAGTAGCGTCAATATTTGTCTGGGGGGTGCTGATCTTGTCGAACACCCCGTTCCGGGCTGTAACTGGGACTTGCACGGTCATGTCGTAGCAAGTCTTCGCAGATGCAACTCCAGCCGCGATGGCCACGAGGCCAATTCTAGAAACATGCATGATGTATGGTAAATTGACTGCAAGTATGGAATATGGAAACCTACGGCGGATGTACGGGCTTTATATCCAACCTATTGAGTTAGAACCCCGCTACTGTACGATGCAATCCTGAGGGACGATGTATTTGTATTTGGGCATGTAGACTCCATTCATTTGCCAATGAGAAAGTCTATTGAATGTGTACAAAATTGGGACTTGTGTGGAGACCGCGCGAAATGTAGATCCGTAATGCACGTCCAAGGGGCATTCTCGGGCTATTGGCGTTTAGCGTCAAAAGAGCGGGTAAAGGGAAATTAAATACCGACCATCATCTCATAAGTTCCTATACACAGCGAATTATCTAACGCGATCTGATTCATTCTCGCTTTCGGTCTCGGCGCAGATCCGAGCTTCTACTGTACAAACATCGATGCTTAACGGGAGATCCTCCAACGCTCTGAGATCAGAGAAGCTCGGGCTAAGCAATAGGCAATAGAGTACAGGTTAGCGTGGGGTAACGTTAGATAGTTATAGTACATGTTCCATTACCCCTGTCACGCGGAAGGAGAAGCTTCAGGGTACATACATTTCGGCATTTTTATGAAAACATGTGCGTGCCCTGAATACCGAGCCATGCGGCTTGTTGGAGCCAAATTGACAAATCTCTGAAACAATCTAGAGAGTCTAACCCGACAAGGCTGAGGATTTGAAGATCATTGAAGATCAAAGATCGGGCCAAGTGCCCCCGAGCCGGGTTATGTCCCGTGCTTGATCTAGCACACATTGAACAAAAAGCAAAATAGTACCAAAAATGAGGTTAAAAAAACTAGAGTCCATGTACAAAGCGGACCCCCTGAGCCCGATGCAGTATGCAAATCCCAATCATCGCAGCCTTGAATGTGTATATCGTGAGCCTAAATCACCACCGATCCCCTTCCACTTGAAACAGGCCATTCTTCTTCTTCTCCACATCCCACCGCTCTATCCAAGCTTTCATCGAGTCCCGGCTCTTCTGACTGCCCACATTAACTGTGGGAATGATGCGGCCGATACGTAGAGCGCAGCAAAACATGGTCAGCTCGCGAAACGAACTGTGTTCGCTGTAAGGCACTCCAAAACAAGCGCTCTCCCGCGTGCTTCCGCGTTGTGGAGTCAGGTTTTGACTGGTGAATGGTGTCTTCCAGTTTTCGCCATGTAGGACTGTGGACACTGGAGGGTTCTGTAGCATTCGCCCGGCCGGCGGGCGGTATGTCCAACCCGTTGGCCGGAAGCCAACGACTCGGGAAAAGTGTGGTTTGAGGGTGTCAAGGTAGTCTGCCAGAGTGTCGGCACGAATCTCGAAAAGTGTCTGCATATGCACTTGCGCTTCGTGGGGATTGTCGGTCAGCAGCGCAGAGAGTTCTGGGTCTTCCAGACAGGCGCAGATTCGTCGCTTTGGCGGGGTTGCGAAGATCTTGGACCCGAGTGCCTTTGCAATGCCCATACATATCCGCTCTTTGCCAATGCTATAGGTGCCAATCACCACCAGGAGTCGACCGCCAACCTGCGCCGCTCGGTCTGGTGGCTTGTTTGCCGTTACAGTGGAAATAAACTTGTTCATCAAACCACCCGCACTATTCCCAGTATTAAGTCCGACTCCAGCCTCTTCATCTAGACGGACGCAAAGATCTTGGCAGGCTGAGATCACATCCTGCTGGTCTGGGAATGCATATTTGGGGCTCAGATAGGTTGTATCGAGGTAACATACGTCGATCCGTTGCTGCCGCGGCTTGCCAGTGACTGGATTGATGACATCCGGGCGCAAGAGCGGATGCTGCACCTGGAGTGGAGATGCCCGAAAATCACCGCAATGTAGTATTCGCTGGTGGTGGGGATTGGGTCCATTGCCAAACTTCTTCTCAAAAAGAAACAGAGAGCTGCCAGGACAATGATTTGCGTGGAGCATGGTGACCTGTACTCCTCCCGTGTTCGGTACCTCGGATGTGGATTCGAAGTCGAGACCAACTATCCACTTGGGATCGACGCGGAGCTGTTGGCGGACAAGATTTGCGGTAGGTCGGCTGCAGTAGATAGGTCCGTGGCACCAAGACTTGCTGAGTCCAATGTAGTGATCACTATGGAAGTGGCTTAAAAAGTAGGCGTTACATCCTTCAACAGCCCCGTAGCGAAATGCATCTACACATATTGAGAATCCAGGCATGATTTTGTAGAAAGGACAAGTCCGCTGATAGGCTTGCTTGCCACGAGATGACACTTCATTAGCGGCAGCGGCAGCCCAGGCCGTGTCTTCTGCGTTTCCTGCCATCATCTTGGAGAACGCTGACCGTCCATTGGGCTTGTTCTGCAAGTATGGATCAAGTTGCGCAGGCCGAGCTACAGCGGCTCGCTCGATTCGCGTCAGCGTTTTGTCGGGGTCCATAGGCTTTTCGGGTGGTTTGGAAGTCGGCTGGGGAGTAGAAGTCGCGGTGATAGAAGTGGGTTTGCCATCTAGACAGTCGTTGACATGCACTGAAATATCCTAGTTTATTAATGAGTATGATAGACTTCAAATAGAGCAATGGACACCCACCGTTTCATTCAGGCCGTTGAGTACTGCCTGACAGATAGGACACATTCTCACTTCATCCTCCGTCTCCTCTAATCCAGAACAATCATTCCAATCATCTGCCGCGTCCGCCTCAAATTCGCTTTGCCGCTCCTGCTCTTCAGTTTCCCATGGCCGTTCTCGAAACTCTTCCCCTATAAGCTCGTCTTCTTCTAGATCGTCAAAATTCGCGTATTCATCATTATCGGCATTATTTGTGGCGGCTCTTACCGATGGCGGAGGCGAAGGGTGGGATGTGTGTTCCGTGAGTGTTTCTAGTTTATCCATTGGCAACGCCTCAGTCTTTGCTGCATCCGTGGAAACCGGAGTCGTCTCTTGTAAATCCCGATATACTTCCATATCATCTTCGCTATCCGACTCGTCGATAAACGGCCCACTTCGTTTCTGGATCTTTTTCGGTGGCGGGGCTTTCGTAGTATTCGACTCGGCATTTTGCAGCTGCGCATTTTCCGGGGTTGGTGAATCGACCTTGCGACGCTTGACACCTGATTCACTCTCGTTGTAACGCCGGTCATCGTCTTTCAGGAACTCCTCATCGCCACCCCAGATGTCAGGTGATGGTGACCGCACTCCGTTCGTCTCAGCCATTACCGCTTGTTCGATCTTTGCCAGTCCTTTCCTATCTTCCAAAAACAATCCTTCGGAGGTGTCTTTCTTATAATTATTCCCTCGCTGGAATGTTGGCGTACCACGTCCGCTGCTTGGTGACCGCGTAGAAGGTGTCGCAAATTGAGTAATTCGAGCCTGGTTCGAGCTGGCTCCTTGTGGCGTATCGGTCTTCTGGAAGAAATTCAAGATGCTTGTATTGCGCTTATTCGAGAATTGGTTTGTGGCAGAAGGCCTTTTTGACGGGGTATTCGCCTTCTTCGCGTAAGAGCCGGCCATTTTGGGGTTGTCAAGGAGGGGTGAAGGAGAGTGAAGGATCGAGTGGCAAGGGTCGGATAAGGCACGGGTAGCCCGAGAGGACGGTGAATGTTCAAATTAATTGGTCAAATGTACAAGATGTTCATGGTATGTGCATGTTCAGGTGGAAGTGTCTTCAAAAGGCGCGAAACAAGATCGCGACACGAAGTCACGTGGTCGTTATCATTACAGCAGAATTCGAATGTCAGTCTAGTCTCTACATCCAATAAAGATACCTCAAAAAAAAAATTTGGTTGCCGGTCATTATTGCAAGAAAGGTCTAATGAGGTATCATCAATGAGCAACGCATCTCAGGCGCCAGCATGAACCACAGGCGTCTTGATATTCAACGAAATCGCTCTTCCATCTGAACAGGACTTCGGGGCCGGTAAATCAACGTTGAACCCGTAACATCTTCGAATGCATGTGGTGTCAGAGTTGAAATTATCCCACCGCAGACTCCCATCTCTCTCAGGCCACAAATTGAGTCGTTTCGATTTGGGGGGACATCATGAATGACCCATGCTGTTGGCCATAGAATTATTTCTTTTTTGGAAACCATCTAGTGGATTCAACGGTAGTGAAGAGTTTGGTGCGTGGTATATCGTAAAGTCGAGTTCAAGGTCGTTTAGCGGGCTTTGCCGGCCTGGTTGGAAGCCTCTGTAGATTGTCGGGTTAGTCTTGGTCCATGCAGCTGTCGCGGCTTTTTCAGATATCCAAAAAAAGAAAAAAGAAAACATCGAGAGCACATCTGTTTCAGATAGACACAGCCTGTAGGGGTATGCGCAACTCACCTCGCCGTGTAGCATCCTCCAACAGACCCACGTCAACCTCCGACCGAGGCAACATCACGTAGCGCACCACACTGCCTCGGATGAACATATTCTTCACCGATGAGAGGTGAGGGTATTTAACAAGGTCCAGCACTTCGACATCGTCGAGCTTGATGTTCAGGTATTGGTCGACCGACTTCAAGATCCCACGAATGCGGATGTCGTTCTTGAGCTCAATGGTGACAGTCTGGTTTGTCAGGGTCTTGAAGAAGCTGCAATCACAGAAATGTCAGTTTCCAAATCTCCTGCGATACCAGGGCAACATACCTGAAGAAAAGCATGGTTGCGGTGGCTTCGAATGCTTGGAGGGGCGTGACCGAGAGGTGCGACGGAGTAGAGTGGTGATTCTGCCGGCGGTCAGGGCGGTTAGCGGTGAAAGCTTCCTATTCTTGTTTATAACTGTTAGTAGAAATATTACGAATGTGGATATACAAGGTAAATAGTCGGGAAATTGTTATGCAAGGTAGAAGTGATACTGGGTCACATGGCACTGCCTTCATCAGTAGACTTTTTCACTGGTGTGGTTACCATCGCCACGAATACGATGAACATATATATGTAGTTCCTGGGTTGCAACTAGACACCGTCTAATGTTTCATGTGAGCTTCCTACTCCACCGATGGTAATGTAAGCCGAGACAGATACTAAGCAAGGCTTATATATGCCACACTTTCCGTTCCCATGCTCTTAGCGGAATATAAAGTACTACAGACATCACCGCAGCCAAAATCCAGCTAATATCAGTACCGTCGGCCGAACCACCTATTCCAGCGGCAATGGGACCAATCCACCATGGTTGACTCATAGAAATAACCGCCAGAACAGTTGAAGCGACCCAAGTAACGGACGCAGCTATTCCATACGGAAGCATCTTCTTGTCGTTCCATACAGCGACGTCGTATTGGTAGCCACTCCTCCAGACGAAATGCTCAGCAAGAAGAACAGCACAAAAGGGGACAGTCCAATAAGCACATATAAGCAGGAAGTTCTGTAACACAGCCTCCAAATATTCCCTGGCGGCTATAGCGATCGCCAGATAGGAAATGCTGCCGATCAATGACCAAACAAGACGAGGCACAATAAGAAGCCTTTTTGAGACCATTTGCATAGCCAGGCCCAAGGAGTAGACATTTGTTGTTATGACAGCAGCTGCCGACAACCCTAGGAGAGCCTCGACCAAGTATCCTAAACCACGAACGCCAGGATGTATGTCTTCGAAAACGGAGCCGACTAGCCCACCAATCCCACGACTGTCATATGAAGCTTTAAACCGTGGATCGGGGCTCACACAAAGTGATCCAATTGCGGCGCCCAATAGTTCAATTGATATTTGACTGGTCAAAAGGCCAGCATAGGTCCATAAAAACATTACATTATTGCTGATAGTCTCACGTATGTAGACACTGTAGTCAGCTGCTATCGTAGCCCAAGCGACTTCAAATCCAATGATTGCGGTGCTAAATGAGAGGATTTTTGAGCACTCTGTGGATCCGTGGCCCATAGGCACATTGATGAAATGATGAGCTCCGAATCCCGCAGTGATGATCAGGCAAATGATTGTCACGATCCAGCAATATCTCGAGTAAATATGGAGCACTCGATACCCAAAGAAGCCGAGAATGATGGCTACTAGGCCAATGATAAGGATTGACACTGTCATTGGTAGATTTCCATCCCCGGCATCGTGTAGCACTGCAGCGCCGGAGAGTGTATTCACGACGGCCCAGCCAAGCGCGTCAACCAGGTTGAATACTGCAAGGATTTTTGCCGGCCACCAGCCAAAACAATACCTGGGAACAAGCATAGTGCGCAGCCCGAGCTTTGGACCAAAGCGCACTGTGAGTGCAGGAATGGCAGCTCCAATCACGTTGAAGAAGATGATAGCAAAAAACGAGTCCCACCAGCCAAGCCCAAATGCTGTGGGACCCAGAAATCCAGTTGCCAATGTGGACATGTTGCAATTCGCAGCAAAGAATATTGTGAACAAATCTCGAGGTGATTGGTTTGTTCGCATGTCCTCAGGAACGCGTTCAACGCCAAATTCCTCAGCTCTGATTGTGCGTGACCAGCTGCGGGCTGCCATCCAGGCTTTATTAGGAGACCAACTATGTGTGGCAGGTTGTGTCGCTTTTTCGAGATCATTCTTTGGCCCTAGAGGGATTGTAGATTCGGTTTCCGGAGTCATGATGGAAGTGATGCGTACAGCAGTGTGGCTTCGTATCTAGTGATAGAAAGGCAAAAGTTGATTAAGATGAGCGGCGAGTTAAAAGTAGTCACACATGTCGTTTGACAGGAAGGTAGAATAACATCCTTGAGGAAGATGTAACCCTCGACTTCAGGAATCAAGGGGTTGAAAAGGCAACCACGTGCATACAAGGACCGTGATAATGCAGGACGATGCAGACAGATACCCAATGGACAGATGATATTACATTCTGCCTAGTTTCAGCGCTTGCCCTATCTGTTGTGTGTTGCTTCGAGAATGTGTCTACGGCAACTTTTAGGGGCACTCATGGCGACTCTTAGATAATGCCATGCAATGTGCCATTTAACCTACGTGTATCCTAAATATTATTTCTAACTACATGACCACAGAGATCGAGTCATATCCGCTCAGGTACCGCTCTTAATCGGAAACGGTACCAATGCAGGCTACCAGGGCTCTGCTTTCGACAGCATATAATCAATGTGATATATTGAAGTGACTAAGTATCACTGAGTAGTAGATAAATCGAAACCAACCAGCAAAGAGAGAGAAAGAAACCGTGTAAACATGATAAAGATACGAACAAAAGACAGGGAACCTTCCAACCCCCGATAACTACATGGCAAAGTTTCCAAAAAGGAAGAAAGACAAGTGAAGAAATTAGACTTCAAGTGTGGCTTTCCTATCCTGCTCGAACCTTCCCTTCTTCTCCACTGATGCAGGTGATGCAGGTGGTGATTTGGTGTACTCCGGCGGACATTTGTCCATAGGTTCATCAGTGAACTCTTTCGCATCATTTTTTCCATTCCACGGACCACTCTCCTCATTGTCACTCCCCCTCATGCTGTCCGGTTCAATAAGCTCTTCTTTGTGAACATCCACCTTGTCCGTCCGTCGAGTGACCTTTCGAGTCCGAATGCACCACGCAATACCGAGCACAGTTGTCGTAAGCCAGAGCAACATATTGATCAAGCCAATCCAGACCGCAGCGTGCATACGTGGGACTGACACTGTCGCATTTTCATAGCCGGTTTTGGTGCCGGAGATATAGACTGTTCCGAAAACACCCACTTGGGCAAGCCAGAGGACAAACAGAACTCCATCCCAAGCCGACCATGCGACTTGGGTTACAGTAAAGAAGCAATGCACAATGCAAGTCAGGGCAGAGACTGCAGCAACGAATTCAGCGTAGATCCATTCTGCGTGGGCGTGATTCTTGGTTTTCGTGGCTTGTGCCAGATCAACTCCGTAAAGACCAGCAACTGTGACAGCGAAGACAAACTGGAGAGTGCGGAGTGCAGCACGGCTGATAACTCCACAGATTCCGCTTTTGTGCCAGTAGTGATCAATCCTTCGGGGCGTGGGTTTGGCCATGGTGGGGGTATGAGTAGTAGTAGAGTAAAGGAGGCTTTCAACGTTAGACACTAGTACGCAAGCGAGATGAAAGGTATTAAGGGAGTCTCACTATTCTTAAATAAGCGATACCCATGGCAGAATTTGTAGATTTCTATTTAAAAAGTCGAAACTTGATCCAAGTGCTTAAGATCGGATGCACTAACGAGTTAGGAAATTTGATCGTATCCGTAAACCACCCTGATTATAGTAAACCAATCACAAAATTTCAAATGCCATAGTGGGGCACAATCCAGCAAATAACCGTGGAACCGCCGATCCATCCCATTTAAGTTTTTATACATCTGGGCTCTATTCTTAGCTGTTTTAATGGATCTGATTCAATGTCTATTCTTCTTCGTTTCAGTCTCCCGCAAGTTTTAACTCTCAGTTTTGCTCTGTAAGACACACATACGGCAGACTTTCTTATAGAAATGACCAACCCGAGACAAAATTCCATGTCTGTTGATAATGACGATCCTCCCCCATTATACGAAGCTCTATGGGGTGCAGAAGATAGATCAACCGGACGACTAATGCCTCCATCCGAACCATCATGTTTCTCTGCACCCTTATCTGACCTTTTTCTGGCCGATGATGGTCGCGTGGACATGCGAGTTGGATCCCGATTCAGCCGCAACCTTGAATGGCAGATGGATAACCAACCTATTGAAGCGGAGTCACCTAGGTCGGCAGAGGCAGCCCCAACATTTGCGGCTCATTTTGATCTTTGCCTAAACATTGTCATCCAAGTGGTGGGCAGTCACGGTGACGTACAGCCCTTCGTCGCGTTGGGCGAGGAGTTGCAACGACATGGACACCGTGTGCGGTTGGCAACCCACGCCAAGTTTGAAGCATTTGTCAAGTCAGCTGGACTCGAGTTCTACCCTATCGGCGGAGATCCGGTTGAACTAATGTCATACATGGTGCGCAATCCGGGCCTCATTCCGAGCATGAAGAGTCTTTTAGCGGGTGATATTCAACAGAAGCGAGCCTCGATTGCCGAGATTCTACAAGGCTGCTGGCGGTCTTGCATAGATCCAGACCCACACGACAAAAAGCCATTTGTTGCAGATGCTATCATTGCAAACCCGCCAAGCTTTGCCCATCTACATTGTGCACAAGCCCTTGGGATCCCGGTTCACCTTATGTTTACCATGCCTTGGACTGGTACCAGAGCCTTTCACCATCCTCTTGCAAATTTGAAATATTCTGGGAACGATCCTACGATAGGAAATATTATCTCCTATTATTTTGTTGAATGGGTTACATGGCAAGGGTTGGTATTTCCCCCTCGTCAATATTGATTCTTTACTAACATACTCCAGACTAGGTGATCTGATAAACAAGTGGCGGAAGGATACTCTAGAGCTAGATCCCATTCCAGCCATAGAAGGTCCGAATCTGCTCGAGACGCTAAAAGTCCCCTTTACATACTGTTGGTCGCCGACATTGGTTCCAAAACCGGAGGACTGGGGCTCGCATATAGGTAAGTTGGCTATGCACGTAGTAGAAAATATGTGCTGACTTAAAGTGTAGATGTTGTTGGCTTCTTCTTTCGTGATCCAGGTGCATATGATCCACCGGCAGACCTAGATGCCTTTTTGTGTGCGGGCCCACCACCCATTTACATCGGATTTGGCAGCATAGTTCTCGAGGACGTGGAAGGAACCATCTCAATCCTTCTAGAGGCAATTCAAATGACAGGGGTACGCGCTATAATCTCTGGTGGCTGGAGTGAACTGCATGGTCAAGATACTCCTGATGTTCATTATATTCGAGACTGTCCACACGAGTGGTTATTCAAGCAAGTCGCCGCTGTCGTACATCATGGTGGTGCCGGTACTACAGCATGTGGTCTACGCAACGGGAAGCCTACCACTATTATTCCCTTTTTTGGAGAGTAAGTATCGCCACCTTTTAACGTAACCATCTGAGACTGATCAATCATTAGTCAACCATTTTGGGGTAACATGGTGGCCGCCATCGGGGCTGGGCTGGATCCAATCCCTTATAAAAGCCTGACGGCACAGAAGCTAGCAGACGCTATTTCCTATTGCCTCACCCCACATGCTGTGACAGTGGCTCAGTATATTGCGGACAAATTCCAACAAGAATCTGGTGTACGTGCAGCAGTAGATTCGTTCCATGCACACCTTCCACAAAAAAAGATGAAATGTGACTTCATCCCAGGAAAGGTTGCAGTGTGGAAAATAATGAAGGGAAAGCGGATCTTTAAACTGTCTAACGCAGCCGCATTGATTTTGAAAAGCGAAGGGCGGTTCCAAAAGAAACACCTTAGAAGGTAAGTAAAAAATAAAAGCCAGCGGCTCACCACCTGAATATTCTTGTGTGACTGACCTAAACGCGAGGATAATTAGTTATCAGAGCAAGCCATTTACAGTTGAGTGTCAACGCTGGGATCCAGTTACGGCCGTTTCACTGGCCTCACTATCAACCTTTAGCGGTATGGCCGATGCCACAGCCGGCATTTTTATCGATCCTTATAAAAAATACAAGCATCTCCGATCAAGTCGATATTCAAGTACTTCTATCTCAGCCGAGGTGCCCTCAATGACACACATTACAACACATTTCGATGCCGATGTGGATCCGAATCATCTTTCGAATGATCCTGAGTACGCTAAACAAATGGCACTAGCTTCAGCAATCAGTCTCGGAAAATTCCTCGGACGATCTTCACGCGGCATGTTTGTCGATCTACCCCTCGCGGCAACAGAAGGGATGCTGGCCATCCCCAAACTATATGACGCTCAAACCAGAGTACATGGTCCTGTGCGAGGATGGAAGAGCGGTGCAGTTGTGGGGTGGTCGATTTTCAGCCGCGGTCTTTACGAAGGCTTCACAGATATATTCGTGCATACATACTATGGCAAGAAAAACGAGGGCTCTTTTGGAGTAGCCAAAGGATTAATGAAGGGTTTCACCAGCTTGACTGTTAAAACGGGAGCTGCCACGATCGGCCTGGCTGCTTATTCAAATCAAGGGATATATCGGTCCCTTCGGGCCCGTTTAAGGACCGAACTTACTAGGCGGGTTGTGGAAGCGCGATGGGCTGAGGCAGAATGGATCGTGAATGATGGGAGCGGCGTGAATGTAGATGTGATGGCGTTATGTTCTTTATATGACGATTTGTTGGTTATGAGGGACAAAGCACACAGAGCACGCTGGAACTTTGGCTAAATTGTAGAGTTTGCTATTTATAAAACAAAAAGAAGAAAGGAAGAAAGAAAGAAAGAAAGAAACGTGGAGCACATAGTACCGTTGTTCTCGGTGGTTGAATACGGGAGAGGGGAAAATAGTTGAGCTAAAGAAGTGTGTGTATATTACAAGATTTCTACCACCAAAACATCAGAGCATGCAACTCCTGTTCTAGTAGATGAAAGGAGAGGAAATTTATAGCCAGTGTTGTGTTTGACGCCTTGTTTTCGATCACAAGCTTTGTCTGCTTCCCCTATTAGCAGTAATCTTCAACGGTGGGAATCCGACTTTCCTCACTCGCGTGATTCTATTTATTGAACTCAGTGGCAGGTTGCATTGAATTGTTGTCAACCTCTTATTAGTTATGCTGATATTTTTCAAATGCCCGCTGCGCAAGAAAGTTCCCCTGCGCCCGCAAATACAGCGCCAATTCTTGGATGATGATAGATCCATTGCTTAGCCTCTACGACCTCTAGGCTGAACCATTTAGGAAGTGTTTCACGTTACTACATAAATAAATCGGCGCCGTATCCGTATTCGTGGATCTTAATGCAGTGGGGCTGTGGAGTATCAGGCAGCGATTTCTGCAAATGCAGTCAGCTTACTTCTTTGTTAAAATTTCACTTTAGCGCAAGAGACATGACATGTAGAAAATAGTTGAATAACTTTTAGGATATTCCCAGGTATACACGATATCACCGAGGCGACAAAAAGAAGTCAAATGACATGGCGGACTCTCAACCTCAACTCGCTCCTGTCCAATGTCGTCCAATCTGTAGCTTGTTTCAATCTAATATTATAGATGTGGACATTTTCCCGTGGCCTAGTGGGTTGGTATACAGTCCAACATAGTAACGAAACAAGCCACACTCTTGAATGTTACTGCCTTGTGTTTGATATGCAACATGAGTCCACTGCAAAGGAGTCTTCTATTTCGAGATGGACAGGGCGGGAATGTCAACACAATATAAAGAGACAATTAGGTCCCTCAAAATCCCCAAAGCATCGCCCAGAACCATCAGCCATTCATTCTACTCCGTTTCCACAATTCATCGCAGCGATGGGCAACCTAATTGGCGTCTCATCCATTGTTGCAAGTCCTTCCTGGATGTTGTATTCTCTGCATTCTTTACGTCCTCATATCATTCCTTCTTTACTTTCATTGCTCTATCTATTCTGCACGGGCTCGTTATACTTCGATGTGGTCCATCATTTGCTTCATCGTTGCAACACCTCATCTCATCCTCTCTTTCAATGCTTGGCCCGTATACACCGTTATCACCATCTCTATTATACGCGGCATATGAATTTTAACGAGAAATACCGCAAGAAAAATCTTTTTCAAGCATTGCCCCTTGAGCTAGGACTTCAGGTCATTGGCACCGTACTAGGGTACTTTGTTGCTACTTTGGTGACCCCCAACGGCCAAGTGTGGATTCCACGAAGTCACCTGTGGTCTATCGTCGGGTTTCAGGTCATGAAAATGATTTTTGTGATTCTCACAAGTGGTCGTGACTCGAACCACCTCGTCTACGACACTGCTCCCAAAGATCCTAATTGGATTTTTGTGGGCCCAGAGTTCCACGCTCTCCACCACGTTTATCCAGATCGCTATATGGGATCCTTCATCAAATTGTTTGACTGGGTATGGGGCACCGCCTACTCCTTCCGAGGAAAACACTTCGTGATCACCGGTGGAAATGGAGTTTTCGGTCAAGCTATGGTGACAGAGCTAGAACGCGAGGGAGTGCAAAACATTCGCAAATTGAAGTTTGGTAGTGATTGGGATTATGACCACTTTGAGAAAGCAGCCTCGGTGCTTTCAACCTGTGACATCCTTATCCTGGCGCACAGTACGAAAGGAGAAGATGCCATGAAATCAAATTGCGACTCAGCGGTGCGACTGGTGCAGCTATTCAAGCAGTACAGAGAGACAAACACATCCAGTCCAACGCTTCCTGAAGTATGGTATGTTGGCAGTGAAACTGAATTGCTTCCGTCATTTGGAAATTCAGAGTTACAACGCTTCTCTGACTCAAAACGACGCTTCCTCCCACATGCGCGTTCATATTATGATGATGACGACATACTTTACCGCCACATCGTTCCATCGGCTTTCCAGTCATACATGGGGTCCGCTGTTCTTTCAGCAGGCTGGGCGGCTAAGTGTTCAATGTGGTGGATCCGGAGAGGTGCTCGCTACATTCCTGTCTCCTACACCGGGGTTGCCTATCTGAATTATTTCAAGTTTATGTACTGGTTACCATATGTACAGGATATGAATAGTCTATGAAAATAATAAAAGCGAGTACTAAGTTCAAACCATCTTCCTTCCTATTATGCTGCTGTCTATTTAAAAAGTATCGAGGCCCATTTTTTTGTTGCGTAGATATCTAGTCAGTCTGCTATAATTTGACAGACGGACACGATACGGTAGCTCCGTCCCCCAATTTGCGGCCAGATCTATGTCCATTGTGGCTGGTGTATGTCTCGTATACCGACGGATCGTGGGCAAAGGCCAATAGATTGCGTGACTAGGGAATCCCGAACTACCACAGTATTACACGCCTAGACAATACTCCTGGGCGTACCTTTGTTTCTCCAGTATTTCCTCGGGGTTCGGTAAATTGTCCGCCGCCGAGGCTTGACTTTCCAAATAAAACCGGAACAGTAGAAGGAAAGCGTCAGTCAATACAGGTGAGGGACTGTCCTTGGCGCCGCACCGGGCCTGACTAGCGCATCCTATTGGGAGAGAAGCATCAGCTTGGCGTTTCGTGTCTTAAAATGAGGCCATTGTCTTTGCCAACATATACTCCGCCATCGGCGAAACGGACCTCGTCCGACTTCAGTAAATGAACCTAAGAACTTAGGAACTCTTGTCATGCTTTACGTAACTTAATAGTCCGAGACAATTGTGGACTTATACCAGGGATGATAGGCTCCGCAATAGCAGGCACCACTGGTGTGTGAAACAGAATTGCGCAACTTGTTCAATTGCGACAGGGAATAATAGGGGTAGGGCACCTGTCGCCTATTGGATGAAGTTGTCAATATTTCCTTTGATGCAAGACATTTGCATTGATACCCTGCGGGGGATATTCCTATCGTTCATCGGAGAAATTTGACCGTCATCTATCTATGTCAATCACTTGTGACATAACATTCAACGGAGGTTGAACAGTACAGCAAATACTCGCTTGAACGTTAGCTATAGATTAGCAGACACACATCGAAGCTGGAAAGATGGGATGCGTATGTACAGGATATCATCAAGGTAATTACATTAAGAGTCAGCCACCAGGGCCCGACAAAATACATACGTACATAGCAAGCATATTACGGTCATGAAACTAAACCAACCCAGAAGAACGACCAGCCCTCTTCCTCGGCTTCATAGCCCAACCAGACAAACAAGTCCAACCAGCACCACTCTTCCTCCCCTCATCAAAGACAGCCCCTACACCCTCAAGCAACATTGATCGTTCCCGACCCATCTCCATCCGCAGCTTCAACAACCATGACTCCCACATCCAACCGCCGATCAAACCAGTGATACTAGCGATATCGGCTGTGCTCCCGACTGGTCCTTGTACGGCTTCGTATTCTTCGATTTGGCTTTGCACACGCGGGGCGGGGGTTTCGCGTGGTGGCTGGTGCTCGATTGGCTCTGTGCCCATGGGTAGGAACATCCAGGTGCGCTTTGTACCTACGAATCCGGTGTTACGGAGACGGGCGAGGAACGTCTTTGAGGCGACTGGGTCGTAGCCGCGCTTGCGGAGGTTAAAGGCCATCTCGACAGATATTGCTGAGGCGTATCGTCCCGCGCGGGAGATCTCTGCGTCTAGGACTTGGAACTCGAGGTAGCCGCCTGGCTTGAGGCAGCGCATGCATTCCTTTAGGACTAGGTCGTATTCGTCGCAGTTCTTGCAGGCTGGGCATTCGGTCTTGAGTAGGGAGTGGAGGGAGCGCGCTGAAATCAGGTCAAATTGGTTGTTGCCAAACGGGAGTTCCCAGAGGCTTTGGACGGTGACCTGGCGGTGGTTAGGTGGGCCTTTGATGGCGCTGTTTACAGTTTGGTTCTTGGATGACACGGTGTAGACCTTGACATTCGGGAACTCGTGAGCTGCTTGCCATGCCCAGTCGCAGGAGGAGTTGCCACCGAGATCGAGGATTCGGAAGCTGCGCTTGCCTGGTCCTTCAGTCGAGCTGGAGTTGGAGGTGGGGCGTGCAAGCCGGCGCTGAGCAGGGCTTGTGAGGAGCTTGCCGCCATTGAGAGACCGAAGAGCGTCCATGGCCCACATGGACTGGCAGAGTTGAGCGAGGACCAGTTGTTCCTTCTCAAGCTTGTCGAATGTAGCCTTTTCAGCTAGCTCGGATGTGATCACCGAGTTGCGAGGAGCCTTGGCAAAGGGGCCCTTGTATGCAGGTCGCTCTCGGCGGACAAGCTCATACTTGCCAATAAGACAATTGATGTGCAGGTCACTCATTCCAAGACGCATGGACTGAACAGCATCGAAGCGCATGTTACGGTGGAGGAAACCATCAGTCTTGCTTGATCGTTGCCTAATGGACTGGAAACCTTGCCAGTAAATTGAGTCCTTGCTGGCAAGGATTGGCGGCAAGGGACTCGAAGCCTCGGGGATAGCCTCGGAAAATCGGACCATCTTCTTGGAAGACTCTTCTGTCTTCTCTTGCGCTTCAGCCTCGGCAGCTTCATTCTCATCCTCAGAAGCCTCGATGGGCTCAGGCTCATTAACTGGATTGGTCTCATTGAGAGCGGCGAGGTACGAGGCCTGTGCAGCCAGCCAGACACTGGTTCGATCGTGGCTGTCAACTGCACGGTGCTGCAGTTCCTGGTCATAAAGCTCGTCATATTCGTACCCATTTCCGGAGCGAGGAATCTCCTGAACTTGCATAGCATCAAAGGCAGCGCTCATCGGACTATCCTGGTAGATTGACCGACGGGTTGGCGTCTCACAGAGACGAATGGCAGTAGGCGGGCCTTCTTCATCTCGAACGGCTGTGACTGGGTCTTCTTCAACAGGGCGTTCGGGCCAGTCGACCACCTGCTCCACAATTTCCCCCTCATCCCGACGCCATGGCAGGTTGTAGAATCCTTCTGCTGCTGCTGATGTTGGCTGGTTGTTGGTATTTGGGATGGACCAAGTGTGGCGGGCACGCGGCGCAAGCGAGGCAAAGAAACCTCCAGGCGACGGGATGCTCAGGTCACTAAAACTGTATCCAGACAGCTCGGATGCCGGAGTAACCCCATCAGCACTGCGTGGACGACTGGGAGGTGTTTGCAGCTGCCACATCTCGCCATTTCCTTCGGAAGTTTCAGACCACGAGTCAGGTGTACCATCCAGACGAATATGGTGCAGCATAGCCAGAGCCGAGTCAGGTAGGAATACACCCTGGTTCGTGGGCGTGGACTCGCGTATTGGCTCGTCATTCAATTGAAGCGACGGCGATGGCGAGGGTGAATATCTCTGAGCAGCAGAAGGAATCTGAGGGAAATTTCCCAGAACGTGGCGCCAGTCATCGTTCGAGCTCTCAATGGCGATAGGCACTTCAATGTCTGAGCTGCCATCTCCATTGTCCATATCACTATCACTTCCATCCAGATCGGGTCGAACATGTATATCATGCGCGGCCCAGTTTGTATCTGGTAGAGACTGAGAGTCTGGTGTAGCCAAACCACTGATGACCGATTCCTGGTCGGAAGAGATACTTCCATCGAGCGAAGGAGGAGCGTGGTATGCGGGTACGGCGCGGCCGAGCATGGATAGTGCTGCAGGGGACACAGGGATCTTGGGCGGAGGAGTTGGTGGTATTGGCGAGCTCTTGTGGCCCCCGGTCATGGATGGCCACACTGTAGGTGAAGGAATCTCGAGGGTGAGGAGGCGTTTCCGACTTCCTGTTGAAGTCACTGAGTTCCGAGTAATTGGTGTCACCAAACTTGATGGCCGGGTATCGGGGGAAAAGCACGAGTCGCTAATTTCCGTCTCATTGTCATCCATATCGTCATCTGTGGCGTCGTACAGGTCATCGTATCCTTGAGAATGTCGTTGCCATTCGGTGTCTGTATCTGAGCAGCACGATGATGTTGTTCCCGCAGAGAGAGGCGATCTTAGACGAGCAAGGCGGGCATGTGTGGGCACTGATAGGCCGGTTGTCTTGAGTCTCAGCTGCGGGCTGATTGCTGCTCGCGTGGGTCTGGGAGGTGAGGCCTTGGGACTAGTCTGTGCGAATTGTGACTCGCGCGTATCCTCCATTATAGTATTAAGCACCGTCCCCCGGGCCTGCCGGAGGGGCGGACATCGAGCAGTCGAGCGGAATGCGTCGGTCATCTTATCAACTGCTGGATGCTGGTTTGTGTGAATGACAGTATATCTAGGGTATCTCGAGTAGGAAATGAAGACACCGGTCAACGGGTCTGATCAAGAGAATGTGTGAAGGGAATACCAGGAAACAAAAGAAAGTGCACAGGCTACCGGAGCAGGCACAAAAGACAAATAAACAAAACGCTAGACTTCAAAATCACGGCACTGAAATGCCTATATAGTCGAATGGGCGCTTTCACCAGCCGGGGAGTCCAATGAACAGGCGATCCTTGCTCACGGATTGTCATATTGTTGCAGAACTACTGCAGCACTGGGCACGCTTAGTCCAATAACCCCGGTCGCGACGGTGGCTAGCAACGGTCTGATTGGTATTGAGAAAGTGGGCGCATCGCCTTGGATCAGGGTGTCATCTCCTGGAGGAAGAGCCAAGACCATTTTTTCTCAGCAAAAACCAAAGGCCGAATAGCAAAAAAGGTAGTAAGGGCGAATGAGCATCGTTGATGTTGTGATGAACCGCCGGGGTTGAGGGATGCAGTGTGAAGAGGTTGGTGATTGGCGCAGCGTAGCCGCCCGACTACTATCTTTAGGGGAATTAGCGGCTTTTCGACGTCAGTGCAACCTCATTTATGCCGATTTCCACTCGATCCGGAAGGACTTGGGATAATTAATGATCGGTGAGAAGGGGAAATGAGGGGAAATGGCCGCCAAGTAGAGATTAATGCACACTAAGGCATGGCCCAACACATAATTATAGAACTGCTAATTGACCGCAGTTGGTCACATTTGTCCATGTGACTTGGATGTGACCTAAAGGCGCGTAGAGAAGCTAACCCAACCTTCATATATGAACTGAGATACAATCTCCAAGTCACATTAGATTACCCTAATGGCGCTACCATAGACACAAGTGATCACCGTATGATCTGACTTTTCATAGTCACCTTCTTAAGGTTAAGAGGGGAACTTCGAATAAGCGATAATTTAAATGGCCACGCCACACATGCTGTAGACATGTTGACAGCAGTTAGTGTGGCGCCTTCTCACATCATGTATGCAATTCTGAACACGACAGTGATACTTGCATATGCCAATATATTTGATACTTCACCTAACGCTGACTGAGGCCTCTTGTCCACAGAAAATACTAACCTTTGCGGAAGACCGGGAATGACTGCACATACATTGGGAGATAACGTTCCAGACCAGCAGTAGTCTACCGGCGAGTACCGTCCAGGTCTTGGCCCAGGCTATTAAGCATATCGATCAAACAATCAGATGACTTGCAGAACGCGGTAACAACCTAATGCATCACAGTTCCAATCTACGAGGTGTACAGAAATCTTCGCGCTGCTGACCGTTGATTGCATGCATGCACCCCTCTGATCTCACATCGAATTGTTGGTTCAAATCAAAAGCTGAGCTTTAAGTGCTCCAATTCTAATGGTTATTCTGCGGATGAATAGCTCCGGTGCACAATTCACCTGGCCTTCGAGCTTCTGCCGGATACATCAAGCTGGTTCGTATCGCGACGAGCCGTCCCGGTTCACAGCCAGAAACCAAGCAACCCTTCACACTTGGTTAAGCAACAAGATTTTAGTTAGCCCTAGGAGATTCAAGCGGAATCAGGAATACCAATTTATATCGCAAAAGGATCATAGCCCGAATCATTTACTCAAACTGCATGCATAACACTCGGGTTTGTGTTGCTGGAAAGAGTCTTTGGAAGTACGTAGCCTATCTACCACCTCGGTACTTTGGTTTGGCCTCTGATTCAATCTGACGAATCTGACTTCAATTCATCCATCCTAAAATGAAGATGGAATGATCTAAGCGTTCGTATGGAGTGGATGTTTTGCCTATTCTTCATTAAGGGGTCTGCTACTCCTAGGCGACTGTTCATTGATATTTTTGAATCATCAAGTGGCTAGCTTGACATATTGTGTGATGAACAAGGGCGAAATGATTGCAAGTTTGTTTCCGCTTCATCGGTTCATGTAGTTTGGTGCGTAGTGCTGGAAAAAAGTATCCGAAGTAGTATATTTTGGGCGCATGGGCGACACGGCCATACAATTATACAATAAGGCCCTGTCAATTAAAATGATAGCATCATTCCTTATCTCTAAACACTTAGAATGTAATTTTCAAAAATGTTGAGAATACCCAGTCAAGAATCTATTGTTGAAGAGTGTTGATCAAGCCCGGAGCAGTGTGCCCCGACTAGCACGTATGGCCCGCTTTTCCAACACAGTCCAAGCACGACAAGGAATCGGGCAAAAGAACGGGTGTTCTAACGGCTATTGAAGGGCGGTAGGAGGGAGAAGGTTCCCGATCTGCGAAGTATACATGTAGAAGGATCTACTGCTAGCCGATCGAGGTTCGAGGATGGTCACCAGGTAGAGTTCAGGCCATGATCAACGAGATAGTACCCTATAGCATATAACACCTATTGGATATAGTTACAGCGGTCAGTGGATTCAAACCATCGAGGCTCACTATATTAAGAATCAACCAAAGAAATGAGAACCGGTGGGGATATGATTGGCTGCTCAGGACTCTCCGAAGCTTCGAAGATTCCAGGCGATTCCTAATTTGTTTAGATCGAAATATCCCTGTCTGATCCCCTGTCTATCATGGTCAGCAGACAGGTGCAATTTTTATTTCTTGTTCATGGCGACGGAATCACCCAAATGGGCAACCCAGGATGTTCCTGTAAGAGGAGTTGATTTGTCAGACGATCTATGCAGTCTCCATATTTTGCCCCCATCAGTCAATGGCAAGGGGCACCTGCATTGTACTGCAGATGTAGGGAAGGGCGCGATGTAGATCGTGGCTCCCACGTGAGAGTCGGAGCCCTTATCGGGTTCTCTGTGGAAACAGTTGAAGTGAGTAGAAATAGACAAGAGAAAAGAGAAAGAGAGGAAAGAAAAGGAAGTGAAACATAAGAATAACAATGAGAACAAGTTATATACTTGTGTAGCCAACTAGAACCTCTACGGGTGTACGGTGAACCCACCTTCGCCACTCTACAGCTTCAGACATCGTCATACTAAAGTAATTTTTTTTTTCTATATCTGCCCCTCCCCCTCCTTTCCACCTCATACAACACATCACAACTCACAATGTCGCCGCCCGCCATCATCGCCCCCTCCATCCTCAGCGCCAATTTCGCCAATCTCGGCCATGATTGCTCCAAGAAGATGGAGCAGGGCGCCGACTGGCTACACGTCGACATCATGGACGGCCACTTCGTGCCCAATATGACAATCGGCTGCCCCGTCGTCTCCCAGATCCGCGGCTGCGTCGACAGACCCCTCGAGCCCTGCGGCCGGGGTACATTTGATTGCCATATGATGATCATGGAGGTTCGTTGAGTATCCCGCGCAGATCCGCGATCCCGCAAGCTTCAAGCTCCTCCAATGTGAAGCTCCCAGCTGACATCTTAATTTCGTTATAGCCCCATAAATGGGTTCACGAGTTCAAGAATGCCGGTTGCGATCTTTACTGTTTCCACTATGAAGCGGCTGTCTCCTCCGTCGCCGCGACCGACCCTACCGATAAAGAGACTACCGATCGCACCAGTCCCAAACAATTGATCCGTTATATTCACGAGGAGGGTATGCAGGCTGGTATTGCTATTAAACCAGATACACCTGTCGATGTATTGTGGGATATTCTTGAGAGTGAAGACCCCGCCGAGCGACCAGACGTGAGTTCTATTTCGAATTACTCTTTATGTACCGAAAGTACTTGTATTGACTGGAATAGATGGTGCTCGTCATGACTGTGCACCCCGGCTTCGGTGGACAGAAGTTCATGGCTTCTGAACTCCCCAAGGTCGCTGCTCTGCGCGAACGGTTCCCCGATTTGAACATTGAGGTTGATGGAGGTCTTGGTCTGGGGACAATTGATCAGGCTGCTGATGCCGGTGCTAATGTGATCGTTGCAGGTTCAGCGGTCTTTGGTGCTGCGGACCCTGGCGATGTCATTGCCAAGTTGCGCGACGCTGTCCAGAAGCGTCGCGGTTAGACATATACGAAGACACATACGAAAGGGGGTTTGGTGTTTTGGCCTTTTATTCTTAAATTACGAGTCATGAATGGCATTGTACGTGGGTGTCTCCATGGGGTTTTGATCTATTTGCGCTTAACTTGAGCAAGGGAATTGTTCAATGTACAGATATCATAATCATCGAAGTCGTGAAATGCATCTCCCTCAGTCCTTGGACTCTGTTTCCTTATTCTTTGCGTCTTCCTTTTCCTCGACCTCCTCGGCCTTGGACTCCTTGGATTCATCCTTATCCTTCACATCCTCTTTGACATCGGTCTCCTTGGGCTCAGTCTTGGGTTCCTCGGCCTTGGGCTCCTCAGCCACTGCAGCCGCCGTTTTAGTATCATTCACATTCTCAAATAGCGGTGTCGCGACCTCCTCAATCGTGTCGGCTCCCGTTTGCTCTGCAGCCTGCTTGCGGATAGCATCGAGATTACCAGAAGGCTCGTCAGCAGTAATAGACGCCCTAATCTCACGCACAACCTTATCCTGCTCCGCCTTATCCGTAGTCGAGATGATAGAACCGCGATGGTGCTCAACCAGCCCAAGCTCTTCGGCATTATCCGCGTGGAAGTTGGCCGATGACACGGCCGCCATTTCCGGAACGAGGACGGGACGTTTGGCTGTCTTGGGTGAATCGGGGGCTGTGTCTGGCAGCTCGGCGGCGACGGAGCCGCGGTGTCCACGGGGGCTAGCTTCTCAGCGGGTTCCTCCTTCGCGGGTTCTTTCTTTTCTTCGGATTTGGACGCGGCCTTGGACGCGGCCTCCGAGCTGGCCTGGCGCAGCGCAAGCACAGCTTTGTCGTCTTTCTTCTCTTCGGTCTTAGTCGGCGGGCTTTGGATCTTGATTGTGGAGGGCTTGGGGGTTGCGGGTTCAGGCTCGGTCTTGGTCTCGGTCGCGGCGGGGATTGGGTTGCTGGTTGCCGGCATTCCACCCAGGTCCTGGACGCTGAGGACTACCAGACGGAGCTCGCCGAATTCGTTCCATTCTTCGATTTGTTCTAGGTCCTGTGGTTTGGGGGTTAGTGGTGCTGTTGGGAAAACTGGGAGCTGTCTTCCATGCAAGGGGATGGTCACATACTCCCACAATGTCGCCGTATTTCACCAGGCCTGGTAGCTTCTTGCCCTTGGAGCGGCGACCCCAGAGCTTCCGAGCAGCATCGTCGGTGGCAACATCAACAGCGCGGAAGGGAAGCTTGTTTGCCTTGAGAATTGTCTCAATGCGGGCAGTTGCGGTGACGATGTGCGATGACCCCGCGGTCAGGGACGTGTAGAGGTAGAGAGTTGGGTCGGACATGGTGTGTGTGTGTGTGTGTGAGTGTGTGTGTGTAGAGGTTAAGATGACGAGAGGGTGAGGTGAGGGGGTGCAAGGTTAACCAAAGTCCTTAATGATCCTTTGACTCGAGCTTGAGCGTGTGGAAGATCGAATTTCCCCTGAGGCTTATGACGTATCACGTGCAAATTACATGTATAGACTTGCAACAATTTATTTTAGTCTAATCTTCATCTTCGCCTTATATCTTTATAACTCCCATGATGTAGTCTTCCTTCTCTCTCCACAGTATATGCCGTACCATGTCTCCAACGGTTACCCGCCCTGGCAAACGGCCCCAGCGTGGCAACTTGACGTCAGTCCAACCCTATTCCAGGTTTGGCATCATTTGGGTCCAATTGCAGTCTGTTATATATCAGTTTCAGTTTGGAATACTAGTCAGTGCAGACTATTTCAGGCTTGGGGAGTTTGGCTGTACTCTGTACATGAGGACATGGCATGTCTAAAACATCATGGATGAGCGCGCCTGACCTATATCGAAGTCTCAGTGCCGGTGCCCATAGCTCTGGTTCATACGTAATGGGATCCAGTCGCCTCCTGGTGCATCTGACTCTTCTTTCTACCACAGCTCTAGGCATCGAGCAGTCTTTCAATGACCACCAGCAAATCATGAGCGAACGAATTGTCAACATCAAGTCTACCTCAGACTAAAATTCAGTGAATAGATTGGCCAGCGCAGCCGAGACACGATATACACGAGCTACCCTAGAACGTCTGGTACAGGTATGCGCAGCTCTATAGCAGGGCATCTATCAGTCCAAATGCAACACGACAATGTACAAGCAAGGATCCACCTCCGCGATCCAGACAGACTGTCTTATGCCATCCATCCTCACCAAGTACACACTCAGAGCCTCCAAAATGCGTCGCAAGCCAGAGGCGCAAGCCAGCCATGCACAGCCGGAGCCACCCCCTTGTCAAACGACAAAGACAATTGACCTACTCACTCGAGCATCCAACCCCTTGGAAAACAGCCTATAGAACTCCCATGGCATCTTTACTTATCCTGACGCGAATCGGTACCCTCGCACCCGACTGGGTGGACAGGATTGCTTGTGGCTTGACTTGGCGGTGGTTGCAGGTTGCCAGTCGGATCGTTGGATGGGTTGTCTCATGACGGAGCTGCGGATTCAGTCTTTGTCTGGATGTTTCTAGGTTACAGATCGAAGATTAAACGTGGGGTTCTCGGAGTATAGAACGATACTCCAGTTGAAGTAAGCCTCCGTTGTCGATCTGTTCGGTTAGATTCTGCATTCCCTTCTACTTCGGGAAATTGATATAATTAGGAGATATTAGGCAGTGAGAATATAGTAGTGGCTATTTACCTATTCCAGTCCCCTGCATCGAAATGGCCACCCGTGCACAAACACAGGAACCTATCATTATAGAAAACTCCCCTTCGCCGTCCAATCTCACGTGTGCCATATCCCAGTCCAGGACGATGCAGGCAGCAGGTCTGGGCTGTGATGCAGGGGCTGGCTTATCAGGATTTCAGCTTGAAAGGCACATGCCGGAGTAGCTTGTAGGGGTTGGGTGGTTTTGATTGCTGTGTTTCTGGTCCCGAATGACGGAACTGAGGTTTGCTCAAGAGTCGATCAGGAGACATAGATTCGACTTGACGGTGAGGCCGGGTATCGTGTCAAATGGTGGACGGACTCTCGGGCCACCCTGTAGAAGGCGGTGCAGCAATAGCAAACCCCCGATTTGTCGGGTGTATAGGTCTTTTTTAGTAGAGAGTGATACATCCAAATCATTCTGCACTTAGGTTTGTCCACAACGCTCAGGGCGATCAAAGTCTATCCTGAAATAGAGAACGACGTAATGGGTGAAGAACTTGGTAGTGTACTTCTGGCATGAAACGGCGGCAGCACCAGTAGTCGCCCAGGATCAGCATTTGGTTTCAATAGAAGGGTGGAGCGTGCATCACGTGGAGTTACTAGTGCAGAACCCGAAAGGATTAGGCAAGCAAACTGCTGGAAAACTGACTCCCTGCTCCGTAGTTGACATGGAATGCCTCCTGTTCTAGACTTGAGATCCTGGAACCATGGAACTGGTGCGGAATTGCCCGTGGTTCACCAATGTATAAACGGCTCAATATCGAAGCCCTCATTTTCGCTATTTCATTGTTTCGCATTTTCATTTGCATTTTCATCGGTTGGGCATTCGAGCTGCACCTGATGGACCACAGCGACGTGGCAGCCATCCAGACGAACCATCCGCATCTGAGGGTCTTGGCTGGAGGGCTCAAGGGTTTCCCGCTGTAGGCGCTGTATTCGCGGAAAGGGGATGTATATGTAGAGACAGGGAGCAGGTCACCTTTTCGTAAGCAAAGTATTCGCTGGCCTCGGGAGACTCTCGGGCTGATCCGGTTCGCTGCCTCACTTTTTGGTCTTTCTCGCTCCCGCAGCTCAACCAACGAGATGTCTCTTTCCCGTCTGTCACCCGGGCTTGCTCCGATGGTTTGTTACAATACATCATGGTGGGTATAGGGGTCCAGACTCGGGATCGACTTGGAGTATAGTAGCCTCTGTTAATCCTCGTATCTCATTTTGTAGGGGACCTTCTTGTAGCCCAATCTTTCCTCTTTTACGCGTCTTCTCCCAACTTATGATATTCCGGCGATCTTACAATCCACCTCAGATCCTCTGTCTTGATAAGATCGGCTTTCCATCTGCCTACCACCTGCCATCTGCTTTCTGTAATTATTTCCCCCCAGATCTACGTACGTTGTTCCTATTCTGTCGTAGGTGTATACTAACCCGCGCAGACTCCTCTCCCTACATTTGACTACTGATAGACAGTGACTTACCCGGCCATTGTCCATTGTGAGGAACCATTCCACACCATGACTGTCCACCTGGCCGACGACGAACTATTCACGAGAGCCATCTCCGGATACCGCGAAGTGTTTTTGGTTCAACATTCCCACCTCTCGGAATCCGAACAGATCCAACTCTGGAGGGAACGGCTGGGTCAGTTCATGCCGGCCCCCCAGGATGAGCCCGTAGGGAAACCAGGGAAACGGTCTCGACAAGATGCGACTCCTCGGACGATACCTCCCTGTGACTCTGGTCTCCCACGGGCAAAACGGAGAGCCACCGTAGGTGACCTTGGTCTCTTGCTCCTCTCGTCTCCTGCTCCCATGCGATCGCTTCTCTTGTCTTCTGACCCGCCACATCCGTCCTTGGATTGACCATTGGCAGACCCCGGACCTCGCAGTCTCCGATCTGACGCGGAACCTCTCGCACGCCTCCTCTCCCGACCTACCGCGGACCGCATCCCTGTCGACTCCCGAGGGAGCCTACCGTCACACCGCCATGGTCCGCTCCCAAAGCCAGCAGATCCCGGTCTCCCATCGACACCCGCCTGCCGGGGCTGCCATGGGTAAACGCCAATCCTTCGGGCCCCGGACTCGTCGTCTCGACCATGTCGACGAGTATTCGCCCTCCGAGTACGCCCGCTATTTGGACACCTCGCAGCCGTTTGACGCGGCCTGGACTTTCAATGGACGGACTGGACCATCTTCCCCGTGCCCCTGGACGTCCCCCTTCGACCAGGCCTCGACATCGGCAGTGGAAATGTCACGCAGCGAAACCACCGACTCACTCATCGGCGGCATCGACATGTTCCGCTTCGACTCGTCCGGACCATCTCAAACCCCCTCCATCGGCTCCGTTCCGCCGGACTGGGTGCCAGCTTCCTCCCCTTTCACGTATCAAGACCCCTTTCTCTCTGTGTATCCTGACCTAGGTCCCACAATCCCCATGTCCTTCTCCAACACCTCCCCCTTCTCAACCTCCGCTCCCCCATCCACCCCTTTCTGCCCCGTGCCCCACGCCTACCCCTCAATGGAGGCAGCGGAAATGAGACCCTCGGATTCATTCGACAGCATCAACTCGGCAGCTTCACAATCTCGCGCCGCACGCCGCACTCAAGAGCAAATCGCCCATGGCGCCCGTCCCATCGCGCCAAAGCGCGACTCCCACGACAGCATCAAGTCCCTCTCCGACCCAAGGGACCCGCACAAGATGCTGCGCATCTCCTCGGCAGACGGCACGACCAAGGAAGTGGCCGCCATCCCCAAAGCATCAATCCACAGACCCCCGCGCCCAAAGACATACTGCCACCTCTGCCAAGATCATCCAGATGGCTTTCACGGCGATCACGAGCTGCGCCGCCATATCGAGCGCGTGCATTCTTCCGTCCGCAAGGTCTGGGTGTGTGTCGATATCTCGACCGATGGGAATTTCCTAGGGAACTGCAAGGCTTGTCGGAATGGGAAGAAGTACGGCGCGAATTATAATGCCGCTGCGCATTTACGTCGGACCCATTTCAATCCTTGTCAGCGAGGGCGCGGTGGGCGTGGGAAGGAAAGTGAGAAGCGCGGTGGGAAGGGCGGTGGGAATTATCCGTCTATGGACGTGTTGAAGCATTGGATGGTCGCCACTGAGGAGGTCATTGATGGCGCATCTCTGGATGGTGTCGAGTCAGGGGTTCCAGTTCGGGGTGAGCGCAATGTTCTGATGAATTTCGAGGTCGACGCGACTGTCTGCGAGACTGTTGAAGATTATATCCCATTTAATATGGGTTCGGCGCCATTTGATGGACATGGTCAGTTCTCCGAGGTCCATGGCGCGCCGTTCAAACTCGATCTTGATCCCGAAGAGCAAGCTCCTCCCAAGACCCCGGTCTATTTCGACCCTCAGCGACCGTTCTCGCCAGAAGTGGATTCGTATGTGTGAGTTGGGCGTAGTCTCTTGTATGTATGTTCCTGTTAGCTGTTCATATTCTTTGGTTCGTGTATTGTATTCTTTTGGGTTGGGGATTGGTTCTGGTTAGGGTGGATCACGGTGTGATTTTCATTGGCGATATATGTATATGGAGCTATAATGAATGTTAATGAAATATCAAGTAGCATGTACAAGCATTCAGGGCATCCGTGGTACGGAAGCCGAAGTACCAGGTACCGCGTAGGCAACAACAATACGGTGAAGTGCCAAGAGATGCCGATCATCCGGAAGAACGCGCTGGATTCCTCGATGTTTCATGAGTGGCTGAAATGCCTCAGTTGCGGGCCTTGTCAGCCAATAGTGCGCTCCGGTCGCAGCGAGATTTGTGGCTGACTTCGTTGGTCAGTAGGGCTGGTGGCTGAAATCTCGAGAAATACTGCCAGGGTACAGGGTTTCGGTACCTCTAATCCCACAGTTGAAGTGAGTGTGCGCTGTCAGATGTATTCTCAGTCCCATCAAGTAGTCCGTAGATGTAAACGAAACAGAGAGATGTGTAGAATCCATCACATTGAGAAATCTTCAAAAGGGGCAGAAAAAGGTACTTTGCGGGTACCTCAGCCCTGTGTTCTTGGCGGTCAAACCCTCACTTCGGGGGCCGCGGGCAAGTACCTCCCAAGTACCCCAGTTCTTTCTTCAGTTACACCTGTACAGTGAGTCTTCTCCTCTTCTGATCCTCTCTCACTTCTCTTCTCATCTCCCTTCGCCCTTCGCCCTTCTTTCATCCATCCCATTCGCTCATCTCGGTGTCTTTCACAGACTCCCATCCTCAGCCAATCTTCGTTCCTTAACAGACCCAGGTATGTGGTTTTTACCGCGGTGGCTGTCGTATATCCTCTCAGGGCCCTCCTTAATCGCCTCGAGGCGCAGTCTATCCCTCGCGTGTTGGTTGTGATCGCATCGCTGATTTGTTTTGCCCTTGTTCTAGAAAACTTCTAGCGTCAAAATGTCCTACCAGCAAGGTTACCCTCCCGGTCCTCCCCCGCAGGCGTAAGTCCATGTCTCGATTGCATATACCCTCCAATCTACCGGTCGCTTGGAGTCCCAATGGGACTGGATGCGGTGGTCACGGCCAGCCGACTTCGGAACGCTTTGGGACTGCCGATGTTGTGACCTAGTCCACCCTGGTCTGGCATCTAGTGCAACACGATGGAATTTGTTCTGATTCGGACAATATAGTTACGGGCCTCCGCAGGGCGGCTACTACCAACAGGGCCCTCCTCCCCCTCAGGGCTACTACCCACCCCCCAGGTATGTTCCTATCCTGCAACTAAATCGCACTGTTCAGGGTTCTTGTCATGCTAACTATTCCAGGAATACCAGCAGCAGCAGCCCATGTACCAGCAGCAGCAGGCTCCTCCTCCCCAGGAGAAGAAGTCTGGCGGTGGTGGCTGCCTTGGATGGTGGTAAGTGTTCATCCAGTTGTGATCAATGAAAAAGCTACTAACATGGTATTTTTTTTCCAGTCTGGCCACCCTGTGCTGTTGCTTTGTCTGCGAAGAGGGCTGCGAGTGCTGTGCTGACTGCATTGAGTGCTGCGAGATGTGCTAAATTTCACGATCAACGAATTTGACTACTCTTTTCCCCGTTGTGGCGTTTGGCACTCCGAACGCGCCCATGAGCGTCTCAGGAACGACACTTGCAGTCTTTTGCTTTACCTCCTACACATATCTCGATGTTCATACGTCAAAGGACCTGATCCCCAGATAGCGTCCGAGAACCATAATCTTGCGCGGCATTCTTTTGTTTCTTTGAACTTCCGTTGGTAGCAGAGGTCTTTTTTTTCGAAGTTATCTAGCTTCTACTCAGCTCTTTGAATGATACTTTTATTTGGCATTTATTCACAAGTTTACTGCTTGAAACTCGAATCAAAGCGGACCGGTGTTCAGGCTAACACATCGTTTCTGAAGACTGCACCTTTGATACGCTTTTTTCAATGTTCATGGTACTAAACATTTCTTTCCATAGCTGTTCACCTTCTATAATGACCACCACCGCATGTCACATTGAGTAAATGAAGAAGAACAAATAGCTTGGATGAATTTAAATTGCCGGACGCCAGTTCAAGGAGGGATGTGGGGTCCATAGTATATGCAATCATTAGCCACCACAATGTCTTAGCGCCGAGCCCTTGAAACACCTCAGCGGTTGCATATCTGGGGCTGTGTGTCCGTATTTGAACCTGATATTCCCCAAAATGTATCTTATGTTGCTGTGCTACATTAATTCCCCCCATATCAAAGCAAGGAGACTTTCGCCGAAGCGAAAGAGTTACACAGATGCTCCATCAACATCGAGGTGTGAGCCCGATTGATCGTGATGGATTGTGCCTCCTATCTCTCGATGGTGGGGGTGTTCGGGGACTGTCGAGTTTATACATTCTCAAATATATCATGACATTGATAAACTCGGAGAGACAGGGCGAGCCCCTTAAACCATGCGACTTGTTTGATATGATAGGTGGTACAAGTACAGGCGGGTACGAGGCATATCATGGAAGTTATGGTGAAACTTTGCTGACCACGTGTTTAAAAGGCTCATTGCGATTATGCTCGGACGTTTGGAGATGGAGGTCGACGACTGTATCGAAGCCTACCGTCGCTTGATGAAGCTGGTCTTCAGCGAAAAGGCGAATAGTCTGCCTGTCGACTGGTCGGGAAATGTGAAATCCCAATATGATTCCCGGAAACTGAGATCGGCGGTTGAGGATGTTGTTTCGCGATGTGGTCTGTCTCCCAATGATTTGCTGAACGACGGCAAAGTCCGTCCGTGTAGGGTCTTTGTTTGTGCGACAGCAAAAGACACCATGGAGGTACAGCGATTGCGAAGCTACAATTCGTCCGAGGAGAACACGCCTTCGCCTACGATCTGCGAGGCAGCGTTAGCAACCTCGGCGGCAACAAAATTCTTCGACCCAGTCTTAATTGGAGATCGCCAGTTTATCGATGGTGCATTCGGTGCCAACAACCCCGTGGAGGAAGTCGAAGAGGAAGCCTGCGATATCTGGTGTCCCTCAAGTCGAAACTTGAAAGATTTGGTGAAGTGCTTACTTTCTGTTGGTACTGGGCACACTGGCCAGCAAGGGATGAATGATAATATTTTCAAGTTCATCTCCAAAACGCTCGTCAGAATGGCCATAGAGCCCGTCAGCACAAAGCGTCGGTTCATGGCTCGATGGCGAAACGAATGCGAAGGGGGGCGGTGTTTTCGTTTTAGTGTCGAACACGGATTGGAGGGTGTTCGCATGACCGAGTATCACAAACGGCCCTTGATCGAGACAGCAACTCAAGACTATCTTCTCCATGAGAATCAACAGTCTCAGATTCGTGAATGTGTGACAAATCTGGCAAGAAAAGAGGGTAATTTCAGCCTAAATGTCAAGGTACTCGTCGTGTTAACGTTTGGTTCCTTTTAGGTAAAACAAACATCAAGTTTGAAGCCATTATCCAGGTGAGTTCTATGCGAATAATAGTTTTATTGGCAGCTAGCTTACACTGGAAAGGAACGCGCAATGCGCATCAAGCTTCAGCATGATTTTGACAGATCCCAAATTGCAATTCAACTACGGAGGCCGCCTTCCTGGCTTGTACCTTTCGATAGGAATCTATCCTACGTGGATCGAGATGTTATGGTGAAAGTGAAAGAAGTTCTTTTCCGAGACCATTGTCAACATGAAATGGCGATTTTTGGTCTTGGGGGCGTGGGAAAATCCCAGATTGCCATAGAGCTCGCTTACCAAACACGAGACGAATACCCAGACTGCTCAGTGTTTTGGATCCCAGCAATGAGATTTGATAGTATTCGACAGGCTTTTACCAAGGTTGCTGAAAGCCTACGTATCATGCCAGTTGAGTGTAAAGAGAACGATGTGTTTCCGCTCATTTGCGATCATCTCAGTCAAAGGACTAACGGCCGCTGGCTTCTGATTTTCGACAATGCCGATGACATTGAGGAATGGACCGAGAAATCCACTTCTTCAAGCGTTCAGATTTCATTGCGTGACTTTCTCCCTAAGAGCCCGCTGGGCAGCATTTTCTTCACGACGCGAACTGTTCAAGCTGCTCAATACTTCGCTTCCCAGGATGTTCTTCATATCCCGGAAATGGATGAGCAAGAGGCTACTTGTATGCTGAAAAAACTCTTGATAAACCAAGATCTTATAAATGATGGAAAGACCATGTGCCAGTTGCTCAAGCGTCTGACCTACCTACCATTGGCTATTGTACAAGCAGCAGCTTTCATCAACCAAAATTCGACCGACCTTGTACGATACATAGCTCTTCTTGATGGACAAGAGCAGGATGTTATCGACCTTTTCAGTGAGGAATTTGAAGACAATGGCCGATACAAAAGCAGCCGGAACCCCGTTGCAGCCACTTGGCTTACCTCATTCTGCCAAATTGAAAATCGGAACCCACTGGCTGCTCGATATCTCTCTTTCATGGCCTGCCTGGACTGTCGTGCTATTCCAATATCCCTGCTCCCATCTGCAAACTCCCTGGAACAAGAAAAGGCAATTGGAATTCTTTGTGCATACAGCTTTGTTCGTCCGAGACCAGGGGGTCACTGTCTGGATTTGCATCGTCTTGTGCAACTTGCTATGCGGAATTGTATGCGGTCAACTAATGACTGGAAACAGTGGGTGAACTATGCAATCATGGAGACAAGCCAAAAGTTTCCAAGCCCTGAGTCGAAAAACCGCATTCTATGGCAGGAGTATCTGCCCCACATCCTTCGGCTCCTGCAGCTAAAATCAAGCCGATATATCTCAAAAGCGTCATATATCTTGATGTTTAAAGTTTCACGTTGTTTGATTTTCGACAGCCGGCTTGAGGAGGCTGAATCTTTGATGCTGCAGCTTCAACAAGAGTACGGTAGGCATTCAAGGCCTGAAAGCCTGGTAACGCTATCCGTTGACCATAATTTGGCCATTATTTTCTCCCTTCAAGGTCGTCCGCGTGAAGCAGAACATCTGGCAACGCGTGTCTTGCAAGCACAGCTTAAGTTGGTGGGTCCAGACCATTCAGATGTTGCTATCACTTTGTGCACCCTCGCTTCGATACATTTCAGTCTGTCAAACCTACCAGTTGCGGAGTGGCTTGCTGTTGCAGCAATCAAGGGCTTCATCAGAAAGAAGGGTGTGGAGTCCTATCATAGTTTGACAACAATTGGTGTCCTGGTTCGCATATACATACAACAAGGCCGCTTGGCCAATGCGTCTGAATTGGGTAATATCCATTATTTGCTCAACAAAAAGGCTACTGGAATCGATAGTCCAGATACCGCGAGCAGTGAAGAGTCTCTGGTGTCGATATATGTCTTACAAGGGCGCTATGCGGAGGCCGAAAGGCTCTGCATTCAATCACTGGAAAAGGTAGAGAAGGTCCTAGGTCGCGCCCATCAGAGAACCCTTCAAACTATGAACTATTTGATAGGAATACTTGGCAGCCAGGGCAAGGATGCGGATGCTGCTGCTTTGTCCTTAGAGGTAGCTCAAGAGTCTGAGCGAAATTATGCCCCGGATGATCCAAAGGTCCGGGCGGCGTACCAACAAGTACAGTGGTACACGTCGCTCAAGTTAGTACCATGTTATCCTATTATATTTGACTAATCAACTTAGCGGTGCTCACATAGGCTAACACGTTCTTCTCAGGCCTCTTCATCAGCGCGTTTTTGATCGCGTGGCTCATGCCCGAAAGCCAAGAAGAATCATAGCCACCCGAAGACTCCATCATCGAGTCAAGCTTTACGGTGGTCTTTATTGCCCCCGGAGGCCAGTGACTGATGACACAGCTATTCAGATAATTAAAAAAGCTGTCCTGGCTCTTCCTGGTGGGTTGGATGGAGTACAAACTGTGCCAGACAAACTGTGCAATGACCAAGGGTCGGCTGATAAAAGTTCCGACTTGTTTGAATTCCCTTATTACATGTCCAATGTTCCACAACCGCAATTCTGTTTTGGTGGGGGCATTAGCATTCTAGCACATATTTTCGGCTGAGTATGTTTCTCCTGTTGCTAATTAGCACTTGGTGTCCCTGATAATTACAAGTATACAAGTCGCGATCCTATTGTGGTCTCTAAAGCCTTTCAATATTCAGACAAAGGACGAAGATCCGAACGGTCCATGCAGTCAACAACATGCGACGGAACTCGGTCACAGTTACAAAAGTAGGAAAACAGCCTACACATAACTATCAGCCATAACGTGGCTTTACAAATGTTAAGTGAGGTTCTGATTGGTGTAGAGCTAAGCAATTCTTAAGCCTCGAATTCAATGTTGTCGGAGCCCTGCTTTATATAACTACATGAGCTATACGGGTGGCGGAGAGCCACGGCGAGTCATCCAATCAAACTCTGCTCTTGACCTCAAAGTGAAGCATGCCCATGTTATTTCGAAGGTTCCACGAAGAGGCTTCACGGATAAGATTTCCAAATGAGAAGCAGTGTGAAGCGGACACGATCCAGATCGCGACCATCAGCGACAACCGCAGGATGGAACCACAGGTTCGAACATATTAATATCAATTACCTCAAAACCAACACTATGCGGTCCTATGATTAGCACATATTTTTCAAGTACCTCACACTAGATCTGTCGGCATTCCCGGTCTCATGATTATTCGAGCGCAGCGAGCCTGCCGCTGTAAGACCGAGACTCCACTGTGGCTATCGGAACAGACAAAAATTGGTTAGTAGACTACCGGAGGGTACGTGCCCAACAATTCCTGCGTCGCACACTTTACTCTATTGGGTATATGATTCATACAGTAAGGGGCTTCGGCTTGTGGCGATCTTGTGGTGCACTGGCTCTTAGTAATGGCTTGGTTCAAATATATCAGAATATTACAGGGGATTCCTCTCCAATATCAAGAAGAATAGCCATGCTTTTAGCCCGTTGATCCGAGCTGATCAAAGTTGAGATCAGATTTGTCTCGGTTGTGCCCGAAGCCCCAAAGAGGAAAGATCTGATAAACTCTGATAAACTTGGGTGTTGAAAGTTGCGCAAGCGAAGCAGAGAACAGGAAACTGCCCGTGGAATGGCCCACAACTAATTTCTCGGCCCAAAAAGGCCAAGCGAAGCTTCTTGCAGCCACTCCGAAGCTTGGTGTGGGCCACGCTTGCTAATTGCGGGTTAGGGCTCGCTAGATAAGATCACCGCGACATCTGATTAGATCTTCCTCGTTGCTAGTGGAGACTTTAAGACCAGAGCCAACGTCTTAGCCTGCCTTTGTGGACTCGTGCGAAATGCTTTTACCAAATTAAAACTCTTGGCCACGCAAAGACCCAGTTTTGTCTGCGTGTCAGAGCGCGTAGTTCTGGCCGACGGCCGATCTCGGGTAAACAATAGTTTTCTATAAAATATCTGGATTCCCACGTCCCGGTCTCTTGACTATCACTGTCTTTATTTCATTATGGGTCTTCGTCCCTTGATCAAAAGGGGCCGAGCGGTCATGCGCCGCTTGGGCGCCGACAATACTGATACTGCGCCTAGCTCTTCGGTCGAAACTACCGAGGGGGCTACCTTCGAGGAAGCCAAGAGAGAGCCTACTGTTGAGGCTACGGCTCAAGAGCCGGAGCAGCCTGCCGCTGGCCTTCAGCATGGTGTCCGCAATGTCGAGGCCATTACCATGACCTGGTCTAAGACCACCCTGATTTGTGTCTTTATCAAGTATGTTCCTTTTAACTTTTGTTTGCCAGCCGACCAAACGGCAAGATCTAACAGGTAATTTCCATAGTATCTGGTTCCTCTACTTTGTCAATGCCTTCCAGTCCACAGTGTTCTACAGCTTGAGCCCGTACATTTCCAGCTCTTTCCAGGCTCACTCCTTGTCTGGTGTGCCCATGGCTCTAGCTGATGCTTTCACTGCGGCTTGTTACCTGCCTGTCGGAAAGCTCATGGATACCTGGGGTCGTGCCCAGGGTTTCCTTCTGATGACCGTCTGCGCTACTCTTGGCTTGATCCTGTTCGCCTCGTGTAACAGCTTTGCCATCTACTGTGTTGGATATGTAAGATTACCGACAAGAGACTCGCCGCGAAGATTTTACGATACTGACTATCGACGCAGATCTTCTATCAGCTTGGTTTCAGTGGAATGGAGTATTCCATCGATGTCATTACGGCCGATTCCTCTACCTTGAAGAACCGAGGTCTGGCATTCGCTTTCACCTCGTCGCCCTATATTATCACTGCCTTTGCTGGGCCCAAGGTTGCCGACGAGTTCCTCTACCAAGTTAGCTGGCGTTGGGGCATTGGCTGCTGGGCCATTGTTTTCCCTATCGTTGCGGCGCCATTGTACTACATGCTCCAGAGCAACTTGAACAAAGCTGTCGAGCAGGGTCATGTTCTTAGACAGCCCAGCGGCCGCACCTTCTTGCAGAATATCTGGTACTGGACGATGCAGTTCGATCGTAGGTATTCCTGCCTCCTCGGCTATTAGCCACATTGTTAAATTAACTAATTCTGACCTTGACCAGTGCCTGGTGTTGCCATGTTCACCATCGGTCTCGTTCTGTTCGAGGTTCCCTTCGATATTGCCAGTGAGGCTCCTAACGGCTGGGCCTCCGGCTACATCATTGCTATGCTTGTTGTCGGATTCTGCATGCTCTTCATCTTTGGCTGTTACGAATGGAAAGTGGCTCCCGTGCCGCTGCTCCCTATGGAGTTCTTGCTCGACCGGACGGTCCTCGGCGCCTGTCTCTTGGATGCAACTTACCAGATCTCTTACTACTGCTGGTACAACTATTTCACTTCTTTCTTGCAGGTCGTCAACAACGTGACTGTTGCCCAGGCTGGCTACATCAGTAACACCTTCGATGTTGTCTCCGGAGTACTCCTCCTCATTGTCGGTTTCATCATCCGCAAGACTGGCCGCTTCAAGTGGCTGCTCTACATTTCCGTTCCTCTGTACCTTTTGTCGCAGGGGTTGATGATCTACTTCCGCAAGCCTAACATGTCGGTCGGGTATCAGGTTATGTGTCAGATCTTCATCTCTATTGGTGGTTCAATTTTCATTATCGTTGAGCAGCTCGCTATTCTGGCCGCCGTGGATCACCAACACGTCGCCGCAGCTCTGGCCTTGCTCAATGTCGTTGGCACGATTGGTGACTCCGCCGGTTACACTATCTGCACGGCTATCTGGACCAACACCTTCGAGAAAGCGCTCATCCGCTACCTTCCTGAATCAGCTCTGTCCAACTTGGATATGATCTACGAGGACCTCAACACGCAGATCGGCTATCCAGTTGGAAGCGCGACAAGAACAGCTATTCAGAACGCGTACGCATACACTGAGGTGCGGTTGCTTGCCACTGGCCTGGGTATCATGGCTCTGGCCATTGCTTGGACTATTATGATAAGAGACATTGATCTCAAAAAGAAGCCCCAAGTCAAGGGTGTCGTCTTCTAAAAAGCCCAAGAAGGGGACAGGCTGTGTCCCTCAGGTATACATATCCGCATAATGTGAAATGGGCTCTCTATTCAGCGTAATTCCTTCGAGGGTCTCAGTGGCGGCCGTTGGTTCTGATCGCTATCAGTTGCTTCATCCTTCGTGTGGTCCATTTGTTGTCACTCCACTTTATATATGTCAATCTCTGCTCTTGTCCGGTCTGATAAAGAAGGAACCTCCATACTAATAATATATACCGGAATTGATCTTTTTTTCGCGAGCCTTGCTTCCTCTCATCATTTGCAATTTTTCTACAGTTGGTGCCTGGAATCTGAGGCGATTCCTCCCATTTGTCCCTCTTCTTTCCACGATAAAAAAGGATCATGGTGTTATTGGGTGAAACGTGGCAGGCACTTGGTGGAAAAGGGGTTTGCCAACTGCACCTGGGCAGAAAACCCGGGCAAAACACCTGGGTGACTATCAGCCCCTGTTGGTTTTGCTTTTTCTTTTGCCCGGCTTGCGGGCTATGTCTAGCGCACTTTGACCCTTTAGCTAAACACGTTTGCCCGGTGCGGGGCTTCAGATAATTTATTGACTAGAGATATTGTGTTATGCTTGTCCAAGCTCTCGACATATCACACCCTCAACATTCGCTCCGCAATGGCATCAGATCAATACGCCGAACTATGTGACCACATTTATGCGCAGATCATGGGAAAGCTGGAGAATTGCTACAAAGACGGGACTCGAGTTGCTCGGTTTGCTCCGATCGGAACCGCCGAAGAGGTGCTGAACCCAGACATTCTATACTCTTTCTTTCGCAGTCTTCAGTTGCCTCAAATCGAAACAAAAGACCTCAACCTTGGACTGGATAATTTGGTCAAGAGGATGAAGGAAAGGGGGCTTTACACCTTTCTGGCCATTCTTATCTTCACCTCGTGTACAATAGAGGCCGCTCGAACATTCACCCTGAAGCTGTTAGCTCCTAAGGAGAGGTCCAAAGATTTTGGCGCCCTGCCAGCAGAGCGCGAAGCCCTTACATCGATTTTTGGGGATCCAGTCACGCCAGACAAATTCTGTCAGCGCAGGCATGCTTTTGTCCAGTTGTGATTTGCAGCAAAGAAAAGGACCGGATTGAGAGCTTGGAGCGCGAATGTCTTCCATATTTGGAGCAGGAGCTTCGGGGAGAAGGAGCGTTTGGCACGGTGTATCGAGTGAAGATCGCCAAGGGCCACTTCTACACTCGTAAGCTGGGATCAGCAAATTCGAACCCTGTTGATATCGCGCGCAAAGACTTCCGATCCAATGAAGACATTGAGCTCGAGGTCATGCAGCAGATTTTATCTTGTAAGCAGACCTGTGCGAACATTGTCGAAATTTATGGGAGCCTTGAAATCGGCTCGACCGGATACAGCATTTTCATGCCCCTCGCCATTTCGGATCTCAGGGCTCACATGAAAAACGATACACGGCCAAGACCAAGTGCGACTGAAAGAACAGATATGATTCTCGCTGCTGCAGGGGTCGCCGGGGGCTTGAAATTCCTCCATAAGGGCATGGATATGCCTCGGGGTGGAAAGCTAGTCTGTTACCATATGGACCTAAAACCAGATAACATTTTGATTTTTCTAGACAAGGTTGATTCTCATGGGAAGCCACACTATATCTGGAAGATTAGTGATTTCGGCATGTCTCGTGTCAGGTACCAGGATGATAATGAGGTCGAAAGGCGCGAGAGAACCCTCACAAGTTGGTTTCTTGAGAGACCCGTGGTCCCATCTCTCGCTGGGACCTATAACAGGCGACTAGTGGGTACATACCTGGCACCTGAATCTCTTCTCCCAAGCAGAAGTATGAAGGCTGCCAGCGACGTCTGGTCCCTGGGCTGTATCACCAGTGTTCTATTTACATACTTGGCGGAGGGCAGAACTGGAGTGTCCACGTATCAAGACAGGAGGACCCAACATCACAACGCAAATAGCTATGATCGTTTTTTTGTCGCAAACACAGCCTTCGGACGTCCAAAGGTTCATCCAGAGATCAAACTATGGCATGACCTTTTAATCAAGAAAGCGAACCAGCAAAGCCCAGAAGAGGGACAAGCTTTGAGGTCAATATTGAATTATCTCGAGCGAAATGTTCTTCTTCTGGATCAGCAAAACCGATGTCCTGCGGAAGACTTGGAAAAGCAACTGAACAAAACCCATCGAGCATACAGCGAGTTGGATAACACACCGAGGGAGCGTCCAAGCGCTGAACAACACGACTTTCGCACACTGCTACAGAACATACGCATAAGTGCGCCAATGGGCAATAAGAAAAAGGCTGCTTCCAAGCGGGCTGACATGTGGTTCTTCAACCCTAAGGAAGCGTTCAAAGACTGTGAAATCTCTCCGGATGGGTCTATTATCGCATTTTGGACTGATTTCAAGATTTCGCTCTACACCCAGTCCTTTAGGCGCACAGAGGATGACGAACTACATCCGGTTGCAGAGTTTTCTTTAAATACGACTGGCGAACCTCGGCGTTTTTGGAAAAGCATTAGCTTGACAAGTAGTTATTTGATAGCTTCCTTGTCGGGAAATAATTTCCAGGTTAGAACTCAGCTCCATCCCATGTGAACTATTTACTAAATTTTGTTGGTCACAAGTGCTTTGTTTTTGATCTCCGACGTGATCGACGAACGAATAAAAAGCCGACTATCAATCTCAACCATTATCGCCCCGTTTCGATTCCGCTACCTGAAATAAAAGAGGTGGCTATTTCGCCTGGAGGTAAGACGATGGCATGCATTGTGCGTGACAAAGATAAAGACGACAACCCAGGCTCATTATACATTGGCACTGTCAAATCCCCACACGAGTGGAAACTAGGAAGGAAACTGAAGTGGCCAGCGTCGGACGTTATTCAACTTTCATTCTCAGGGGAGAATGATATCTACATTGTCTTCCGGCCACAACGCACCATCCAGACCCATAAACATGAGATTCCCGTCCTTCATGCATGCCTCGCGACGAAGCACATGTATCCTCTAGTTATTGAGCCGCGAGTAAGTCTCACTTCTCTGTCCAATGAGCAGCCCTTTTTTTCTGTGCTAACGGAGGCATTAGGGCATTGAAAGTAGCAGTACTGTTGGCCTTTTTACTACACTTGCCCCGTTCTCTCAACGTCCTGAAATCTGCGCGATTGTCACTCGGGAGAAACAGCTGCATATCCAGAGTCTCACGGAGCCGGACAAAGCTACCCCTACCATCCAGACGAGTATCAAAAATTATCGGGTGATCAAGTTGATTACGGGACAGATTGATGAGGTCATGTTTGCAGTGGGGAGACAAGTGGGAGTTCATAAGATGCTTTTGCTCGAGGTCACTATGCCACAGGAAGAAGCTACCGATATTTCTGTGAAGGAAATTGCCACGCTCCCGAACCTTTCTCATCATAGCGAGTTCACTGCGAGGATTGTCTTTGATCACGATGGAAGCCACCTCCTTCTTGCCGCTCTTCTTGATGCCAATGAATGTGGTATATACAAAGTCCGTCTGAGTGGGCCCAGCTCAGGCTGAACGATGAGCCGAACGTCAGGTATAGACCCAGCAACATTTAGGCCTCACCCTCATGAAACTCTTTGACTTCCTTTGTTCCGATTTTAAGCTGTCTCTTGAGATCTTGCACTTTCCAAGCTGGGACCATGCGTAGCTTTGGTAGATGGAACGTCGCTCCGTCACGGCGCATTAGCCAGTAGTAAAGGAGATATGTCACTGCTGTAAGACCGAATGAGGAGAGAAAGAAAATCCATATCATAGATGTGCCAACTATACGGCTATTCTCTGTATCCAAGTCGAAGAAGTTCATTCCAAAAAATGTCTATTTGGATGGCTGTTAGTAAACTGTGATGTTGCAGTGGAATGGAATCGAGTTTAAATTCTGGGGAGAAACTCACTGCAATGAATGACGTAGGAAGATAAAGCAAAGTCAGCCTGGTGATAAACACGGCTGATTCGTTCAATTCGATAATATTTTTGTTTTGCTCCTGTGCCAAAAGCTGATCCCGCATCAACAAGGTGTCAGATAGCAGCTTGGCGACACTCTGTGCTCGTTGCTGCAGATACGTTGCGGATTGAGAATAGATCTTGCAGTATCGAGCCTGGTTTTTGAGACATTTAATGCCATATTTCGTTTCTTCAGTCTCTGACTTCGAGCTAATAAGTGCACATAGGTCTTGGAGAAGGTCCATCGTCGACGCAAGGATAGCTGGGACTTGACGGAAACGAGTTTCTAGGCTGTTCAACGTAGTCAGGGTGTCATGCCCCAGTCCCAAAGGCTCTTCGATAAAAGTTGCTAGTGCGTCCTTTGCAACAGGCAAGAATCGGTTCTCAATCGTCGTAATGTACTGTCTCCATGAGGGGAAATATGCTGCGAACAACAGCCGGTGTAGCCAGAAGGGATCGGCTTCTATCTTCGAGTGATAGCTAGACATAGACAGCCATTTTGCTGCTTCGAGATGAGCTTTTGATTGAGGAGTCGGGCTGAGCAGCATAAATATACTCTGCGAAGTCGTGCTGTCGTATCGGTGATAGACTCCAGTCTGTCGAATCACCCATCTGTCGTCTTTTTCCTTGTACTCCGGGTATTTAATTGTGTATGATACTTCTATCATATCTTTTAGCCAAACAATTCGAATTTCCATGTTGGGGTTCCGGGTGAGTACCTGTGATAGAACCTAGAGAGATCTCGGTACATGGAGTACAAAACACCGCGTCAAGATCTGCACTGCGATGATTGCGAGAATAGAAGCACGAAGCCAATTCCCAGAATAGTGGACCGATGTCATGGTTTGAAACAATGAGATCGAGCATGGGTTTTGTAGCTTCTAATGGCCCCCGGGAGTTCCGTTGACAGATCGATCTATCAAATGTCAGTAATAATCAACACGATTCTGGGCTGACAAACATCAAGCGAAATTTGTGAGAATTACTCTCGTCACTCTGGAAGTATGTTTTAAGGTCCTCTGCTGTGAAAAACTTCGAACTTCGACCGCAGTGTGCTGTTGACAATGCCGCATCTAGTCCGATGTCGTAAAGTTCTACGGGATGAACCGGTTTCCTAACGCTGTAGTAATCAACAGATGGCATCGTGATAATATAGTTAGATTTTTCTCAATTAAATCAACTGCAAGCAGTCTCTCGATTATTATAGTATTCAAAGCTAGGCGCGCAGCATGACACTGTCCCCTTCCCCCTGCATTCGAACTGCGCCTCAAATTCATGCATTTAAATATACCGTACTTCGTATTCCATTCGCCACAGCCCCCAGGCTAAGTGTCTTCATATGCCCTAGTCACAAATTGTCAGTATTGCTCATGAGTGTCCAACCAGAATATCCCTTACTCGAACTCAGCCTATAAACTTGCCATCAGCTACGGGCCTCGACATTTCTCCGGGGGTTCATTCTCACCGTCTCCACCAGTCTTGGGGCAATGAATGACCATATTTCATCTTGCAACTGCTCTATTATTCAGCCTTGTGCCCGATAAAATGGGGTTCCAAGCGAAATACCCGAATCCTGAAATCGGTCTGCCCCGGAAAAAGTTGTTCGAGGCAAGCCTGGAGACTTTCTCCGTTCAAGTAACGGCGATCAACTGTTTGACGACGTTCGTTGTCAGCGAGAGGCCTGTCTGGCATTTCTTTTTAGGATGATCGGTTTTCTCCCGGTCTCTCTCGTGGCGGTAAGATCTGCGGGCCTCATAAGTCGCCAGGATCTGCGGCTGAAACGTGGTTTATCTCACTCCGCCACGTCACGAAGCCGATCTTTACCCAGGTTCCTTTGGCACGAGGGCCCCTGCATGTTTTATGGCGAATCTCTGTCTATCGCTTATCTCTGAGTCGAGACTATACCCATTTAATGGGTGACTATTCCAAATATGGAGATTCTTTTCCGCTGTCGTGTGATTCCACAGGGTTGTTGTGCGTCCGAGTCGCCCGGGTGAAGATGAGGGGGGTCTCGATACGAAGAGATGAGGCATAGCATTCGGCTTTCACCTGGTCGCCGAGTTCGCTACTTATGCATGAAATGCGGCTCATAATACCTGGTTCATTGGCTGTCTACCATGTGCAATCCCGAACCGTAGATTTATTAGGTTGTGATAGATAGGGAAATTTCAACCTCAATCCTCGACATGTCAGAGGCAGTCGAACCTTCGGAATGGCAACCAGATTGGCTTTCTGATTTGGTGAACAGATCAGCAAGATCGGCCATATTATTGACACCCTCTACAAGTGACCAGACAGAAGGATACCTCCCAGCACCATCTGAACAGCAAAATGCTCCAACCAATTCAGGGAACTCTGCCAATGCGACTCAACCGCGTCTCGCAGACTCCGAGTCTACTCATATCTTTGACTATCGCGAAGAAACTCGTCTCCCTGTGACTCCCAGTGGAGAAAGAAGTGTCCAGAGGACATTGAAAGGGATACATTTATTTGTGCGTATAAAAACTCTCTATCATAATGCGCCACACTCATCAAAACCAGATGATCACAGTCAATGCAACGCTCGGAACAGGACTTTACTGGCGTGGCGGTCAAATACTTGAACTAGGTGGCCCTTTGGCAGTGCTTGTAGCTTTCCTCGTTGTTGGATTGCTATCATGGGCCGTCATGCAATGCATTACTGAAATGTTGTGCATTTGGCCAATACCTGGCGCACTATCGGTATATGTGAGCCAGTTCGTTGACGAAGAGCTGGGTATTACTGTCGGTATCACTTACTGGTTCGTGTGTCCCCAAGATAACTAAGTTTGATTCTTTAACAAAGCGATATCCGACAGTTAACTGAGTGAGGCGCTGATAAATCTCATAGGTTCACATACTCAATGTCGTTCTCTACGTTAGTGGCAACTTCGGCCGCGGAATTCAATTTCTGGCGCGGTATTAACGACAGTCGAACTATCCAAGGCGTGGTCATATACTTCTTGATCCCACTCCTATTGGTTCTCCTTAATACAATGCGTATTCAGGTAGGCTTAATCGTCACTTCCCCCACCCCTTTTTTTTGGATGTCTGAAATGAGTACTGACAAGTCTTAAGATATATGGATGGCTAGAGGTTGCTACAGGAAGTTTGAAAATATTCTTTCTTATTTTCATTATCATTGCCCTCATCGCGATTAACATCGGGGGTAAGTAGGAACACACTCTTACCATAATTTCCGAATGACTTTGATCGCTCAAAGTTGTGTACTAAATTCGAATAGCGGGTTCGAAAGAGAGTCTCCACTATGGCGCTGAGAGTAAGTCGATATCTCGAAATGGTATATGAATGCAGCTAAAAGTGATAGATTGGGGCTCACCTACCGACTTCGATAGAGATGCAGCCGATAACTGGGTCATTTCCCTGCTGTGGGTGATTTCAAAAAGCTTTGACTTACAACATGACTAATTACCCTAGCATGAGCATATCGATTGCAACGTTTGCATATGTAGGAGTTGAAGTCGTTTCCTCATCTGTGCTTGAAGCAAAGTCACCAAATCATTCCAAGGGCGGAGGTAACCCGTTCAAGTTTTCTGCTATCTACATTCCAGTATTCGCGACAGTTGCATATTGCCTCAGTGGGGTTCTCGGGACATTGGATATTGCGTGGAACCATCCTCATCTTCCTCGACTTAGCTGGCTTCCCCGGATCTAAACAAAGATGACAAATCTCCAAGTCGTGCTGCCTTTGTTGTGATTGCTTTTGCTTCCAACATTCCCGGGCTGGATGACACTTTCAACGCCTTTTTGGTATTTACCTGTCTTTCCTGCGCAGCCACTAATCTATACGTCGCCTCACGAACATTGTTTGGTTTAACCAGTCGGTTGGAAGGTGGTGAAGGCCGGCGGTGGTACTTACGTGTCCTTGCTTCGTTTGGGACAACGGACGGTCGTCAGGTACCTTTACGGGCTATGATATTCTCTGCAGTTGCGTTCTGGTGGGTTCCTTTTCTGCAGCTCATTCGCGGAACTAAAAGCGCTCGGTCCTCTGTCAATACGGTATTGCTATCACAGCCCTGTCTAATCACAGCCCAACGTTAACCTGGGACCAGTTTGTTGAAGTGCTAAGTGAAATGGCATCTGTAAGTGTTTTGCACGTTTGGGCTTGCGAATGTCTAGCATTTATTCGCTTTTATCGGTGGTAAGTCTGACCACCATCATGGGCGATCAATACTGACATAAATTTCATTTTAGCATCTATCAACATCGGGAATATCTTGAGCGTGAAAACATCGCTCTGGTTCAGCGCTGGAGTGTAAAAAATTATTCCGACTACCCGTACCGCAGTTATGGACAGCCACTGCTTGCATATCTAGCACTGTTTGGATGTATATTTGTTTTGTTGGTGGCTAATGGAGCTGCATTGTGGAACGGCTTCCACCTTTTACCTTTCCTTGCCTCATACCTAACTGTAAGTGATATATGGCTATTTTAGTGAAGCATATACGGGGTGCTAATTGTCAAACACTTGCAGGTCATTGTCTTCATTGGCATTTGGATTCTGTTGAAGATTTTTCGGTCGGCTCCGTGGTCTTTCGTCGATCTTTCACAACCTAAAAGAGTTGCCGAGATATTCAGACATCTGCATGATATCCGCTTGGGTGTGACGGATTCTACAGAGGATATTTCGGAAGGTTAGATGATATTTTTTCTGCTGTTATTGTAGCACATGCATCATCTAACGTTAGTTTGTCTTCTACGACAAATAAAATATATATTCCCGGTTTTTCGTTTGGGACTAGGAGTCCGTCTTAGCAATCCGCTATTCCCTGTCAATTCTCACTTAACCAAGCCTAATCACCAGATCTTGACCATAATACGATACCTTGACTCTTTCCGGATTCCAAGAAGTCTTACGGTTGGTTTCATATTGACGGCCTGAGAATCAAGGCCACAACACAGACAACAAAGTCAGCATAAGAAAAAACCAATTTAATCACATATAACTACGCTTTATTAGAGAGACGACTGTACAAGGAGACTTGTTTTGAGATTAAAAAAAAAAAAAAAAAAAAAAAAAGAATTGAGAAAGCTGTATGTAAATCAAGTGTAGGGATGGGGAGGGGTAAAAAAAGAAAAGCAAAAAAATTCCGGTGGGCCGGAGTCGAACCGGCGACATTCAGATTACAATGGTCAATTACAGTCTGACGCCATAAACCAACTAGACGACCGCCGGATGGTTGTTGAAAATCGTTCATTCTTTGGCTACATGACGTACCATTGGGCTGGGTTGTTTTGCTTTCTCACAGACGCCATCTTGTCGTGCATGCATCTCATGTTCTTCCAGCACATCTGGCGATCTGCCTGGATTAAATTACACCGACTCATTACATTCAAACCCTTGATTCTTAACTAGCATCCTTCATTCTTGGGAGATTCTACCCTTTTCATCCGGCATGTTGCTGTTACACAGCTCGAAGCCTTCCCAATACCCGTGGACATAGCATCGCCACACCCAAACCCGTTGTTATACTTGGCGCGGGCAGCTTTCCCCTTCTATTTTCAACCTCTTCCCCAAATAACATGTTTTCCGGTTTCCTGAGGATATATTAATGACACAAGCCACGGGAAGTGGAGATTCTGCATGAAGATGCGGAGAAAGGCGCGTCGATTTACCCATCAATCACAACCCACATTCCGCTCCATGGCGTTGACCACTACCCCTCAAAAGGCGGCCAAGAAATATGTGCCCCTTGAAGACGGCACGATCTCCCAAATCAGGACGAAGAGGCTTTGTGGCTTTACTTGCAGCGTGAGCCTCGGTGCTCTCTTGTCAACATGCAGGTGCAACGTCGTCGCATGGCTCCATGCAGGGGACATGCCATTAGTTCTGCCGATGTTTCCCCACGCATTGTCTGTCTAGTCCGCCTGCAGGGGTGAACTGCTAGTCCATGCACTCCTCATGGAGATTTACCTAAAGGGGACTGGAGGCTCGGTACTTCTCCTGCCGTCGGCTAGTATTGTCCTCTAGAATTAGTCGATCATCATAAGCTTAACCCCTCAGATCTTATTTCGGAGAGATCGGGATAGATGAGGAGAAACACATTTAGCCGGCGATGCACTCCTTGCTGGGCGTTTCATTTGCCTGTATATAAATCTCCCAGGAACTCGGCTTGCGGCATTCATTTTGCATTCAGTATAGAATTGAAGGATTGAGAGAGCTAGTTGACTATATACGGCATTATGCTGGGTCAATACCTTCTTCTGCCTCTTCTGGCATCGTATGGTGCAGCAGTCACCATTTCAGTAGCGAAGTCTGGTGGCAATGCTACAAGCGGCCTGCAATATGGTGCTATGGAAGAGGTACATACATTAGCACCCCTTCAATGCGCTGTAATTGAATCTAATCCCTGTTTTAGGAAATTAATCACTGTGGAGAAGGAGGGCTTTACGCCGAATTAATTCGCAACCGGGCTTTCCAAGGGAGTCACAAGTTTCCTTCTTCACTTGATGCCTGGACTGCTGTTGGGGGCTCTTCGCTGTCTCTGAAGAACCTTACCGATCCATTGTCAACTGCCTTGCCAACTTCGGTCAATGTCAAGGGCACTGGAACAGCTGGTTTGACCAACGCGGGCTTTTGGGGGATTGACGTTCGCCCTCAGAAGTATACCGGGTCATTCTACGTGAAGGGCTCGTATAAGGGCTCTTTCACTGCTGCCCTTCAATCCGCCAGTGGCAAGGTTCTAGCGAGCACCAAGGTGACCTCGAAGAGTGTTGCAAACGAATGGGTGCAGCATTCCTTCACTCTGACTCCATCGAAGAAGGCTTCAAGCTCAAACAACACTTTCTCGCTGACATTTGATGGTTCGGTGAGATTCAGGCTTATAATTGCGCGTACAAGTGTCCCAGCTAATACTTCACAGAAAGCATCAAGCGGCTCCCTTGATTTCAATCTGATCAGTTTATTCCCACCCACATGGAACGACCGTCCCAATGGCATGCGGAAAGAGTTGATGCAAGCCATGGCTGATCTAGGTCCCGTAAGTGAACAATGTTTACAAAAGATTGCACTTTGAAATAGCCACACACGGTATACTGATATATTTGATAGAAATTCCTTCGTTTCCCGGGAGGTAACAACCTGGAGGGTGACACCATCGATGGCCGCTGGAAGTGGAATGAGACTATTGGACCCCTCAAGGACAGACCTGGCCGTGCAACCACCTGGCAGTACGGTGAAACCGGCGGAATGGGCCTGGTTGAGTATATGGAATGGTGTGATGACCTTGGAATGGAGCCCAGTGAGTCAATCCATCTACCATAATCTGATTTACTTACCTGACGAGGACTATAGTCCTTGCGGTTTGGGGTGGGCTTGCCCTGAACGGTGATCTCGTCCCCGAGGCCGACCTCGATTTCTACGTGCAAGATGCACTTAACGAGATCGAGTTCTTGACTGGCTCTGTGGATACTAAGTACGGTGCTCTGCGCGCTAAGATTGGACACCCTGATCCTTGGACGATCCGGTATGTCGAGGTTGGTAACGAGGATAACCTCAACAATGGCTTGAGCTCGTACAAGTCATACCGGTTCCCAGCATTCTATAAGGCTATTACCGAGAAGTATCCTGAGATTCAGGTTCTTGCTTCCACTATTGATATGACTATTCCTGGAACTGCGGGTGGTGATTACCACTTGTATGATATCCCCGATAACTTTATTACCAAGTTCGATATGTTTGATAGTCACAGTCCTGAGCATCCTATCCTTCTTGGTGAGTTACTCCATGCAATTATAGGGATGTAAACTGATAATTATCCAGGTGAGATTGCTGCCACCGAGCCTAACAACGGCGTCGGCATCGACTGGGGTAACACCCACTTCTCTCTGTATCCCTGGTGGATTGGCACGGTTGCCGAAGCAGTCTTCCTCCTGGGCGCTGAGCGTAACGCAGACAAGGTCATTGGAACTACATACGTGAGTAGCCCAAATCAAGTCTCGTATACTCGATCTAACCTCAAAACAGGCACCCTTCTTGATGAACTTGGATAGCTACCAGTGGTCCCCAACAATCCTCTCGTTCAACTCCAACCCCGACGAGACAGCCCGTTCAACCAGTTTCCATGTGTATAGCGTATGTTACTCCAACCAACACTTACATTCAAGGCGAACTCTCATATACTAACCGAATGTCGGATATAGCTATTCAACCACAACACCATGACAAACACCCTCCCAGCAACATCTCCCGACGCCTTCGGTCCTCTATACTATGCAACCGGTCTTAATAACAAGACAAACTCGCACATCTTTAAGGCAGCCGTGTACAACAGCACCGCCAACGTTCCCGTATCCCTGACTTTCGACGGTATCGGCCGGGGTACTAACGCCGACCTGACCATCTTGACTGCGCCCGACGCCTTTTCCATGAACGAGGTTGGTGGCTCAAACATTGTTAAGAGCAAGACTACTACCATTAAGGCTGGCAAGAAGGGCGAGTTTAGTTTCAGCTTGCCTAATTTGAGTGTTGCGGTTCTTAGCACTAAGTAGTGAGTGTTTGGTTTTGAATATATTGTATAGCCATTTTGGACTGCATATGGTGGTATAAAGCTATTTATATGGATAGCTCGTTATCGAATACATTGATTTTTAACTTCCCATTTTGGCACTTTACTTGTGGTTCAGCTTTGGGCATTTCAGCCCGTGGAACAGTTGGAAAACCCAATAGGGGAGTTACATCAGCAAGAGGTCGCTTTAAAGGAAAAATGTCAATCTATTGTTGACGCTCTCGAGGTGGACTCGACTTGCTATGCCGGTTTCCACGGTCAGATTGCTGAAAGACAACAGGCGAATAGGAATCATGGAGTTCGAGCGGTCGGGCATTCGGATTGAAGCCTCTGCTTATTGCTCGACTATAGATCGAATTTACTGTGCGTGCTGGTGTACACTGATTGCAGAGATTTCATTTGACATTGTGCTTGTGGCTTTGAGAGCTACCAGGACTGCCCGATGCGAAATCTCAGAACTTGGCATGTTGATGGAAAAGGGGTAACTCAAGTGGTAAAGCGGAAGAACTGGCAAAATGTCGATGGATCTATTAATTCTCAATTTCTCAATTTCTATTTAAACCGTTCTCGGATATTTTAATCTTCAAGTGTTCTTTAAGTCTTCTTCGCTTCCACAAATCTAAGTCCAACATCGGGTCATCTCACCATGTACACCACACCACGTCTTTGCGGGGTTCTTTCGGCGCGAGAAACTAATCGCCTCACTTTGAACCTGCCCGTTCAAGTCCCTTTCCTCGGGTAAATAGGGCTGCGATAGTCGCAACAAGGCCGAATGCTGCCGACGCCGCGAATGACAGTCGAATGCCGCGGTAATAGACCAGTCGGGCAGCCATCTGCACATCTGGCGGAAGGTCGTAGATGGCCGATACGGAGTGGCGGATCTCATCAATTACCTAAATAAGGGCGAATATACCGATCAGCAAGGCCTGTTCAAGGGACCATTAGAACACATCGCGGAGGAGATGTTACTTTCCATTTGTCTGGTATTCCACTCAAGGCCTCCCCGAGGCCTGAGTTCAGTGTATTCTGCATAATTGTGGAGGTCGCTGCGACGCCCCAAACGGTTCCGAGAGAGCGTATGAGGTAGACGGTTGATGCGGAGACAGCATGATCTATATAGGAATGGGCTTAGCAGCGGTCGTTTGGAATGTGGCTCACCTGCAGGTGGCGGAAAAGCTAATTGACATATGGTTGCAAAAGACACAATGATTAACTTACCGGAGTGGTCAAACGCTGCAAGGAATGTGAACAGGATTCCCGGATAAACTATACCCTGTCCCAGATTGGCGGGAATGACATATGCAAAGTACTTCCAGCTTGCGTCATTGAAGCGTAGGAGCATCACCAGAAGGTTACCGATGAACATCAAGGCCGCGCCGGTGCGTACGAGGTATGCGAGCTTGCCCCAGCGAGACATGACGACCCCTGAGATGAGACCACCCAATGGCGTAGCAAGACAAGGAATGACGAGTCGGGCACCAGCTTTACTGGGCGAGTCCAGGAGAATCACTTGGAACATGAGCGGGAGAGTAAAGAGGTACTGTAAACTTGGTCAGCTGCAAGGTTCGTGAGGTAGATAAGATATGTGTACGCACAGCATATGCTGCCATTCCCACACAGACGTTCGCAATCTGTGTGGAAACAGGAAGGGTTCCTCGAAGCATCTTCAATGGGATCAAAGGCACGGCAGAGGTTGTGGCTTCAACCATAATGAATGCGACCAGCAATATCAAACTTGCAACCAATGGGAGAATCACCCAGACATCGCTCCAGGGTAGAATGTTTCCACCCAGACTCAGTCCAACCAGTTGGGCCGAGAGAGCCAAAATGAGCAGACAGGCTCCCAAGAAATCGATTTGGTGCCAGATGCCTTGCATTCGTCCATCCGGGGAAGTGTCAGTAGGACGAGCTGGGAACTTCAAGACTTTATAGCCCATGACCAAGGCGAACAAGGACACTGGGACCTGTAGGAGGAAACACCAACGCCATCCAATCGAGTCCACGATAGAACCACCAAAAGAAGCACCACAGATGGCTCCAAAGCCGTAAGAGACATTCTGGATTGCTTGGTACATGCCGCGTTGACGGAAGGGAATGAGATCGGAATTGATGATTGTTGCTAGATTACCTTGTCAGTGATTGGAAATTTCCTCGACAGGGAGTAACTTACCCATAGTCATCAATCCTCCACCTCCAATGCCCGTCAAGGCGCGCATTAGGTTCAGAAATATCACATCCCGAGCTATCGCACACCCGAGACAACCAACCATGAAGGTGATCGTCGCAGTGAAAAAGCACGATCGGCGACCGAGTAGATCGGAGAAGCGACCGTACAAAGGCTGGAATGCAGTGCTCGTGATCAGGTAAGAAGTCGTTAGCCACGATGCGGTGTTTGCAGCGTTGAATTCGGAGCTGATCACGGCATAGGTCGAGGCAGTGATAGTGCCATCAAAGCCTCCGAGAAAGACATTGGCCATGATTGCTAGTATTGTTAACAGCTTGCTCATTCCCGCTGAATTACATCAACTTACCGATCTGTATCAATAAAAAGCCTGGCGGCGGGGTCCAAGTCGGAACAGGGTTCGATCGCAGCAATGGCTGCTCTTCGTGGATGGGTTCATCTTGAGTATACGGAACTGAGGCTCCGTTCTGTACCATTGTGACTGTGAGGGTATATCAAACGTCAAGTCCAATTTTGCGACAGAATTGAAGTTGAGAAAAGATGAATTGCCAAGAAATTGAAGCGGGCACTCGATTAGGCAGGTGGAACGTCTGCCGAGCACGACATCCGAGGTGATTCTCGCATCAACTGGGGACGAGGTTAGTTATTTAGGGCACTTCATCCCCCTGTTCTCTCTTCTTTACTACATACTCCGTACAAGTCAAGGACTCCAGTGCAGAATACCCATCTAAGGTTAATGTACCCAATCATGAACACAATGACAGGCATAGAAACTGATCGAGCCAGTACTCATCATGAAACTCCTTGAACCCGTCGCCTGTACTGCAGCGCTGATGACAATCGTCGCTGCCGACTGGCAATTCAAGTCTCGAACAGACCTGGCACCACCTCGTCTGAACATCACCATCCCGGCTGCAAAGGATGTCGAGAAAGGCTACCTCTTCGTCGCACCTTTCCCGGGTCAGTGGTCCGAGCCTCAGTTTCACGGTCCCCGCCAGGAAGCTCCCTATATCTTCCGGGATGATGGGGAACTCGTATGGTCGGGCTATACCTACTTCTCCATCTGGGCGGCCAACTTCCAAAAGGCGAAGTGGAAGGGCCAGGATGTGTTGTTCAGCTTTGAAGGTGACCATAACCCGGCTTATGGTCATGGTCATGGCCACGCCACTATTCTGAATCAGCATTATGAGACCATTAGGGAACTGCGTGCTGGTAACCACAAGCTGATGGACAAGCATGAGTTCCATATCGTCGATGAGAAGACCGCGTTGCTTCAGGTTTATCAGCCTGTCCCAACAGATCTGTCACGCTGGGGTGGTAGTCCCGAACAACAGTGGATTGTCAATGCAATCTTCCAGGGTATGTTACCAGTCGAGCGTGTAGATCATCAGTACTAACTTTCCGCAGAATTGGACATTGAGACTGGAGAATTGCTCTTCGAGTGGTCTAGTCTTGAGCATGTCACCCCTGATGGTAAGTTGGTCACTTAGAATAAGTTACCCACAGTAAACTCAACTAATATTACATAGAGGCTGTTCTTCCTCTTAACCCTGGACAAGCGGGTGCAGGCTACAACTCCTCAGACGCATGGGACTACTTCCATATCAACTCCGTGGACAAGGATGCCGAAGGCAACTACTTGATCTCTGCTCGCGATGCCTGTGCCGTGCACAAGGTCAACGGTACCACCGGCGAGATCATCTGGCGACTGGGTGGTCTGCGATCCGACTTTGGACTCGGTCCTAACGTCAACTTTTGCTTCCAGCATCACGCACGGTTTGTGGAGCAGGGCGATAATGAAGAAATCATCTCCCTCTTCGACAACTCTGCCCACGGAACTGAAAACCACCGCGGCAAAGAAGTCCACACCCATCCTTTCTCGCAGGGTAAGGTCATCTCCGTCAATACTGCTACCTGGACCGCGGAGATTGTACAGGCCTTCCAGCCTCCCGATGGACTCCTGGCCAAATCCCAGGGAAGCACCCAGCTTCTTCCCAACGGCAACGCACTGGTGAACTGGGGCTCTGAGGGCGCCATGACTGAATTCCGTGCCGATGGTACACCCATCTTCCACGCTTACATGGACTCCGGACTCTTGGGCGAGGGCGTCCAAAACTATCGAGCGTTCCGATACAACTGGACTGGCCTCCCAACCGAAGAGCCGGCTATTATTGCTGAAAAAACTGCGTCAGGAACTGCAGTCTATGTCTCCTGGAACGGCGACACCGAGACTGCAGTCTGGCGGTTCTATGCAATCACCGACCGATATGGGTCGCGGTCATTTTTGGGCGAGGCGAAGCGTGATGGCTTCGAGACTTCATTCCTGTTCAGCGGCCACTCGTACCAGACCTGGGCGGCTGAAGCTGTCTCTGCTCGTGGTCGCGTCCTGACTACCACTCAAGTTGCTCATATTCAGGATGCTGTCCTTCCTCCCCATGACAGCACCCTCGATGTGAATACAGAGGATCGTGGTTCTTGGAGACAGTTAGTTTTGCAGGCTTAGTTGAGTATGATGTGGTAGGGTGGTTGTAGAGAATGGAGTTCGTGGTAGCGCACAAGTAGTTTGGGAGAAGGTAGAATACACATTCTTCATTTTCCAGAACCATGTCTTAAGCTGGACTACTTCTCGACTGACTTGTATAGCCGTCACATAAGAGGGGTACATCTCAAACTGTGTAATTCACTTGTGTCTGCCAACTTGACCGCTGATAAAACGAAGTATCGGCACTTTGTCTACTGTAACAAGCCATATGTAATAGTATGGAGAAGAACTAGGAAGCACGTATCTTGATCAGTACCTCAGTGGTATAAACGTTTGGGTATTAAAATGACGAAGTACCAGTACATAAACATTGAATACGAAAATTAAACTGCTCTCTTCAATTACGCAACCATAAAGTTAGTTATTGTTGACGCCATTACGTTAAATCTCTGTTAAGTTTAGGGCGTTACTAAAGGAACCCCATTCCGACCGTTCGGACCTAATCCAGTTTAGTGAACGTAGGTAGGGCCCGAATGATCAGAATGGGGGTCCTTTTAGTGATGCCCTAAGTTTACTGTGACTACTGTATTTGCTTCTTGTTATGCAAACATAAAGTTGTCTGAAATATTCACTAAAGAAATGACAATATATTTTCTAAAATAAACCAAAGCAAACGCCAAACTCCTTTCTATATGTATTCCCCCATAATGGATCATGCACTTAACAAATTAGTTCAAGTAGAAACGATTGGTCAAGTTGAGCAGCTGCAGATATGCCGTCTGGATTAACTTTGGGCAATAAGCGGTTCAATGTCAAATCGGAGTTCCACTGCAGACGAGAAGACAAGGTATGCAATAATGCGATAAAAACGCTTGGAATCCCGATATAATAAGGCAAGCCACCTCTCTGCCCAATCGAGCATCAAGAATCTCCTCATACTCCGGCATACCGTGCTCGGCTATCACATTTAGCTTGCCAATATCAGCTCCTGCACAACTGTGGTTCTCTGTATAGATAATTGTAGTGATCAATACATATTCGGAGGGTGTCGATGTCATGGTCAATTACGTACTGCGCGCTGGCGATCTCATTCTACATGGGGCCGTTTCCGTATCTCCAAATTGATCCAGTAATAATTATTCCACTAATATTGTCGTACATACTATAGCCACCGTCTGGGCCTGGCAACGGCGAAGACTTTTATATGGCGGTAGGACAGGTCCCTTGGGATATTCACATCTTGGTGGAAGCTACCTCGAAGCTCTTCCGGGGAGCCCACCCAGCATTTTGTTTGTAGTCCAAAGTGATCCTCTCTCAATGGGGCGGCACCTGAGGATGTCAATTATCTAGTCTAATGTTGCCGGCGGAGTGGGCAACCTGGAACATTAGGGTCGTCTAACTTAAAAACCACTCCTATCTAGGGCCTGCAATAAACATCCAATTGTTGTGATTTTTATCTCACGAGCCCCTTAAACCCAAAATGCCGTTCGTCGAATACTACTACGTCAAAAAATTCCTGGTAGTTCTGCTACGAAGCCTCGTGTCTCTAGTAGTCTCCATTGTCTAAAGCGGCCTCAAATAATACCCTGATGAAGTGCGCGCGATGTTGCAACAGGCGACGGTCGATCTCTGTGAGTTCATGTTTATCGCGCGTTGGTCCCAGTCCTATCCCCAGTTTTGGTCTATTTCCACGGCAGCGGATTTGTCCTTCCTCGTCATGGAACGAATGATGAATTTTGTCGCCAAATTTGTCGCGAAACTAAACACGCTGTTCTTGATTTCTCCTATCGCATGGCGCCAGAACACCCAGTCCCGGCCGCCCTGGACAATGTCGAGGACGCTGTCAATTCTGTCATGGCGCGCCCTGAGAAATTCGATCTCACGCGTTTATCAATCCCGGGTTTCAGTGCAGATGCGAATCTTGCCCTCGCAGCATCTGCCAACCTCCAACCTATTTCCCTCAGACAGGTTCCGATCCTTGATCTCTCATTCTACCTGATGATTGACCTGAATATCGATCCATGCGCCAAATCCACCCTAGCCTCGACGCAAAACTTGCAATGTCTGTATCTGTCACACGGTTTTTCTATGGATGCTATATGCCCGCTAGGATTGATAGATGCGATCCACGTACCTCCTGCAGTTTTGCGCAGCTAGTGAGGTTCCCACGCCGAATTCTCATGATCACGGCGGAATGGGATACGCTCGCGCTTGAGGCAGAAGAGCTCGCAGAACGGCTTCGACAACTTCCCCCGGCTGGCATGAGGTCAGTCAGCGTGCTGCCGGCTGTGCTCATGATTGGGATAAGAATCTGCAACTGACATCCCCGGCACACTTAATCGAAGCCAAGGAGCGGCCTTACCGGATGGCTGTGGAGATGTCGAATGGGAAAGAGATGGTCAGCCTTGAAAACATTAGAAGATGAGGTGGGGAGCCATATGTATTGTATAGAGATCTAATCAGTGTTTTATGAGGATCTGCAATGCTAGATCCACTTCGATCCATGATGCTCTCTAGCTTTCCCCGATTAAGCTATTTGGCCCCCGGTGGACCCTGAAACCCTAGCGAGAAATATGCCCCTTTCGATTCTAGAATGTATCCTTCGCGTCTCATATTCTTCAATCCAGTCACAGTTTGATCATGGGTTTGCGCACTGTCTTCAAGTTAGGGATACTAGGCCTCGCAGCCGCTGAATCCTCTGTCGTCTCTCTGTATCTGTGGGATGCCGATCCGCAGCCGTTGGCCGCGTCGGTCGTGGCAGCGGTATGTTTCTCAACCCCAATCGACACAGAAATGACACTCATATCACGACTTAGACCGCTTCAAAGACTACATATAGGATCAACTGTGCTTCGAGTGTTGAGTCCAAGGAGTGCGAGCTCGGCCCCGGCTTCATGTACACTGCAAGCCCCAGTACTGTGGAGTGGATGATTGGAGCACCATATAATATGTATGTTTCTTGTGAGATATCCCCAATTTTGACTGACATCTGACCTATGGCATAGTGGTCCTGATGTTTGCTCCATGAAGGGTACCCTGACTGCTGTCTGCACCGTAGCGGTGCCCACTGAAACAAGCGCTCGAACCTTGACATCCACCTTGCATAAGACTGCTGTTACTGTCACCGCTGGACCCTCCGTGACAATGGCACAAGCTTCGGCTACTGACGCTGGTGCTGAAGGTAGTACCACGTTTCATACTTCAGATGTGCTGTCCGATGCATCGACCGCACCTGTTAGCACTGGAGGTTTGCCTCAAATTACTGCGAGGGCCGGACTTGCCCTTGGCGCAGCTGTTGCTTTGGTAGCTGGGGGCTTGTAAGCAAAAGGGCTCTTTTCGATGACCCAGGGGGCATGTACTGTGGTGAAGTAATGTGAGTATTTAAGGTTCATGTATTGCATGTCTTCATAGACCATTTCGGGGACGTCTATATGCACGTCGACTCAATATATATAAGCCTGTACATAGACCAAAGAGAGGAACGTGCGCTTCATAAGATACAATTCACATAAAAATGACCATTCCGGATGTTGGTCCATCCGAATATCCTCCGAGACAAATTGGGACATTGCTGGGCTGTGGGGGTGCGAATACGATGCGAATACGCAACCAATGAACTTCGCCCGCGCTTAGGCTTCAAAACTTGTATTGCTTCGTCGAGCTCTTTTCCTTGAAATTGTTGTACAAATGTGAAGAACCAGAAACGCTGTTATTTGTGGATGTAGATGTCCACATGTGCAGTAGATGTGGTGAAGTTGGTATGTGAGAGATATCTGACCGTACCTTCCTTAAAGATCCCGTGACAGTCGGAGAGTACTTCATCTTGACGCTCTCGGATGCTTGCGATCCCGGATCCCGTCCTCTTTTCTAATTCGTCTCTCTCTTCGTCTGATGTCGGTTTCCATCTCAAGCTCTCTTCTCGACATCTTCAGATCTCACGGGAGACAAGATGCAAGATCGAATCGACTCGCACGATAGCGACGCCATGGAGACTGCCGAGTCCAAAGATCCAGACAAGGAGATCACCACACTCGCACAATCAATCTCTCACGTCTCGCGCCAGAACAGTCTCAATGTTGACAAATCCGAGGAGGGTGTCAATACCTTCCTTTATCCAACCGCGGACCCTGAGCTTGATCCCAACAGTGACACGTTCATATCGCGCAAATGGGTCAGGAACATGCTAAAGATGGTATCTCATGATTTGGACCGTTACCCACGTCGCACAGTAGGAGTCTCGTTTCGCAACCTCAATGTTTTCGGCCATGGCACTGCAGCAGACTACCAGATGAACTTTGCCAACACCTGGCTCAAGGCCGCCGACTGGCTCCGAGGCATCTTGGGGATGGAGAAAAAAGTACGCATTGATATTCTGCGGGAATTCGAAGGCATTGTGCATAGTGGAGAGATGCTGGTGGTTCTGGGTCGCCCGGGCAGGTATGTCAAAGCTCTTAACGGAAGACTTTATCGAAGCTCGTTACCTGAGCTTCTTCAAGGAAAAGGAAATTCCTGACATGAACTAAAGTGGATGCTCTACCTTCCTCAAAACTATCGCAGGAGAGACACATGGGCTTTATCTTGACAAGGACAAAAACACGAAAGTACAGTATGACGGCATCTCGTGGGACGACATGCACGGTCGTTTCCGAGGCGAAGTGATCTACCAAGCTGAAACGGAGATCCATTTCCCACAGCTGACCGTCGGTAACACACTGCTGTTTGCTGCTCAGGCTCGAGCCCCAAGCAACCGTTTTCCCGGGGTTACACGCGATCAGTACGCAATGCACATGCGCGACGTTGTGATGGCGATGCTTGGTCTAACACATACTATGAATACCCTAGTTGGTAATGAGTTTATTCGCGGGGTCTCTGGGGGCGAGAGAAAGCGGGTTAGTATTGCTGAGACTATTCTGTGTGGCTGTCCCTTGCAGTGCTGGGACAATAGCACTCGAGGATTGGATAGCTCCACGGCACTCGAGTTTGTCAAGAACATTCGCCTCTCCACAGACTACAGCGAGACCACTGCGATCGTCGCCATTTATCAAGCCAGTCAATCTATCTACGATCTTTTCGACAAAGCAATTGTTCTCTATGAAGGCCGTCAGATTTATTTCGGCAATGCTCACGATGCCCGGCGCTTCTTTATCGAGATGGGCTTTGACTGCCCGGACAGACAGACTACGGCAGACTTCCTCACTTCCCTGACTAGCCCATCCGAGCGTCTTGTGAGACCAGGTTTTGAATGCGCTGTACCTCGCACACCTGATGAGTTTGCAGCTCGCTGGAAGGCTAGTCCTGAACGGAAACAGCTGCTAGCTGAAATTGATATAAGCCAAAACAATCACCAGGCTGAAGGAGGGAAGTTCAAAGAGTTTAGTGTATCTCGTGCTGCAGAGAAGCCGAAAGGTACCCGTGCAGCTTCGCCGTACACCTTGTCATATCCCATGCAGATTCGCCTTTGTCTTTGGCGGGGATTCCTACGCCTGCGGGGAGATCTCAGCATGACACTTGCCACTGTGATCGGCAATATTGCTATGAGTCTGATCATCGCTAGTCTCTTCTACAATTTAGAGGCCGACACAGACAGCTTCTTTCGACGTGGCTCTCTGCTCTTCTTTGCAATTCTCATGAATGCATTCTCTAGCGCTCTTGAAATTCTGATTATGTGGCATCAACGGCCCATCGTGGAAAAGCATGACAAGTATGCTTTGTATCACCCATCAGCAGAAGCTATCAGTTCTTACATAGTGGAATTGCCCTCAAAGGTCCTGCTTGCAATTGTATTCAATTTGATCATCTACTTCATACCTCACCTTCGTCGAACACCAGGTCATTTTTTTATCTTCTTCCTGTTTTCTTTTACCACGACCCTGGTCATGTCGAATCTCTTCCGGTTCATCGGGGCAATCTCGAGATCTATGGCGCAAGCAATGCTTCCTTCATCGCTCTTTATGATGATGTTGATCATTTACACCGGGTTTACCATCCCAGTCAGAGATATGCATCCTTGGTTCAGATGGTTGAACTACTTGAACCCCATTGCCTATGCTTTCGAAGCGCTGATGATCAACGAGTTCAGCGATCGGCATTTTTCTTGCTCTCAGTATGTACCTGGTATTTTACCTCAGTACAATGATGCACCGATGAGCTCCAAAATCTGTTCACAAAAGGGTGCAGTGGCAGGGCAGGATTACATTGATGGAGACGCCTACATCAACACCACTTTTCGATACTTCAAGTCACATCTGTGGCGGAATTATGGCATCCTCTGTGCATTTTTTGTGTCTTTCTTGGTGATGTACATCATTGCCAGCGAGCTTATTCGCGCCAAACCATCCAAGGGTGAGGTCCTGGTGTTTCCACGCGGTAAAATCCCTGCCTTTGTTAGAAACCGAAAGAATGACCCGGAACGAGTCATTGCGCCAGAGAAAAGTGCTGTTACGGTTGCTGAAAATGAAGATCAAACTGCAGCCATCATTCGTCAGACCTCCATTTTCCACTGGGAAAATGTCTGCTATGACATCAAAATCAAAGGGACACCACGTCGCATCTTGGACTGTGTGGATGGCTGGGTAAAGCCAGGCACTTTAACAGCTCTTATGGGCGTCACTGGAGCGGGCAAGACGTCTTTGCTTGATGTGTTGGCAGACCGTGTTACTATGGGAGTGATAACTGGAGATATGCTTGTTGACGGCCGTCCTCGAGATGATTCGTTCCAGCGGAAGACAGGCTATGTCCAACAGCAAGACCTTCATCTGGAGACCAGTACAGTCCGTGAAGCTTTGACTTTTAGCGCTATTCTTCGCCAGCCCGCTAGCACCCCTCGCAGTGAAAAGATTGCCTATGTTGAAGAGGTCATTCACATGCTCGGCATGGGGGAATATGCAGAGGCCATTGTCGGAGTTCTCGGCGAGGGATTGAACGTTGAACAACGCAAGCGATTGACTATTGGCGTGGAGCTTGCAGCTAAGCCAGCACTCCTGCTCTTTTTTGACGAGCCAACCTCGGGTTTGGATAGTCAAACCGCATGGTCAATTTGTACCTTGATGCGAAACCTCGCCAATCATGGTCAAGCTGTTTTGTGTACCATCCATCAACCTTCGGCTATGCTCATGCAGCAATTTGACCGGCTGCTATTCCTGGCAAAGGGAGGACGCACTGTTTATTTCGGAGAACTCGGATTGCACATGAGGACATTGATTGAATATTTCGAAAGCAAGGGTTCAATCAAATGTCCCCCGAACGCAAACCCGGCCGAGTGGATGCTAGAAGTGATTGGGGCTGCCCCAGGCTCCCACGCGGATAGAGACTGGGCCGATGAATGGAACAGCAGCAGTGAGTGTGAGCAGGTCCGTCGGGACCTAGCTGCAATGAAAGCAGAACTGTTGGAAAAGCCTGAGCCCCCACGAGTCGCGGGATACGGACAGTTTGCGATGCCAATCTGGTATCAGTTTGTGATTTGCATTCAAAGAATGTTTCAGCAGTACTGGCGGTCTCCAGGATACCTTTACTCCAAAGCTGCGACAGCTATCATCCCTGTAAGTCTTCAGGGCCCCTGAGAAGTATTAGACTGACTTCACTCTATAGCCGCTTTTCATCGGATTTACCTTCTGGCATATGCCGACCAGTCTCCAGGGCTTGCAAAATCAGATGTTCGCCATCTTCATGCTCTTGATCATCTTCCCGAATCTGGTACAGCAAATGATGCCCAGCTTTGCTACCCAGCGCGCGTTGTATGAAGTACGAGAGCGGCCATCCAAGTCATACTCGTGGCAGGCATTCATGTTGGCCAGTATCTTCGTGGAACTGCCATGGAATATCCTGATGTCAGTGCCGGCATTCTTCAGTTGGTATTATCCGATCGGACTGTATCACAACGCGGAACCGACCAATGCAGTGACTGAGCGAAGCGGCGTGATGTTTCTCCTCATTCTAATTTTCCTCATGTTTACATCGACGTTCAGTTCCATGATCATTGCTGGCATTGAGCAGCCCGAGACTGGTGGTAACGTTGCCCAGCTTTTGTTCTCGCTGTGCTTGATCTTCAACGGGTAAGCGATCTGCAGATTCGGTGTCGCTAACAATCACTGACTGAAAATCCAGTGTGCTTGCGAGCCCGTCCGATATGCCCCGCTTCTGGATTTTCATGTATCGCATCTCCCCATTCACGTATCTAGTGTCCACTGTACTCTCCACGGGGTTGACGGGTACATCTGTGGAATGTTCGAACATTGAGCTGCTCACCGTTTCACCTCCCGCAGGTCAAAACTGCTCCAGCTATCTGGACCCATACATCAATGCTCTCCATGGTCGTCTAATGAATCCTGAAGCGTCAACAAATTGCAAGATCTGCTCCATCTCAAGCACGGACCAGTTCCTTGAGAGTCTGAGTATGTCGTACTCGGACCATTGGCGTAATATCGGGGTGCTGTTTGCTTATGTGGGGTTCAATATCGTGGCCGCAGTGTTCCTTTACTGGCTCTGCCGTGTGCCTAAGCACTGGTCGCGTAAGGTCAAGCAGGCCTGAAACCCCTGTCTGTTTACAGTTATGCATTATCTTAACCGGTTAGAGCATAGCGAAATTAATTTCCACTCTTAACAAGGTATACGGCAGTCCTTTGGCTTTAACATATATTAAGCACAATACCCTAATGCTTCGGCATAGCAAGCATTTACACTAGGGAACTAGGTGGTGCAGGCTCTGTATTGTCTCGCCTAGCGTAACTCCCCTGTATTGTAGATGATATGGCGCGTTCGAACAATTGAGGCGGGAACAGCAATCGGCCATCGACAACTTACTAAGATAAGTCCTTCCAATTTCATGACAATATTTTCTGATTTATGACAAAATTATTCCCAGGAACTTGACAGGACCTTGGTGGAAGGTCTTGTTGCTTGTTGTCTCGCTGGATGGAACAATACGCGATAACAACCGTGCCGGAGAGTACTTTAATGGATGCAATCATGAGAAAATGACAACTGTATTTGGACTCTAGGTCTAAATTTCCAGATGTTCAGAATAATCAAGACGGACTACCACGTAGAATCTCATTTCAAACTTGCTCAAAGAAGTCGATTGGTAACTTTAATGAACCCCTCTAGGCTCTTAAGAGCTTGGCCACTCCCAATCGCCCAGCGTGCCTGGCCCAAACCTTCCTTCCAGCGTCCACCACCCGGCCCACGCTCGGTGATGACCTTTTCACCGGAGCCGATATTGCTGGTCTCAGCCTCGCACACGCCAAAGGTGACCGGGAGAGCAGCCACATTCATGAGAACAAATTACGAAATTGGGTCGTCCCGCGGGAGCTCATTCCGTAGAATGCTCATCAGCTTCATAGCGTTATCCTTGGGCATCTTACCTCCGTAGACATCAGTGAGAGGGTGAGTAGATAACCCAAAGTCTGAGGGGCGGAGCTGAAAGGTGTCAATCTTGACTAGTGTCTGCGGGCTCTCTTTCTCTTCACTCGAGTAGGTATCGTCGTGGCAGGATGATTCCTTATACTCGGAGATCCTCCAGCAGCTAGTAGGTCCTGCACAGCTAATCTCATCTATGTCCTCCTCACCGCAGACTACTAGTGCCTCCCTAGCTCCGGATTGTTTAAGAGCTTCCGCGAAGCCCGGGCCTAGGCTTTGGTAGGCCACGCCAACCACTCGAGCTTCAATAGCCCATTCGATAGGATTAAGCAGAGGACCCATAAGGTTGAAGATAGTTCAGATTCCAAGAGCCTTGCGCACGGAATTGGCGCACACTATACCCGGGTGGAAGTGGGTGCGTATAGGAATGCATAACTTGTCTCCATGTATACCTTAGCGAGGTTGCTTCCGTCAACAGCGTCAGTAATCGCTGAATTGCTTTGAGAACATCTGCGAATCTAGATAAAGAAGATTGACCACGATTGCCATGCTTAGTAGTCATCAAAATTGGCGATGCAACAATTGAGGCGGTCTCGAGACGTTGAAAGTCGAGTGGGAGTCACCCCCTGTTCCGACAATGTCACACTGAATTCAATAGACTAGATCTAGGAAGCGGAAACTGCTTATCATTCCCATAATACTGACCAGTCCTCCTTTATAGTTGCCTTCAGGCCGCCCACCCGCTTTGACAACTTTCTATAGCGATGCTCTGTCGATCTGACAAGCAGTTTCACGCATATGGTGAGAGCATTTGGCAATCACGTCTGCTTGCCTATACTTTCCGGTGGAATGAAGCAAGGTCAAAAAGGCGGCTCTTTGGATATCTGATATTCGATCACCGATTATTAACGCAAATGCAGAAGCAATGTCCGCTGCACTGATGTGGGCAGTGGGGAATAGGCCAGCCGGTTGAGAAGAGGTGAGATGGAGATAGTTTCCTGCTTCTGGAGATTAGGGGAAGACATGTCGGTGAGATTGAGAACTTCGAGGCTCTCCGCCCAAATCGGAATGGTCTAATGCGAGTAATAGCAATGAGAATGCGTGAGACAAGGCCCCTTGCCCCGATGAGTGCCTACCAGTAGAATCCGGCACCGCCTTTAATGTCACTATACCTCATTGGACGCTAGGAAACAAATTGTAAAACAAATAGAATAGAATAGAAAACATTACCCGAACAAATCCTCGCGGTGCCTTCTCGATCCACTCGGTTGGTGCGTGCTTACTTGCTGCCAATAGTGTCATTCCGATCAAGGAGGGACGGCCCGCACCATCTCGGACGAGTTAAGCTCCACTTCTCTAGATGTCAACTTTTTGGGGTCCATATTCGAATACAGTACCTTGTCTCGTATAACGGCTGCTTCCCTAGTAAATCCTAATTTTGCTTTCGTAAGAATAGATATGCTTAAAGCCTTTCCGTCCGGTCCGTTCTCCCACTAGGTAATATAAAAGGGGGCGATCCGGTAAACGACAGAAAGCGATCACCCAGGGCCCTTAGATACATGTTTTAACCCGCGATGATTTTCTAAGGGCGAGTGGTTTTGATTTTAAGCTCAACTGCATCTATAGACTTGGTAACTCCTGCTATAGCCAATGGCTTATTAGCCATAAAATTGCGGAAAGCTTAACGGGCAAGGTTGATATAGCTGACTAAGATGTAAATTCCAATAGAAGCTATTAAGCAGATACCGTTAAAAAAAATATCTTTGTTTCAGATGAATCTAAGTCATGATGATGGCAACAAGGCCGAAACGGGAATAGGCCTTGATAGATTTCTTATACGCTCACTAATGGATCCACGGCACAGCAACTAGTATTAAAAGTCCAAGGGCAACGGCTGCCTAATTATAGATTCTAGGCCGAGTTCCCTCGACTTTAAGACACTGAAACTGGCCACGAATCCATAGCAACTGATGACATCCACGATGGCCATATATAAATCCAAAGCCCGGGCTTCTTAAAGTCAAAGTCCTCCCGTCCAGCAGTCATATCCCTTTGCTCAACTCCCCTAAGACTCTATGTGCCCTTCCTGATGCCCTGTCCGGAGCATGGCGCTTTAGCCTTCAGTGTGTCACTGCGTTCGCAATTAGGATAGAATTCCCTAACACGGGATTCATTATCGCGATAATTAGCGTCGGGCGGGTATTATAGCCACTAGCTATTTTATAGGTCACATCGGTCCTAACGGTGTTACAAGTTATAATGTGGTGAGCTGTGGGAGGTGCTACCATACTTAGAGTTGCGAGATGTCAGAGCCGGAAGATGTCAAGGGAGGAAAGGAAGACTAGCTTTCATAAAAAAGGGTTCAAGACGACTCAAAGTTAAGGGGAACGGCCTGCCTATAAGAACAAAGAACCACTTGTGATCTATTATCAAGTTCAAATTGAAAAATAAATGTACATTAAGCCACTTTATACAGAGAATCAAGAGATGATATTCCTCACCCCCCAAACATATCAAAAAACAGGGTCAGTGAGCAGCAAGTCCGTGACTTTCAACCAGATTCCAGTAGGATTTGGCGATGGATGTCCGAGCCGCTTTCCCAATCTTAATCCATAGCAAACAACCACTCCAGAAAACCATTCCCAGCACTGCTATAAGAATAAAGGTATTCTGCAGCCCCATGCTGGTAATCATGGGATTGACCGCGTATGCAAAAGCGAAACCTAGCAACGTATTGTTAGCTCACTAAAAAGACTTGTTTGATCTGAGAAGGCATTGCGACCCACCAATTGTGTTACGGATCAGAATGACAGTCACAATCGACTCTCCAGCCAGCTCCTTTTGACTATCAATGATATAGGTAATGGCTAAGCCGGAACCCATCGGCAGAGTGATGCAAATGAAAGCTATTCCAATGACAACTCCAATCCATGGAATGTGGTGGCTTGCCCCAACGCCATAAAGAAGACAACCCAGAGGATGAGCGAGGAGGGGTATCAAAAACATCCAGAGACGGTCTTCGGGTTCCTTGATACCCTGTCTTCTTCTAGCCAACCTGATTGCAAGGATATCACTCAGCCAGCCGCTGAAATAGCATCCAACTGAGACTCCTATCACACTTGAGAAGTAGGTAAGACCAATCTCCTCTGTGGTAAAGTTGTAGGGGGCACCGCCCAGAACTTCCGCCAAGGAGCCTCCCAAAACATTGTACCAGGCGAGAATACTTCCCACTAGAAGGCCGGAAAAGATAGTTGTGGGGAAGCATAAAAGTCGGAAGGAAAGCATGATTGACCGAAAGAAGTTGAATGGCTGAGAAGGATGTCTTAATCCCCACACTTTCAGCTTCTGTGCGTATGTTTTAATCTGGTGACTCTCTTCAGCGACGACAGCAGTAATATCTGGACTATCTTGCTCTTTTGATTCGGATTCCATTTTGCCGTCGGCGTATCGCGAAGACTCCAGGATGCTACTGTCTTTGGGAGTAGAAAATATCGGTTCCTGAATATTCACTTGGCGGAAGAACATCGTTTCTTCAAAGCAGAAGAACGTTGCAACTGTGAAGCAGAGACAGATAATGGCTAGGATATATTGGATCCATCTCCAGCCAAACCTCTCTGCAACAAAACCACCGGCGATAGGTGACAGGAAAGCACCGCACCACAGAGTCCAGTTGTAAACACCCATGTGGAAACCTCGATCATGCGCAAAGTGGATATCCGCAATACAGAGCTCGATCAAGGCTTCTTGAGGTGAAACAAAAATGCCAAGAAGAATTCGATTGGCGTACCATTCACCCACCGAAGTTACATACGCAGACCAGATCTGCAACAGCGATGACCCCAGCATGCCAACCAACAGGACCGGCCGACGACCATAGTCCTGCGCAAGGTTTTGGGTCAACAAAGTGCCCCAGCCCATGAAGAGATACATGAGGCCATTTCCTGTGCTGAGATCTGCCACGGAAATACCTGTGTCCTGCGAGATCAGGAGATAGGAGGATGACAGACCGCTAATGAGGGCAGCGGCGAAGAAACACCAGGCCATTTGGCAGGTGCTGTTGAGAAATTTGCGATAGCGGGACCAATTGAGAGGGTCATCAGGATGAGAGCTTGGGAGAGGAATCAGAACGATATCTTGTTGCTCTTTATTATGTCTCAGGCGCAGGGTGTGGTCTACATCCACCTGCTGGACCGTTCCGGGGATGGGAAGAGGATCGTGCATATTTGCTGATAGGCGGAGATGATACAGCTTTCCGAGATACTCAGTATATCTTGCCGCGGTAGTTCGTTTCGATGGTACCACCAGTCCAACTTTATAGACCCTCAGGCAAAATGGTGATTTGAGCCCTATATTAGAGGTATTAGTGATTTTGCAGACCGGAAATATATAACCTCTGTGCATACCACAAGATATTGCCAAAATCCTCTAGCCTGAAGTCTTTTTGGTTAGGATACCGAACTCATAAGCTTGAGTCTCAATAGAAAAACAAAGAAATCGACTCTTTTAATACGTGTGTCTTATCAGACTTCTCCAACTCCGTTATAAATATAGCGTCCAATTAATCACAGAGGCTCCTGAAAATGGCTTATCATACAAGGCCGGAGAAAGGATAAAACCATCCAACCGATGGCGGCTTTTGGGGTTGAAATCGAACAGGGTCTTGACCATATTGCTGCTAGCGAAAGCTGCCAAGTGATACCCCGCGACGCGTGGCCGATCTCATCCCCTTTCCTAACGTTATCACCCAGAATATGGGTCTCGTTGGTCGAACCTCGAGTTGGCTACTGGGTTGGAGTCACTTTGATAGCCAGAGTTTAAATGATAAGATGCGGAGATAGAGCTGTCCAGTCGGATTTCCCCTTTATTCGGTTCGACTCCAAATCATCTTTTCCGGTATCCGACCTTGTGGCCAAGCAACATTGTGAGCTATTTGGGGTCATTTTCAGTTGGGGTATTCGGGGTCGTAAACAGCCTGGAATAGTACTATGAAGCTCCGATGATTTAGACCAGTTGGCTTGTCGTCACTGAAAAAAGGAGCTAGCAACAGAATGATGACGTCCACAGAGACTGGTCTCAGCAGAAGAAAATCCCTATCTAATTATCACAAATTCTTTCAATCCTGCAAGGACCAAATAAGGTTCATTTCTCTATTTATCTACTTGTTAGGAAAGTAAGCCTTGTTAAATGTATCGACAGCAGCTCGTGTCTCCTTCACCAACTCCAGGCACCCAGGAACGTCGGAATGGCAACATATGGAGATGGGATGGTCCTTGACAGGCAGTTCACAGGTAGATCCATCGATTGCAGTAGCAGTGCATGTTTCAACCTGCTGTGTCACGCGTCTTCGGACTTCGGCAAGATCCCAAGCCCTACAACAGTGAAAAGAGACAACATTAGACCCAGGAATAAGAACAAGAAGACGAAGGAAATGACTCACTTCTTTTTGCGCTCGATGAGGAGAGAAGCATCAGCATTGTACTTGACATCCGCATAAAGCTCCGCGACGAACTCGAGTCCTAAATCTTTGGCGGCCTGTTCCATACAAGTACCTGGAAGCCCAAACACCTTGACATCCTTGGGGATGCCCTTGAAGACGGCCATCGCAGTCTCATAGTCTCTGCAGCACATACCATAAAGCATCCCGTGGGGCTTGACGTGGTGAAGGGGAACTTCCTCCCGGTCTAAGAAACCCTTGAGTGCTCCAATTTGATAAACAGTGATTGCAGTAAGTTCCTCTATGGAAAGTTTCATTTCACGACGGCCAAAGCCCTGGAGATCTGGTAGGCCGGGGTGTGCTCCAATTTTCACGCCGTGTTGCTTGCAGCTGCGAACGGTTTCCATCATGATGAGGGGGTCCCTAATGAAAAATGTGTGAGCAAAACGCCATCATGGTTTTGATGTAAATTCGTGTAACAGTTTTAGCGGCCGATTGGCCGTCGCGGTTCTGAGAGTCGGACAGAGTGAAGAGAGGAAGACGTACGAAGCATGAAAACCACACGCAATATTGGCATGATCAATAAATGGAAGCAAGTCTTCATCTGAAGTTATTGTCCAATTACCAAAACCCTCTCCCAGATCAACGTTGATCAGGGCTTTGTGCTTGATAGGTCCCATAATGGCGTTTGGAAATGGTCAAAGGTTCACTCGGGAAGTCCTTCAATTTGGTAATCGGCTTTGGGTCAAATCGTCTAGAAGTAAAAAGATAGTGAATGTCTCAGAAACAATGTAAATCAAGTCGGTCAAAGTTAAAAGGTCATGCTATTGCAGGTTATCTTATTTATTTGCTTGGCTCGTGGAGTCCACCTTTTGGAGTCGGCTCGGAATCAACTCGCTTTCCTGCATTATCCGGTGCCGACTCAATTAACGCAGCATTTATTTGCCTTCAGTTTACGACCTACAAAGATCTGCGTTGTGAGAGCAATGGACGTCACACGAGGTTCCCGAGCAATCAAACACACTTTTTCTTCTGACCTTTTAAGATACTAGAAAAGGGTCTGCAAAACGACCCGACCCGATCAAAGTCAAGGTGGCTCCTTCTTGTCTTACGGTGAAAAAAGAAGTATTTACATGAAACCAGGACGAGTTTCAAGGGGACAAATTTGGTGTGGTTTGTTATATACAAGCAGCCGTACATTTTCACTAGCTATGCCAAATTAATGCTCAATGGGTTGGTCCAGCGCTTCCAAAAAGACCATCAGCAGCATCGTTGGAGAAGGGGGATCATTTCCACCCACGAGCCCCAGAGTTGGAAACCAAGGCATGTAATTGAGGTTTACCTGAGAAAATTGGTCGTCCCACCACATCGACCAGGCATCAAATTGTGAGTCATGTTTAGCATCAGAACTGGACCGGTTGAGATCCAAGAGATCGTTGTCTTCAAGATCAGCTCTAGGCTGTATATCTTGAGGGGCATAATGTATTGCCGAGCGATATGTTTCATGAGAGATCTGAGAGGCTTCTGCGTGATCTTTTGACAGGGTCGCTGACGATGGGAGTCTCACGTTACACGTTTTCGGCGTGCTTGGCTGGGTTAGGCGCGACTGCAGTCGACAAGCGAGGTTCTCAAGAAGATCGCCCCAGCGCGTACTCAAATGTGTATCATCGACTGCAGACTCACGAAGGCCAACAGCGACTCGCCGAACTAGATCAAGGGACATGGGTATGTCGATGTCGCTGATTCCGGCCGCGCAGCACTAATTCCACAATTTAGCACAATACATCAAAAATAAAAGGACGGACAATTGAGAGAGACGAAGCCACTTACTTTGAGAAGAATCAAAGTTGCACCGAGAAGCCTTGAGTATGATCGAACGGGAATATAGGTTAAGCTCCCATAGGGAAGTAGATCGTCAAGCACCGTTCTTAGTACAGTCCGAGCGGCCCTAACAGTTTCTCTGAGATACTTCTCCTCTTCTGAACTGCTCTCTAGTTTGCTACTTGTATTGTCACGGCAATTTCGGTTAATTGCTGCTTGCAAGGCAAGACTGAAGACGCAGAGTTGGGCATACTCATACTCAATGGTCAAGATACATCGCGTCTGCTTCGCCACTAGACTCAAATGAGCATTGATTCACACGGTTCCATGATTGATACTTACACTTAGCATGATCGAACTCAATAAGCGATTGGTTCAGAAGTGGCTCAAGGCCGCGAACAATCTGAAGGTACTTTCCATTGCGAATAATTTCCCCTGTATATCTCGGCGACACAAAGAGAAGATCGTTTGCATTCTTCATAATAGTTGCGACGCGCATCCAGCATTCCGTTGCATCATCATTCTTAATGCCGGGGCTTTGTTTGGGAGTCCATTGTGTTGGATTTCTTCGTCCTACAGTAATTCAAATTTGTTATCAGCCTGAAACTTTCAAAAAGGTCGCAATGGGCCTGTCTGCGGAGGGTGTGTATACCTGGTCGACCCGGTTGCTGTGTCGCGTAAACCCATATCAAGCACCGTATACGGTGAAATCTCCCTTGGTCACGAGCGAGCTTCAGATGATCGTGGCCAATTTCATCTCCTTGCCAGAAGGATTTATCGTCGCAGAAAATCTCCATCTCGGTTGCCAGCATCAAAACAGTGGAGAGCATGGAGTGGCATAGGCGATCTGATCGAGCGAGCCAGTCATGTCCGGACCCGGGCCCGTAATACCCAGTGGCACAATCATTCTTGCGCAGTCTCTTTGGCTCGGGAATCACTATCGACGACGTATCCTCATCCGGGGGCGGAAAGTGGAGGGCCCGAGGATGCCAATCCAGCAACAACAATAACGCTTCGCACGTTCCTAACGTGCGGAACCCATGCGACCAAGTGTCCGTATATGCCGGCCGCGGCCCTCTTAGCGAAGGAAATTCCCCTACAAACAGGTCTTCCGACCAAAACAATCGTGAAAGCATCCCCTGTAGATATCTCCAAATTCGATCATGAACGATATAGGAGCGCGCGACCGCAGCTGGTCCTGACCACTTTCGGTAACGCGACCCAATCATCAATATGGTGATGGTTAACACGGGCTCCTCGTCGATCAGCATCGCGTGCTGGGAGTGGCATCGATAGTATTCCGGCACAACAGGCGAGAAGGCAGACTGGAAGTTGTAAAAATGATCAACCATATCAAGCGCTTCCTCAGCTGTGAAAAGCCCACCACGGACAAAACGTAGGTTTGACCAGGCGCGGAGGGCCTCATCGGTGCCTTCGTTACTGTTGGCGCTGGTATCGGTATGAATGCCAAGAGATGAGTCGGTAGGATGCGGTCTGACACTTTGGGGATGGCTGGTCAAGGGCAAGCCATCAGCCGTCCTCTTTTGAGCCTCACTGTGCTCACAAGCTTTTGATAGCAATGTCAACGCATCATGGTAGGTTCGGGGGTGACCCTCAAGCAAAGCAGTTGCAGCTCCTCCATTTTCCGGAAACTTCAGGCTCTCCTCTTCTTGTAATCCAGGAGCCAGATTGCTGTTATACAAACGTGCCGCATCAGGAAAAGAAGTCGCAGGTTGAGATCTGATGGGCTCTGGCACAAGCGGTGATTGTGCTTTTCGCTTCGTGGAGGCAGTCTTTCTTATCCTCGATGCGGCAAAGAAACATTCTTTGCTCTCTCTGCGGCATCGCGCACAGGGTGGTTTATTGGGGCAATCGGCCGATCCCAACTCGCAGCGCACCTTTTTCTCCCTGCAAGGCTCACAAGCCTGGGTCTCGTCGTCAGAGGATCGACAGAATACAAAATGCGGGGGGCTTGAGTCAAGGCCCACATACCTGGTACACTCGTCTGTGTTCTTTCGCATGAGACGACATGAAAGGCAAAAAGATAAGGCAAAAGGATATGCCAAAGCATCCGAGCCGGGGATATCCCTCTTTCTTAAATCCCCGAGGTAAGCGGTGGTTTCCGGCCCAGTCGGATGCCAATTACCCCAACGCTCGGAGCTTCACGTTGGAGTCTGGTGATAAGCTTATCTGGAGATGAACCTCGGCCGGAGGGAACAAGATACTAATATCTATCTATTTGCAAGTCCCCGGATTTTGATACAACGCCGTCGCAATGGAGAAATTGAATACCTTGCTGATCGCAAATCGCGGTGAAATCGCCGTTCGCATCATCAAAACAGCCAAGTAAGAAATGAGGTCCATTATCAGAAGCAGTCAAACTAACACTTACTCTCCAATAGAGAGCTAGGTGTCCGTACAATTTCAATCTACACTGCCGCCGACGCAACCTCGCAACACGTTCGGGCGGCAGATGAAGCGGTCCTACTACCGGGCGACGATTCTACCGCATACATCAACGGGTTTGTTCCTCCATAGTGTTAAAAGGCTGGGTTTATGAAACTGAGACGAAGACAAATCAAATAGGAATGAAATCATAGAAATCGCGCGTTCCCATCAAGTTGATGCCATCATTCCGGGCTATGGATTTCTGTCGGAGAATGTGGAATTTGCCCAAGCTGTCGCCAATGCCGGGATGGTGTTTGTGGGGCCCAGGCCCGAAGCCATTGAAGCTTTCGGGCTAAAGCATCGAGCACGAGAGATCGCTGTGGCAGCCGGCGTTCCAATTGTCCCCGGGACACAGGGACTGCTCGTTACAGAGGACGAGGCAGTGGAAGCGGCGAATGAATTAGGATATCCGGTACTCATCCCTGCTATTTTCTTTTCAGCTGCCAATGCCTACTAACTTCGACTCGCTATAGGTCATGCTGAAAGCCACCGGTGGCGGTGGTGGTATGGGCTTGATGATATGCAAATCAGTGGATGAGGTCCGAGAGTCTTTGATACAAGTTCGCTCCCGAGGAGAAACGCTGTTCAAAAATGCGGGCGTGTTTATGGAGCGTTACTATCCTGAGAGTCATCATATTGAGGTTCAGGTTTTTGGTAATGGCCTGGGAGATGCAATTCATATCGGAGAGCGAGAGTGCTCAATTCAACGCCGTCATCAAAAAGTCGTTGAAGAGTGCCCCAGCCCGTTCGTGGAAAGCCATCCAGGTCGGTTAACAATGTTCCATTAGACTGCTTAAGCACCACTGGCTGACGAGAATCAGGTCTACGTGAAAGGCTCACCTCTGCGGCGGTTGCTTTAACCAGATCTATTCGCTATGGATCTGCAGGCACAGTCGAGTACCTAGTCGATGACACATCGGGAGATTTCTTTTTCTTGGAGATGAACACTCGACTTCAAGTCGAGCACGGTATCACTGAGCTCTGTTACGGGCTTGATATTGTAAAGCTCATGCTTCAACAAGCCGACCGGGAGTTGTGTGATCTCGGAGGTCTGGATAAGGGCTATCTGGAATCTTTGCAACAAGACAAGCCTTCGGGCTGTGCAATTGAAACTCGTATATATGCAGAGAACCCTGCTAGAAACTATGCTCCCTCCCCTGGATTGCTTCAACATGTTGAATGGAGGGAGATGGGCGGCACTCGAATTGACACCTGGGTCGTTACTGGAACTCGAATTTCCACATATTACGGTCTGTCGCTCAATTAAAGATGTGATATGAAGAGATGGACTGACTTGACAACCTCAGACCCTATGATCGCAAAGGTCATGGTACATGATTCCAACCGGACAGCGGCTATTGAAAAATTGGGAGATGTCTTGTCGCACTCGACCATCTGTGGACCGCCGACAAATTTGGACTTTCTGCACGCCATCACTAACTCCAGCAAATTCCGCACGGGGCATACACTGACCAATTTCTTAACCGATTTTGAGTTCACGCCGGCTGCGATCGATGTCGTATCACCAGGTTTGTATACAACAGTTCAAGACTATCCAGGACGCCCAACAGCTGGGCGGGGAATTCCACAAGCAGGACCAATGGTAAGCTGGACCCCCTGAGGCTTGAACCAATTCATCCGCTTACATCTGGATACCAGGACCCTTTGGCATTTCAAGGTATACCCATGACCCACGTTATGTGCTTTTCTGTCTGCATAGAGTTCTGACAATTTATCTTGCTTGCAGTTGCCAACATCTTGGCTGGGAATCCTTCCAACACCGAAGGCCTAGAGATCACATTGAAAGGGCCGGAGCTACGTTTTCTAGCCCATGCTTGCATATCTGTCTGTGGCGCTCCAATGGACATGTCACTCGACGGTACCGACGTCCCAATGTGGACACGACTCTATGTCAAAGCTGGTCAAACCTTATCAATCGGAAAGCTCAATGGATCCGGAGGGTGTCGAGGTAGGATATTCTCTATATTCCGGGTTTAACCTGCTAACTTGTTCATAGCATATCTCGCTGTTCGTGGAGGCTTTCCGGCAATGTAAGTTACGACTGAATATTTCTTCTTGGCTCTAGAACTAATTATGTATGCAGTGCCCCATACTTTGGGTCAAAGTCAACCTCCCCATTACTTGGGATTGGTGGATACCAAGGAAGATCGCTCGCCCCCGGTGATATGTTGACGATTTCGAAGCTCGATGGAGTTGAGGCAGAGCCCGAGATCTCATTACCCGCCCATTTGCGCCCCATATACTCCCATCACTGGGACATTGATGCCATGGTTGGGCCCTACGATGAAGGGTATATTGTATCCGAAGATATCGACATGATCTATAAAACAGTCTGGTAGGAAGTTCCAGTAGCAAGGGTGGAAGAAGGCATTATGAGACACTACTAACTGGTTGATTACAGGGATGTTTCGCATAATGCTACGAGAGGCGGCATTCGCCTTGTTGGACCTTCTCCTAGATGGGCAAGGGAAGATGGAGGTGAGGGTGGACAGCACCCTAGCAACGTTATTGAATACGGGTACCCGAACGGAACACTGAACTGGACGGGAGACAGGCAAGTCCCGGTGGCAAATGCCTTGACGTTAATTCACTAACTCAACTGACCATTCCAGTCCCTGCATCTTCCCCGTGGACGCCCCTGATCTTGGTGGCTTCATTTCCTCCACAACGATTGTGAAAGCCAGTCTATGGCGTATGGGTCAACTGAAATCTGGCGACACAATTCAATACCGCAGAGTATCATTGAAAGATGCTCTTCGTGCCCGAGCTGAGTTGGAACAGTTTTTGGAAAGTGTGTCAGCAGTTGTAGCCGGCCAATGCGATTTTGATACCGTCGAGCCAATCTCCAATTCCACCTTGCCAGAATCAACTGTTTCTGGGAACTGGGGAAAGGCGTTGATTTACTGCACCGAGCTGAGTGAATCCGGAATTCCTATGACATTTAGACAGGTAAGAGATAGTCCAGGTTACTATGCCCATCAATTTCTAACTGCCACTGGCAGGGTGGGGATGAGTTCTTGTTGGTCGAGTTTGGCGATGGAAAATTTAACCTCAATCATCGCTGCCGAGTAACGGCATTGGATCAAGCTCTCAAGAAGTCGCAAGAGTCTGACGAAATTCTGAAACGAGCTGTGTACAAGACCACTGGATGCTGCAATTGTGTGTTTCCTCCCCAGGCTCGATAAATACTTGACTTGAACTAATGACTGGCCAATTAAAGCGCTACTAATCCACTACGATGGTCTGAAGTTCTCCCAGGATAACCTTGTCAGACTTTTGGTATCGTTGCAAAAAACGATCGGCGATCTCAGCAATTCCAACGTCCCAAGCCGAAAGTTCCGTCTTCCCATCTGCTTCGAAAGCCCAGCTCAGCAGGAAGCCGTCCAGCGATACATGGAGACACAGAGACCACATGCTCCATTCTTGCCGAGTAACATGGACTTCGTGGCCAATATCAATGGGATTACGTACGATGAATTGGTAGAAATTTTCCTTTCGGTCGAATTCATGGCTATTTGTGTCGGGTTCTTCTGTGGCGATACAATATGTCTGCCGGTCGATCCCCGCTATCGTTTGACATGCCCCAAGCAGAACCCTAGTCGTGTGTACACCCCAGAAGGAAGTGTCAGCTGGGGTGGTTCATGCATGAAGTAAGCATTTTCCCATACTGCCGAAGATGACGATCGAGTTAACATGCTAATGTCAACAGCATCTATCCCGTTGATTCCCCTGGGGGTATCAGATGACGGGCCAAACAATTCCCTGCTTCGACCAATTGGGAGTCAAACCCGATTTCTCGCCAAGCCAGCCCGGTCTGTTCCGTGACTTCGACCAGATTACCTTCTACCGAGTAGAGAAGGAAGAACTTGAGAGTGACTTGGCGCGTTTCCGGTCTGGTTGTTATAAATTCCAGTACGAAGATGTCATTTTCGATATGAGCGCCCACAATCGTCTTCTTCAGCAAACTAGAGATGAAGTAGCGGCATTCAAGTCTCGCCAAGCCACTTCACAGGTAAAAATGTTAGCCTTGGAAAAGGAATCAATGGACAGGTGGATGGTGGAGAAAGCGCAGAATCACGTTCTTCCTGATGAAATTGAACTACTGAAAGAAGGTAAGCTCAAGATCTCGCAATTGATTCAGCACTTTAGGATATTAACAGAAGACCGCCAGACCCTGAAATTGTGACATTGTATGCTCCTCTCGATGCCAACGTGTGGAAGGTTAATGTTTCCAATGGCGATGTTATCTGCTCTACGAAAGTTGTTGCCATCCTTGAGGCAATGAAAATGGAAGTCTCCGTCTCCTATAATGGGGACAAGAGGGATGGTATTGATCAATCTTTTAGGATTGAGAAAGTACTCGTCCAGCCAGGTGATACTGTTCGGGCCGGAGATGCGCTTGCATTTTTGAGAAATATTTGAGGTGAGGTGTTTCCACATAATGAGGTGTAATGGGTGCTTAGACTCCTATGCTTGATGTTAGAAACTATTGGCATATGAATATATAATGTTCCAATGCCGCTCTAAGTACATACGACCATAGGATATGGGAAACAGGGCTTCCCGTCCGGTCAGCCGCACTTAAGCCGATTATTCTGCACGGTCGATACTCAATGTGCCCTCAGTCCCCAAGCCGCACTCTAGGGTGAGTGCGGGTGATGCGGGTGAGGAGTCTGGAGACCGGGGTTTCTGGCTCCATACCAAGATCTACCGTTCGAATTTCGTGGTTTCAATTTTTCACTCAACTCCGCCTGGCTCTTCTATCATTTTTTTTGCGTTTCAGGGTTATAGCGTGCAGCGCGCATCACCAGTTGATGTAACCTGCATATCGCTTCGGCAGTTAACTTAGATCCCAGGTCACACACCAACCTGGCTGTTTCCCGTGACTGTATAAATGCTTTTTTTTAGTAGTAATTTTGGGCAATTCTCTTACAGCTTTGACTAAAGAATAAATCATTTTTACTATATTTCTTACTAACTTATAGATATTAACGTAATACATATTATTTTAAGATATTTATACAATAGTAATACTCGAATTTATTATTCTCCCTACTTTTTCTTTTTCTTCCTACCACCCGTGCCTAGCTGGTGTACTCTAGTAGTTACGGCTTCCCTATATTATTAGTATTATTATCTACCCCTATGAAATTATTAAAATTTTCGTCCTATTCTTCTATATCACTAATTGCCTCTATCTTAGTATTATTAGGCTTCTTATCTTTCTCATCCTTTAGAGCTTCAACCTTATCTAGAGAGAAGAACTACTTTAAGCTCCTTTACCTCCTACTCTTTCAGACTAAATCTAAATATTTAAAAAAGCATTATAATACTTGTATCGATTATTCTCACTTCGGCAATCTCCCTTTATATCTCCGACATTCCCCTGATATTCCGTCCTTACTTTTTTTTGCCCATTTCTTCTAACAATTCAGGCGCAATCTGTGGGAAATTGAGTGTAGGATACATACGAACTTGATATAAGGCATGCATTCCTGAAGCATGCTACGATTCTGATCCGCTCAGTCGAGGGACAATAGGGAACCTATTCATAGGGTTAAGAGGGCCAGCTGCATTTTCCAGCCAATGACAGATGGGTTCCTTACAAGCTTTGGCTGGCAGACGCCCACACGCTGTGTCAACTACATAGAATGTAACCTTTTCTTTTTCCACCTGATTCTAATCCTAACTATTTGACTCATACATTTCATTGGTCGGAGAAGGAACCATTCGTTACAGATCACACCGCGTCTAGCTACACAGTGTATTGAAAGTTTCAACATATTTAACCCTTATCAGCCACAGAATGTACATTCAGGTATGGTTTTTACGGTCCCTAATTTTTCCGGGAGCAATTAACCACAGTTAGCTAAGCTCTTCTTCTCCATGAAGAGCAGCAATCCAGCAGTAGGGTGGTATTATTTTATGGGTAGCAGAATATGTGATCGAGGCGCTAATTAGGGCAAGGAATCGGTGCGAGGGGTAAAAAATATCTATCAATTTGAAGTTTTCCTTTTCCTATATATTAGAGGCTCATTGAAAGATATCCTGTTGTTAAGAGCGTAGGCCGGGGGGTATATCACATCGGAGTTTTTGGATGCCTACCCCGACAAACGCTTCCAATGCTGCATGGGACCTGAGCAAGCTGTAAGAGGTCATCCACTCAGTTTGCCATAGACTTAGCAGAAATCACATTCCTTGTAAGTCTAGTAAGCCTCGTTGCCTTAAATTCCTGCATTTTCAACCACAAAGGGTTTCACGGTCAGACCTCAAATGCAGAGCTAGTTACGCGCTATAGAGCAAATATATGAGCATTCTGCACTTAATCGTCCCTGAGAATATGGTAGTATCTAGGGATATTAACGTTTAAAGAATTTCGTCGTGGAGGTAAGGAGTTAAGCCTGGCCTTAACCTGATTGGTGGAAGGTCGCGCGCTGACAGTTCTCTACTACAATGCACCTTCCTTGCCCCGAGTAACGGTCAATAGACTGAGAATGTAGATAGAGTCTCTTTATCCGAGTAACGGAACAAATCAATCTATTGGTTATTGGATACCTAGATAGTAAACTACCTACATCGAGCAGTCTATATAAGATCCTACCCGTCGTGACAAGAAGCTCTTGTTGAATTCAAAAAGAATCTTCCTTATACTCATATCCGTCAAGAATATATCTCTCAAGATGCAGTTCTCTCTCCTTACTCTCTTAACTATCTGTGCCTATGTCACCGCGCTGCCTGGAACGAATGATCTCGGTGGCGGATGGACGAACGAAAACGCTGCGTTAGTCTCCAGTTATTCCTAAACATCAGACAGCGAAATTAACTAATATAAGTGTTAGTGCCTGCAAATGCGCCCCGACAAAGACTACCGCAACAATTACAGTAACCGTTACCGCCACCAGCACCACTACGGGTACTGTCACCACCACAGACACTACCACCACCACGGACACTGTCACCACCACGGACCCCCTGTCACCACCACGGATACCATCACCACTACAGACACTGTCACCACTACAGACACTGTCACTTCTACGGTGACAGCTACCTCTACCAAGGGGGGTTGGAGTTCCCATGGTGGTGGGAGCTGGTGATTTCCTACTTGCTTGCTCTCAATCCGGGTTCCCTACTGCAGGTGGAGAATGGTAAAGGTGGAAGATTCAACTCTTCTGTGACAGTGGATACTGCAGTGATCTTTCTTGCACTTGAGTTCAACTTAATTTTATGTTTTCCGTCTCATGTGCCGCAACTTTCTGATTGATCTTACTTCTATCCCTAGTAAAGGGTATAATTGACATTCTTTGAGCAGTGTGCTATTGTCTCGCTGTCTTTTTGTTAAATTGAGCAAGTAGGAAGCCTTTTGAGCTCATAAATTTCTATGCTAAAGAGCGTTTTCGACCGCTAGGTTAATATCCTCGGTGTATCAATTTACCAAGTCACGGCATTCGATTTCGATATCTGTCCTTGGCATTAATGGTTAAATACTCTAGGCTAATATGGTCGCAGAAATTAAAGGGTAATAGTTCTTCTCGAACATCATTGTACTTCATTCGATCTTCAGAAGAAGGGAGGGGAGAGGGGTTCTCTGTAAGTACAGAAATAAAACGCGTGAATATAATGCCTGTGGTACATGTATCCTTAGGCCCTCGGTCAAGTCAAATAGTGTTTCCAAGCTCCTTCGCAATCTCGGTCACACAGCCCTCTGAAAACGTTCCGGCCTTTTAAGGCAAACTTGGACCTCGTTAAGGCTCAGCCCACGGGCAACCTTGGGTGCAGCTGTTCTTCGAGACACGGGCATCCTCCTGGGAGACACACGGGCAATCTGAAAAGTGTTGGTAGTTGGCTGGTGGCAATCGATGGACCTGTTAAGGCTTTGCCACGGGCAACCCGTCGATCCTGTTCAGAAATTAGGGACTAAGTGTTACGCACAACTAACTGGTCGTCGCTATGTTAGAAGAATCCTAGGTTATACTTGTCCATACGTCTCTGTCTTCTAACGTGAAGGATCTGTCTCTTAACCGTACCGTTTCCTAGTAGGCCTTTTACGGGCTAAGTCCTCTTAAGGGTATCGAGAAACGATGCTAGGTACAGCGCTGAATAGATATATACCGAAGTATTAGTCTATTGGTGATTGTTTTTAAGTTATCACTAAGCAAAGAGTCAAGGTAGTAAATATAAGTAGTAATAATTATTTAACATAAAGGGTACTGTTATGGTGAGTCAACGCTAACGTGTCGACAACTATACATTGTCGATCCTCTATAGTTGCGAGAGATCGGTGTATGCTTCCTAGAGACTCCGTGATATAAACCTGTAATGATGACTTAACAATGAATGCAAGCATTTAGGATATAGGGCACAAGTGCTTTTCAAAATGATATCTCATCTAATTCAGATGTTTCTTTGTATCATCGGTAAATGCACTCTTAACTAGCGCATCCGATTAATGAACAAAATTGTCTCAATCGAAATCACCTATGCGCTTCATCGAACGTTTCGGAAGCATACTAGGAAATGAAGAAACGAATAAGATAAGTCTAGGGTGAAGGTGTTTTCGACGAGAGACCTAAATTCCGAGAATAGAAGCAAAGAGGGATAAATGGCCCTTTTTATCCCCCATTCCTTGTGTACGTGCCATACTCGTATTCTTGAGTTGGTATAGTTTTCGGTGTATACTGAGTAAAATTTGACACTATGCCTAAGGATAGTGGAAAGCAGACACACGCGTGAAAACACCACGGTTTAGTGACCCAAAAACCACGCACAATTGTGTCCTTTTCATCGTCGCCCAGACTTACTCCGTACGTTCCAACGTGTTGCAAGCCAAGGCAGATGAAATCCATAACCTTGGTCGTCATAAAGATGTTTGTCATGAAAGAACTCCCAGTGCTTTTTCTCGGCTACAAATATAAGAAGAAGGATGATGATTTGCCCAATTTGACAGTATCTTACCACTTCACGCCGCCAATTGTCGGACTTTTTAGTTCAAACACAGCCTCAGTCTGCCAATTCCGGCAAAAATCAAAATAAAAGTGCTCGGGAAATTCCTCACATCGCTCGCAGACAGCATGCCACCCCTCCCAGCGGCATCCACCACCTCTCAGCTGAAATGGCGACGGCTCCTTCCAGTGGATGTGCAATATCTGATCACCTATAAGCTCAAGGTATAGCAATCTCCAATCGCACAGGCAGCCAAAAAAGGGACTCTAAGAATTGCATTTTCGAGCAAGGTTGTACAGCTATTCGTCTAGTAGGATTGGCAACTTCCATCGATTGAACAGATTACCATTGATCTCATGAGTAGGATCTGGGATTCCGATTGCCTTTGAATAATTCTCACAGACCTCGTCCGGGCAATCTTTTCATTACTTTGAGATAACTTGGAGAATGATTTGGGGCCATTTTGACTTGGAATTTGCGAGGGCAGCTTGGGTTTTTATACCTCAGTGTATGGGTGACTGTTGCTCGTTTGTAACAGAAAATCTTATAGCGATAATCTGGTTAATATAAATGCGCTAGGAATGATATGGCCATGGGACAGTGATTCTTTGCGGTGATCAAATCAATTAGGAAAGCCCTTGAGGTATAAGAAAACGATACAGTATTCCCCGAATAGAAGACTCTCTACTTAAGAATTCCATAAGAAGAAAATTAGCTTTTAATTGCATATCTTGCATTACATAGAGATAGTTACATCAGAGGAATTTATCATTAATTTCCCAGACTATTTCCTTAACAAAATCGCCAGTAGACCGAAGCTGTATCTCCAAGGCGGTCACCCCACACCCGGAACTCGACTCCCTAACATCTGGACATCTGCAGGAACATCTACAAACATCTACACCAATTGTGTTTCGCCTCGATCCACCTTGTCAGGCATGACGCATACGCACTAGCGCTCTTCGCCCCTTGCTTTCCAGGCTACGCTCGATCCAGACCCGTTCACCATGTACGCTACGTCCCCAAACCTGCGCACCACCTGGCCGCAACTGACATGCCTTCTAACAACAGGACGGTCTTCTCCTTAATCATAATCAACAAAGCCGGTGGCCTCATCTACCAGCGCGAGTTCCAGCCCGGCTTGCGCAAGCTGTCGACAAATGATTACCTCGTCTTAGCGGGCACCTTTCACGGGTATGCCACCCCGTCTCCTGTTGAACTTTGAAGACCGTCTGACATTGATCTTGATAGTGTCCACGCCATTACTCGCTCTATCACACCTAAACTGCCTATCTCACAACCGACGCCCTCCCCCGCTAGCTCCTCCCCGGGCACCACCACTCCTGCTGCGTCCGGATACTCCTATCCGAATCCCGGCGTGCCAGTAACTGGCCTGGATTACCTCGAGACCGACAAGTTCCGATTGACATGTTTCCAGACTTTGACGGGGACGAAATTCTTATTGTTCACGGATCCGATGACTGGCAATGTGGAGACAATCGTGCAGAAGATCTATGAGCTCTATGCGGACTACGTGATGAAGAATCCATTCTATCAGCTCGAGATGCCTGTGCGGTGTGAGGCATTTGATAGGCATCTCGGCGCATGGTTGAGAGGGAGGACATAACCCTCCATAGGAGGATCATGACTTTACGAATTAGATACGGTTTGTTCTTGTACTTGTGTCCGGAGATCACTCCGTCTCGTCTACCAAAATCACACATATTTCTCTTGCACTATAGAACGTACCCAGGAGGGCCGGCTCAAGAATACAGGACAAGCAAAAGTAAACGCCGGGTATGCATCAGATCATATTTAAGGCTCGAGTAGAACCTTACGCAGTGTCCATCTTGTCCTCATCCTTCTTATCTTTGTCACCGCTGGAGCCTTCCTCGGGGATATTGCCCAGTTGCGTCTTGCCTTCCTGCTCTTCCTGATCGCGCTTCTCTTTCTCCTGTCGGTTCTTCTCCTCCTCGAGCGATAACCGCAAAGCAAAGGCCAGCTCGGGGTCGTTCTCAGCGGCATCCTCAAATCCGAAGCCGCCACCTTCGCCGCCCTCGCCGCCTCCGCCGCCGGTGCCGGCATCCTCACCAGCCAGGATCGGGGTAAGCTGCAGCTCCTCGCTAAGCAGATGAGGACCCGGGGGAATGATAGCGAGATGGGATCCATCACCGCTCTTGACGTTCTCAACAAAGGCTTCCAGCTTCTTGGTCTGGTCTGACTCAAGATCTCCGAATGCCACCACGTCGATCGACACATTGTTCTTCTTCATCTTCTTGGCCAGCTTCACGAGGGTCTTCTCATCTTCTTCGATAGGGGAGCATGAGAATACGACGATGCGTTGGCGTTGGGACTTCTCCATACGGTGCTTGAGGGCCAACTAAGATATCATCTAGGTCAGTCATGAGGAGCTTAGAAATCGGGCGGGGAGAACTTACAGCTGCAACCTGAATACTCGAGCTGAGATGGGATGTGCCGTGGATTTTCGTCTGATGCAGACCAGCCAGAATTGCGCCAAAGTCTGATGTAAAGGTTGACAGCACCTCAGGACCCTTGCCGCCCATGCTCATGAGGCCGACAGCTGACTGCGGGTGTACACGCATCTTGGCACTGTGGATGACACTAACAGCATCGACTTGAGATTGCCACCGGGTTGATCTGTCAGAATTAGACGTCAACCCCAGATGAAAGAGGAGCAACATTGGATATACTCACGTGTAGTCTCCATTGCGACTGCTTTCGCTGTTGTCGACACTGTAGCTTGGAGTCAGCATTAGAAGCCAGAAAGAAGAGAAAGTGACGGACATGATCATAGTAGCTTCAAGCGACATGATGGCGGATAGGAATGGAATTAAAGTAAAGGAGGTAAAGGAGAGCAGATCGTAGAGATGAAGACGGATGACGAAGGCGAGGTGGAAGCTCTGCATTCTGCCAGGGCTCTCCGCCCGCACGCTGTTTGTTGTGGTCCTCCAGTCCTCCTTGCTCCGCACGCCTTGACTTCTTGATACATCCCACATATATCCCTTCGAGCACACAATGCCCGCTGTCAAGCGTAACTCCGACGCTATGGACGTCACGCCTACGGGTAGTCCTACCAAAAGAATGCGTCTCACTCAACATCAAAAGCAGGCACTGATGGACAATCTACAACTTGAAAGTGGGTTGCGACATCCTTTACCCAGGCCGACACGGTACTAACTTGCTCGCAGTTACGGAGCGGGCGCGTAAGCTTCGTGCTCAATATGCCCTTCAAGCCAATGACCTCCGAGCGCGTATTGAACGACGCGTTAACCGAATCCCACTCTCTCTGCGCAAGGCCAACATGGGCGAGCTACTTGAGAAGCACAATGCCACGACAAACAAACAACAGAATCTGTCGCCTTCTCGAAAGTACTCCCCTGCGAAGGTTTCGCGTAACATTGCCAGCATTTCTATCGATCCAGAAACCTCTGCTGCACGCGACGGTCGAACTCGGAGGGCAAGGTACGATGTCCACACGCTCAATTTGACTCGCCTACTAACCGGTTCTCCAGCCCTGATGGTCACTTCTCTGACAAGGAGAATGCTCCTGCCAGTGAAGGATTGAACAACCCCAAGCGCCGCGTGAAGGCAGGACCCGCCGGCGGGGCTTCGCGCGTGGCGTCTCAAGAAGTGCGAGGCAACGAGAACCGAATCTTGTCCCCCAAGTCAATCAACTCACGAACATACCCCCACTCGCCCTTCCGTGCCTCGCCAGAAAAGGGTCAATCATCTTACCTGTCCCGCCCCACATCTCCACTGAAGCCTTCTAGTCCACTGCGATCACGCGGTGCCACTGTATCCGCCGTGAAGGACCAGCGACCTCCATCCCGGGCTCAGAAGACGACCAATCGTGCTGCGACAGGACCAAAAACTACTACTCGTTCACCTTTGCCGCGTCCGGCTACCCGACAGGCGGAACGCAGGAATAGTGCCTCGTCCAACGCATCCTCGGGTACAACAGTCATGAAACCAACTCGAACTGGAACTGGTGCTAGAAAGGCCACAGCGGCCTCTAGTGCCGCTGCAAAGAAGCCAGCTGCTCCTCGCATGCAGGCTGCATCAATGGCTGTCAAGAAACCTGCTAATACCGCGTCGATGCGGAAGACCACTGCTCCAGCTGCCACTGAAAGTGCAACTCGAAGCCGAGCGTTGCGCAAGCGGATCTAGGTATGCTGGCATGAGCTGTACAGCTATTTTCTTTTCTTCTTTGTTGGAGTTCGGTGGGATTCGTGTTACTTTGAGCGTGGATGACTACAGACAACATGAACAATTTTGAGCCTGGGCGCTGTTCTTCTTGGATTATTCGGAGTGGTATCATAATAGGTGTATTGCATTCTCGAGTGTCGACTTTACATTCATGTCCTTTATGAGAGAGGCCATTTTCTCAGTTCATTATTTGTTCAATCCGTTCTAGGCCACGAGTGGTCTCCTGTAGAGATGGATTGACACATTCCAACAACAAGCCCGCATCCCCTCATGCTACGCTTCACCCCTGTCATTCTACTGCCAATCATCTAGATGTCCGATCTATCACACCGCTACAAACTGGCAGTCCAAATACTGACTCTATTCTAGCATACCCCGTCCACACAATTTAACGCTATACCATACCCCAGCAATGGAGATTATCCAGCAATCCGAAACCTTCAAAGACGAGAATGGCAAACTCCAGTTTTGCTGGCAGAGCTTCTACGTCCGACACGAAGGCAACATACACTACGGAACTGGGACGATCGGTCGACGAAACCAACGCACCCAAGCCAGCTGCAGAATCTCAAGCAGATCAAAACAGAGGATATAGGTCAGAAGTACAGGAGATATGGGCTGTGACCTTGGAACAGAATTGTCACTTCAAAGCACCAGGTCATTGAATGACCTTCATGATCCTGGGCTGGACAAACTGACGCATGGCATGACCCGACAAATGGTGTTGTCTTGGAGGAGAATGATTTGGATGCTTTTGAAGAGTTAAAGTCTTAGTTGGTTCGGTGGATGATGCATGGTTGTTCCCCGAGGAACAGCCACCCGAGAGACATTACGATTGATTTTTTGCTCTCAGATTACCTAGATGGTGTGTTCAATGGATCAGATTGTGAGACTCGCATGCAAGAGCACGAGGGGTTACACAGGAGCGTTCATAGTGTAAGGTTTTGAGGCGAACAGCGCCTTTCCATCCATACTCCCGCCATCACTTCTCCAAAAGCCTAAGGCTATGGAGAACCTAACTCCATTATTCATGTCCTTTTTCTTATTTTGCTTCCCCAATCTCACGCACGCTGACCCCTACATCTTCCATCCGAATGCACCTGCATCGGCGTTTCACGGACTGGTAATTATCCACCCAGCGCCTGTACATGGCGTGGAAGTCCACATCAAGACGTTGCAAGGAAGATGATTGTTTTGATAAAGTCTCCGCCAGGCTAGCGTTGACCTCGATGTTTCCATAATACCGAGAGTGCAGTTTTGGATCTTTAGATACCCGCTCTTCGGGCCGTCCGATACAAGCCATTAATATCTTCAGGTCCCTCAGGTAGGGGAATCCTCCAACTGCATTGTAGACAGCTTTCTCACCTTCACCGATTGTCATGAACATAGTAAAGCGCAGTTCCTGTATGTTGGGGCTGGCAGCGCGAGTCCGCACAAGCCAATCTGTCGTGACGAGGATTTTCATATTTATTATCCGCCCTTCGGATATGAGGGAAGGTTTGCGCAGAGATTTGCCACGCTTGAACAGCATGCTTGAAGTACTTTCGTCCGGACGCTGCCGGAGATACATATGCTCTACAGAGACGGAAGATATGAGACAAATACACTCCCCGTTTCATCGAGAAGCCAACGAACTCTTCGTCTCTTGTGAACCCGAAATCTAGGATCGGTGATTCCAAGACAGGAAACTTGCAACTCGATATCTTCGTAGCAAGATCTAGCGTGAGGGTACTTACCGATTGCCTCCACAGATGTAAACCCAGGAGCTCAGCGAAGGCGTTTTGATCTTTCCAAGTACCGAAGAAGCCGGTTTTAGCCACTGGCAGGTTGAGACTTAATTCCCTTAGGTGTCCTTTGAACGAGCTGCCATCGCAATTTGAGCGGTTTCGAAAGAAGCCTCGCCATGGAGGTCGAGATGCTGTGATCGAATTGAGACGGGAGAGACCTGGTGACTCGAAAAACAGGTGTTCATTGGTTAGATTGGGGGCTAGTCCATTTGCTAACTCAATCACTGCATCGCCGTTGTAGTCGGCCTTTTTATAAAAGTTGTAACGGGTAACACGGGCGAGGAGACTGGATAAGCAAGGCGACGTAGCCAACTCATATTCATATGCGTCGATATCCTGAGGGTTATCGGCTTGTAGCACAGACTTGGCAATTTGAGTGACATGACATGCAATCTTCATTTTGGCATCGATCGATGGAGGATAGACGCGGAAATAGGGTCCCACAGCTCCAAGTGATATCAGAGGCCCGACGGTTGGCCCACAAGGGTGAAGCGGGCCCCAGCTGTCATGTTGAGGCGAAGGGACACAATTAATGACGTTTGATATCGTTTATGTAGTACTTTCGAAGACAAGTCAGTACATCCTTGTGACAGCCTAGGTTGGCATCCGGATCTTGGATGTCATATCTCCCCGATCGCGGTCTATCGACGGCATTTCTCCTCGGACTAACAAATGAAGAACAGACGTAAACGAGGTCGTCTTATGGAGAATTTTACTTCATCGTTTGACACATCTGGCCAGTTTTTTTTCGCGGCTGGCAATGCTAAGGTAAATTGGAGGAAACAGATGTCTACTAGCGACGGCATAGCTTTGTTTGCTTGCTAGGGCCAACTCGTAAACGCTAGGTAGGTCATCAGGTGCAAGGTACCCGCATATTTGCGCGATCATTTCTAGTGACAGTGTACGGAGGTGCATAATGTACAGATTCAAAGTGAAGAGAGTTGCAAAGCATAAGAATGACCAGACACAGGTGTGGATAGAGAAAGGAGAGGTCAGGTGGAGAACTAACCAGAAAAGGCAATCCACAGTTTACTTCAGAATCTACACTTCGGGTGCCATAGCAATCATGTTCATTGGACAAAATGAAAGAGCAAGGAAATAAGAGGCTCCCTGGTATTTTAAAAAGCCAACCAAGGGAGGAGAATAAAAATGGAAGCAAAGAGAAAAACGGGTCTAGGTAAAGCCGGAGCCTGGCCCACAAGAAAAGAAGAAAATGAGCATGCTCAAAAGTGGAAAAGAATGAAAGGAAGGACATGTATGGCCCAGAGGGACAGGTATGGGTATGGCTGATCCCTCTAATCAGATGCAGATGAACAAAAAAAGCAAGGCATCATAGCCCCTATAGAGATGGAGATAAAACAGGAACTAATCCACAGCGATCAACCAGCTTGATCACTAGGGGGGAATTTTCAGGGGGAAAAAGGAAAAGAACTCCGTCAACCCAGCCTATCACTCAACAAAAAGGAGAAGAAAAAGAACGCTAAGCAAGCCCCCAAGAAAAGAAAACACTCCACGGAGAATGAATCAGAAGGACGGATGCAAATCGAGATGTATCACAGAGCAGTTGTGCAGAAATAGAAGTAAAAAGTAGAACCTGTCTATCCGGTAACGCCCATGGCGCCTGGACTTGGACGCGGTCGATATGCAACATTTTGGGATTGAGCATCGGGCGCACTGGTATTTGGCTGGCTGCCGTTGCTGGTGCTACGGTCACGGTGATAAGCCGCTGGAGGCGGGCCAAAGTCGAGGCCAGCTTGGGGGTTAGCGCTGGTGGAGTGCGTGTGACCGCTGGGCCCTGGTACATGGCGGACTGAACTCTGCATTTGCCAGGCCGCGTCCTGAGAGGGGTCGGTCTCGATGCGTGCGGAAGCTGGCGCGCTGTTGTTGCGGTTGGGCGTGGTAATTGTGAATGTTTCACCGCCGTTCTCGGGTTTCTGTGAGAAGCTGCCTCGTGCAATATCACCGTACCGTTTCAGGATTTCCTTGGTCGTCACTTCGGCATTCTCCCTAAAAAGAGTCTGATCGCTTAAGATCTGTTGCAGGTCTTCCGGAATCTATAAGAATAGTCAGTACACATACGTAGCACAGAAGGCTGGTTTACTTACCTCGCACATGGCGTCGTTATACGTGATTAAGGCGTTGACAGCTTCAATAGACAAGAAGCTCTCATCCACAGTGCTATTCTTAGCATTGGGGTAGAGGATGTTGGGTGTGATGACAGTTGCAAGATTGTGAATGTCCATCTTGCTCCCAGAGTCCTCATCCACGTGCGAGAAGGATGATGTCCAGTTCAAGAATGCGAAGAGGACTTCCATCGTGTCACGGTGAGCTTTAGGGAGCAGACAGCATGACAAGTGCAGTACTCGCTTCTGCTTCTCAGGGTCGGGAAGTTCTGTGACAGGTTAGTATCTTGCCAACTAGATAGACCAGCCCATAAACTTACTTTGTGAGATGACAAAGAGTCGGTGAAGCTTGAATGTTAAAAGGGGATCAGGCATCTCACGAAGGAATTTCTTCAAGAGTGCTGCAATCTGCACAGGAGTCTCCTTTGTCAAATCGACTTGGTCGTATTTGGTGTCAATCAACTCCGCAATGTCCTTCAATCGCCGGATGTTGCCGTTCTTTCGGAAGACACCTTCCACTGACATGTCCATCTGCCGCATGGCGGAAACAGAATCATCAACCAACGTTGGAATGCGGAGCGCACCAGGACCAACACCGTGGCTTGACTCTGTGCCCTCCTTTTCAACCAAGTAGTCCAAACCAACGCCAAAGACACCCTTCTTCTTGCCACCCTTCTTGTTATCCTTGAAGGCGCGACCAAAGATGTTCCAAATGGTGGGTTTGCGCGACTCAATAAGGGAGAGCAACTCCTCCATGTTGAAATAACCTTCCAACAGGGGTTCCATCTGTAACACAGCAACGTGACGGACGATGAAGTACTCCAATGCCGTCAGTTCGGAGAAGTATCGCTTGGACCGGGTAGGCTCCATGAGTGCCTCCAGGTTTCCACTCGACACCCCGCGTTGATGGCCGCGGTTGTATTTGGGCATCGGTTCTATCCCACGGACAAGCTTTGTGCCGGCATGCTTGTATGCATTGGGTCGCTGCTCCTTGGCTTGCTCGGCCGCAACGATGCGTGGAATATCGTCCAGCGTCAAAGCATCTTGCGTACCGAATGTCAAATCGGTGACAGTATCGCCATTTGCATCTCTTTCCTCAACGATCTGGAATCCAGGACCCCTTGGATCAGATCCATCATTGCCGGAGGATCCTGGTCGGGCACTTCTTCCCTCCGGGCCATCAATGATCCTTGATGCGCGGGCCCTCTTGTATGTTGTGGAAAGTGTCCGCTCATTGCGAATAGAGCGCAGTCGCCGCATCTCACCCACGGTCTGCTCAAGGGACGATTCTTCCAGACCATCTCGGGAGCCACCAATGTAAGATTGTGAGCGTGTGTTAGCACGGCGAACGTCGCCGGGCGTCCGGTGACCCTCATTGTCGTTGTATCCCTGCAGATTAGGGTCGTCTGAGGCGTAACAAGTTAGCCAGACTGCTAGAGGGATCGGGGGCATGGTAGTAAATCTCACCTGAGGTGTGGGGCAAAGTTCCTCCAGACCGAAGTACAGCGAGAAGTCGAGCCAGTGCCACCTTCAGCAGGAAGATGAATTGCTGCAGCTTTGAGACTGGGATGAAACCACCTCGTACAGTGGAACCAAGATTCTTCTGAGTGGCACAGTCGCTGCAGTAGACTTGCTCCTCAGCTTCACTCCATAATGCATCGGAGAGTTCGGCAGTCAGATCCTTCTCGCATGTAGAGCATGAAAGATGAGGTGGCTTGATGTGCCAACGACTCTGTCCCAACAAAACACACTCGTCATCGATTGGTTCTTTGCAGGCAATGCAGCAATCTGACAGCTGATCGGCCAACCCCTCTACCCCAGCCATAAGATCGAGTGGGGCATTCTCATCTTCCAGTTCAGCGAGTGATTCAAGATCACGGAGATGCTCCAGGAAGTTATGCAAGCCATCAGGTGCAGATTTCTCTCGCTCGAGTTTGAGTGCACCCTGCAATCCGATGCGGATCAAGAGCTTAAGGTAATGAGCAAGACCAGTCACTAAAGACAGAAGCTCTTGTGTGACGCCCAGTTTGCGCACCCCGGTCTCTTGCGTTTTCGACAGCAGAGCGAAGAAAGCGACAATCTTCTTGCAGAGAAGTTTGGCTTCACGGCCATAAGACAGTTCTGATGTGACATTAGCCGTTGATTCAGATGAATCCAAGGGATCGGTGGACTCACCCTTCAACTCGTGGGATTTAATGTAGTTCGCTAGTTGGTCTACCGCGCCAAACAGAATTTCGACGTGACCAATAAAGCGTTTGGCGACAAGCACACCGTCAAGATAAGCGCCATTGCTGACATGGAGTAGCATGTCGGAGATGCACGCAGCAGAGGATTCCTCAAACGTTGAGAGTGTGTTCCAGATGTTGAAAACCTTCTCCTCCATGATGTCTTCCTCTTCGCGAATCTGTTTGCGTTCTTCCTCACTCGCATCCTCATCCACTGGTGGAGGCTCCCATGTCTGACCCGCAGGAGATAATCTGACGTTCCAGAACTTGTGAATCATATAGCACTCGGGGTGCCAGTGTTGGTTTTGGCCGTTGCGGAAGATCTCAACGAACTGTTTCAGAATCGCAGTATGACACCCGTGACACCGCTGAGCGAATTGAGTCGAGTAATGGAAGTGACAGTAGACCTTGCTTTCGTGTTCGTAGTAGGAGTCCTGGGCACCAAAGACGGTCGGACACACTGAACAAGTAAAATGCTCAATATGGTATTTGCGGTCCAGCGCAGTGATGTATGACCCCCGTAGTGCTCCACCACACTCGTGGCAAAGGAGACTCAGTCGTCTAAAGTAATCTGTTTCACACAGCGGGAATTGGCAGCTCCCATCCTCCGAGTCCACGGGGAAGAACTTTGAAGCAACGATTTCACCACAATCCTAACAGCAGAGATAGTCAGAAGGAATACACCGCAAACCAGCGATAGAGGCAACTTACCTCGCACTTAAAACACTCCAGATGAAAAGTGCCCCCTAGGGCCCGCACAAACTGACCGGTGAGTGATTCACCACATTTCTGGCACAGGCGCGATGAGCCGCCCGGGGACTTGTTGTGTTGACGCCCGTTCGCTCGCGATCTGTCTCGAGGGGCCGAGTGTGTAGAACGGTCGCGATAGCTGGCCTGGTCGGGACCCAGCCCGCGACTCGAACGACCATCCTCTGGATTCACTGGGGTGATTGGACTTGGACCACCGGTTCGTGTAGTTGGTGATTCGAATGGAATCAGACTGTCTTCGGGAGAGGTAGGTGTGTTTTTTGTATAGCTAGCCCCGTAGCCC